GTGATGCGGTTGTATAGGTATATGCAGCCCCAGGTCGTGAAGCAGCTTAGAGAGGCTATAAGCAAGATCCATATAAGTTTTGATGGATGGACGACTAAAGGCGGCAAACAAGGCTTCTTTAGAGTAGTTGCTTACTACGCCACGGCTCATGGAGTTATTAAAGACGTCGCTATTGACTTGCCGCAGCTTACGGGCGCCTATACGGGTGACAGGATAGCTAATTGTATCGAGAGAACTCTGCAAGCGTTTGGAGTTGACGCAGCAAAGTTAGGATACTTTATGCTCGACAACGCGTACAACAACGACTCGGCTATTAAGAAACTCGCTAGCAAGTACGGTTTTATCGCTAGCTATCGTCGCCTACGTTGCGGCGCTTATACGATTAATCTCGTGGGCTAGGCGGTGATCTTCGACTCGAACAAGGATGCGTTTAACAACGACGACGCCAATATTATTGTAAGTCTCCTAGTCCTCTCGGGATTGCAATTACTAATTAATCAATACAGGACGAGGAGCAGTTTATGGGCGATTGGCGTCAACGAGGCCCATTAGGTACGCTTCTTGACGTTATCAATTATATCAGAACGCCCTAGCAATACGACGTTTTCAAGAACTTTTAAGTTCTCGCTAACAGTGAGCTCCCTACCAAGAAACAGAGGATACTTGAGCTGATAAAGCTTGTCGTCACGCGCTAGAACTCGTATTGTTCAGCGTTTGAGCGTGCTGTTAAGTTGCAACTGGCGTTTAACTCGTATATCGCGTATTATATCAACAATCAGCTTGCTGCTGACAGTTACGCCAGAACCCGTAGAAATAAGACGCCCGACGCGCCTACATGGATAAGATCGGGCGGGCTTACAGCAAACGATTGGGCTGTCGTGAACGACTATATTGAGGTTCTCCAGCCGCTGAAGTCAGCTACAAAACGGCTCGAGGGCCGCGGTACAAGCGGCCGTTTTGGAGCGATATATAAAGTATTGCCCGTCTTCGAATACTTACTTGGAGAGTTTGAGCAGCGTTACAAGCCGTACGAGCTCGTCGATTACGAGGCAACTGGTGCTCCTGAGGACCACCTCGCGATCAACTTGAAGGCGGCGTGGGCAAAACTTAATAGATACTATCAAAAACTCGACGAGTCGCCCGTATACTACGCCGCTTGCTGCCTCCACCCATACTACAAGCAATATTGTGATCGCGCTTGGCGTGACAAGCCCGGTTAGATTGCTCGCGCAAATGAGTCCTTCCAGCAACTTTGGGGCAGTTACTAGGTATCTTGGAGCCCGAGGAGTCGCCTAAGAGAGCGCAAGTCTAACGCTATTAACGACGCTATCGCGGCAATTATGGAGGACCCATCGTCTGACAGCGACGAGGGCTTTGACGAGTACCAGCGGTGGCGAGCTTTTGAACCAAAATGGACGAAGACCATGTTTAAGAGCCCTAACAGCAATCCGATAAAGTATTAGATTGCTCTACGACCAAAATATCCCAACCTCACACGCCTTGCGATCGATATATTGACGATACCTGCTAGTAGTTGCGAGTGTGAGCGTATGTTTAGCGAGCTCGGCGATCTACTTACTCCTTAACGTCGCAAAATTAGTCCGCAACTACTCGCCGCGTTGCAGTGTATACGGACCTAGAAGAGTACAGGCGCCGCAGTTGCTGGAGCCGTTACGGAGTCTTAACTCAGCGATAAGCAGCTAGACTAGCTATACGAGCTTGCACAATAGACTAAGTATAGCAACAACAACGATTAAAGCGGATTAGTATATCTAACAGCGCAGCTAGACTATAGTTAACTACTTCGCTTAACAGCTAGTTTCTCCACTAAAAAGAGCCTAACTCGCGAACTGTACTGCTCCGCAAACGCTGCCGAGATCGATCGATACACCTCCCGCTACCCAGCACGCAACAATTAACTCCCTACAGAGCTACGATCTCGAAATTAACGCTGCTCGACGATACCTAACGTTGCTAAGCGTCGTTGACGTCGGTTGACGCTGCTCGTTGCCCGCTCCCTACCTTACTACCTTACCACCAGCGCTGGTGAGCTCGTCAACTCTACAATAGTTACTACAACCGGATCACGCGATTACGGCTATATATATACTTAATCAAGCTACTTATCTCTATCACGAAACACTAGCTTAGTGTACTTACTCGCTCCTGCTAGACGGTAAGTTGTATATAGGAGCTTCGTCGCTCCTATACACCTAGCACCTCTAGGTAATCCTTTACTAATACGAAACCGTGTTCCGCAACCTCTACAGTATACTAGGTAGTAACTAGTGGTTTAGTTTTAAAAGTTTTTAGGACTACAATAGATATATAACTTAATATATAGGTATATTAGGACGGCTGTAATTTCGAAACACGCCTACAGACGCTATTATATGCCTCTTTTTTGCACTAACTCTAATACAACCACCTGTCTAAGATCTCACGATACCTGCCTAATTAGGTAATTAAAACTGCAAGTATTTGTCAAATCACCAATCAAATATGCCCGTTTCGGCCACCAAGTCACTCAAGTCAAGTACAACACTAAAAAAACTCCAAACAAGCCAAATACGGGCTTCATATTTGATTGACTTGATTGTTGACATCTCTGCCCTGCACAATGTGCCAGAATGCACTACTTATTTAGAAATCCAGCCTGCGGCCTCATAACGTCACGGCTAGCGAACGTGCAGTGGCCGGCCTCATGTTCATTCCACTCTTCAATTACACCCCAGTGGACATGCTCCAAATGAGCACCCGTGTCATCTTCCAGAGGGTGACACGCCGCGCTGATGACCATACTGCAATGTCGAGCCGGCGGTATATGTATCGCAACCTTCTTCAGCAGCAAGCATCGTAATAATATGATCAGGGCAAAGAGAACAAGGCTGAAGACCAGAATGCTGGAGACCGAGTAACCACACGCGCAAGTGGAGCCGTCATACAACGAACCGTCCCGTCTTCGCGTTTCCCTTTGCACCAGAAATAGGATTGTGATAACAACCAGTGCAATAGCCCAACTGTGACTGAGAGCGGAACAGCCCATCGAATCGGTAACTGAAGGAAGTGGGTACTGCGTTGGTTCCCGCTTGGAGACCTGACCCGGAGTCCTTTTCGGTGGGCGGCGTAACTGTTCCACTCGATTGCAAAGCACGTTGAGGTGCAGAGTCTGTTGACCGAGAAGTAGACTAGAGAAAGACAGAATGGGGGAGCATTTGCCAGGAACGCCACTTTCGACACGCCTTTAGCATCGAAGGCGGTCGATGTGAGTGGGTTGATGAGCGTAGATGCGGTACCCCAAGACATTTGTCTTGTCTTACTCGTAGCCTGAGTGAGAGCTGCTGAAGTCAAGAGAAAAGAGACGAAGCTAGGTCTCTCAGCAATGTTCGAGGAAGAGTACGGAGGCATAAGGTCAACTACTTACATGGTCGCAAACGACAAGATCCGAGTACCACCAAGAATGAACATCTTTGGCTTCTTGGTGATTCGCCATGGCTTCACATCTGAGTCACCTACGGATCGACGAGTTTTCCATTTTGTTGAGGTGCAATTGCCTCGGGTGAAATCTTCCAGAGCCTTCAAAGAAGACGCTACAGCGTCCCCAGAGGTGATAATATGACCAGTGGAGCACATACGGATGGTCAGATAAATTCCGAATATCTTAGCGATATTAGATGCGATGACTATGCGCAGAAACGGTGTTGCGACTTGTACCCTGTTCGCGTATGGGACAGTTTTCGCAAGTGTGTGCTGGACGTGGAATACCGTATTCGAGGGCAACCAGCCGCTTTCAGAACAGAGAGAATGTATGGACATCAACGGCTCTACTCCAGTTGCTATCAGTTCTTGGACTGGCCAGTACACGTCCAAATCGTGAACCCCAGTGCTCGAGACAAAAATGCGTGGTCGTTGAAACAGCCTCGTGCCTGTACAGACTATTTTCTGCTCGGTTGACTGGTGAGTAGCTCCGCCTGGAAGCGCCCTGTCAGCCGTACTGTAGCGGATTTCGAGATACCACATACATGCTTACCTATGGTCGTCAGAAGAAACAGTCCAACCAGCAAAAAAAGAGATCCCTCTACGCTTAGTTTGACATGCCAAAGTTTTCAAAAACATACAACAGCGGTGATTCGCTAGTGGGTCATCCACCTGACCACTAATCCGACGGTATCCTGCTTGTATATGGCTGAGCGGAGGGGAAGCCTGATTCTCAAGATCGCATGGTCGTATGGAGGAAGCAGTTGATTTGATTTGAAAATAGTAAAATTCGAGCATAACATGGCGATGAACGACCTGCCGCCCAGGCTGCTCTTCATCTTCGACGTGCCGCGATCCACCACCTGCGTCCGAGGTATTAAAATCGCTCTTTGCGGTATGCGTACCGCAGCAAATTTACTTAAAGCAGTCTCGTTCCAAAAGGGCCGCTACGTCAGCACATGCACGCCTCCCAGTTGGCGCAGCTGTAAGGTGATTACAAGCTACATAAGTCTTGGCGCGTGCGACTGAGCTCTGACCCGTGGACGCGTCTTCTAGCTCAAGAACGACAACACCGGCTTGGCCACAACACGGTGCAAACGGCCGATGCAACCCTCTCTTTGCCCAGGAAAACATCGATGTCAGTAGGTGTGAATTTCGGCGAAGCGACAGATGACCAGTGGTTAGCATGTAACAAACTAGCAGCAGCAGCTTTTGGGGAACCGCTTTCCGAAGCTGACTACCTGGAGCGAGAAGAGCTCATGAGCAAGACAGCTCTTGCGCAAGACAATGGTGTGCGAACTTGGTGTTTGTATCACAGCGACACTCGATCTCAAGTGCTGGCAACTTGCAAAACCGTGAAGCGGCAACTGCTCGTCACGAATGTTCATGGATCTCACATGGGAAACGGGTATTGTATCGCCTCCGTGGTTACTCACCCCAATCATCGTGGTCGAGGTTACGCTTCTGCCCTTTTATACAACATCACCCAATGGCTGGATGGCCCTGGAGACGCGCTCGCAAGCATGATTTACAGCAACAAAGAAGCAGTAAGCAACTGCTACAGCAACAACGACGAATGCTAAGCTATTTGAAGTTCTATGCCCGGCTTGGCTGGAGTCCGATCCCAGCCCCTGCAATCGTGCTTTCCACCGACCTCTCCATCGACAACGAACTTCACACGACGTATGGCATGCAAAAGCACCTCAGCTATCTGCGCGCGGAAGACATCGACGAGCTATGCAAAGAGGACATCCGTACACTGGTACTAGAAATCGATAAAGCGCGAACACCCGGAAGAAACACAATTTTGACCGTACTTCCCACGACGGATCTGATCGGTTGGCAACATACACGGGCGGAATTCTATGGGATGAAGATACATAAGAAGTCGCCAACAATCAAAGGAGCCTTTCACAGTTCCAATGCCTGGATCTACTGGCATCACGACTTTCGAAAGCAACGCCTCTTCGTTCAAAGAGTCCGGATACTTGACGGGCTTGAAGGAGAAAAAAGCGATGTCCTATCTGCACTTCTACTTTGTGCAGTTCGAGAGGCTCAATCCTGGGGGTTGCCCATGGTTGTGGTATGGGGAGTTGCATCTGATTTGTGTGATGCATTCGAGATACTTAGTAGCAAATTCGAAGGGCTCAACCCCATGCTGCAGACACAAAGACGGGAAACCACCTCTTTCAGATGGAGAGGCTGCAAGAGCTACAAGACTCACATCATTCCCAACGAACACTATTCTTGGATTTGAGTCATAACTCCTAGACCACCGAAAACAGCTGCCTGCAACCGCCATGTGCTGTTCAAACAGTGGAGGAGTCTTGAAACCCGTCAAGGCCATTTGGATGTTTTGCGAGGAGACGTAACATTTCTTGTTTCACCCTGAAGACAGAATTAGTGCCCGACGAGGCTACAATATTATGAACTTACTCATCACGAAGGTAAGCTCGATGTTCGTGCAATCCAGCATTGATAATATCGTCCCGCCTGTCCCTGTCAGCTAGCCGAGACTGTCATGATGACGACAGGCATACTTACATGGCATATAGCGCATTGCGATCATCGAAGTCCTCGACGGGCTCCGAAGGCTGGATCACCTCTTTGTATTTATTCACATATTCTTGGGTGAAACGATAACGCGGTTGCCTCATCATGTGCAACTCCACTACGAATACTGTCAGATCACACCTTGAACGATAGTGATTTGCTCACATTCATTGTGCGCATAACAGCAGCAGGAATCAAACAAAATCACCTGCTTGGTGTCCATGTCGACTTGAGCGTTACCATGCCATAGGTCGCCGTGGACGAGAGTAGGCTTGATAGTCCGACCACCAGATTGAAGTGGTCTCAATAAGCGCGGTATGACTTTTGCGATGAACTCCATTGCAACTTGGTTGAAGTCGGGATCTAAGCCTCGGACACTCTGTTCCCATCTGATGTCTGATTGGAGCTGACGACTATACCATTGCTCCCAACTGTCGCACCACTTGTTCTGCAGTGGAACATGGCCATTAAAGGTGGTGACATGGAAGCCAAATTTACCTGTCGGTGAAGACGAGCCGTTATGCAGCTTGGCCAACACTTCTACCAACTGCGCTGGGTCCGGTGTCTTCTCTTTCAATTCACGGTATGTTGTCAGGAAGAACGACTTGGTCGGGTCCAGTTCGAATGTGCCGAAAGCTACCGGAACAACCGAATTGTGTGGCAAATGCTGAGCTAATGCTTTTTGACTCTCGTATTCGCCAAGGGCCATCTCCGCGTGCTGCGGCCGATGGCCAACCTGTCTGTAATGAGTAGCACGCATCGAGTACTTGAGCAATATAGGCTACAAACCTTGAGGAAGTACTCCTGCTCTTCACCGTCTTTTTCCAAGCATAGCTTGTATCCCGTTGACCAACTCGAACTTCCATGCTGGTTAACTTCCTCGATAGTCCAGCCTGACGGTAGGGCTATAGATGTATCAGCATTAAGGCAAGCAGGACTTTAGGCTTTGCACACGACCTTTCAGGACTGCTGGATCTAAACTGAAGTCCATGTTCTCGGTGTCTTTTGGATCGCAACTTGGTGAACCTTCGATTACCATGAGACCTTGAGAGGCAGACTATATAAGCAGACTGTCGAGGGGCGCATGTGTCGCATTCATCAAATGCGCGGCTAGCAACGCGTGTGGTGGTTTCGTCTCGCGCTAGGGCCTCTCCCGACCGTTCATTGGCGCACATAGCGCCTTACCCTGCCTGTGATGTTCTCCGCGGGCAGGCTGCATATGGGGGCTATAGCGGCACGGGGCGGACGGCAACCCAAACAAGGCTCCCGGTGCACAGCCCCCGCCCTGTTCTGCATTGACTCGGACTCCTTTGTTGGTACACCCAAGAAGGTCTTTTGGGTGCCGCAGTAGTAGCATGGCCATTATGCAGCGATGGCAGTGAGTTTTTTGATGTCAGTAATGGGACTATCGGCTGATTGATATTCCCTATAGTATGACCTTCCGACCCGTCAGCGCTCTGAGTACGTTGGGGCAGATGTGTTCCCTTCGTCCCTCTCTGAGGCTCCTACACTGTCGCCCACGGAGCAGACGCCAACGTTTGGACACCAAGAATCGTCAGCGGGCGGCGTTCGTAAAGGAGCCTCCTTCTTTAACCGCGGTTTTAGATTTACACGACCACAAGCAAGCGACAAAGATGGAACAACGGGGCCGCTCGGTTTGAGATCTTTGTTCTGTGCACCGGAACCTCTGATAGACCTTGTCTTCGTGCACGGCCTGCGCGGTGGTTCTATCAAGACATGGCGTTTTGGGGAGGATGAGCAGCTCTTCTGGCCTCGATACTGGCTCGCAGAAGAGGCCGAATTCGCCAATACGTCTATACACAGTTTCGGGTACGACAGCGATTGGGGCAGCACGAAACCCAGTATACTCAATGTGAATGATTTTGGGCAGTCCTTATACGAGGAACTTCGCACGTCACCTTTGCTAAGGCGCAATTCAAAGGTTAGGTGGTGCTATGTTCATTCTTGGACTTGCTAACTAGATCAGAACAGCCCAATTATACTGGTTGGACATTCAATGGGTGGTCTCGTTATCAAGAAGGTGAGTCTGAAATGGAGATCTTGATGATCAGTGTTGACCTTGCGTGCTTTTTAGGCGTACATTCTCGCCCAGAATGATCAGAAACATCCTGAATTAGCCCACCGGATCCGGTGCATCTTCTTCCTCGCGACACCGCATCGAGGCTCAGATTACGCAGCGGTACTGAATAACGTCCTGAAGTATTGCGGAGTGACCGGGCTCACCTCATCGAGAGAGTATATTCAGGATATCACTACGGGATCTGCCTCGACGCAGCTCATTAATAGCGATTTTGCAAGGCATGCAAAAGACTTAATGGTATACTCATTCTGTGAGACTTTGCCGACTATTGGTGGATCGTCTGGATTGATCGTTGAGAAAGCTTCGGCGGTCTTAGGTACCGCACATGCCCATTATTGGTAGAAGGGCCATCGAGTGACTAATGTATGCAGGCCTATACCCTGGGAATGAGCATATCCAATACCTACGCGCGAACCATCGAGAAATCTGCAAATTTCGAACTAGACAAGACTCCAACTACATCATTCTGAGGAACGCCCTCGCGACTGCGGTCGAAGATCTTATACGCAACGGTAAGGATGCTAAGAGAATCGGTGTCCTGTACCAAGCTGATATGTATCGATAGTTACTACAACAAACGACCGGTCAACAAGAGACCAAATGCGAGACGTTGAAGATCTTCTTCGTGTTCGGTATGTGCCAGAGGAACATCATGACAAGCTCGAAGGATCCTGTCAGTGGATTGAGGACAGGGAAGACTTTCGAACTTGGATCGGAGTTGAGTATAGAGACGAAACGGCGCGGATGCATCGTCCGTCAATCTTCTGGGTGCAAGCACAGCCCGGAGCTGGGAAGACAGTACTCGCGACGCATGTCATTTCACAACTTACGTATTTCCGCCTTTCACATGCATCGCATTTCTTTCACTTTGGGAAGAAATCGACACAGTCACTAGCAGGCCTACTACAATCGCTCGCGCTCCAAATGGCAAATGCTAATAAAGAGATACGAGGAAAGCTCGCCGAAATCCACGTCAATGCCCCGTCATTCGACCAAGATGGTGCACACGCCATCTGGCACAAGATATTCCTTGGAGGTATCTTTCAAGTATGCTTTCCACCTATCCACGCTTCCTTGAACCGACGTGACTGACGTTGGTGGACTAGGTGTTCATTTCTTCACCCCAGTTTTGGGTGATTGATGCAGTTGACGAATGCGTCAGATATTCCGAGCTCGTCACTCTTCTGAAAAGCGCTCAGTCTCGATTTCCTCTCAGAATACTCCTGACTAGTCGCAGACTACCCGACATGCCTCGACTGCTTCGCACATTGGACAATTGCGAAGTTGCAGTAGTTGAAATTCCTGTCAACGACACAACTAATGACATCAACTTGTATATACGCAGTAGAATCGCTGATCTACCCGTTGACGAGGACAACGAGCGTGAAGATCTCGCTCAGCAGATATTAGCCAAGTCGGGAACCTCCTTTTTGTGGGTTCGATTGGTCATGGACGAGCTCGAGGGTGTCTATGGGTATGACAGCATAAAGCAAGTACTCCAAGGGATACCGGAGGGTATGTTGCAATACTATGCTCGAGCGGTGGCAGAAATGAGCCAGAAAAAGAGGGAGCAGCACGTCGCCAAAGCAATACTTTTATGGGTAATGTTGGCCACGCGACCGCTGTCTGTCTCCGAACTATCCCATGCTTTACAGCTCGACATCGGCGTTCATCTGCCTAGTGCTAAGTCTGCTATCGAGGGTCTCTGTGGGCAGCTCGTGACCGTCGACGTCCACACTAACTTGGTACAACCGGTGCATGCCACAGCCAGAGAGTTTATCCTGTCTCAAGAAGCAGGAGAGTTCCAGGTGTCGAAGACTTGTGGACACGAGAAAATTGCGTTGACTTGTCTTCGCCTTCTTACTGGACCGGACATGCAACCACCTCGACATCGACGCATGCTGCTCCAGAAGCGAATTAAACCATCAACGTCCGTGTTGGCAGACTATGCCATTACGCAATTTTCGGAACATGTAGTCGATGCATCAACTGAAAGTGATCAGCTTCTTCTGGCACTGCACAAGTTCTTGACATTAACTGTTCTAACATGGATCGAAAAGATCATGGTTGAGAAGGAAGCATATCGCTTATTCCGAACGGCCAAGAACCTCAAAGCATATCTAGGTCGAAGGGCAAAATATCACTCACCGCTGAACTGTTACGTCAGTACTATCGCCGCATGGGCTACCGATCTTACTCGGATTGTCTCAAGCTTCAGTCGTGCTCTAGTTAGGAGTCCTAACTCGGTGTACTTCCTTATTCCTCCGCTTTGTCCAACACAGTCCGCGATGTTTCAACAGTTTGGCAAGCCAACTGATGGGTTGACTCTATCAGGATATTGTCGGTCAGACTGGAGCGATTGTGTCGCGAGCATCCGCTTCGAGGAGGAAACGGCGGCTGCGGTGGGATGTGACAACAGTCTTATTGCTGTTGGCATGGAGTCTGGCGCTCTCCACATGTACAACTCCCGAAGCTACCAGAAAGAGATGACTATTGTCACCACCTTCCCAGTAGAAAAAATTCACTTTGATATGTCAGGGTCTTTCGTGGCAGCGTCTGGTCGAAAGTTCCTTGGTCTGTGGGACACCAATGGTACCATGCGATGGAAGGTACGAGTTCGACATCGCTGCATACTTCTGGAATCTTCACAGGACACTTTGATAGGGATCACCCCACAGGGCCGCTCCTATCACTGGGACATCGACACCGGCGCGCTTATACACGAGCAGACCTACACGTATCGCGCCCCTGCATCAGACACTTTCCCTGAGGCTAGCGTCGGAAAAGCGCCCTCTGCTGCATCACTATCGCCAGGATTTGAGTTGCTTGCTCTGGCCTATCGAAACAGTCCCGTTTGTATCTTTGATTGCAACGGCGGCGATCTCATTGGATGGGCGATTGATCAGAACAATCGAGCTGCCGAACAGATTCTCTTCAACCCAAATCCGGACGTAGGTCTTCTACTTGTCGCATATAACGAATCTCACCTTGCTCTGTATGACTCATGGTCTGGACAGTTGATAGAGAGCGCGGAGGCCGAAAGTCATGTCATCCTCAACTCGATCACCTGCTCGCCTGACGGTCGCACATTTGCCTCTGTGGACATCCGGGGTCACTTGCGAATATGGGATTTTGAGTCGCTTACGCTACTCTATCATGTCCTAACTCCGAATAACTCCTTCAGTCTATTGCATTTTACGCCCGACGGTCTTGGCCTTTTCCATGTGGTAGACCATGAGCTCAAGGTGTGGGCGCCTTCCGCACTAGTAAGGCGGACAATAGAGGAAGAGGCTAGCTTCAGTGATCAAAGTCCTGTTCTCCCGGTAACCGAAGGTCAGTTTGAAAAGTTCCAGGCATCAAAGATCAGGACTCTGATCGCGCATCCACTGTGGCCGATCTTCTTTGCTGGCAATCACAATGGAGACGTGATAATATACCAGTCCAGCGGCGGCCACCAGCCTTCGACTCTTTACACGCACAGTGGAAACATCATCCGGTGCCTTGCCTCAAGCAGGCATAACGTTATCGCTTCTGCAGATATACATGCGAACTTACAAGTTCGGTACTTCGATTCCGTAAAGTCCAGATCATTGCAGATAGAGGACTCTTTGATCGACACGAAATTGAGCTCTCCGGTCACACAACTCGTGTTTGATGTTTCTGGGATGTACCTACTAGTGTCAACCATCAGTTCAGACTATGTATACAGTATCGAAGAGAGGGTCTGTATCGGGATACAGAATTCTTTGGTTTACGATCGAACCGCCAGTAAATGGTTTGTTGCTACGGAACAGGACTATCGCGACCATTTTCTCCTCTTAGCTAATGGAACGTTGACGGCTTACCCAATCCGAGACTTCTCTGCGGCTTCAAGAATAATTTGTGGGACGTCAAATGTTTTCGCAGAGGCTAATATCAAGTCGATCACGAGTCTACCAGGAACGTTTTCCGTCGTCGTCGAGATACAGCATGCGCAATCACATATCGTGTCGAGCTCTGTGCTCACGCTTCCACACTGGATTGCCCCGGCATCCGATGCCACAATCACCCCCATACCGACGGATTTATGCACTCAGTTTCTTGGCGCTAGTGGAGCAAGCAAGCGTGTAATGTTCCTGCATCGATCATCGTGGGTATGCTCCGCCGACTTAATGGAGCTTGAGGCGGGACAGTACTTGGAACACTTTTTCGTTCCTGAAGAGTACAACTCCCTAAACAGCGATGTAAATAGTGGTGTACATCCAGTCCAAACTTCCGATGGAGATTTCGCATTCTGTATGTATGACAAAGTCGTGGTGATCAAAGGAGGGTTGAAGTTTCAGGTGCGTAGACTTCATGCATGAGTTAGTCATTTAATATCCTCCAAGAAATCGAAGTACTGCCCTGTCCAGTAGTAGCTGTAACAGGCGCCTTGAACGCATACGTCGCATGTGTAGCCATCGTTTCGATTGAGGTAGCAACAAATGTTTGACCCTGGACAGGGCCGTGAACAGGTGTCTTCGGCTCCATCCCTTATGTAGCAACTATTGTGGGTAGCGAACGCGAGAGCGAACAGGAGCGTGGAAGCGATGGAGGGTAGGAGTGGTGGGGCGTGTTACTGTGCCATGTTGTCAGGACCCAGTACACTGGTGTCTTCAATTCGTACTGCGACTGATAGAGTAGCGGCATATGCCCAGCAGTCGCCTGTACAGAGCTCAAGCAGCTCCGGAAGACGTACAGCACCGTGAGCGCGATGTGCTGCGATAGCATAGCTCGGAGCGGTGTTGCTCTCCTACTACTCTAAGATGCGTCCGGGGAAAGAGTCATGAGGTTGTGGAGCTACAAGTGAGCCTGCACTGCTGTCGCGGAGGTTAGTGGCCTGTTGTCTGTTCCTGTCAGTGGAGTATCCTCGAACTCGCTCGCGGAGGCACAGCCCCTCTGTTCCACGCATCTCGAGAGTGGCAGATGCAAAAATTGCGCTACTGGAGACCTAGAGCCTGATGCAGCAAGCGGAAGAAGCTGTGCGAAGTGTGCTATTGGCACACAGCACCGTACAAACAGTCACTCACGCCCTGCGCTAAGGCGCAATGATGCGTAGCTCCTCACTTAGCGTCACGACCAATCAGCCGTCGCCTCATTCCCGGCACTCATGGGTGGGGCTCGTCTAAAGCTCACCTTAGGCAAAGCCTGCCATAGAACGAACGCGTGCACTAGAGTTCTATGGAACACAGCGCGATTTTTCCTAGAGAACAGAAATTATCGCAGATAGTAGATATGTAGTCTAAGTTGCACAATGATAGCTAATCTTACGACTACAGGATCGCTTTAAGCTCTCGTAGCGAATTGTACATACGGACCATCTCTGAGTGGCACGAATGCATCTCGAGTCTGGTACTGGCCACTGTTCCTCCTTCCCCATTTCATTTCAACGTTGCCCTCACCTGTTTTGTCATTGGGTGCAAGTCTAAATTCGTAACCGTAGAACAAGCGAGCAAGGACAATGCTCATCTCCATGAGCGCAAGACCCTTGCCAGGACAGCCGCGTACACCTAATGAGAACGGAGCAAACGCTCTCTCGGCGACTGCGACATCCTCCTCTGTGATCCCATTTCCGACCGTCCACCTCTCTGGTTGGAACACGAACGGATCTTTGTATATGTTCGCATCATGGAACAGGGCCCAGAAGGCGCAGCCAATGTTGACGCCACGAGGGAGATACTCTGCTTCGACCCGGATGCCTCCATCCAGAACTTCGCGCGGGAACTCGTTGGCACCAGCAGGACTCATGCGCATTGTCTCGTTGATAACTGCGTGCAAATATTTGCAGCTCTTCAGCTGAGGACCAAGCTTGATGTCTTTCATTGACTGGAACGTGCTTCGTATCTCGTCCCTCAGCTTGCTATACGCCAGTGGGTTGCGGACAATATAGAATAAGGCGGCTGCAATCGTTGCTGCGGTGGTGTCGGTTGCTGCGACGGTCAGCATGTCGGCCTCCTCCACAAGATCCGTTTGTGAATATCCTCGATGACCTGTCTCAGGGTCCACAGCATGGAAAAGATAATGGAGCATGTCCTTCCGAGTACTTTCCTCTCCTAAGGTCTCCGTGTTTTCCTCTTGCTCCAAGCGCTCAATTACACCCTTTGCTACGAACTGGACATAATGTTTGATGTTCTTCGGCATCAGTTCGCCAAAAGCCTTGTCTAAACCTCTGGGCTTCAACCAAATCCACACATTTACGAAAGGAGAGTGCATGATCTAGAGCGCGGTTAATCCAGAGTACTCAGACGCAGGAACAATCAACTTGCCCTGAAGTTCAGCCACATGAACTCAGCGATGTCGTGAGGGATGCTCCTGAGAGTGTTCTTGCCAGGCTCTTTCGTGGCGAAAGACTTTCCGTAGCACAGCTCTGCCATGATGTCGAATTGCAAACTATCGCACCACGTCGATATATTCCTTGACTCACTCCACTGAGGCTTGTCATCACTCAACAGCGCCAGCCAGCGATCTACGTGCTCGATGACGTATTTTTGGGCTGACTTGATTGCTCTATCAGATATCGCAGCATTAAGAATTCGCCGACGTCGTGCATGCTTCAATTTATCGACGCAAGAGAATGTGTTCGGAGACGCAGCAATCTTGGGCCAGACGCGATACGAATTGGCCTTTTGAACATTCGCTCGCGAATCGTAGATTGTGCGCAGCGCCTCTGGAGTTGTGATGACTACGCTATCATGGCGATATCGAACGATTGGACCTAGTCTCATGTAAGCCGCCATCGATCCTCTAGGACATGGGTAATTGACCATATGTTTGATGCAGTTGCCATAACCAGATGTGGCGGTCTCCGCTTGCGGTGTGCCAGAATGAAGGCCATCCAGAGAAACGAGCAACAATCGGCCCAGGATACTTCGCCAGAGGATGGAGGAGCATGCAATACAATGCACTCGCGATGTACTGTGCCGTCAGTTAGCGCTTTGAAGAGACATCGCACGTAGTCTACACTCTTACATATGTTGCGTACGCAGTAAGTCCAAAGATCGCGACTTGATAATCGAAGACGCCCATTTCGAGACTCTTGAGCGATACAATGAGCACTTGAGGGTCGGGGTCGATACCTATGGTAATGGCACAACGAGGCGTTCTGGAGGCTCAATCCTTTGTTCGCAAGGGATATACGCATAACTCCAGCATCCACCAATCGTTACAGTTTGCACAGGTCTGGGAATCTTGCTTGCAGTACCTCTACCTGAAGCCACACTCGCATATGGGTTTAATCAATCTTCGGGGCTTATTCGAACGCTGCCTGTATGCAGCATGGATACATGCGTCTTTCTCAGGTGGCTTCGCTAAGACCGGCAAATCTCCCTATGCTCGAAGCTGACGCGATAACGAATCACAGTAGATAATCCACTCAGCTGCCAGTGCTGCGCCGAGATAATCAAGCCCTCTACCAAAACTTCGGAAACGGTTCGAGACCTTCTTCGAGAAGTGTGGGTACACAAAACCCGAGTCCGATGCAGGCATCTTTTGAGGCGTCAGTGCAGCTGTTGCAACAGGACATGGATGCGGAATTTAACCGAAAGTGCCCATGCATTTGAGTGCTCTATGTTGAGGTTTAAACTTCGCTATCTCGAGTGGGCGAGGAACCCTCCATCACCGCCACGATTTGACGCCCTTCCAAAGGATCCATTCATATCTTGGGCGCTGTGCAAGTCTATCACATTACCAATAATGCTTAGGACTGGGAAACGATTTTTCAGAGTATTTGTTTCCTAAACATACGGCACATCCAATCGCTATCCTTCGGTGTTGTCATCGCACTCTGACATCTCTCCCATTCACAATGGCTGCACCTACTCAGGCGGACATCGAGTATATGCTCATGCACCAAGACGACGACCGCAGACCAAACTACATCGCTGCAAATGCTATCATCATCGGTCTGGCAATTCTGGCGGTGGTGCTCCGTTTCGTCTCCCGGACGTTAGCTGGTGTAAGGCTCGGGTTAGACGACTACACTATTTGCGCATCCTTGGTGAGTTCACTTCTAAGGGATTTGGAGTTCCGTGAGCTAATATTCTCATTTAAGCTATTCACCATCATCTACACTGCTTCACTATTTGTATTGGTTCATTATGGCATAGGTCGACACGTTGTACCCTACCTCACAGAGGTGAAGCCCTTTGCGCAGGCAAGTCAACAAACACCGTAGAGGGTCTATATCGTCTTTACAAGGCTAACGAGTGAACAGTGGGCATTGGTCGCTGAAACGTTCTACAACGTCTCCATCATGACGACAAAGATCTCTATCCTTGCGCTGTACAATCGTATTTTCCCGTTCCGCTGGTTCAAACTGTCGATATACGGGCTTGGGGCTTTTATCATCGCTTACTCAGTGCCTCAAATGTTCGGCACGATCTTCCAGTGTGTTCCAATTCACTCCAAATGGACGCCTGGTGTGGTTCCAAAGTGCATCAACTACGTCGCCATGATCGTTGCCTGCGGCGTGATCAACATCGTCACGGATTTCATCATGCTGGGTCTTCCCATATTTCCCCTCTGGTCTCTTCAAGTGTCGTCGCATAGAAAGTGGGCTTTGACATTCATGTTTCTGATTGGAGGACTGTAAGTTTCATCACATCCCTACACTCAAGCAAGAAACCTAAATGTTGTAGTGTTTGCATAATCAGCATTGTCAGACTATTCTACGCGCAGCACGTAGCCACTGTGGACCCGACATGTAAGTTCTTCCATTCTTCGATGCCACAAAGCTAATGAGCGAAAACAGGGGACTTCGTGTGGCCTTCAACCATATCCGGCCTAGAATGTTGCAGCGCGATCATTGCAGCATGTGTCCCCACGTGGCGACCATTGGTGAACAAGATCCGCCATGGAGTAGCCGCAGAGAACACTGTGCCACAACCGACGAAGGCGACGAACGGCGCGTGGAGCAGATCCGGAGGAATCACTGTGCCGCTTCGTCGTCTGCTCAACAGCAAACGGAGTAATATCAGCGTAACATCGGATGACAGCCACGACGCCCGTCTCTACAACGAGCTTAGACGGAATAACGACTTTGAAGCTAGGATCGAAACGGCCCCGGACAATGAATGGCCGCAATCCCATGCTTCCAAGAAAAACATCCTCGTCACTCACTCATTCACTTCTCAGAGTACTTAGGTAGTTGGAGAATGTTCCATGTGAAACAGACAGCGCAAGGCTTGGGGTTCGACGATTGGAAGTAGATACACGATATATATGGTCAACCTGATGTTGAATGTTCTCCACTATGGGATGGCATCCTCTCTACCAACAGTCCTTCTTCCTCGCCATACGTCCTTCTTGGTAATTCCACACCAACCAATAAGGTCATCTGAGGATCTGCAAGTTATTTGGAGGTTTGAACTTCCACGGGAATTTGCTTTGTGTATAACTCCCACGAGCAAGCCCCTCTTGATCATGTCCTCTACTACATCCTGGTGTCTGGCGTGAATACCATCGGTAGTAGGCTCACCGTCGTTCGTTCTACTGTGAGTATACGATTATCCCTCGAGCAACGAGTCGTACTCGCCCGCTCGTATTCTACCGATACCAGTGGTCTGGTAGGAACAGCTGCAGCAGCAATGTAGGAACGGTTGGCGCTTCTTGAGGCGTCCTTGTTTGGGTCAATGCAAAATTGTACAACGCCAATCCTCCATGGCCAATACCTTTGATACGTAAAGCCAGCTCATCAATTGGGGCGGAGCAAAAGATCCAGCTTCCACTTCCTTGAATAGATGCTATTTTGACCGTCACATCATCACACTCTCATATATGAGCTCGTATAATGCACACGGGAGTTAAAGCTATCGTTGACCTCTTTGGAGCCGCGATCTAAGATCCTTACGGGTGGCGCCGCCGGTACGCGTGGAAAGGAATTGCCGCTCCATCCGTGTTGACTTTGCAACATCCTGATTGCAAGCTGCGCGTAATTCTTTCGGAGTCCGAAAACCCAATCGAGTGCGGAAGATGACATCCGCCCTGGAAGGATTGGATATATTACCCCTGTCAATATCACCCAGTACTTCGGTATAAACTGCCTTGCTCTCAAGCTGTTTCATGATCAACGCCGTCTGACTACATCAATACCTCGCAGGCATAATTATTGGCGCTTGCGCTCCGAGCAGCACCCGACAAATTACAGCGCAGCTAAGCCACACCCAATCTCAACCATGTCCGAGCTTACATCATCTCACTGCCTATCCTACAAGCATTTGTATTGATGCCTACGCTCCAAGAATAATCGCCTGATCATAAGGTGGTGAAGTTGTATCCAATAGTAATCTGTTCCAGGCTTACGCCGTTCGAATTTGCCTTGCATTCATCGATTTCGATGCTTGCTAAGAGTTCGGCACAGTTTCGACCACTTTATGAAAGGGAGTTTGTTGCCTTACGTCACATCAACACATGATCGCCTTGCTTGTCGGCTCGAGGTTGTCCGATTTGCATGTGCTACAGCAAATCATCCATCCGAGTCGTAACAGTGGTTCTGAGGCAACCTCCAGCGCTTATCTAATGATGGGCTTGGGAACAGGATGGCCCCCACACAGTCACACTCTTTATTATAGTCCTAAGGTTGTTCCATTGTGACAGTTCTCACACCAAATATTTCAACGCACACCCCATTAGGAAGATTCCAATCCCAAAAGCGATTATGTCGTCGTCTCCGACCTACTACAAGGAACTGAACAGACACAAACTCCCGGGCGGTCTGACATGGTTGCTCTCGTTGGGTTTCGTTGGCACTCTTCTTTATCGACGCGGAAAAAGCCCAAGTATGTTTTCGGAAGCTGTGTTCGCTTTATCTCTACTGGCAATAGAGTTTGTGTTCTATGTACATCTCAATCTGTGACCGGTTAATGAATAATTGCTAACTCACAGCAGACCTTGACCATCGTTGTTTACCGGATCTGGTTCCATCCATTGGCGCAACATCCAGGACCTTTCCTTGCTAAGTTCACGGACTGGTACTCCGTATATCATTGCCTTCTTGAAGACCGACACATTGACTTCTATAAACTGCACTGCAAATACGGTATATACCCTCTTGCTGTTCAGAAGCCCACGAACTTACATATATAGGCCCGATCGTACGATATGGACCACATCGCATAGCGATGAACTCGAACACGGCCTTGCGCGACATCTATCATGTGCGCGCAAACTGTCAGAAAAGCCAATTCTTCACTGTGTTCAGCCATTTCTTCAAAACTCAGATGGTAATGACAACCATCGACCACAAAGAGCATGCGTTCAAACGTCGTATCGCTGCGGAAGCTTTGACTAAGAATGCTCTCAAACAGATGGAGCCGGGCGTTATGAGGAATGTTAGCGTCTTCTGTGACAAGATGCTGGATGATCCAAGTGACAAAACCAAGAAATGGAATTCTGCGCGCAACATGAGCTCGTGGTGCGGCTGGCTGGTCAACGATATAATGGGTGACATAACCTTTCATCGCAACTGGAACATGCTCACTAGCGACGAGAATCGAGACGTACTGCAGATCTTGAACCAAGGCGTTGGTGGTCTGAATATGGTGAGTGGCGGCCCGAAAGCACCTGCAAGCTCATGTACTTAGAGTTTTCGGCTGACACTAAACCAGATGGGACACATGCCAGGAATTTTGAGCCTTAAACTAGACAAGATATTCTTCCGCGGAGCCACTGAGGGCACATACAAGTACCAGAGGCTGACCGCCGACCAAACGAACTTCCGTATAGAACAAGGCGAAAAGATACAGGAGCGCGATATTTTCGGATCACTGCTGGCTGCTCACGACACCGAAACCAACCGAAGCCTGACCAGAGAAGAGCTGATTGCAGAAGCTGGCCTTTTCATCATTGCTGGATCAGATACTACGGGCTCAGCAATCAGCGCAACCATTTTTTACCTTCTTCATAACGAGCATTGCTACGAGCGACTTCAAGCCGAGGTTTTGGCTAGTTTCTCTCAGATCGAGGACATTCATGGCGGCGAGCAGTTAGCGCAATGTCATTACCTCCACGCTTGCATTACCGAAGCAATGCGTCTTTCTCCAGGCGTCGGCGGCATTCTCCTTCGTGAGGTCATGCGACCAGGAATGACAGTCGATGGCACATACTTCCCACCCGGCACTGACATCGGCGTTGGCAACTATGCCATCCACCACAACGAGCTTTACTTTCCTGAACCATTTCAATTCCGTCCTACGCGTTGGCTTCTGGCATCAGACCATGAAGGAGGAGTAACGCCTCAAGATGTTCAACTCGCTCATTCTGCGTATGCGCCTTTTAGTGTGGGACGGGCAAACTGCTTGGGTAAAAACTTGGCCTATCAGGAGATGATGACTATCCTCGCAAAGTTGATCTTCATGTACGAGATGCGCATTGAGCCGGGATCAACAGTTGGTGAAGGATCCAAGGCACTGGGAGAGGATCGGAACAGGAAAGGGGAGTTTCAAACGTGGGACCGATTCGTGTCGCATCATGAAGGTCCGATGGTGCAGTTTCGCCCTCGCTGATTTCTTAGTTGAGATGTTATCACCTCAGGGTCGTTCCAAGTTCAGACAGTTATATAGCTACCATGCTCAGTTCTTTGTGTTTGCGATACTTCTCATTCGAGAGCCTCCGGTGGTACCTTAAAAAGCGTATGTATTACTTCTATTCCCAGTAAGACAACTATAGCAAAGCTGAGGAAGAATGTGACGGTTTTTGTAAGCTGTTGAATGAATGCTGGCGGCGCATTTCTGGGGCTATGATCAAGCGACTCATCTCACGCATGCCGCGATAAATCAGGGCCTGCAGACAAGCAAGCGACTGACAGACAAGGTATTGATATAGAGCTTCAAGAAAATACAAGAACTGTTGTGATAGCTTGTATTGTTATAGAATTACAACCTCGTGTTTGCAAGTTAATGAACGTTGATTTTCTCGCTAGCAATTTTGGCGTCCAGGACTTTTGACGTCCGACTGTATGTACATCAAAGAACCCTATCTAGACAACTATCATGGGAGCAGTCCTGCTGCCTAATCAATGTTGGTGCTGCGGATAACATCTTCCCATTCATTGCAGATCGCAAGATTGCCAACGGCCTTCTTTCTCATCGTAGCCAAGCAGTCCGGACCCAATGGCAAGCGTTCAGGAAGAGGTTTGCCCTCGGCCACACCCTCTTCCCTAACAACATCGAGAATGATCTCTACAGCTTTCTTGGGATCTCCGGGCTGGTTGCCGTTCATGCTCTGAACAAACTGCGCAACTCCATTGCGAATGTCATCGTAGTCTGCAATGGGATTGGAACGGAGTTTGACATTGTCTGGATGCATGATGTTGGTGCGGAAGAAGCCAAGCTCGAAGATGATGTTCTTGATGCCCAAGTGCGCTGTCTCTTGCTTCAGACAGTCGTACCAGCCCTCAAGAGCGAATTTACTCCCGCAATACTGGAGTTAAGATCAGCGATGTTGGTCATGTTAACATATGCTAGGTACTGAACCTACCGGGCCAGCACCTGGCTCTCCGCCGATACCACCGGAAGAGCTAACGAACACGATGGTTCCGGACTTCTTTTCGCGAAAGTGTGGAAGCACTGCCTGGGTGACCTTGAGGACACCGAAGAAGTTCGTCTCGAACTGGGCAACATGGCTGTCGTAGCTGTGGTTCAATGAGCTGGTACACTATTTTAAGATAACGAAAAAACTCATACCTAGCTTCCTCGGCGAGCCCAGCTTCAATGTAGCCAGCGTTATTCACGAGTACATCGATTGGGCCACTTTCCAGAATATCTGCAACGGTGGCCTGGATAGACGCTGGGGTAGCTGTGACATCTAGGCTGACAGTCTCAGCCCCGGCTTCTTTCAAAGAAGACAGTCGCTCTGGATCTCCGCGCGCAGTTGCAACGACTTTGTCACCCCGCGCGAGTATGCTGCGAACAAAGGTCTCGCCGAGTCCGGACGAGCATCCAGTGACGAGCCATCGTAGTTGAGGCATGTTGCTTTGCTTGAATTGCGGTACGTTTTGAGGGATTCACGAGGTCGTTGAAAGAGTAACAAGCAACAGGAAAAACAAACAATGTGATCAATTTTGCTTCGGATGGTTTCAACCTCTAGACTTCTAAAACCTTCTTTCATATCGAGCGAATTCCTACACAGAGTTGGCGACGGTGACTTGCGCAAGGGTACCCCTTTGCGACGCCACGCGGGTGCATGCTGACTGCAGCCGTGGGGGCGGGTGTCAGAGACGCACCCCCTCAGGCTAAATTCTGCATATACGAGTTACGGCGCAACAATGTGCCACAACATTAAAGATATTGAGGTGCGGTAGGAACCATACCAGCGGGTTACTCTGTTCACCGGGAGTGATTCGCGCTTCGACGGAGATGATACCGGTTTCGAAGGACCAGTCAGGCAACATGGGTCATGCTCAAATCTTCAGATGTTCATTCGGAGGGTATAGGGCATCCCCAGCTTCTAGTCTTCTTTGCGATATCGAACGGATTCCTTGCTAGGTGTCAAGATGTTATCTTTTGCTGATGCAGTAAATTTTGCTGCAGCCATCACGCTGGTTTGCGTTGGATACGTTGGTGTCTGGCGTTTGATCTGGAGTCCACTGAGCAAATTTCCTGGACCGAAACTTGCCGCTTTGACGCTTTGGTATGAATTCTATTTCGATGTGGTTCGAGGCGGCATGTACATCTGGGAAATTGAGCGGCTTCATAAAATATATGGTATAAGACGAGTGAGCTGTTATGAGAGCAGTGAAGCTAAATTCAAGGCAGGTCCCATCGTTCGCATCAGTCCACATGAGCTACACGTAAACGATCCCCAATGCTACGACGATATATACGCTTCCAGCCATCGTGCAAGAGACAAGTACACATGGCAAGTCAAGAGTGGAGATTCGGCTCAAGCCATGGGCTTTACGGTATCGCACGGACTACACAGGAAACGGAGACAAGCCGTGGATCATTTCTTCAGCACGCAAAGTGTTGCCAAGTTGGAAGACAGTATTCATCAGAAGATCGAGAAGCTATGCGGTCGGATAGAGCAATACAAAAAGGCACAGAAACCAATCAACCTTACGGACGCATACCTAGCCTTGACAATGGACATCGTCGAATCCTATTCCTTCGGTGTTTCCTCAAATTTACTGGAACATCCAACATTCTCAAGCGAATGGGGCACTACCATTACTGGCATAATGAGCAAGACTGCTTTACTCAATCACTGCGGCTGGATTCCGAAACTTATCAAGCTCATGCCGAGAAGATTGGTCGAAACCATCGAGCCGAGTTTGGCCATGATGAATGACATGAAGGAAGTAAGTTCGCTTGCAACACATCTACTCGGAATCGTATCTTACGTTTTCACAGCATGTTTCGCAACTCATCAACGCGGTCATAGAACGGCGTGCTCGTGGAGACAAGGCTCAATACCGCACGATCTTCGACAACATAATGGAAGACGAAGAGCTTCCTGCCCAGGAAATGACTGTAGCTCGATTAACGGACGAGGCAACTATTCTGATCATTGCAGCCTCTGAGACGCCAGCCAAAGTCCTCGCTCTCATTACATTCCACCTGCTCCGTCGTCCAGATTTGGTGCGCAAGATAAGAGAGGAAGTGAATGGAGTTACCACGACCGTCTCACAAAGACCATCGCTCAGTCAGCTTGAACAGTTGCCGTACTTATCAGCGGTTATAAAAGAGGGTCTTCGCTTACATGGTGGCATTGTCGCCCGTAGCTCTCGCGTTTGCACCAGCGAAACTCTTCGCATCGGTACCTTTGATGTGCCACCCGGAACTCCATTGAGCACTTCTTCATACTTCATTCATCGGAACCCCCACTTGTTTCCTGAGCCCTCACAATTCTTACCCGAGAGATGGCTGGTCAAAGATGAAACACGAGAACTTGACCGTTATTTAGTAGCATTTGGCAAAGGAACTCGAAACTGTGTAGGGAAGAACCTAGGCCGAGCCGAGCTCTACCTCGCTCTAGCGACAGTGCTAAAAACCTTCGACTTTGAGCTGTTTGAGACAGACGAGACAGACGTTGAGTTTGGGAGAGATTGGTATGTCATGCAGCCGAGAAAAAACAGTGTTGGTGTTCGCGTAGTGGTAAAAGAAGGTAAATGAGTAACGTTGTATGGTTTGGCACTGCGGAAGATTTTAACATGTACCTAGAAGAAAGTTCAGCTATCATAACATTGAGCAAATCATCTCCATCGTTCTACGCATCTTATTGTAAAGCGGTGTCATACGAGCGTCTTCCCCTAGAGCTTCAATATGAAATCGTTGAGGTAGGAACCCGAGTGGGAAGCTAGATATCGAGTTGTAAATGATGGCTGACGCGTAGAACCAGTTCATCTCTCCTAAAGCCCTTGCAAGCTTCTGTATCGTCAACAAACACGCTTACAACATTTCTCTCCGGCGGCGTTATCGCAATATTCGGCTTCCGTCGCTTAGAGTTGCGCACGCATTTGCTCACCATCGCTTGCATGCTATATTCCGGAGCCCTTCGTACGTCCGGAACATGTCTATTACTCTGGCATCTGTCTCCAGTTCCGCGGAAGCAGCGAGTCTCAGACTCGCTATCAGTAATCTTCCGATTGACGCGCTGCAGTCGATCAACATTCATGTCGATGAAGATGCGGAGTACATGTCTCACGTCATGTCCGAGCTGCTTGGGTTGGAGACAAGGATTCTCAATCTCTCGATATACTGTCCAGACGCCTCTCTTTTTGCTTTGTTAGAGCGTGCGCACTTTCGACACTTGAAACGCTTGAAACTACGTACAAGCTCAAAAGTCTTCTCAACAAAGCGTTGCGCCGAGCTGCTTAAGACTATATTGCGGCATGCAACACATACCGTCAAGGAGCTCGACTTGAGATGTGCTGAACAAAACCCGCATCCGGGGTTGAGTAATACGACACTGAGCCTGTGGGACAGAGATGCTTCAGCCCCATTCGATGGAATGTCATGCCACCTAGAGGATGTAACTTTCAGAGGCTTGGACTTCCCAAAAGCTCACTCGTTCGATTGGGGAAGGTTCGGAGAGAAGGGACTGGAAAGGCTGAGGATATCAAATTGCTTAGGTTCGGAAGCTGTGCTAAGCAACCTCCCTACTGCAACAACTACCTGGCATTGCCTACACAGTCTGAGCATAGTACTGCCGGATATGCGGATGCAACATAATCCTACCACTCTTCGAGTCGTAGAGGCAGTTCTGAGCAGTCTCCCCGAGCATTCACTGAGACATCTCAGAGTGGAAATCCCAGATGCGAAGCTCCTACCAAACGCGGAGTGCATTGCGCGCCACGAAGAGCTGGAGAGCCTTTTCATTGGCGTGACTGACTCAGACGGACGGTGGCTAGCCTTCCATGCAAGCGATATTGAAGTGATCGGACGCAACTGCCCTGGCTTGCATTGTCTGGGATTGACATTTCCACCAATCGATAGGTGTCAAGATTTTATGGTACGTAGATTTCCCTCATGAAGAGATATGTCACCTGACCTTCGCAAGGAAAACCTGCCCACCTCGACTATTTCTGCCCTCATTGTCATTGGCATAGAAGAGTTGTCTCCACACCCTTCCGCCCCAGCATGGGTACGTTATTGCGTACACAGAGATGCGGAAAAGGAAAGTCAGTCCTCTACTCTTGACGCTGACGACCCGATATCGAGGATCGTAGAGTATGTTTCGGGGTCCGAAAGATCGATGGACACCCTCATTATCGGGTCACATATCGGGCCATACCACTGCAACCAGTGGATACAGGAGATGACGTTTCTCCGGTATGATAGAAGCCGTATAGCTAGGCGCGTAGACGTGAGTAACGCTCGGTTACCACAAGGTGTGGAGGACCTCCTGGAGGAACGCGCAAGAGTATATTGAGAAACAGACCTGCGGGTACGCTAGGCCCATGTCCCACCACCGGTGAATAATTTACGTAGACTAACAAGGAAACATTCTTCCGGGTATCTTTGCGTGTATGCGAGATGTCTTCGCCCCGTTACATCCTATGCCTACATCCCAGTCTTGACGCTGTCATGCACTGATTTCACGGCGCTTACACTTTTCAAGCACACTAGCGATAACGCAGAGTCTCATTAACCGATTGGACACTGATTATAGCCTGCGGAGCGATTTCCGCACTCATCTGATGGGATAATACCACGTGAACACGTCTACATCGGCTGACTGTGCACTAGAGCTGTACTGTAAGTCCGGCGACTCGTGCATATTTTTATCTTTTGAGAGCGCGGCGTTACACAAACGTAACCGTATGCTATTGGTGCCAGAAAATGCCGGGAACAGGATTTATTTCGCGGCTAACCAAGTTGACCTTCCATGCTTACTGCGCCACCTAGAGAGCCTTTTTGGACTAACCACACCTATCACGCCCGTCTCAATGCGTGCTTCAGATTTCATGTTCAGATTCCGAACTTCAGCAAAGAACTCGTCTGGTCAGCCTACGATCAGTTCTCCTTCACTTACAGCGAACATTCGTTACCATCCATTGTACAATGATTCCAAGAGCACCAGAATCACGACGAGAAAGCGAGCGGACTGGGTCGCCACGCTTTGAAGAGGTTAGCCACATGCCAGCGCCACCCGAAACTAGTGTTGAGATATCTGACAACAAGAAAGAACCGATCGCTAATGTTCCACATACATACCATCTGGCTCATCACCTGCAATGACTTGAAATCGATCGTCCTCCCAGAAACAGCCTTCGGTATATTCAGCGCCCTATCTATCTCGCTCACCACGAACGATAAGCCAAAGGTTCTGGAAGTGCTATCACGATTACCGCAAGTCATACTCTGGAACTGGCTCAACGTACTCCTCTTCGACATTGCAAACCAGCGACTACCCAACTCCATCATCGAAGATCAGGTAAACAAAGCATGGCGTCCAATTCCTTCCGGTCGGCTTACCCCCAAAGAAGCACGGCATCTCTTGCTAGTTGTAATCCCCGTGGTCTTCGTGGCGACTTTCTTTCTCGGAGGCTTCTTTGAGACTGTCGGCATGATGGTCTTGACGTGGATGTACAACGACTTAGGAGGTGCTGACGAGTTCTACCTTGTTCGCAACAGTATCAATGCACTGGGATTCATGTGCTATAGCTCGGGGTCCACAGACGTCGCTGCTGGTGCTCATTCTCTTACCCCGAAAGCTTACAGGTGGATAGCTATGGTTGGAGCAATCATCTTGTCCACGCTGTCCATGCAAGACCTCCCAGATGTGGCTGGAGATGCTGTTAGAGGACGTCGGACAAGCCCGTTGGTTATGGGCGATACATGGAGCAGGTGGGAAATCGCGGTTCCAATATTCTTGTGGTCCATCATTTGTCCTGTCTTTTGGAATGTTGCTTGGCTGGGTTTTCTTATCCCCATCTGCGTTGGTGCGTGGCTAGCTTTCAGAATACTGCGGTTCAGGACTGTGGCTGAGGATAAGAGGTCGTGGCAGATCTGGTGTTTTTGGACATGCTTGTTGTATGCGCTACCATTGTTCACAAGACCTTCAGCGCCTTGAGGTGAACAACGACTCGTATCGCACCTTTGCCAGCAGGAATCACCGCGCTATATCTTCATCAGGCTAGTCTCACCTTCTATCGCGCTATTATCACCATGTTCATTGCTAGATATTCTGATCGCTTCGCCTTGCGATGTTTCATACGGCGTAGAACTCGTCGGAGGTTCGTTTTCGCTAGCGACGGGAGTAGAGAGGCCATTAGGCTGGTGAGACGGTGGACTCGACGGATTCGGAGGCTCTCAGGGAGTTGGAACACGCGGACGGCGGCGAGAATGATATCCTCAATATAGAAGGCGGGATAAGCATCATTGATTGCACTCTATTTGATGATGATACGACGTTATTGTGACATTGAAGTATCGCGTTGCAAGTGGGAGTGTAGGAGCTATTAGCCCCACACTGCGGGTACTGCGCGGACGGCTGGGGCGCTAGTCACCACAACTGCGCATGGGCGGCTTGAGACCTATCCCACAACAACAATCGCCACAGAATATTTCTCATGCTCATCTTCCGCACCTACACGCGTAAGGTTGAAGAACAGCCACCCTGCACGCAATGACTATCTACTTTATCGTGTAACGGAGACTGGAATTGACGCAGCGCGTAACTCGCGTACAGACTTGCGTCGCGTATGACTATACAACGCACAGCCAGTGCAACGTGATCTACAATCCATGTTTCACAAATCTGCTTAAGCTCCCGTCGCTCTGGTCGCGCAAATCGGTTCTGGGAGATCAGATTGTACTAGTGAATCATTCTGGTAAGATAGAAAGTTAAATCGAGGTATCAAGTCTCATGAAACCACGGAAATGTAAGCCGGCAGTCGCTGATACTAATGCTCGAATTTGGATAGTGGGTCCCCATAACAAGAGTGCGCATCAAACATTGGGAACAGGCAGTGCCTGCAATATAGTGGCACATGCTTGTACACGAATCCCAAAAGCAAGTATACGAGCGTGTTGGTTTGGGCCAAGTTTACAAGCGTGAGTGGAGGAGTCTTTCACAAGGAAAGGAGCTTGTGATTCTGGAAGAGTCTTTCTGCGGGTGGAATTGATATGTTTTGAAGTATATTGGAAAGAGAGTGGGGAAGAGAGAGGTGGAAGCGCGGATTGCTCAGGACTCGCAACCAACGGACGCTAACGCGCGAGGGCACTACGAGCAAAAGACGCGGCCTTTCCCCCCATCTCGACTTACACCTTTGGATTCAAGATCAGCTCAACTGCCTTATCCCATCAAAGTAACCCCGCCCTCAACAGCTTATTCCCAAACTCTAAAACATAGTAATCTGCATACACTAACCCATGATCCGCATACTTTTTATGCGCATGCTCATTCCAGTTCGTCGTACTATTCCTCAGTATACACTCGAACCGCGTTTCCTTGATCTTCAACCCTGATACTGCCGCACCACTATTAACGCCATTCCCGTTCATGATGGCCTTAGTGGGGTTTTCAAAAGACGCTAGATCGGAGTCATAGGACATGTCTAGTGTCTGGGAGACGATCTGGAGCGCGATGTCGAGGAAATTAGTATCAGCGTTGATGGAGTGCTGAGACGCGGCGGCAGAAGAGAGAGACTGGAGTGCTTGGTGGATGATGAGAAGGCCATTGGCTGTTATAACGCCTGCGGATACGTCGCGCAATGGCTCCTCCGGGTTATCTTGAGGCGCATCAAAATCCCAACATGGGACCATGGGGTGGTGCCACTTTCCCTCGCCCTCTTGCAACCGCCGTAGAAAGTACTCTGCACATTTGATGGCTGTCGATAGGTATTTCACATCCTTCGTCCACGAGTATGTCTGCGCGAAACCCATTATCGCCCAGGCCTGACCGCGGCTCCATGTCGAGTCGTCTTTCCAACCTTGGTTCGTCATCTTGGCTTGTGGTAGACCGGTGCGCGGGTCAAAGTTTACGAGGTGGTAGGAGGAGAAGTCTGGACGTAAGATTTCATGGATGATGGAGTCGGCGTGCTGAGTTGCGATGTCGATTAGGGATTGATCATTCTGAATGTGGCCGACGAAGTACAGGAGGTCGAGATCTGTGATGTGTAGGTCAGCAAGAGAATGGATAAGATGATGTGTGATAGAGTCTTACTGCACATGCTATCTATAATGACGAGGAAGTTTGTCGACATATCCGTGATTGAGTAACGATCATTAATTGCAACATCCCAACTCCTGATTGCTTTCACGCGGTCATCGTACCGTGATGCGAGCGCATGCGCCGCATTGATGACGGACTGTAAGCTCTCTTTGTTGCCAGTCAACTCCCAGTCCTTCTGTAACGCAGGCTGGACGATAAAACCCATATCGTGAGTATCCGTTCGACCTGACATTTGATTGATAGCAACGCCATAGTGTCTTCCTAGCTTCAACAGCTGGTCTTGGATCTGTGGTCGGATATGCTCTGGGACATCAATGGCCTGTGGGTATCGTATCGAACGTTCGAGGAGCGCGTATATACATCCTGGGAAGAATCCACATGTCCAGAAGTCTGCCTCTCGCTCTTCGTATCTTCCTGCGTCTGGGCCTACTTGAGGTACGGTGTGTGGATACGATGGCAAGGGAGCCTGGAGTTGTGAGATAAAGTTTTGGACGAATGGACCATACTCATACCTCTTGCTTTAGGCCCCGTTGTGCAACTTGCACGACCTTCGCTAATGCACTTTCCGAGTAGATTTGGCTCAGGTCTACATCTTTGACGCTAGATAGACTTAGTACAAGACTACTGTATTATGCATGAGCCATTGCTTACGTCGCGGCCTTGGAAGGCATCTTGACGGTCTGTACAGCTCCTCCCATTTTTATGTTTGCAGCTAACACCTTCGGGTGACGTATGTTGGAACCAAGAGTATGCTCGTGTGCGATGACGCGTGGTAATCCGTCAAAAAGCAAGCGATTCTACAGAATGTTCGATTGCGACCGTGTAGAAAGAAGAGCTTGGAGGCAGGGCGAAAAGCAGCCAAGATGGTGCTTCTTGCCAAAAAGCCTACATCGGGTGACGCGTGAACTGTCGCGCGTACTGGTGTGGGGCTGTTATCGATACCGGGTTATCTTGCGACGAAGGTGCAAAGGTCGGGGTGTAGGCTAAACATGGGATCTGCATTGCACCGATGCCCGCTACCCGGCCGTTTGCACAAGCCCAGGGCATTGCCCGCCATCTAAACGTCATTTTTTCTTGCTTCCCGTATCTTCCTTGCGCTCGTGACTACGCTTTCTTGGACTTGTGGACGGCCTTCCGAAAAAGGTATCTGTTCCTTTCGTCGTATGGCCTTGGGAGCGTCGTTACAATTACTAGAGGCTGGGCTTTCCACTATTTTCCCCGCGCCATAGTTTCTGCGAAGTCTGGGGTACTAGTAGCGTTGCTTGGGATAGACACGGAACTACTATGGCCGTCAATATTGGTGCGCCCTGGATTGTAGATGATCATTTAAAGATCAGTCGGCATAGAGACGAGTGTGTTCGTAAACAAGTACCAGTCTCACCGATACCTCCTCGTGTACATGTTCAAGATGCTGTTCACACACGCAACTGCAGGGCTCCTCCTGGTATCCCTTGCTGCTGCTGCACCGCCGTCGGCATTGAAGCGTGCAGCATCAATACTCCCTTTGTCGACGAAGGGACGAGACATAATCGATGCGAACGGCGATGTCTTCCATTTTATGTCGACGAACTGGCCTGGTCACCAAGAGATCATGATTCCTGAAGGTCTCCAGCATTCTTCGGTACAGGACATCGTATCGTGGTTTCCCAAGCTCGGTCTCAACTCAGTCCGCCTGCCGTTCGCGATCGAGATGGTGGATGATTACCTCGAGAACAGCCCAGACCAAACTCTTGAGAAGAGCGTTTTGAACGCAATTCCGGGAACGAACGGAACAAATGTCTTGAACTCGATTCTGGAGAAAAACCCACAGTTTACCAGGAACACAACAAGACTGCAAGTGTGGGATGCCGTTGGCAAGGAGTTGTCGCGCCAAGGCGTCATCATTCACTTGGATAATCACGTATCGAAGGCATTCTGGTGCTGCGGCGATGACGACGGTAATGGCTGGTTCGGCGAGAAGTATTTCGACGTGGAGAAGTGGAAGCGAGGTTTAGCTTTCATGACGAAGCATGTAAGCAACGGAAAACTTCTTCACCAGTAAGCCGATACTGATAAACCTAGGCGAAGGAGAACTGGTCAACGTTCGCTTCGATGGGATTGCGCAACGAGCTGCGAGCTGCCAAGGTATCTGAGCCCGTCGATTGGTATACGTGGTATATCCACATGACTGCCGCTGCCGATGCCGTTCACGAAGCGGATCCCGACGCCTTGATATTCTTCTCTGGACTCTCGTACGACACGTACATTGACCCAATCCCTCTCGGCAAGACACTCAACGGTACCACTGGCACGTCAACCGCCAACAAGACTGCCAAGTTCGTCCCGGATAGCTTTGCTTGGAGGGAAAAGATCGTCCTCGAGATCCACAAGTACGACTTTGAAGCGACCCAAGATGACTGCGCGACCTTCAAGAGGAAGTGGTACCAGAAGGGCTTCCAGGCGGTGAACCCCGATGACCCAGCGACCAAGTATACCTTCCCGATGGTCATCTCCGAATGGGGCTTCATTCATAACGGAACTTACTGGAACCAAACTACTTACGCTAAATGCTTGGCAGAGATGGTGAAGGAGTATCAGGTTAGCTGGCAGCATTGGGAGCTGTCTGGTAGCTTCTATCTCCAGACGCGTCCGAACAGAACGCCCAACACAATCATTGGGGCAGACGAGGCTTGGGGACTGTTGAACTATGATTGGACTGCCATTCGATCGCCCATCACCTTAGAGAACAGCTTGTACAAGATGATTGAGGCGCTGAAATGACGGAGAGGCGTACTCTGCTAGCATACGGCGAACAACTGGTAGATAATAGTACAAAGTGTTCATGACTACAAATTGTTGTGCATACACTGTTTTAATCGATGTTTGGTGGCGTAAAGATGGATGAAGTCAGACGTTTACGCATTCACTACGCGCAGTTTTCTTGCAATACCAGGGGTATGGCATAGGCATGGCGGTTTCTCTCGCACGGCCACCTGCGTCGATATGGAATTACAAGGCAGAGGTGCCTACAAGGGAAGAGGATTTAGCATCGCCATAAGACGACGCGTATAGTTGTGTGTAGGCGTGCTCGTGTGCATGTCGCATGAAGACAGGCCATGAATTTCCCGTGAAATTGGCTAGCTCGACTATGACGTCATACTTTGTTCTTACAGCACCCATGCATTTGCACGACATCGCCCGGGCGAACATGGAGATACGAAATGTGAAGAAACCACATGTATCGGGATTTATTCCGAAAATTGGTATGTAATTCTTTAGGCGAACAATGGGCCGACACTGCCTGTCTGTGGCTTCAAAACATGCGCGTCGGCACGACTCACGGGCCGCCACGCATCCTCGCAGAACCAAGATGTGAGCTTCACTCCATCACCCCACAGTCTCCCCATGTTCTTGGCCATCTCGTAGCAGCCAGACACATCTCGGCCAGCGGGATAATTCCCCCTTCAGTACCTGTTCGTGGAGTTTGCCCTACGATATGCCCGCCCCCGCACTCGACTATCCGTATACAGGAATAACCCGACGCCCGCAAAGGATCCGTCCAGTCGCTTACTGGCCTTAATGTTGAGCCATACGGAAGCTACATATTGACCTGTCCTTCGGGTTTCAACGAAAGTTAGGGTCTTAAGCACGAGGGTCCCAACTTTGCTATACGCATCCGAGGTCGTGCCGTCAACACTTCGATCTGACAAGAAGCAAGTCAACATGGCCAGCACGCAGCCCAATGATGAGACCGCTGGCATTGCCAACAGGACTGGTGAATTCGATACCAACGTTATCGCGCCCGCTGAAGCTCCCAAGAGGTCGCCATGGAAGGCGTGGATGTACCTCTGGGAATGGTATCCCAAACATTATCCTGAGGAGGAGAGAAAGCTATTGAGGAAGATGGACGCTTGTCTCCTAACCTTCTGCTCCTTCATGTGTAAGTATTATGATTGTACCTCCAGCACTGTGGCACTAACAAAACTAGTTTTTCTCAAATGGCTCGATTCCTCGAACATCAAGAACGCATACGTATCAGGCATGAAGGAAGAGCTCAGCCTCTACGGTAACGAGTACTCGCTTTTCGACACCTTCTACAACGTCGGATATCTTGTGTTCCAGGTCCCATCTTTACTTTTGCTATCCCGACCGAAGATTGCCAAGTACTATCTGCCGACCATGGAAGTGCTATGGTCCATCGTGACATTCTGTCAGAGTCAGATGCGCAACCGAAACGACATCTACGGTACTCGATTCTTACTCGGTCTGCTCGAGACACCTGTAGCATCCGGTACCACATATGTGCTTGGCTCCTGGTACAGACCCGAAGAAGTCTTCAAGCGAACTGGAGTCTGGTATGTATCCAACAACATCGCCGTAATGTTCGGTGGCTACCTTCAAGCTGCGGCGTACAACAATCTCAACGGGTAAGCAATCTGTTCATTAGGCATCACAAACCTACTAACAAACTTCAGCGTCGGTGGTATGGCGGGTTGGAGGTGGCTCTTCATTATAGACGGAGTAATCTCTCTCCCTATTGCCTTTGCAGGCTTCCTGATCTTCCCCGGCCTACCAAGTAGCGCAAAGCCTTGGTGGCTTACACCTAAAGAGCATGCACTAGCTCGATCACGCATGACCAATGCCGGTGTTGCGCCCAGCAAAGAGCTTAGCTGGACAGTCGCAAAGCGCACATTCACGCGCTGGGAGTTCTACATGGGTGTACTGTGCTATACTTTGTAAGCCTTAACACATCTTATTGACTACTACACACTAATCTGCATATAGCTTCCTTTCGTCTTCCTACCCTCACGGCCAAATGGCCATCTGGCTCAAAGACCTTGCTGCCAAAAACCCCGGTGCCTACACCATTCCCCAGATCAACACTATCCCCACCGGCGCCCAAGGTGTTTCCGTCTTCGCCGCGCTCCTCGCTACCTCTCTCTGCATGGTTTATCCACTCTGGTCTATCTTCTCAATCGTCCAAACAATCTACATCATCGCAAACATTTCTCTCCTGATCTGGAACATACCTAAAGGTTACCACTTTGCCTGCTACTACCTACTCGGCGTCTCCGCGGCAGTGACGCCCATTCTCATGCCCTTCGTTAATATGGCGCTGCGAGATGATGCTGAAGCGCGCGCTGTCACTGTCGGTGCTATGCTGACAGCTGGCTGGGCCGTGTTCTCTTTCTACCCTATCACAGTATTCCCGATCGTCGAGGGCCCGAAGTGGACCAAGGGTTACGCGGTGAACATTTGCTTCATCGTCGGGTGTTGGGTTACGTTCCTGGTCATGCAGTACCTTTACAAGAAGAGCGAGAGCAAGAAACAAAGTATGCTGGTTCGGGAGGTAGCGAAGGATCAGGAAGACTTGGCGGGGTTGGACATCAAAGAGACGACTGAAGTCGAGCATGCAGAGGTCAGGAAATGATGTGCAGGAGCCAATGTGCCGTGTAGGTGAACTTGGTGAAGTTCTGAAAACGGAATGTAACACGCCTGATTCAATGAATTGTTCTGTTGTCATTGGTTGTTCTCGTACCTAGGTATGACATGCTCGCTCACCTTTAACCCTCAGCAAACACCATGGTATACAAACTCCCCGACCATCGAACTGGCCCATCTAGTGCACGGGCACTGTAACTACCTGATAGGACGCGGGGTTCATTCAGACTTTGCATGAACTTGCATCCCATAAGTGCCGAAACCACCCGCGCGATTCGGCACTAAGCTGTAGCGCGTAGAAGCCCCGCACTCGGTACCTTCCCCTCCATGTCGCATTCAAGAATGGCTGCAAATGCACAATGAGCGCCATCACGTTTAAGCAGTATCCATCCACAACCCTACAATGTCGACATGGAAATCGCAAAGAAGTCCTGCGTCTGCGTTTTTTGCTCCCGTAGATTCGCTAGGAGGTACGATACTCACTCGTCCGGAACGACCGATTCCTAACTTATAAATCCAGCGACGCATTAAAACGCCATTGGAACTCGTGCAGTGTTCGAAGGGCCCGCAATCTTTCCATTCCGACGATCAAGCTGAAAGCAAGAGGACCTAAAGCTCGTGCCTGCGACCAATGCTGTCAGTTGAAGAGAGCCTGTACTTCTTCACAACCATGCACGCCGTGTGCTTCGCGAAACAAAGTCTGCAGATATAGTCGAACGCAAGAGAGCAGCCTTGGTCAGGCAGGTGAGACTAATTCCTTCAACGATGAGATTGATGACTTCAACACGGAGACCAACGGCACAATGGAACGCCGTGTCGGGGGAGATATGGTAACATCTCGCGACGAAATTGACACTGAATTCGACATGCATGTATACGAATCAGTATTCCGGACTTTGGATGACACCAACGATCGCCCGGAAACCCCTATGGCCGACCTCGATTATGGATCAGGATCAAAGCTACGATCTTCCCAGCGCAATTCATGTGTCCATCTTAGCTCCTGGACTAGCCCCCATCCACTGCTAATCGAACACAGAATCATGGCATCACTTTGCCAACGACCAACACAACTCAAGATCGATGTATTGATCCAGTTTCCCTTCCTTGACAACTTCACTAAAGCGACTGGATTTGCCAGATCATTTGGGTGCGGCACTAAGCAGCAGCGACGGTCCATCATATCAGACCCACTTAAGGCGAACCCGGGTAACAATTCCTCAGCTCTAAAAGAAGGGGTATCGGATGTGACGATGCACTGGGTTGACATAACCCGAAATGCATTGATGCAAAACAATGAAAAAACAGCTGATCCAGTTACACTACTGCCCGTAACACACAAGATCGTCCATCAGATCCGAGAGACGGCAGTAAAACGCTGTCACCGCGGTCCCGCTGATATCGTCTGGCCATCTTCCGTGGAAGCTCTATGTTACAGATTCTTCGATCCAACAAATCTACGCAAATTCCTGGCACTCTTTTGGTCTTGCTGGTATCCTAATTGGCCCACAATACATGCGCCGACTTTTAAAATGATGGAAAAGTCACCGGAGCTCATTGCTGTGATGGCTCTTGTTGGTGCCTGCCTGTCGCCAGAAGACCGTGATCATGCCTCAGCCCAGGTCTGGTTTGACATAGTTGAAGAACTCGTTTTCAATCATGACAATTGCAACGATCACGATATCGCGAACGCATGGAGGGACTCAAGAACCATCTATTGCCGGAGCACACACTTGCAGACCCTCCAGGCTGCTTACTGTGTTTGTCTGTATCAAACGTGGGAGGGCAGTAAGCGGAGTAAGAGACGCGTTCTGCGGCAACGCTTCAATGATCTCGTTTATGTCAGTGTTCTCGATGACCGATTAATGACTTACTGATGATGACCAAGCTAGCACGAGACATAGGGCTAAATCAAGCATCACTAAGACGAATCGACACATCTCATCCAGCTGGTTTCGACTGGGAAGAGTACATTCTTCGGGAGTCACTCATTCGGTATATTTTGACCTGGCATATCACATTCTAATGCTAATTTGGCTTAATAGAATCTGTTCATATATTTGCAATATCGACGCGAGTTACGCCCTCTTCTTCCGCCATGTACCCCGCATGGCTTTATCCGAACTGGCTATCGAGATGTCGTCCCCAGAATCTTGTTTTCAAGCTTCTTCAAAAGAAGAGTGCTTCATCCAACTCCAGGCCTGGCGTGAAAGGTTGGGTGTTGATGCGAAAAACTTCACCCTCTTGAGCGCCGTCAATGCGCTATGTGATAACACGATCATGGCAACGCCAAGTATCCGTTGCAGGTTTGCTCACCTTAGCGTTCTCAACATGTTCACCATCATTCACGTACTGTATCTGCAGGTATACAGCCTTGAGATCTCTGCCATTACTGCGCTGGAAATTTCAAGAGTTACTCCAATCAGAAACGCATTGCGAAATTGGCAGCAGTCATGGCCATCGCAAACGAGAGATGCGGAGTTGGTGGATCTCTTGGGGAAAGAAAGTGATTTGTCAACGATGTGGCAGCGCGTTGGGTTCATGAGGTACGCGCCTGAATATTGGCTTATAGCATATTCGACATTGAAGAAAATATGTACAAAGAACCATGTGGGATCTACTCGGGACTCGGAAACCGGTGTCAGTGTTGGGTATGGCGATATGATCGAGGCACGAAGGCTTATCAAAGAGTTGAGGAGTGGAACCGTTGTCTCGATCATGGGGAGCGACCCAATATAAGGTTTCTTCCCTACCAGATTAACTCATGTATTATGAGGCATTCACTTAAAATGACATGCTCTACTTAGAGTTTATCCACTAGTCATAACACCACTTACTCCAAAACAGAATGCTCGTTTCCGAGGGCCAGTGGAACTCAGGCGACCCTTTTCTCCGAATGAAAATTTACTTTCAGTCACGTACTTCCACTTTCGTATTCACACTACTTGCTTTGTGAAACCAGTAGTTATGTGTTGTCCAATCGTGCGCGTCATCGACAAGTAAGATATGGTAAATATGGAGAATTTGTGGTACGAGTTTGTACATTTCGCAAAGGGAGATCTTGTGCCAAAGTGTCAATGGTGGCGGTTGCGGGTGGGGCCAGGGGCTCCTATGAAGAACAAAAGGAAAGTTACGTACGTTTTTTCCCACACAATTCCGGGAACCTCCACCAAATTGGAACATGTGCCTATCCATGATCGTGGTGTCCGCACGAAGCCATGGCTCAGGAACGAAGTCATCTGCATCCTGCCCAAAGATGTCTCGATTGCGGTGCACAACTGCAGCGTTGAAGCCTACCCTCCTTCCCGCAGGGAAGTATTCCCCGGCGATTTCGCAGCCGCCAGCCGGTACATTGCGTGGTAGTGTCAGGGCAACGCTTGGATGAAGACGCATCGCTTCTTTGCAGCAAGCGTCTAGATAGGGAAGTTTGATGGCTTCATTGTATGTCATGAGCGGACAAGTGAGCTGCCCTGATGCTGTGGCTGCATCAATCCCTAGTGTAAGTTTTTCGTACGCGATAGGCGTGCGCATAAGATGGTATAAGATTGAAGAAATTCCTGCCGCGGTGGTGTCTGAGCCTGCGAAACTAATGAGAAGACAAGTCAGTACAAAGGCCTTGATCTCGACAGGGTACTCAAGCTCTCGGAGACCTACAGTGCAATGTAAATCCCTACTGTGATTTCTGTAAGGCCAAAATCAACCTTTTCGCCTTTAGTCAAGATAATTTCAAACAGATTGTTCAAGATATCCTCCTTTCCGCCAGACTCTCCTTTCTTCATTAGCGCCAAGCGCTCAGCGACAGCGTCCTTCGCAGCCGTTTCGATATTCTTAACGCTCACGAGGGCTTTGAGAACGCGTGGGAAGATCGACCCGCCTACCGGGAAGAACGGTCGGATGTAGGAGGGCATGACGCATGCTGCTGTCAATATAGAGAGAAGACAGTCGAGGGCTGTAATGTAGCCGCGGTAGTCGGCAGCTTGCGCCATGAAACCGAACATACGGCTAAAGAAAAGTTCGCCTGTAACGTCGAACGCGTACCTGGGATACGTAACGTGATAAATACGTGCATTAGAAGCTGAATCTATGCGAACAATATAGTGCCGGGACCAAACATACCACTGTGCCCACTTAGATACATCGATGGGAGTCCGTTTCTCCGCGGCCTCATGGAACTACTCCATCAAGGTCCTGGTACAATTGGTAATGTTCTCTTCCGAGCGGACAACATTGAACATGGAACATAGATTGTTGACAATCTTACGCCGACTAGTGTGAGACTTTTCATCTAGGTTGGTAAAGAGATCGGGTATCTGGCAAAGGAAGGACGCCATATCGGATAGAAATCGGTCTAGAAAGTTGTTTTAGTTGCCGAGACTTTTAACCCTCGTTGTTCCTGACCCAGGGAGTAAATACCACATACCTTTGTAAAGGCGGAAGAAATAGAGTAGATTGTCTTGATAGCAGTGGGGTCAGCAATAGCGACCTCGTTCGGTGCAATGCGGACGATAGAACCTTGGCCTATTAGCAAAAGAATCCTAGACTGCATCGTGCAGTCTTCGTTACCATACTTGGCGTGCAACTCTCTCTGTGTTTCCTCTGCCCGAGCTCCAGCGCCTTGGGATACAAGCCATGCCCGCGATATGGAGGCGAGGAATGGGCCAGGGTACCTGGACAACGGATGGAAGAAGCGCGAGTACACACTCCAGATGAACCAATACGCTATAGTGGCTACTGGAAGAACGACATAGAGAGATGCGACAGCCAGAGGAACGAACATTGCTTGGATTGGTCAGTTTTCGTTGTATTAGTGATTTTTGATTGCGTTTTGTATGTGGATACAACGGACATGCTCACATCCAACATCATCTGGGTTTTAGAAGGCGAGAGTCGACAAAAGTGGTCACTACCCCACGAATTCTCTCTTTTCCCCTCCCCCACGGTGAACCATGTCGTCGTAAAATAGTCGACCGGTCACCAGAAAGCCCTAGTACAGATCTCAGCCAATATAAGATAGGGAGAAATGCGGCAAAAAGGTGCCAAGCCTAGTCTGTTTTTGATCGACAAACCCACAAGTACAGATTGCAGCCAACCAGGAGGCTGTTTTTTAGGTGCATTATCCCCCTATCAGAAGGATATCCTTACGAGTACTGACATGGCGTATCGAAGTGTTCGCGGGGTTGACTGAGCGGTGGCTCTGGGTACGATCGAGGCTGCTGTGGGTTCTCCCCGTCCTCTCGGGTATCGCACTCCCGGCAATGGCCACTGTTGCGAACTTCCCACACCGGACTTGCCTCCGTTCTGAACGAAGGGGTAGCAACTTTGGGGCCGCAAATCGTATGTCATGCTGTTTTGAAGAGGGAACCAACCTTTGATAGGGTGCAGTTGCGCCAACCCGGTTGCCGCGCGCACGGACACTGCGGTAGCGTCGGGAAATTTCCACAGCTAAGGGCAACGACGGGATTATCCCACTCAATGCGGGGTTTCGTCACAACTACCGTTCGCCATCCTCAAAAACACTAGGATGGTATCCAGAGGGGCTGACTAGCTACTACTTGGCTGACACCATAGTGTCTTTAGTTCTTCTTAGGCGACCGAGACATTGGCCGCCCTCATGTTGGATCTGCCACTGGTCAGATTTGATAGATGGGAGATTATAAGAGGTTTCAACGGTCCTTCTCGTGAACGTATTTTTCATAAACGTACCGCTTCGTGTCCGCATCATTCAGAGTACTACGATAAATTCCATTCACCACATCATTATGATCGCAATCGTAGAACCACTTGTGCTGCCACCCAACACCAGTAGCGATGTTTTCAACAAGTTTTTGACAACTTGTGAAGATATCGGTCGCGATAATATCGAGGTCATATCCTCCGCAACCCAGATCGATGACGGCGACTATATGAAGCCGAACTACACACACGACCCTCATCACATCCTAAAGCAGGATTTCTTCCTTGCTTCAGCTGTTATCGCCCCTCGCAACGTCGCTGATGTTCAGACTATCGTCAAAGCTGCAAATGAGTACCATGTACCACTATGGCCCATCAGCATTGGGAGAAACTCAGGGTATGGAGGCGCCGCTCCACGTGTATCTGGTAGCGTAGTCGTTAATATGGGTAAACACATGAACAAGATCCTCGAAGTCAATGTGGAGGGTGCGTATGCTCTGGTCGAGCCAGGTAAGTTGTCAAGTTGGGCCACAAACCCGTTTCTCATGTTGACCCATATCTAGGAGTCACTTTTCACGACCTACATACCTATCTCGTCGAGAACAACCTTCGCGACAAGCTTTGGCTCGACGTACCAGACCTTGGTGGTGGTTCAGTCCTAGGTAATACTATGGAAAGAGGTGTTGGCTACACACCTTATGGCGGTGGGTTCTAACCTTGGAAACTTGTCGCTACTGGTCTGACACCTCCATAAGATCACTTCATGATGCATTGCGGCATAGAACTCGTCTTGCCGAGTGGCGAGCTCATTCGTACTGGTATGGGTGCATTGCCTCATCCCCATCAGAAAGACGGTGTTCCCCCTCAAGACCAACCTTGGAACGATACGGCGCAACTGTTCAACTACGGCTTCGGTCCCTATGTTGACGGAATCTTCACACAATCCAATCTGGGCATCGCTACAAAGATGGGCATGTGGCTCATGCCGAATCCGGGTGGTTATCAGTCATATCTTGTCACAATCCCTCGCGAGGAAGACTTGAAGCAGGCTGTTGACATCATCCGGCCGCTGAGGTTGAACATGGTCCTCCAGAATGTACCTACAATTCGACACATCCTCCTCGACGCCGCTGTGTTAGGATACAAATCCGACTACACCTCCGATATCAACAAGCCCCTGACAGACGCTGAGCTAGACGCTATAGCTGAGAAGCTTAACCTTGGTCGGTGGAACTTCTACGGTGCACTCTACGGGCCCCAGCCGATCCGTGATGCGATGTGGACTGTCGTCAAGGAGGCCTTCTCAGCCATCCCAGGGGCAAGATTCTACTTCCCAGAAGACCGACAGGAGGAAAACTCGATCTTGCATACTCGGCACAAGACAATGCAGGGAATTCCCACCTACGACGAGCTCAAATGGCTGGACTGGTTACCGAATGGCTCGCATCTCTTCTTCTCACCAATTTCTAGAGTGAATGGCGAAGATGCAACCAAGCAGTTCGCTCTCACCAAAGCACGGTGTCACGAAGCTGGCCTTGACTTCATCGGTACATTCACGATTGGCATGCGGGAAATGCACCACATCGTATGCATTGTCTTTAATTGCAAAGACGAGGAACAAAAGAAGAAAGTTGTATGGCTAATCAAAACGTTGATTGATGATTGTGCTAAGCAAGGATGGGGAGAGTACCGGACACATCTTGCAGCTATGGACCAAATCATGGACACATACTCGTTCAACAATAACGTCTTTAGGCGATTCAACGAGACGATAAAGAATGCGGTTGATCCCAATGGGATCTTGGCGCCAGGCAAATCGGGGATCTGGCCTAAGCAGTATGACCGCTTGAAGTGGAAGCTTTAGGGCTTAGCTTGCATGATATAGGTGATGTGTCTTATTTAGTTGTCCATCATCGAGGCTTCTCTGCTACTCATTCACGGTTGCAGCCGTGGGCTTGCAGTGAAGGAAGCGGCAATGTCATCTCCAACACAACGCTCAGGAGACAGTACCCTTCTCCAGCTATCCCACCATTCAGTCACTCTTACCGAAACCTTCACCTCTACGATCGCATCTTAAAATATACTAACCCACCTGCGCATATCGCTTTCGCATTAGAAGAACACTCTCCCATTGAGAAGCTGACTCTCGTCTTCGACGCGTTGGTAGTGACGTCATGGCACCCTGCAAACTTCACCGACGCGTACTTTTTTCATCTCCAATCACCGCAACAACACATCCTCGCGAATGCTTGTCTATCGTCACTGTACGCAAATACGAGCTCTCTCGCAGCTTACTCAATACGGTGTGAGTATACTCTCAAATGGCGGATATCGCGAGTCAGGAGAGCTGGAGAACGATTGTAGTGAGTACAAACGAGAACGTCGAGACGTGTTTTGATTGCTTCATTGATATGCTTCAGGGCTATAACTACTGAAAAGAATGACTAGGTCATCGCTGATATTCGCCAATCGCCCGCGCATGTCGCTTACGCCTGCCTGAAGCTGCAACCGGATACTTCCGATCTACGTCCAACATTAGCTGGAAAGCGAAACCGTTGGCATGATGACAGCACATTTGACAAGATTCCCTTCGGTATCTCCCAAGGCCCTGCATCTCTTCCCCATCCATGTCTTACTGCTCCTTCTTCCCGGGCTCTATGTCTGCCACCTTGAACAGGTCCTTTGCCGGCTTTAGCTCCGTCTCCTCGATCTCCTCGTCGTCTTTGATCCGCGACATGAGCGATTTGGCCTTGGCTCGCCAATGTATAACGACAGGCTTTTTAGTTACTTGAGACCGGACTGCATCGACCTTTCGAGGTTCACGACCACCATACGTGTTTGGGTATTGAGACCTATGCTCGTTCACTTGGTTGCAGGCCTCGCAAAGGATGCCAGTAAAGTTCTTCTCCCAGTACGCCAGTCCATGCTGCCATATCCACTTGTTCCACACCCGAACAATTATCGCACGCTCTTCATAATCCCACGGGTCGTTGCCGGCACGTGTTGCAGAACGAGCCTTAGGGGGTTTCAACTTCGAGGCTGACTTAATGTGTTTCCTAGGTGGTCCTCCGTCGTCGTCATCGTCGTCTTCTCCTTCTTCGATCAACTTTGCAGCCTGGCTGGTATGCTTCTCACTTGCCTTGGACTTGCTCTTGTCTTCCTGGCTCGGTATCACCTTCTTTCTCTTCTTCTTGTCCTGACCAGTAGTCTCTACTGTTTTCGAATGAAGATGGCAAGTCCATGTCGAACGCTCCTCTTCAAGTACTTCTCTCCTCGCCCTGCGCTCACACTGGTTGCCGCTACTGCTGACAAAGGCTGTACATTGGATACTTCCCGTCTCCTTCGCGAAATCGACTGGGCCCAAACGCTTCTCCAGTCCGCCTACGGCGTGGTTTGTTCGGTCGCGCTTGCGGACCTGCGATGATGCGATGTCGAGATCTGGGACTTGGGTTAGCTCTACGATTGTCTCCGTTGTCGGCCGCGTAGTTCCTACGACAAGTGGATCGTTGCTCGCCGGTGCAGCACCATTGGCAGTGTGAGCGTCGGCTCCGCTAGCATCGTCCCGCACAAGGCTCTCAGACGCAATGCCGTCGGTGGCTACTTCGGAAGCAATGCCACTCCCGTCAGCGCTGCCACTTTTGGTTTCCGAGGCACACGAATCGGGGAACTTTTCGCGGACGACACGATCTAAGAACCTCCACATCTCCGGGAAATCTCTCGGGTCTTGAACTTTTTTATCATATTCAACCATCTCACGGATCTTTCGGTACTCGTCAAAGACTTTGGGGGCAACTTTCCACCTTTTTACTAGCTTGAACCCGCCGGCCCTGAGCGCAGCTATCATCAGAACCTGCGTCTTCCATAAAACAGGCAAAACTAGCTCATTCCGTTTCAGGAGGTATTCATCCTGGCCTTTTGCAGTGATACTAGTGGTACGTTTGGAGGCCGCTTTGGGGAAACTTTTCTCTTTGTCTTCGAAGAACTGACAAAAGTTCAGGTAGTAGGTTGCGTCATCTGCTGGAAGTGCTGCCGCGACGGGTAGACTGGCGACGGCGAGTGCTAGCTCGGCTTGTAAGTGGATGAATAGGCACTCGTCCTTGCTCCAGAGGGTACTTGCTGCTTGTGCGAGATCATCTTGGGTGGTGAAGGAGAGGAGTTCATCATCTTCGGGAGTGGCTGTGTCTAACATGATTATGTCTTGCATAGTGCGACTACCTGTAACTGGTGGCTCGAGTGTTATCAGTGGGCTCCGAGTATGAGAATGGGTTGTGGGAGTTGTTCTTAAACCGATTTGAGGTGGGCGCTGACTTATAGTAGGTCAGGAGCGAGTGCTCACCACGCTGGTCAAAGCACAGCGCAGCGCAACGCTAACTTAGGAGTTTCACGCGAGGAACCTCCAATACACAATGAATGTAGAACCAACAAAGATATTCCTCGATTTTTATGCGCCATTCTACACACAATGCTATTCAACATCGGCTTCTTACAGTCCAGTATCTCGTCAAGCAAAGGCACTGGAAGACACGATGAATTCACCAATTATACGTACGATCTACCCTGGACCTAGCCGCTTTTCATCAATACCGCTTCTAATATATAGTTCTCCGTAATCTGTTCATCTGAAAGATTCTCAAATTCATCGTCGTCATTCTGCAGGCGCATGATCTCTTCGACAGTCCAACCAGGAACCTCATCGTATTTGGCATGGAGAGATTCCAACAACAAACGCGCGCGCTCCCTCTTGGGACACTTTGAGCATTCTCTATACGAAATAAGGAACAAATCGCCGTCGTCGTAGCTCTCATCGTCACCGCTATCGCCAGGATGATCAGCGCCTTCTTCATCGCCGTTTTCGTCACTCGAAGCCCACGGGTCACCTAGTTGCTCAGGGTTCATATTCCCAGACCAAGGGAAATTTTCGTTGGCGTCGACGCAGCCGTTGACTTCGTTGTCAGAGAGTTGGTTCGTTATCCTTAGATTATTATGTCTCTCAGGTCGCGTATCTCTTATGTTGGACCTCTTCGCGATGAGGGTGGCGAACTTGTTCTGCAGCACGTACTGAGGTGGCAAAGGTATGCGATTACCGTCATCGTCAAGTTCCCAACGTTCTTTGGAGATATTGCCTTGGATGTAGCTCCCTATCCATCTATCATTCCGATCTCGGCCAGCTACCCCAGTTCCAAGCATACCATGCTCAAACTCGATTCCCTGCTGCGTGTATCTTTCTCTTTTGTGGCGTGGTCTATCTTCGAACTTCCTAATGTATTCTCCATCTTCGTCGACTTTGTAACCTCGGCTCTTTCCCCTCTTCTTCTTTGACCTGCTAGGATCATCTTCAGGATCACTGATTTCCTCATATGCGTAACCCCTCCCAACAGCTGTCACAGCAACATCACCTCCCCATTCTGGGGAATCGAAAGACGTTGGCCAGTAAAAAGTAGTTTCCCGGCTTCCATGATGAGTCTTATGGTCTTTCGGCAATAGTCTCAAGGTGCGCGGGTTCGTGCTAAACCCGCTCTTTGCTTCTGTGTCGACTCTCAAATCCTCATAAGCTTCTTCGTTAATCTTCCAACAGATTGGCTTCATTCCACCAGCCCCGTCAAGCTCGATGTCACGCGCACGCTCAGTGTTTCCTCGATACTGCTCTTCGACTTCGTTAACATCGATCTGTACTCGTCTTTTCCGCGGAAACCTCTCCTCGAGATGAAGACCACGATTCACGTAACTTCTCAGTGCTTGCGGCGTAGTACCCCTCGACGGCTGCGTATACCGATGCGCATCCTCCGGCGCAACAACACCAGGAACGCGCTTGCGATACCCAAGCTTAGCAGCAGTGTACAAGCCAATTATATGATCCAGCCACCTGCAATAAATTCCGAAGAACGGTTCATTGGACCAATCATCATGCGTTCTGTCCATCCTGTCTTGATCAGGGGTACCAAGTATTGGTGCCCTTTCTAAGCCGTACTCACGAGTTGTTTTCTTCGGTCCGGCTTTGGCTTTGGATATTACGTCGCGGTCTGACGCAGACTCTTTACCTTCTGGCCGCATCATCTGTTCAAATGCGCGTCGTATCGTAGCACCTCTTCTGCCAGATGCAGTCTCTGAATACATCTTCAGAGGTTCATAGTTCCGTCTATTCCACACGTTTTGGAAGTACAAGAAGTCTTCCCAAGCTGCTTGCGCGTATCGGTACTCGGCGAACTTTCGCCATGTTTCGTGCTGTTGGTGCAGGTCTGCGCGTCTTTGCTCTTCTGCTTCGGCGGCCGTCTCCATAACGGCGCGCTGGGTTTCATCGTATATTTCTCCGGTTTCTAAGTCTGTTTGACGTTCGAATGGCTCCCATCGTCGGTCTGCTTCTGTAGTGTAGTCGCGGATAGTGTTCGCGGTGGATGTATCTTGGGCTGCAGCTGCGGCTTCTGTCAGCCATTTTTGTAGAGCGGCTTTGGTTAGCCTCAGCCAGACTCGAAATTCTTCTGATGTTGATGGCTCGGGAGGCCAGTTTTCTGGAAGGGTGGGGTTGACAAGACGGGGTGTTGGAGGGGCGCTCTGTCCCGCTGCCGCTGCCGCCCTTGATCTCGTAACTCGGTTACTCATCGTGGCAGAGCCTGAAGCACTTTCTATCTTTCGCCGTTAAAAGGTTAATAGGTTGTGGTTCTAACCAACGGATAATTCGAATCCGAGGTCAACAGGGACAATATGCCGGTTTTCAAGGCCACAGTCTTTGTTCCATACTCCATATCTTCAACGACACTTTTGATACTCGGGTGCCTTATTCGTAACAAAGGCACATTATGATAACTTCGCCAATATCGCTAGAACAAAGCATGTTGCACTAGATACTTCATTGTTTTATCTTCTATTAGCTGAGTTTCTTCGGCAATGCATCCGCAATGAGCATCTTGCTTTCCCACCAGCAATCACATCGGGATCTCTCATCTGCCTAATCACCCTTCCAGGTCCTCCTCATTCTCATGAGGCGAATCCGTATCGTCTGCCCTTGTAACATCTGAATCATAGTACTGATCGTCCCTCTGTAGTCGCGCAGCACGATCATGTTTCGCTTTCTCAAAAAGGCTTGCCTCATACTCTTCCTGGATCGTTAGTAGCCTCTGACGCTCAATCATATGATACTTCTTCTCAATAGCATCGTCGCGTGCCTCAATCAACTCCAGTTCACCCTCAGACAACAACCTATTCCGGGCAAGATCCCGTATATCACCCTTGTAACCGTGAGGTGGGAGATCAGCCGCATTGAGTAGACCAGTGACTGCCGCCGCTCCATCTCTGCGTGCAGAAATCTTGTGCCAGTCTTCTACATCTTTCATTGCCCCCTTCGGTTCATATTTGTCAAGCAAGTCCCTGTTGAAAGCTTCGTGATTGACACGTGTACTATTGCGTCTACTGATTCGGTCGTCGAGGTCTTTGGTGGCTTGGTGGATCCATGTGGTGTCAGGAGGACTCTTCTTGCCAGCGGCGACATGGAGTCTGAGCGCCTCATCATCGGTTTCGGGCATATACATCCATTTATAGCCTCTGGCTTTGAGAGAGAGGATGTACTCAGGAGTGGAGGGTATTACTGCGGTTTCTTTGGGCTTCACCCATCGTGGCTTTTTCTTCGGCTGAGGGTTGTCAGTTGCGTCGTGATGCGCTTGTGACGACTTCTGGGCTGAGTGTAACTCTGGTCGTTTCTCCGAGGGGCTTGGAGGAGCAACTTGCAAATCTTGGGCAGGTTCTCCGGGCGCCGGAACATCTTCAGTAAGGTCGATTACTCCATCTCCGTCCAAGTAGCCCTGGATCTCGGTGTCTTTCACAGTAGGAAAGTATCCATCAGCATCATTGCTTGTATTGTACTTGCTCAGATCATTTCGTAGCTGACGAAGCTTGGTCCCCGGCCGGCCCATATACGAAGTCAACTGTACCATGGTCCTAGCGCCGAGAGGGTCCATATTCTCACCATTCTTGTCCCGGATGCCGTCCCTATATTCGAAGTACTCGTTGAATGCTTTGAGGATCCTGGTATTATGCGGCATCGTGAACTCCGCGTTGGTACTAGCGACACGCTTGAGCTTCTCGTGCAATACCTCTAGGTAAGCAGTCTCGAACGGGGTCCATTTAGTGCGTGTGGCCTTGGGGGGGAACCCCATAGTTCGGTCGAAGACCTCATTCCGCCACTCGTTGATATCCATGATATCTTGGCTACTGTTCCAGTCTACCTCATTCACTGCCTTCTTATAGCGATGAACAACAATCTCCGCTTGTTTGTCATTATGCCTACGGCGAAAGCGGAGTCTTAGTCGGTTTGACGCGGTGGTGCCTACTAGAAGCGCCTCTCGGTTGTCGCCGTCTAGAATCTCCCATTCGTGGTCATCATTTGCAACTGGGGCCTTGACTGCTCTCGAGTTCCTTTGTGTTGTGGGTTCCGTCTCGACCTTGCTTTGCGGGTTTGTCGCATCGTCGCTTGTGTTGCGTCGTGGGGATCGGCGTGTAGGGGTGTGGGTGGTCTTGATCTTTTTGGTACCCTTGGGCGCTGCGGATGCTGCGGACCTTTGCCGTTTTGGGGGCATCGCAGTGGTACTTTGCGGAATGTCGTTTTCGGTGGTAGATGAGAGCGGTGGATGTTGGCACAGAGCAAGGCTAGTGATATAGTCGATAGAAGGTATGGTGTACAGTTGATGAATGTCGAGCAGAGGGACAGTTTTCGGGATTCTCGCCAGCCTTATTTCGTCTGAAGATTTATGTTAAGGTGTAATGAAGTTCAGCGCACAGAGCGATGTTGAACAATGGTCAAAGCTTTCGTCCAAGGTGAATGGCATAGTGTGAGTAACCGTTTCACCCTCATTGTGCGCTCTGTACTATTGCTCTGGCGTGGAGATGTTGGTTCCTGGAAGATGACGTGCCAAGATGTGAGGATATATAAGAGTGGAAAATCGGGCTGTATACGATTCCCTGGGAAGAGGACTACCAAAAGTGTGGTAGGCACTGATGGCGTACGTCTATTATCAATCGGCATGCAAGAAAGGTTTGCGGAGTTTACCAGTCATCTATCACCACTCGCGCGCTACTCGCATCGGATCGTAGCGAGAAGGGAGCTCGTTTATGACAAGCTGTGACGAAAATTATGGGTAATGGAATGAACCATCTTATATCTTGTTAGTGTGTCAACATGTGCCTGCGAAAACTTTGCGGGTGCTTCATAACCAGGATGGAGCTCCGAAGGTACAAGCTTCTCCGTAGTCGTCTTTCATGTCACGTAAGATAATGTTATTGTTGTGTGAGATATAGCAGTATGCGTATTCTAGTCTTCACAGAATCCATTGGGGACGCCTTCGGATACATTCTTCCGTGACTATGTGCAAAAGAGACGAAACGAAATATCGAACGCCGTGATGGTATTATATCGTGTCAGCGCTATCGACTCGACCATTCAGATACGCTAGCATTCACTTTCCCTCCTGGTTGAGATAAGTGGTGAGACTCGTAGTGTTTGTATGAGAAGATATTTGACAGGCTGTCGGCTACGTGAGATAACGGTAGATACCGTCAAGCGAGAAAATATCACGGATCGTCAAACTCCAAAATCTAGACTACACGCGAACATCGTGATCATTGCAGAGTAGGGGAAAGATGGCCGGTTCTTGTGGAGCAACTGTGCCGCAAGCCTAAAGGAAGAGGCGGTCTGCAGGGGCACGAGGGTAGTCTTTGGCAATCCCTGGAGCGTTGAGGTACTATCATGACCCGCCCCGGTTAAGCGATGCCAAGGCAGGACGTAGGAGCTGCCCCGACTCAAGAGGGCATGGGAACTGCATGATCGCTCGATACGGACAGACTGTGGGTGAGAAGATGGCGGTGGTGTCGGCGGCGGCGGTGATTGGTTCACGGGCCGAAATTTAGCGCGACTGCCATGTTTACGTCGCGTGTCGGTCGTGCATGCCATGGGCGCGCGCATTGCTACACTGGCATGTCAGTGGAGGGACAGTGACATCAGCGCGCACCTCGCGCAATCAGTCGCATAAAAGGCTCGATCCATAGGAAAGGCGGAGGTGAGGTCGGTGAGTAGGTGGGATGCGGGGCCAGGGGCAGCAGTTGGTCCTGTCTTAATTAAGTTGGAATGGCGAATGTGGACCCTGACGGATAGAGCTAGCGGGCTGCGGGCCTAGTCCAGGGCCTCCTTGATGCTCCTTTCGAGGCGGTTAAGGAAATCATTCCCTCTTTTGCGTGTCGTCGCTCTCTTTTCGCGCGCTGTCCTGTCTTGTTGCGCCGTCGCTGACTTTGTTCTTTTGCATGAATGCAGCCTGAAGAGTAATACCCAGAGAGTCACAGCGTTGTACGATTCAAGCCCGGCGCCAGAGACTAATTTCCACCCTCGTGAAACACGCTCTACACCAGCACCGTCTGCGCTTCGGAACCGAGCGCCCGAAGCAAAGGGTTCTGTCGTGCCATACGGCGGGGACGCAAATTTCCGCTCCGTCATATCCAATTGTCTGTCATATCCAACTGCTCGTGAGGACGGCAACATGTCCAACGGCAGCATCACCATGGAGGTTAAAGAGGAAGTAGTCGAGCGCTCGCCGCGAACACACGTGGACAGCTCGCCACTGCCGACCGACTCGATGGTCACTGTGCCCCTCTCGGAGACGGATGGAAGAACATCAGAAGAAGAGGAAGGCGCGAGGGAGTCGGTGATACGGCCAGAGATTATAGTCGAAGAGCGGAGAGCGTCGTCACGAACCAACTCAACAGAAATACGCAATGCCTTTGGACGACGTGCCAGCCAAGCAAGCATCGACACACCCGCCCCAACCAGCCCTACCATATCAGTCCGTGACACCGACGCGCCGGTATCGCCCAAGACTGAAGACACCAGGGGAAGACGCACTAGCAATGGCTCGGGAAAAAGCGAAGAAGTCGACTGGGCTGAGCTAGAGAAAAAGGAAGAACAAGAGCCAGAGGGCGAGGAGGAGGTATGCAGACCACACCCCTATGCTAGGGGTTATCTGCTAACATATCTAGGCCATGGCTCTGCTCCTCGCACGACTAGAGCAGGAGAACGACGCCATATTATCAAACTCCAAATCCAACATGAAGGTCGCCCGCGCCCGCAGCCAGTCCCGGCCGCCCTCCTTCAACCAGCTGAAGCGCCTTGTGGCGGATGACACCTCCACCATGCGCTTCTCCCAGCTGCCCTCTCCACCACCCATGACGGAACTCGAGTTCTGGGCTGCCCTCGTACGCGACTACCCACAGACGGTCCAGCGGCTGCCGACCCTCTCCTTGAATAAGATTCGGGGAGGTATCCCAGCGCCGCTGCGGGGCGTAGTCTGGCAGAGTGCAGCAGGCTCGCGAGAGAAGCTGATCGAGGATCAATATGACGCGCTTTGCGGGGAGTCGAGCCCGTACGAGAACATCATCAACAAGGACCTGGGAAGGAGTTTCCCGGGTGTTGAGATGTTCAAGGATCCTGAAGGCGAGGGACAGAAGATGCTGGGTCGTGTTCTCAAATGCTTCAGTCTGTATGACCACAAGATTGGCTACTGTCAGGGTCTTGGTTTCCTCGTTGGCCCGCTACTCATGCAGATGGGCGACAAGGAGGCCTTTTGCGTGCTTGTGAGGTAGGTTGCATTACCCTGCATACAACGACATCTGCTAACGACACTAGGCTCATGGAAGACTACGATCTCCGCTCCTGTTTCCTACCAGACCTCTCTGGCCTCCACCTCCGCATTTTCCAATTCCAGAACCTGCTCCGCCAGCATATGCCTCAGTTGGCTCAGCATCTCGACGACTTAGACGTGCAGTCTGCATACCTGTCGCAATGGTTCCTATCCTTCTTCGCAGTCACCTGTCCGCTACCGATGCTGTTCCGCATCTACGACGTCCTATTCGCCGAAGGCGCTTCCGAGACCATCATGCGCGTCGCGCTCGCGCTAATGAAGCGCAACGAACAAAAACTCCTGTCCCTGACCGAGTTCGAAGACGTAATGCAGTTGCTTTTGGGGCGCCAACTCTGGGACCCATATGGGCGGAAGGCGGGGTCGGCAGATGAGTTGGTCGGAGATTTCGTTGGTTTCACAAACGACGTGACGCGCGAAAGGTTGCAGGGGTTAGAGCAACAGTACAAGGAAGCTCAGGAGAAGGATTCGTCTAAGCAGCAAGTTCAAAAATCTGCCACGTCGTTCCTGGGCCGCCTGTGGGGTCCATCCAACTCTTCGACCAAGTCGGTTTCACTCAGCCCGGGTCTCTCCGCGCCTTCACGACCGGTCAGCTTCCTCAGGCGCTCTGCGTCAAAGCAGAGTCTTGCCTCAACACTCAACTCGACTGCCGAGTCTGACGCTTCCGCTGCGACACAAAGCACAGCCATGACAGACATTTCGCGCGCCTCAAATGGAGATGCGCTGTCGATGAAGTCGGGACATGGGTCCATGGCCATGGGCGCTTCGGCGAAAGATCGGGACTTGCATTATCAGATTGAGCAGCTCCTCATGTCCGTAAGCCAACTTCAGCGACAAAACAGTGAACTGGAAACGGCATTGCAACAGCACAAAGAAGACCGGAAAGAAGACCACCGGATAGTCCGAACAGTGGTTGACAAAGTCCGAAAGAAGACCACCACACTAGCAGCACCATCAACACGTGCATCACGGAGACGAACAACAATTACCTCTGCGCCAACCCTTGCCCCATCCGAAAACACCCCCTCCGCCGAACTGTCAGAAGAAGCCACAGAAATAGTAGAAACACTAGAGTCCCGCTTCCCCGTCACACAAACCCACCACCGCGCCTCCTCCATGTTTGAAACCAAAGCCCTCCTTCGCGACTCCCTAGCCCGCACCAAAGAGCAACTCGCCAACGAAACTGCGCGCGCCAACGCCCTAGCCCGTGATCTCAACGACCGCGACGCCGAACTGCAAATCGCACGCGACGCACTAAAAGACACGCGCCACAGACTAGCTGATTCCTACAACCAAAACCAGCGCCTCGAGAAGAACATCCAGGAACTAAGGCAGAATGCGAGAAAAGCTTCTGCAGCAGCTTCCTGGACATCCGCTGACCACAACGGAAACGCGCCAGATACTCCACCTACGTTATCCCGCTCCACAACCTCAGATTCAATATCCACAACCACAACAAACGGCCTCCGCGAGTTACGCCTCGGAAGAACAAATAGTCAGAAATCAGAACGCGCTCCATACTCTGCTCCCCCAGCACCGTTTGCTAAACGCTCATCAAGTCTCGCTACGCAATCCGTGCTCTCAGCCACTGAAAACAACTCGCCTGCCGATAATGAGGCGTTGCTGCTTGAGCTGGTCAATGCGAAGACGGCGGAGGCGGTTGCGAGGCAGGAGTTGGAGGAACTGAGGGCGAGGTTTGAGGGGATGAAGAGGGTTATGAGTAGTGGTGGCGGGGGAGGTGGTAGTGGTGCGAGTTCGATGAATGGGACGCCCACACAAACACCGGCTGTTACGCCTAGCCCTGTCCCCAAGGAGCCTGCAAGCGGAAATGGAGGATGGGGGTGGGGCGGGTGGAAGAGGACGGTTAGTAGTAATGCTGTGGGGGCCCCCTAAGATTGGGTGGGTGCGTAAGATAATAAAGGATATCAAGGATTCTGTTGGCGGTTGTATATATATATACTCATGATGTCTCTTTCAAACTCAGAGAGAAGATGTGTTTCTTCATGGCCTTCTTTCTTCTTTGCCACGGGTGGCGGGAATAGATGGCCGTTATATATGGGATTTAATGTCAATTTTTTCTTCGTGATTGTTATCCTTTAGAATCTCTTTCTCTTTGTCGTCTCTATGCATACTATCTATACCCTTGAACAGTAGAAATCCCACGTCCTTGCAGCTTCCACGAGCCAGCCAGTGGGAATGATTAATGGCTAGTATATATCGGATTCAATGCCGATTTACTTAGGAATTGTTTATGACCCATGCACTTACCTTCTCATAGCACACTGATAACTGAATGTTTACGTACAGAACTTATCATCTTCATACCCTCACTATCTACCACCTTGACCAGCCAGAAGATTAAACGACCTCCTGATACCCCTTGTTACCTTTACTCTTGTACTTTGTGCTTCCTCAACTAATGAGGCTTCCACTGTTTCCATACGGCCACGAAACATCCAGTCGAGGTCAAACGAGCGATTACATAACGAGATAGGTTCCGGCATACCGTCACTAACTATAGCTCCAGGTGAATCGAGAGGAGAAGAAGAACAAGCTGAGACGTGGCGGATGTTTCTTGGAGCTCACGCGGCATTCATTTTACAGTAGTTTCTTGATTAAGAGCCTCGCTTGGTTCTTCTCACAGACTCCGCGCTATCAAGTAAGAGTTGAAATTCATTTCATCTAACCATACCACTAAACTCCATCGCTACACGTGACAGCCTACGTATGCTAGAAGCCAAAGAAGCCAGTAAAGAAAAAGGGTATCATCCATTGCCCCATACCGAACCCCTACAACGCCACCAGCCGGCCCGTCATAAGCTTCGTAAGAGAAGATCATCCGGGCACAGAAGCCATGTCAACGAAAACCATATCCCATCGTGTCCTTTCATGTGCGAAAAGAAGGCGAAAAGAAAAACCAAGTATCCAAATCCACCCCTGGGCCTTTCCACACAACCGCAAACCGTTTTTCACCAAAGCACGACCATCTGGGTGAGAGAGAGGGAAAAAAAGGGAAATTCTTTTACTTGTACTCCTTAGTAATCCCCATCTTGAGAACCGGCCGCTCGCCACCACATTTTTTCCTCTCCTTGGGGTACGGTCTGTCGGCGAAGATGGCGCGGAGCTTGGGGTTTGTAACAGCTCTCTTTACGATATCTGTTCCGCGGTAGATGGGGCGCCGCTTGACGAGAGTGGGACTAGTAGGACGCTTCTGATAGCTGTCTTTGACGGGACTAGGAGTGGCATTACTGTCTTGGCCGTCATTTTTGTTGTTGCTGTTGTTGGTATCATCCCCGACGAAAATGGAGTCTCGGGTGCGGTTGAAAAGACGAATCGGATTCGGCGAGATGGTGAATGGAGATTCGCGACCGGCGGGGGAGATGGGATCAAGACGGCGCTGGGACTCGGGAAAGATGCGGGTTAGTTTCGAACCACCGAACAGTGTGGACTGCTGGCTAGAGCTGGAGTTGACGTTGCGGATAGGGAGTGTGGCAGTAGGGCGGCCATCATCATCATAGTCATCATCAGCTACTCCGGTCGTCTGGTCGACGTCGACTCTGGTACTCATGCGAGCAGCCAATCCCTGATTCTGCAGACTACGCGAGGCGTCGTGAGCAACAGGCCTTCTGGAACCTGGAGGCCGCGAAGCGCGACCATTCTGAGGTCGAGGCACAGCGGCGCGACTGGTCGCTTTAGGTTGAGTGCGCCGGCCCTTCTGCGCATTACTGCCACCACAACTAGCGGCTGCAGTGAGGCGTCTGGAGTTTACACCCGCACCTGTATTTGCGTTACGGACCCGGCGTTCTCCTGAACTACGAGCAGCGTCGTGGCGGTATCCCTGACTGCGTGGAGCCATCTTGACCTTGGAGAGCTAATTCTAACAGTTTAGCACAATGTTGGAATACCCCGGTTGTGCAATGGGATAGCCGTAATGAGCCCAACTAACCTGGAATTGAACTGAAACTCGTAGAGATTATGGAATGCGCTGTATTTGCTGGTGTTTGTTCGCGGCGAGGTGTTGTTGTTTTGGTGGCTCGATTGCGTGATTATATACAAACGGGCGGCAGAAGCTCGGGCTGGGAGGCAACGACAATGTGACTCTTCAGCATGGAGAAAGATGTTTCGTGATGAAGATGAAGAGGAGCGGGGAAGGAGGCGGTGGAGCTTGATATGGATTTGATTCGTTTTCATTGTGTCGGCCAATTGGGAGCATGAGCGGTGAGGAGCCGGAGGAAACACTGGAAAGCAGACACCCGTCTAGAAGAGTGTATACCCGTCTCGAACAACTGCAGCAATCTGACTGAGGAAGTGATAGGCCATGGCAATATGCAGGCATCCATCTCGACATGCAAACGTTCGTCCGGTATTTACCGTGTGTTCCATGGCAGTTCGGGTCTATACTTGGGATATACAAGTTGGCCGACGTAACAAGAGATGATTGGAGTGAAAGAGATGATTAGAGTGAGGAAGTTGAAAAAGAAGACACAAAGATATAAGGGAGAAATTAGAGAAATAGGGCTCCAGACGACGGGAGTGTTGGATCATATAACATACAGTACCTCTAACACCGACTCGAACATGTAAAATCGAAAGGCCATCCGACCATACCGACAACAAGAGCAATGAAGATTCCTTAATCTCAAAACCTTATGTAAACCAAAAGCAAGAAACAAGAACGCCAACAGAAAAGTCCAATACCATACCCAAACCGGGAAGCAGCCAAATGCCAGGGGAATATATAGTAACGCAGCCTATATGTGCGCCATAGCAGCGCCGTGAACGTCCAGCCAAGGAACAAGACTCAGAGAGAAGGGCTGTAGACAATACGAAGGAGACTGATGGCATCTCAAGCGAAAGTTGCCTTAGATGTCCTCCATGTTGCCCGCCGCTTCGTCTTCATCGCCTGACTCATAGCTGCCGACAGAGCTCATCTCGTCGTCATCGCCATCGTCTTTGTCAGAGTCCTCGGCAGTGTCCTTGTTGGCGTACTTCTGGACGTATTCTGAATGTGTTTTAGCTTGGCTTCACCTCCCACCACCTTGGTTATACATACCCTTCACCTTGGCGTCATAGCTTTTCGGTTCGCGCATCAAAAGCGCTGCAGCCTCGCCGTTGAGGGGATCGGTTGGGTTGGGGTATCGTAGGAGTTGGGGAAGGAAGACCTCGAAGATGTTGATCATGTCGTACATTGGCGACCATGTCTGGTTGATGACGTCAAGGCAGACGGAGCCAGAGCTGTACATGTAAGCGGGTACTCTTTGATGGGTCTAGCCAAGAGGATGGATCGTACAGCTCGTCGATATTAGGGTGGAATATCCTGTTCACAAAGCCGATGCTGGGACTCTTGTACGGATACTGATCCGGCAACTCGACGTGGATCTTCCAGAGACCACCCTCGAATGGCGCTGCGCTTCGTCAGCACGTGATGAGCTGTATGAAATTTGCCTGGCATACTCTCTACCGGACCCTTGAACCTAACATAGAACTCCTGCCTAGATTCTGTCAGTGTCGTTTCGGCGGATGCGCGTTCAGACAGTAGGGTGGACTAACACTGCGAGTTGTTAGCTGCGTATTTGACAGAAATTGGCGCGATGTTACTCACTGTTGTCGTTGACCAGTGTCACCTCATAGTCGCTCATGAGCCTACTTCACGTTAGCTATCGACTTTGAGATCCGCCATAGGGTGTAAGGCGCGTGGCGCGAAGAAGCGAGTAAACTAGTCGACGTACATCCTGCTCTTGTGTTAGCACTCTATAACTCAGTTGCAACTTGCTTAACTTACTTCATGACCTGTGTAATTCGGAAAGAGGCCTCCGTTAGCTCTTGTTCCTTGCTCATCTATCGCCGGGGTGAAGGTCTCCACATACATCCGTCTCGATACGTCTCTTTGGCGAACTCATCTTGACGTTGCTACTATAGCGCTTTGTGGAGGTCTTTGTTCTTCCCTAATCTTCCGATTTCTTCTTGGATATGTACGAGTCTTGTAGGGCAGTCTACAGGTCGCGATGAGAGCTCTCGTGAGGTCGGCGGCGGGGCTATCGATAGCGGATGAGGGGCGCGTTCGCTGGCAGGCTGCAAGTGCTTTGCTGGCAGAGCGTTGTCGTTTGCAGGCTTTTAGTGATGTCAACCTGGGTGAATGTGTGTCGATGTCGTGTCTTCGGGCTAGGATGTGTCGGAGGTCAGGAACAATGAGGCGGGAGTGATGGCGGAGGTAGTTGTGATCACGAGCGTCGATACCGGCATGTCACGCTTGCGCACGTCTCCTCCGGCAAGTCATCGCCGAGACCCTGATACGCCACCGTGATACCTCTTCTTTCACATTCATTGACTATTGCTTTGAGTATTCAGGCATCACTTCCACTCTCTATCGCTCACCCCTTATAGAGGGCCACTAACATGCAGTGCAGATGTGATGATATCGAAGGCTACGTCATCAGGTACCACAGACCGGTATCCATGTCAATGGTTTAGATTGACAACTCGACGCTCCAAGAGCACGACCTATAACTGAGTATAACGCGAACTTGTCGCCCAGTGTAGCACACCATGTCGCGACAAAGATCGTTTCCAGGGGTCCTCGAAGTCGTCGGGCTTCTTCCATTCGGCTTATAGCAACAGCGGATATACTCGTAATAGATAGCTCAGGCTGGCGCTCGGTCAACCAGACTGGACCCTTCAGCACATGAATTGGAGAAAAACACAAAGGTCTTCGTCGTCGATGCGCGTTCCCGTTCAGAGGTGCTGCAACCAGTACATCAGACATCCAATCACTGTGGAGCAATGCCGCAGCTTCCCCGAGATCCTGGCCTCAGTCATTCACCGCTGGTCCGGTCGAACGCATTTTGCATGCTGAGTATACAGCTAGAACCTAATTGAATGCACAGCAGTCAGACAGAACAGAGTCGCTGTAGTATGTATACGATTATGATCAAAGGCGGGGCGTACCGAACAATCGAGTCGCCGAAAGAGTACCCCCTGGCGTCTCGGCGGGTGGAGGCTGACCCTCGGTTCTTCCAAAACTCCAAGGTTAGGTATACAATCTTCAGCGCAGCTTTCTGCACATGTTGCTTAAAAGCAATCCCCCTCCCGCCCTAAAGCCATGGCTTACGAACACACATCTGCATCATCCCCGGGGGCTTTCATAAATTTTCTCCTGCTCAGAAACATCTCCACCACCACACTTGCGACGCTTCCACCATGTCGCGTGCCCTCGTGAACGTGTTGCGAACATCCTCCCGCTTTATCCAGGCAACACCACGTGTATGTTCGTCGTCGTCGTCGTCGTCGTCGTCGTCGTCGTCAATATCGCGAACCACTCTTCCTTGCGCACAAGCACGATGGAGTTCGCATTCCCCACTGGGCTCTGCGCCCGCAAACGCCCGTAAACCCGTCACCATCAACACGCTCCAGAGTCTATACCGCAAGGGTGAGCCCATCACCATGATCACTGCGCATGATTTCCCCAGCGCCCACGTCGCCGACCACGCCGGTATGGACATGATACTAGTTGGAGACAGTCTAGCCATGGTAGCACTCGGCATGGAAGACACAAGCGAAGTGTTGATGGAAGAGATGCTTCTCCACTGCAAGTCCGTTGCGCGCGCAACAAAGGGCGCTTTTACAGTAAACATGTCCCATAGACATACCTCCACCCCATACTCATCCACTAACCCGAACGAATAGGTCGGCGACCTCCCCATGGGAACCTACGAAATCTCCCCTGCCCAAGCCCTCGAGTCCGCCATCCGCATGATAAAAATTGGCCGCGTCAAATCCATCAAACTAGAAGGCGGTGCGGAAATGGCACCCACCATCTCCAAGATCACCTCCGCCGGCATCCCAGTCCTCGCCCACATTGGCCTAACACCACAGCGCCAAAACGCGCTCGGTGGTTTCCGCGTCCAAGGCAAGTCCACACACACGGCGTTGAAACTCCTCGACGACGCCCTCGCCGTCCAACAAGCCGGCGCTTTTGCCGTCGTGTTAGAAGCCGTGCCCGCACAAGTCGCTGCTTTGGTGACTAGGGAATTGCGTATCCCCACTATCGGGATTGGAGCGGGGAATGGTTGTTCAGGCCAAGTGTTAGTGCAGGTGGATATGTTGGGGAATTTCCCGCCTGGCAGGTTTTTACCAAAGTTTGTGAAGCAGTATGGGGATGTGTGGGGGGAGGCGCACAGGGCGATAAGTCAGTATAGGGACGAGGTGAAGAGTAGGAGTTATCCGGCTGAGGAACATACGTATCCGATGCCCAAGGAGGCGTTTGAGGAGTTTAGACAGCTGGTTGATGAGGAGAAGGAGAAGAGTGGCTTGTTGTGATGGAGTAGTGGTGAAATCATGTTTTATTGGAAACTCTCCATGGTTTTCGAATTATACAGCGTTGAGGGGTATCTTTATTCAACAAGAAAGGCAGGAAGTTCCGAACAGGTAACACCTCATCTAGTATCGCTCGATACATACTGTGTATCAAAAACACGACTCACACCTCCAACTGCCCTTCATCTTTACACGCCTTTTCTCTGATACTCCTCCCACAACCCCATCGGCGTTCTTTCCCTTTCCACAGCCCTAACACCAACCGCCCACCCCAATATCCTCACAGCCCCGACCACAGCCATGGTAACAAGCCATTCTGCCCACCCCTCCACTTTCCTCTTCCCTCGCTCCACCCACAGTAGCTTCGGCAGCCTATGTCTAACCCTCAAATAGACCCCATCAGGCAACAGCCAACTCGTCTCACCACCTAAGACACCCCGTAAATCGAGAACGACCGGCCAATTATCCAATTCCCAGAAGATGGTAAACAATTGGAAGGAGACCCAATACTCTGTTCCCAACACCCATCTCACAAACCGTTGAAGCGGGGAAAGAGGGGGTGGTGTGGAAAATGAACAAGGAGAAGATGTTGCTTCCAAAACAACGCCATTCAAGTTCCAGAAGAAAAGCGGTTTACTGATATCCGCCGGCTCAGTCCATTCCTCCACCACAACCTCTTCGTCGATATCTTTTGGAAACCTTGGTTCGACGCAAGAGGGCGTATTGCGGGCGAGGTGCTCCCTCGCTCTTCCTCATTCATGGCGGGAGTATTTGGGAACCGTGATGAGTAAACCTGGCGCTACTCTCTTATCAGCCCCATAGACGGTCACACTGCCGCCTGCTTCCGCGCTCAGAATCTCAGTCTTGCCGTCCACGTGCACAAATATGGCGCCTCGAACTAAACGCAGGTACTCGGTGTGTGTTGTGTGGAAGTGCAGACCTGATGTCCATGTGGAATAGCGAGGCAGCGATATTGTTGTCTTGGGCACTACCGGTTGGGCTGGAGAAGGAGCCGGTGGGAAAATGGGAATGTGGTATGTGACTGCTTCACGACCTTTTCGGACCACAGGTGAAGTGCCTGGTGGGAAAGGGTCCAGGACTTTGCGCGAAGGTAGAGGGTGGGGGTTCGAGGAGTGAGCTGTACGGCGAGATTTGCTTTGCGTACTACACCTTTTTGTTGTGGTCTTGGAGCGCTTGTGCATCTTAGATTAGGGTGGGGAGAGGTGTTGGAAAGGGGAGGCTGGGTGGAACTTGTATAGAACCTAGGCATATGACGGAGATTTTTTTCTCAAAATTTTTGAATTAGGGTGGAACCATTTGATCCCTTATAAGCGATCCAACCCGCAGTAAAGTGAGCATGCGACGTATGTTAGTCATTATTGTAGAGTTTAGTCTGGTCGCCTAAGCATACCTTGTACTGTCAGCACATGGTGGCTGACATCACTGATGGATGAGCGGAACAAGTCCGCACTCGTTCCTTTTGGATATTACCCAAGCTAAGCAAATGCGTATTCAGCGTCTACAGCCTCGGACCCCACTAAGATCTTCAACCGCCCTGACTGAGGCTCTCGTTCTACCCAGCAGTCTCCGTCTAATAGGCCGTCATCAGTGTTTGGAGCCCTGGTCTTTTCTCGCGTCTTGCCGGCCTGTGTAACCAGCCGTCGAAGGCGACCATCGAATCCGGGCTCGTGATGAAACTTTGCAACCAAACATGAGATGTTGCTACCATGAAGGAGATTCGCAGCACCAACTAGTCCAACGGGCTCTTCTGCTAATATGCTCGGATGCTTGTGCAAGTAGATGATGAGATAGATGGTCTCGACAATGAGTATGGCGAGAACGACAAGCATGACAATCGCCACAGGCTCCACAATATGTAACCGGTTCTCAGGTATGTACAACACACCCTCCTGCTGAATCGGTTGTGCCAAGCGTGGGTAGAACCTATCAAGGCAAAGCATTGTATAGACAGCTGGGTATACAGTGCTTGCAGCCTTAATCAAATTTTCTTCTGCGAATTCCAAAGCATGGCTGTCGGTATATCTAGCCACCAGCTCTGCGAGGCGATTCGGTGAATTAAACTTACTCCCAATGTTTATGGATTGCACGTTAATGACGCCTTGTTCGAACTGCTGGCGTTTCATATCGGGCAGTTCTTCAATCAGCCGAGAGGTTTCTGAGAAAGAAGGCGTTTCTGTCAGTCGGCCAGCTGAGTCTGTACTTCTAATGACGCTGACTGTGCCATTGACAATCCAGTACGAAGGAATGCAAGATATCAGGGTCGGCTCTTGCATGTCGCTGTTAGAAAAGACTGGAATGGAGAAGATCACCATGCGTGTGCGACCGGCGACGTCCGGGCAGTCCTGCTGGGAGAAAGCTTTCAGGTAGTAAAACTTGTCGTAGTAAACATCTCCGGATCTGACAGCTATGTCTCCGGAGATCAAACAATCGCGATCGGTAGCCGAGAAAGCTCGAAGTGCTATGTTGTCTGTTTCGACCTTTGTGGTGAATGCTGCGTCACTGATGACTTGGCAATCGAGAGAAAGTTGAGATGTGGTTGCCGGCAAAGATATGGTATAGTTCTTCAGGCCTTGTTTAGGTGCAATTTGTGGAAGAGCAAAGTGACCCTCGGTCCCAGGAGGATAGGATGCGTTGTAGATCCAGGAGGCAGAAACAACGTCGAAGAAGCCACCATAGTCGACGACGTTGATGTCGGTATTCAAGTTAAGTGTAGAAAGTAGACTAAAAGTTGCGTTGGTCGCAGAAAGCTCCATCCCTTCGGTGAAAAGGCCTCCAGCCAGCGGTACCAGCGCAATTGATACCACGAAGGAAAACAGCATGCATAGACCAAGGAATATATGGCTGTTCTGGAGAGCCTTGTACCATGCTATGATGCTGAGTGATGTGCGATAGTCCACATATATCGACTTTCGTATCTTGGTAGGGCTAACAGATGAGGACTGGTGTAATTCGATGAATGGTGTTTCAACAACGAGAGCTGCGACGACAGCTTCGCGGAAGAGGCGATAGAGCGTAAGGATGATGACTGGTAACGTCGTCCATAGCAAAGGCTGACTGCGGTCGAGTGCGCCTTGCACGCTGAAAACTGCTGAACCGGACCCTTGAAATCCAACGTTGGTGAAGCCTGCGTGTACGTTGGAAAGAATCCAAAGAGTTGTGATCGCGCCAATGAGGCTCATTTCTGCGGACAAGAGAAGAGCCACTATCCCGGGACGGAGAACTATGGACCGCCACTGAACTCGTTCGGGCGACATTGTGGAAATCTACGCGGAAGATGTAGTTATTGTTTTTGATAGTTCAAAAATGTCGAATTGCAGGCTAAACGTAATTGAAGCAAATGCTGCGGACTGGCATATGGCTTTGCTGTCCATTGTTATCTTGCCTGCGTCCTCAAGCTGAACGCACATGCCACACATATTGATACGGTTTAGCATTGGCCTTTGTCAGTTCGAGCTTGCTGGCTGCTAGGTTCTCGGCTTTTGGCCAAGGCTCGTATTCGTTCGCTTATCGGGGTGAATTACCTTAAGCGAGGCGTTAGAAGTGATCCACGATCTCATCAGCTGAAGACGAACGCCCAAGACACGTTCTCGTGCAGGGACTGGCCAGGGACACAAATGGCCTGAGCATTTGGTAATGTAGAAACGGGCTACGTTGGCGTGTGTTGCGGAGGAGGGTTGGGTGGTTAGCTCGGCATTCATATGTGATGAAAGTAATTAAAGCCAGAGATCTGTGACTACCTAGTTACAGCTCGTCTGAACAGACTCACCTCTCAGAATGACATTTCAACGTACTACTTCCGCCATGGTTACAACCATTTTGATAGGGCTTTCGATTCTGACAACGGCCCAATCAGTCACTGAATCAAACTTTATCCTGAATCCTACAGACTGCCTGGGAACTGTTATTACCTTGAGCAGCTGCACCTCGATGCTCAGCAAGGCAGAAACCTGTTTCGATATAGACAACTCGAAAGAACGGGCAGACTGTTACTGTCCACAGAGCGTATTGGACTATATTGCAGGGTGGGTGGTCCACACGGTTTGCAGCTTGCTCATAGGCTGACAAGATCCAGCTGCCACCAGCAGATGTGGGACTGCTTCCCCACCACATACATCGACGATCTCTTTCTCGGAACCACCGGGTTTTACTATGAGTGGTCCACAGTATGTCAAGAAGTGTTCACATACTCGCCAACAACCATGGTCGTTACAAAGCCACCAGCATACGACCAAGAGTTCTGTAACAGCGTTGCATTGGACTGCGACACATTAACATTGGCCATGACCTCGTGCAATTCGGCGTATAGCATGGCACCCGCAGATCTTCACAACTGTCTCTGCAACGATGAAATGCTATATCATGGGTCGCGATGCGACATTGATGCCAGTCAAAGATGTCTGAGGAAGACATTGGATCCAACGGCTGTCTATTCGAATCAGATATGCGGAGGAAGTACCCAGACGGGACTTACAAGTCGCCCGTCTCTTGCTTCCAGCAGCACAGCCTTACTTCTAAAACCAACAAGCTCATATGTCCCGCCGGCGCCCTCGTCAGTTGTAAGTCCTGGAGCTGCGGCAACATCGGTATCGACAGGCGATCGGGTAGCTCCACAGGCAATGGGCAAAAGACCTATAACAGTAGCCTTTGCCTTCATTATTGCAGTATTTGTTGCTTAGGGTCTTGAACTAGGGAGTACCAGTATTTGGATGAAGCAAAATGCTACGGGGAGGTTCTATATGCACAACAGTGGTCATCTCTCCATGGTGGAAGGCAGCCTAGAATGTGAGACGCAAGAAATGAGGATATTATTTTGCGCCACAAGCCCCAGCTGAATGAACGGCAACAGAGTTTGGAACTTTTGGTAGCTGATTCAGACTCCTCGTTTGATCGATTGCATCTTGCCCAAGCTGGCGAAGAACACCTCTATCTCCCATAGCGTACAAATTGAGGCTAGTTTCTGAGTTGTTGTGTGGCAGCAAGGTAGATATCCTAAACTCTGACTGTTCGGGTGACTATGCTGCTATGCCAGATTCGCCTGCAACCCTGACTTTACTTGGGGCAAAGTTCGAATTTTGTTAGATAATGGAAACTACGGTCAAATAAGAATGCACCGCGGCGCAGGCATCAGTCATGGAAGCATCGCTTGATTGAGCTAGCGAATAACAAAAAAAAGCGACTAAATACACTAGGCTACAGTCGGGCAGACGTTCTTCTGCCTGTCCTATGTTAAGCTGATATAGGCGATTATGAAGAAGTGTCTGGATTTCAAGGCTGCATGCTTTTTTCTTCTTGGGTTCAAACAATGCTTACAGTGCCTACAGTTCGCTATGAGTTCAATAGGGAGCCTAGAACAGGTTGCCCAGTATAACCAGGACAGTATACAACAGACCATTTCGACCTGTAAAGGTGTTCAGACTGGCCGCACCAGTGAACTCAGGAAGCGAAGTCGATGCTGAAGTCGGCGGAGCGATTGCTGAAGTCGGCGTGGTGAAGGAGAAAGTCATGTTCGAGACAACGGGTGTGGCAGTAGGGCCAACGAAGGTAGCTGGCAAGGTGACGCCAAAGGATACAGCGCATGCTTGAGGGTCTAGGCCCCGAGGACAGCACCAGCCGTCGACAAGGCAGTAATCACCATCAGGGCAAGCCCCTAAGAAGAGGTGTGAGCAGAGATGTACAGATACTACACCGTTAGTATATCACTTACAGGAAGCAGCTGAGCCTGATTCGCAACATGTTTGTTCCAAATCCGGGTTCCAGCAGAGGAATGTGTCTGGATCACTACAAAGTGAATACCCAGCACCGCAAGATTCTTCGCATGTTGTCCCAATGCCACATTGGTGCGTGGGTGGTTGATACTCTTGACGTTTGCCGAAAACGTGCGAGTCTAGTGCGTGAAAGTGGTGGTTAGAGAGAGCTGTCGTTACAGTCAAGGAGGCGAGGATCAAGTGGGTAAAGAACATTGTTGAGAGTGAAGGATTGTTTCAGGTTAGAGAGACTAAAGCGATCTTATGGCATCTACAACACAGAACCGGCCAATCTACAGCGTACTTATACACTCGCTCACACAATCGGCCGCTAGGTCTTGCTACGCACAGTCCTTGTGGCTCTCGGCATAGGCAAGCCTTTACCTAGGGAGCTTCCACAAGATTGTTCACACAGGGATGTCAGGAGAGATATCCACAATTTAAGATTCATAATACGTACGTCTTGATGCCTTCTCAAAGCTTGACAACCCCGCATACTGCACTATGATCTTAAAAAAGAATCCGTGAGAAGATCACCAAGAAAGCTTGTCTGGAATTCTATCCACTAAAGGATGTTGGAATTTCGTATTTTGTACCCCACTATTCTCGCGAACTTCGCATTCAGCTCTGGAGAACGACTCAGCTAAGCGGCTGGATTATAGTTCACACACAACGATTGTGATAAACTGACCTATAGAGTCAGGCTACGAGCTTCAATCTATCCGGTCAAACCGTACGAGTGGCGCTGCTAGACCATTCCACGTAGCAGGCAGCGGGAATGTCTTGTGTGCTGGTAAGCAGTCCCGACATATCGCTAAAAATGACCTAATCCGACTTGAAACAAAGTCTAAAATAGTTCTTTTCAATAGCTGTTCCGTTGAGTGACGTACGATACAAAGACGAGCTGAGAAACAGCTGTTAGCAAAACGAGCTGAAAAAAAAACAGCTGATAATTTCTTCCCGTCCATCCATCCCCGCGCGCACTTTTTACCAGCATTCACAACCAGTGAGACAGCTCTACTCCTCCTCTTACGCCTCTACCTATCCGGTGTCGAGACAATCCCTAAAAACCCCTTCTGACAAGAAACCACGAACGCGAGCAAGTAACATTAATTGTATGCTCAAGTTTGATATGAATCTGTGCTATTTCCCATATGCAAAGCTGTTAATTACAACAAACGCCCGCTTACCTAGTTCCATGTTATGTTGTGCGATCCCTCTTCGCCTTCCAGTAACCACCAAGGCGGCAAATGCCGTGCAGACACCCAATACGCCTCAGCCCACAGTATGTGTAGTTAAGCAAGACACCACTCCTTTATCTAACCATTTCGCCATGCTAGAACGATCAGAAGACGAAAGCAGCAGCAGCAGCAGTGATCGAAAATAGGAGTAGCCAAGCTCGCTCGCTATGCAAAACGCCCACGAACAAAGAGTGAAATGAAGGAAAAATAAGAGATTGAAGAGACGAGACATTATGACTCGTTCTCGTCAGCCTCCTCTTCTTTCCCCCCAGAAGTGATCGCTATGCGTTTCTTAGGCTCACCCCACATTTGCTGCCGCACCTTCTTCTTCTGCTCATCCCTCAACCCTTTCAAAAACCCATACGTCCCTGTGAGGTCATTCAACTGCTGATCGATCCCAAAACTGTTACTCTGCGCCGCCCTAATTAGCGGACTAATCAAGTTCTTCCTTGCCTTGTCCAATTGATCTCTGACAGAATGGATGATTTGAATGTGAACCTTGAGTTCCGATTTGTTGATAAGCGTACTCGCCCTCACATCCTTCAATAACTTGAGATTCTTCTCATACTTTTTAATCTTCATTTTGTTGTTGATGGTCTGGCGCCACATGCTCGCTAGAAACTCGTCTTTGCGGTTTGCGAGACTGTCTTCTTCTTTGGCGACGGAGCGGTGCAGGTTGTGGAATTGGCGGTCGACGCTTTCAAAAAGTTGGAAGAGGACATCTGCGCGGGCGAGTTCGTTGGCAATGTTTTCCTCCAAGGTGGAGAGGAGGTAGTCGAATGTGCGCTGTAGCGTGGCTTTGGAACGCTGTTGGGTGGTGTGGCCCAGGATGTCGTTGACAACGTGGCCAATGGCTGTTGGTGAGCCGTTGCGCTCGAGGAGGCCGATTTTGCTCAGGCCGCCGTGGACGTTGTCGATGACTGTGTCGATCATGCCTATCTTGGGGCCTTGGATGCTTTGGAGTTCTCGCTTGGCCCATTCCATGGTTATGAGGATGCTGGACTGATCAGTAGAGGTACGAGGTCAAGAAGGCTATACCTACGAGTCCATATCACCATCTACGTTGGTAAAGAAACTGGTAATCTTCTCTGATAAGATTTTGAGGCTGTCACCTAGGTCATCTAGCTGGTCTATGATGACAGACGACGCCGACATGTTGGTCGCGCGGACGCTCTCCCCCAGGTCCTGCACTGCGATGCTAGCATCTGCAAGCTCGCGCGACCGGGGGATTACACTCTCAGAAGCGTAAAGCAGAGGCTCAAACTGCTTAGCCATGTTGGCGACATTGGCGACATCCGGAATGAGACTAGCTTGCCAGGGCTGCAGCAATAGATAAGATAAGAAGACGGTCGCGACCGTGAAGATGACGTTCGCTCTCGACCTGGTAAAGATATGAAGACCACTCGCGAACGTGGATATGGTGTCTTCTATCGGCGCAGTGCGGAATTTGGCTTCTCCTCTGTAAGCAAAGCGCATGACTACGGCAGTCAGTATGCACAGCGCGCATCGGTCTGTCGCTACTTACACCCCTCTACTGGCCCCTCATCATGTTGCGACACAGTTGATTCGGTCCCCTGCAATGCGCCAGCGCTCGCCTGTGGTTCTTCGCACGGACTCTGTAGCCGCGACGCGATGTTGTTGGAGAGGTATCTCTGCTCTTCCTCGGGTATGGGCTCGGGGCTTGTTCGCGGTGTCATCTTGTACGGCGACTCTGGCAGTGGTATGCGCGAGGGCGTCACGTCACGGTCGCTGCGGAATTCAAACGGCGACTTGGAGGGGCTGTTGCGCATTGCGCTTTCGCCTAGTAGCGACTTCCTGTACCAGTGGTTGCTCGATTGGGACTTCTGCCAGGCTGGTGGCGCCCATGGTCCGTCCGACTCGGTCTCCGAGTCTACTTCCTCCTGGGGCACGCTCCAGCGCGACGAATGCATGTTGGAGCGCCCGCTGTATGCCGAGTGCATGCTGCGCTCGGGATCGAAGGCTTCGAGCGACGCGCTCAGAGACGGGATGTCGTGCTCGTATATGCTTCCGCGATCCGCTGTGTCCATCATCTTTTGCGCGCAGTCGTTGGTGGTGAGGAAATGGGGAGGAATGCTTGTAGAGGCTGGTGCGAGGTCTCAGCTATGGCGGTATCACAGTGTGGGGGCTCTGCAGGCACATGGGAGTACCCTTGTGACGCGTGAATCTGGGCAGGAACCGTGCAGTATGGTGGGTGTCTAGCGCTATGGTCGTGACAGTGTCGGGAGGGAATGCGATCATAGTGTACGAGGGACTCTCTACTCTCCGTATACCAGCGATAAGCTAATCCATTCGAGGAGCGAGATCAACCGTCCGTGTGCTGTCCAGGGCTGCAGTGGGGTGAAACGGAGTGGCTGGGAGCATGTCTCTGGTTGGCTGTCGTCGCTCCGGGCTAGTGCGGGGAAAGGCAACCGTGACCCCGTGACGCCCTGCAGCACGCGTGCCTAAACCCTTGCCTGCCCGAGTGGTGACGATAACATTAAGCAAGCCCTTGATAGCTTGAATATGTCAGCCTTCAAGAAGAGAAGGCCATTATCGCATCGTGGGATAAGGGAATGCCGTGCGGAGTTGCTGCGCTCTGATTGGTCACAATCACTGTGGAGCACGGCCAGACGTGTGAAGGAGTGACTTGAGCTTGACAGCTGTGGGTACTTGATACTACACCTATAATACCTCTCGGTCTACTGGGGACCAATCCAAGGAAAGCGTGCGCCCAGGCAGGCAAGAAACAAAACCAACGCCAACTACAGCCGGGCATATGTGGGGACAGCTATGTTTGGATAGACTGAGAAGTGGGGTGGGGGGCAAAAAGCAATGTTGGATTGCTTGAATAAAGAAAGAGTGCAGAAGACATCGAGCGCCATCGACACTCTGGTATGCAGGGGAACAAGTACGCTATCTTTCATGATGGACGAAAGTGTGCGTGCTAGCTAGTCCAGCCTCTCCGCTCGAATATTGAACAAAAGGCCAAGACTAGCATCCCATATACGCAATCTCGCAAGAATGCTAGACGAATCTAATCCAACGAACGAGTTGCTGAATGGCTCAGTGCGACCTAAAGGTAGTACATGGTCTCTACAAGGGCAGGGTGAACATCTCTCGACCAAGCGTTCACGGGTAACGCGACCCCTTCGCCGCCTTTGAGTACGCTATGTAGGTACGAGCGACCTCGTTCGCAGACGACGTCCGCCCAGTATGCTGGTGGGCATATGCTGACAGATCGGGTGGCGCGAGCAAAGGTATAGCACAAATTGTGTGTCAGATTTTGAAGCTGGTCAGCTCCAAATTTGTTCTCGTCCTTGAGCACCACGTAGTGCGCCGGTCGTGAAGTGCCTTGCAGTCCCTGCATATGTGGAGGTACCAGTCAGTGTATGTCTCACATGTATTTCGTACAGTGACAACTTACCTGGTGCGCAAGTAGGAAGAAGTCAAACAGCTTCTCGCCGGTGACGCCTCGATCAACGACCGTGCCGGGCTTCGGGTTACCTGTCGACCCATCGGTATCCTCGGCTTTGGTTGGGTAGAAGCGCGTGTGATGACGCTTTCCGACCATGATGATGGAGATCTTGGGGTGCTTTACCTTTGCGCCATAGAGCTTGTCGAATGCGTTCTTGAAAGAGGCACCTTCATCTTCGACCACAGTCTGGTACTGGCTTTCGCCCACTCCGTCCCGGTAGACGATAACCTTCTTTGGAAGATTGCCTCGGTTGCGCTTCTGCCACAACCGAAGACGCTCGATGATCATCTCTTCCAGCTCCGTGACCATCTCTTTGCGACCTTGTTGGCTACGCATACTCGCGGGATACTGTGTGAACATCGCATCAATCGAAGCCACCACGCCAGCGATACTCGGAGCAGTTTCCGAACTCCCGGGAGAAGGGTGTGTGACATCAATGCCGAAAATGATCGTCTGTGCGTCTAAAGGTGCCATTCTCTTGATGTCAACAATGTGATTGACTCCACCAAGCTTCTGATTGAATTTCATCGCAACGTTCGCATAGTATTGGTCTTGCTTCTTCGCAAACTTGCTGCCAATGCAGCAGATGCTTGGTATTCCATATTTCAAGTCGAATAGAGACTTTAGTAGGTCGTATAGTACGGCGTTCTGGTTGGGCAGCAGGACCAACAAGAATTTTGGTTTGCCCGGCAATTGATTCATCAGCGCTGATTCAATCGTTGACCGAATAGTGTCCACTTGTGGTGGGTTCTCTAGAAGCCCGGGCGGAATGTTGACAATGCATAGTTTTGAGGACTCGGCGGGACCCAAACCATACTGTACGAGAGCCTTCCTGAATGCGGCTAGATAAATTTCGAGACCGTTCATACCACCTGGAATGGTGTCAAACCTCCCCGAATTGATCACGAGGGTACTCCTAGAAGGTGGTGTCCAACGTCAGCTTTTGTCTCGTATGCACTTCGTACCAAGGCAAACTTACCACTCGCCTAACTTTCTCGTCACACGGAACGGCGATTCGCCCAGGACCTCAATCTTCAAGTTCCAGGCACCCTTTTTCGGAGTACTCGTCTTCAGTCCCTTGTACAGCAACGTTGGAGGATTCAGAATCCGGCCAGGTACAGTGATCATGTTCGGGTCGACCTTGATACCAAATGCGCTCAAGTTTGTGTTCTCTCCGTCGACCACCGGATCGATCTTGGCTAATACCAGACCATTTCCAGTGATCGACTCGGCGTTCTCATGTGGTCTACGGGCAGCAAATGTGATCATGGCGCTCGTTTGTTGCGGGGAAAGGAGACGTCGTGCTAACTGACCAGGTATGACCTTGCAGAGCTCAGAGGGCAACCACTTTGGATCCTTTGGCTCTCCATAATTGACCAAGGGTGCTTTAGGAGCAACAAGTCTGATGTTGTACGTCTTCAGGAAGTGCTCCTGAACCGTAGGATAGGTAACCTTTCCACTGGCGTCTTGTTTCGGAAAGGTGACATTCGTGCTGTTCTCTCCGTAGGGTGCCACGATTATGGTGCGCAATTTGCGCTTGGTTCCCTTGTTCTCCTTGTTTTTGTTCTTGTCGTCGGGAATGTAGTTCGTCTCGATCTTGACCATTCTGAAGAAGGTCGCGACCCGACTGTGGTCGGCCGGGTTCGATGGCATATGACCTCCACAGACCTCTTTCATCATGTCGAGAAGGGGTCTAAACGTGGGTGCAGTAAATTAGTATATGTCTCAACTGTACCTCCTAAATAGCTGCAACGTACCCAGGCTTGTAAAAGACACCAGTCGCAACGTTGACGTTGACAAGTAATCTGCTAACGCTCGTACGCACGCTGGTGAAGTATCCACGGTAGGCCTGAAGACCATGGCCCAGTACGTGGGACTCCGCTTGAGGATGGCTACCGAAAGGAAAAAACTTGTTTCGCGATGCCGTAGTAACGCTGAGCTCAGTGCTGGGTCCATGTGTGATAATGGTGTTCAAGGCGTCGATGGTCTCGGGCTTCAATGTGTAGTTGAATGTCGGTTGTGACACGTCTCGCAAAAGGTCAGCAAGTGAGACGGTGTTGACTGCTTGGATAGTAATTTCGTAAGTCTGCCTTTTGCGAGACTTCGTTAGTCGACTCTCCTCATTGGCCGCAGGTGGAGGAAAAGGTTCACCGCCCTTGGGATACCATACGACGGTGTAAGTCTGGCTTTTTTCTGGGAGTGTTATCTTCTCTGTGGACACAAGCTTCTGGCTCCAGTCGCTTGTGATCTTGACGGTTGAAAAAGGTGGCATGTCCAATAGTATCTCTATCAATCGCTTCTTCTTGGCTTTTTGTAAATCTTCGTCCGAAAATATGAGCGAGTACCGGTACAGATGTGTGTCCTTCTTGACGGCCTTTAATTCGAAGAAGTTCGCGTGCAGTACGATAGCCCTTCCAGCTATACCATAGGCCGGTCGGGAAGGCAGCGCAAAGTTGATGGAGCTGGCTGCCATCGCTGATGACAAGGTAGGCTTGACCATCTCATTCTCCAGCTTGACGACTTGGGGATTGGGTGGCGGGACTCGACCGTTGCTATGTACGTGTCAGATATCTAGGTATATGTCTGTAGATGAAGGCCACTGTTTGTACAGCCGCGACAACTACTACAGTGCTCACGTTATCTGACCAATCGTTTAGTGTAGCTTACCCGAAAACTTTGACCTCTTCGCGAGGTGGTTTATAATGCATTGCGCCTCCACCGCGGCCACGCCCGCGTCCTGCCATTGCGGATATGCTGTTAGGGTTTGGAGCTGTAAATGTTTGAGTGTTGAATGAGCGAGACAGTAAAGGCTAGTGGATATGTGATCTGGATAGTTTGTGGGAGTGGCTCCAAAATTGGTGAGATAGGGAAGTTGAAGGGAGCAGAAGGGCATTTATAATTGACGTCCAGGGCTGAGACCTGTCTCAACATGTGACTGCCTGTTGGTCATGTTGTGAAAGGATCGAGCGGTGGACGGGCGGGCAACCGAGCCCGGTCTGCAGCAGTCTTACCTCACCAAGTAATGTCTTCCTATAGCTGGATTGAACACTCGGACACCATGTGAGACTTCAGATCGACACTCTTGAGAGGATGGTCCAACCCTCAAAAGCGTCCGACCGCATATGCTACGTTGAAGCTACCATCTGGTGTGATCCAGTAGCAACAGCACAACGGTTTCTGGACATGGCGTCTCAGATTTCCCCCGCAGACTCACCGGTCTGTCTATCTTGTGTGTAACAGTCTCTGGGCCAACATTGGACAGTGATGGGCAAGGGTGGTTGTAAGAAACTACCGCTGTCAATAGCCTGCAGCTCTTGAAAACTCCGAGGACAAGTTGCGAACATGACTGCGCGTTCTTGGGCAGTGTGCTGAAAAGACTCATGTGAAGGGATATATCAGTCCCTCGAGCAATATCGTCTAGGTGTATGCTACGCCTGGCGACTGGCGACTAGTCATGGCCATATGATTGGACATGGCCGCAACCGATGTCGGCTGACCAGTTGTAGCTGAAGCTTGCAAAATATCGTCATCGTGATATGTGTTGGACTGGTTTATCTGGGGTAATTGGAAGGCAGCTAGTAGATGGCGCACGGACTCTGTAGCGCGACATCGGCTTGAATATTCGGCGTCACTTTGCAAGAACATCACCAACTCAACCCCACAACACAACACCATGCCGCCACGATTAAACATCCCCGCGTTCACGCGATCAATCGCATTCCGGCCAAGGCCTCAGGCTCAATGGCCTGCTCGGTCAGCACTCCGCCTGGCACCGTCGCAATGCCGCCTCTACTCGGACTCGACCAAGACTCCAGCCGCCGACCGATCGAAGCGAGAGGATGCGAAGCCGATTGAACATGTCTCGGAGGAAGCAGCCTCTATGGCAAAAACAATGGGAGAAAAGGGCCCTGATCTAAACCAGGGCACACCGATTGAAGATGTGAGGTCATTCGTAGCGCACATTGCAAGGCGAAGACTAACAATGTGCTAGGTAGTCAAGGGAGACAAGGAGGCGCAACAGAATCTGCCAAAGGTGATGCAGGACAAGCTCAACTCGCAGAAGCCCAAGACGACGCCCAACATGGCACCCAAGGGATCACGGTCATATTCGACTATGACGACACAGCCAAGTGGGAACAGCGGCATGGACATGGGTCTGGTAGACTTGCAGTCTGTGTCAAAAGCACCGGCGACCCCAGGACTGAAGTTTGAGATGCCATCTCTACCTCTTCCAAAGGATGGTCACGTCAAGCACCGCCACGACCCCGTAGTTGACCAGGTCACCAATCTGCTCATGCGACACGGCAAGAAGAGCGTTGCAGAGCGGGTAGGTCAGCCAACCTCGAAGCATAGCCTGCAGATAACTGACTTGACTGGCAGAACATGGCGCTGATCCTGCAACACCTTCGGACATCACCAGTTCCTACCATTAACCCATCGCGACCGCTGCTCCCTGGCGCACCCCCACCGTCACATCTCCCGCTCAACCCCGTGCTCTACCTCACTCTTGCTATCGACTCGGTCGCCCCTCTCATGCGCATCCGAAGTCAGCGAGGTGCCGCTGGAGGTGGTGTTGCTCTACAGATTCCCGTTCCGCTGGGTCAAAGGCAACGGCGGCGTGCTGCTATCCAGTGGATCATGGCCGCTGCATCCAAGAGGAGGAACGCGGGCAGTGGCAAGGGCAGCTTGGCCCAGCGTATCGCTCAGGAGCTCATCGCTGTAGTACAGGGCACGAGCGGAATCTGGGACAGGCGCAATGCCATCCACAAGCTTGGTGTTGCTGCACGAGCTAACATTGTTCTGCCCCGAAAGAGGTAGAGCGTCCAGGCATGCGGAGGAGCGTCAATGTATAATATATCTATCAATGTCACCGTTGCAACGGCCTACCGTGTCTTTCCGCTGTATGTCAGGTGGTTGGGAACCAAATGATGAGGTAACTTTGAATGTACTTTTTAGCTAGACTGGGCGAGTAGCTCCGCGCGAGCCATGCCAGCACAGCCACACCTGCTCCACCGGTCGCCAAGCACATGATGAATGAATGCGTTGATTCTGAACAGCTCAATATGCGCACAGCTCGATTGGGGTTGGCAATAATTTAACGGAAAAGACTTCCTATATCCGCGTACGGCTTCAGGTCTATTCCCACACGTCGTGATTCGGTCCCTGTGTCAGCGGCGTGAGGCAGCTTGCTGGTGATCTTCGCATGCCAAGCACTGCCAAACCGCCAGATGTTGAGGGGCTCGATGCCCACTTCCCACCGCCTGGACCAAGAATACCCGCGACCGTCGTCTCGCGCTGACTGTTCCCGAAAAGCTCCATTGTCTGCTGTCCGAGGTTTCATTTCCATATGTCGTCCGCCTCCATCAACCTGCTAGGGAACAACTTGTTCTCCGACAGCGGTTAGCTATATACTACGGTTCGGCCCGCCATCGCTTTCAGCTACAGTCTTTGGAATTACTACCCCACCGCTGTTATTAGTACCATCACGCGCTCACCCCACATCTTTCCAGACCAGTGACTGCTCGGTACTGGACCGCTGGCATTTGTAGCCCCTTCACCCGACAGCACACAGCTAGGCCTATGATGCCATAGCGCAACACCAATTGATACCTTCAATCACTTCAGCTACCCCGCGAGCAAGACCGCGTTTTACTACCCTTCTTCGACACGCATTCACGCTTCACTCTACACACTCCGTTGTCCACACTCCGCACGCGACTCTGGTGAACATTTCCACACCGCTACCATGGCGTCACTCGAAGCTGCCATTGACGAGGAGATGAGGGAGGTTAACAAGATCCTCGAAGGCAACCAAAATCCTGGACCACGTCGTGCAGAGAGTCCAGTGGCGCGCGCGCAAAGTCCTGGCTCGGCTGCCTCGCCCATTCGCAGCATGCTAGACATCGATACTCCGGGGCAGCGCAGAAGCTCTAGCCGCGGAAGCACTGGCATCCCCTTCGCCATGCCCAAATCACCGCGTCGAGTGAACCCCGAATCAGCCTACAAGTTCGAAATGCTGCCATCCATCGACGCACACGCTATGCCTAAGCGAGTATCTCAAGGTGGCAAGCTGGATGCTAATGCGAAGCCTCGCGCCATGTCGTCTGTTTATGGCAACTCCAGTGGCTTCTATGGCTCTTCGAACTCAAAGGAAAGACACAACTCCATGAACGGACCCATGGGCAGATCCAAGTCAGGCTCTCCGGGTCCCAATCGATCTGCTTCTCCAGCAACGCGCATGCTGAACCCGGCGCAGCCCGCCCCAACATCAAACAACACTTTCGTGACAGACTCGGGCAAGCGCATTGACATGGACACAGCCTATCGCAAACTCTCCGACTCCGCTTTGGCGCGCTCTGAGGGCGGCTTATCCTCGCTCCCCAATCGCAAGGGTGTTGATCCTGTCAAAGGCACTGCTACCGCACCGGGTGGGGGTGTGCGTCTGGCGACAGATGACGATGGCGAGGACAGCGCTGCTGTCGAGAGTAGTGACAACAACGCCTCCGATAGTTCAGATTGGGATGACGGCTGGAAAAAGACCAAGAAAACAGAGCGAGGTAGACAGCGGTCAAGAAAGTCATCTGGAGGCACCGACAGTATGGGTAGAGAAGTCATCACTGCTAAGAGCCTGCTGGCTGCTGCTGAGCAAGAGCGTAAGTGCTATGATTATGTCGAATTGTTCATCAGACACTGACTGTAATCAGGGCGAGAAGTTGCAGTCTCCTACAAAGTGCGATCACTACTCGAGCCATCGATAAACGTCACCGGCCCAAACGGCGAGAGGATGACGAGAAAGAACTCATCGGGAGTGGTACATCCTCATACAAGTTTTGACCAGGGCGGTTCAGGTCTTTCGACCCCGGTTCATTCAGACCATGAGGATGAGCTTGCCGAAATCAAATCAGCCCAGCAGCTTTCTCTAAACATCTCGCCTATCCAATCAAGTCCAGAAGCCCACCGTTGTGTTCGGCAAATTATCAGGGGTGACTATGTTCAATTTGCCGAAGATGCGAAGAATGGATTGAGAAGACAGCGTGTATACCTGGTGTCTACTGATCTTAGCGACGAAGCAGCATATGCCCTGGAGTGGACGATCGGCACCGTTTTGCGAGATGGCGATACCCTTCTAGCAGTCTACGCTGTGGATGAGGAAACAGGAGTAGCGACGACTGATGCTTCCGGTGCGCCTATCAGTCAAGGTACTACCGGACGACAGGAATCAGACCATCTCAAGAGGACACTGTCCAACCATGACGGTTTACCAGCGACCAGACCCGGTTTTTCTGCTCTGTCTAGCTCGATAATGGCAACGGAAGCCAATGTGGGTGCCATGGGAAAGGCAGAGAAAGACAGGTATCAGGCATGCGTAGAGGTCTCTGACCGGTGTGTTAAACTGTTGAGGAAGACGCGGCTGCAAGTGCGAGCCGTTGTTGAAGTGTTCCATTGCAAGAGCCCCAAGCATATGATTACTGAAGTCGTAGGTTTTTTGAGCTGGTATTTGATCTCGGAACAATGTGCTGACAGACGGTGAACAGATTGACTTTTTGGAGCCTACCCTGGTAATTCTTGGGTCACGAGGCCGGAACGCGCTGAAAGGGTATGTTAAGCTCTCTACATACGGGACGCATAAATGCTAACTGTGGCAGTGTTCTACTCGGATCTTTCAGTAACTACCTGGTAACCAAATCATCGGTGCCAGTCATGGTTGCCCGGAAACGACTCCGGAAACACAGCAAATACAAACGGCAAAACGTGCGGATGTCCAACGTCATCGCAGGTTCTAATGACAGGCTCGCAAATGCAAAGATCGATTAACCGCTTGTTTAGTAATTTGTCAACTATGCGTTTTGGAAGGTGTTTTGCGTCCAACGGGTGGTGGTCTCCGCCTGAAGATTTGAGTTTCGGTATCACGAAACGTGAGAGGTTTGGCAGGACCACATGCCTGGGCTTGGTAATCGCTGGAGTCTGGGTTTGGTTTCTTACAACATGTGTATCTTTACACCGATATGAGGAGTCAACCTCTTGTCGCCAGTCTATTTATATCCAGATCGACTCAGGCACGACATGCTTCAGATGCGCTCATGACTGGGACGCCCCATGGTAGGGCTTAGCCTCTTCACAATATGACCGTTCAGCTTCATAACGGTGCTACATCATAACCACTTTCCGCTAGAACGGGTTCGTCCGGAAAATTACATGTCGTGTAAGATTAAAGGGCGCTGCATGTTATAATTGCTTTTTACCTTCTAGAACTTCTAGCGTGTGGCATGTCGAGTCCACCCTGAGGCGTTTACCGGAACGTCTCCATGAGGCTGCATGTTTCAAGTTGTGTGTATTTCTTTTGCAAGTCGCGGCTGCCCCTTCCGAAAGATTGCGACGTCACCCGGGCTGCCCGTTGTTGCGCGTATGAGGGCCGTGCAGACCCGTATCAGTACCCGAGCATCTGGATCGCCCAAACCTTACTACCTTTCACTACGCCTTATACATCTTAACCTAATGTCAAAAGTCAGCCAAGACTTCATCGTACCCCGCAAATACGCAATGCGGTAGTCGGTGCGCGAGGGTGCGCGAGGGCCCGCTTGTGGCGGCAGTGGGCTGACGGAAAACGTTCATGCATGGCACCGTCCTCTCACGATTCCTACAGCTGAACCCAGGACCAGAGCGCGGCTGTGCGCCGGCGTTCTTGGGTGCAGATGGAGGGATCATGGGTCTTGAAGGTAGAGGTGTGCTACTCTAGTCAAAAAGGTCTGGATGCCTTGTTGTAAAGGGTTCAGTTCATCATCAAACACTTCTATCTTTCTTTCAAACTAGGCGGATAATGTATTTTCCTATGGCGTTGCCAACATCATTTCAATACTTCTCCCGATTCGGACAGTGCAGTTTCCTTGATATCGACGAAGACGAGCTGGACACTTCGAGCCTCCATACACGAACCGTCAAACCTGCTGCACGAGAGAATCTGATCAATCGACACAGATGGACGGCATCGACATTTGACACCAACATCGATGCAACTACCCTTTTGTCGGACATCGGCCATCTAGCACCTTCACTCATAAAAGAATTTATCCCCAAGGACCACGTAGAGAATACCTTTCCCTTTCGGTTGATCAACGACATCGATTTCCACGGCGAGGAAGAAGGATACATCGCACTCAGCTACTGCAGAAAACAACTCACCTTGAACGCACCAAGAAGAGTCGTTACACCAGTAGGAGATCTTCCTTTTGGATGGCAGAAGGAAGTCGAGCAGTTCCCGCTACCGACTAGCGCTGCACTATTTGAGGCTGTCATCAAAGAAAGGAACAAGGGTGAGGGACTGTGGTTCGACCAAGTGTGTCTCGAACAGGAGGATGAGAGCGAAACGACAGGAATCGTCGGTGCCATCGATGTCATCTACAAGAATGCAAGGGCGGTTGTCGTAGCACTGGACGATATTGCTGTTACGCCAGATGAGGAACAGTTCCTGCGCTACTATGTCGAGCAATATAGCTACTCCCAGCTGCCTTCAGGCCAGGAACCCAATGCAAGACTAACGCCACCTCTCATGGAGCAGTTCAGCCCCTTGAAGACTTTTCTCGAGCGAATCATCGGCTCAGATTGGTTTGAGCGCGCATGGTGCTCGCACGAGATGAAAATGGGGCGAAGCCATATCTTCCTAGTACCTTCGATCCGGCACTACGAAGACGAGGTTCAAACGATCACGCGGTTTACTGGAGATTTCTTCATTCATTTACTGGTTCTTGCCAGTGAGCTCGCGACGTTCACTCCGCCAGTGACGGCAAAGATCCGCTCACTTTTGGCATTCTTCCAGGAGCTCGATATGCTCAACAGACATGGCCAAAATGCACTACGAAGACCAGATACCCCACACGATCAGCCTCCTACAATGCAATCATTCACTTCATTGGTTACGGACACTTTTCGCCTGAAAGCAGGTGGCGATCCACGACTACCCGAGTATGTGCGGAGGCTTGACGCAAATCGTGACAAGACCGCTATAGCATTGAATGCTTCAGGTCTACCTCTAGCTCTAGCCCCTCCAGGTCCATTCTCAAGACCGAACATAGAAGATGAGTGTCTCCGCTCACTACTCCTTGTCGGTATCGCGGCGCGAGACCCCGTCGCACTTTGCACAACTGGTACGCCACTCCAACTTCACGACGGATCAGTCTCCTGGCTATGCCGTCCGACCCCCCTCGACACCGCCGCAGCTCGTTCCCCACCACTACACTTCTCAAGCCAAGCAGGGCAGATTGTTCAAGCCTCGGATGGCAGAGCAGAGTACGCGCAGCTGGATCTTATCTTCCTCGACCTCCCACACCGGACACAACCCAGCCCATCCTTTCCTACACACGTCGTGCGAGCACGCATGATAATCGACCTGTGTGTCCAATACCACATCCCCGGATCAGGATTATGGAATTTTTCCGTTGCACCCAATCACCCACGCACACCCGCTCTGCGCAACATCTTCATCCAGACACTAGCCTGCGTCTTGAGTTGCGGATCGCAATGGCTGTTGGAAGTCTTGAACGGTCTGCAAGACGTAAACCAACCGAGACTTCTACCATATGATATCGAGATGCTACTGAACCCTCATCTCATATTACAAAACTACATTCTACTTCCAGAAGGCCAGACGGCGTTGTCGTCGTTGGTTCACTTCCTTTCTACATTGATCACATCGGGAATACCCTGGCCGTCAGGTGCTTCGGAACGCACGCATGGGCCTTTGATTATTTCTGCTCCTTCCTCGTCGTCTACATACGACTACTCGGGCGCACCACTCCAAAGCGGTAGCGGTAAAGCCATAATCTTCGCTCCATTCGAACACTCCAAGACGCTTCTCATTGCTGTTCCGGACGTGGTTAAGGGGACGGAGTACGCTCCTCTAGCCCGAGGCTGGATTCTAACAAGCATGAATCCTTTTACTGGGAGTCCAAAACCGACTGTTAGTTGGACGCTGCAGAGTAAAGGGGTTGTGTTTGGAGATGCGGGGTTCAGTGGGAGGTTGGCGGGGTGTGGCAGGGGGGAAGTGAGGAACCATAGGGTTTATGGGTCATTGAGAAGGTCATAGACACATTTCTTCTTCTATTGGCGTTTGTGGGAATATATGGAGGTGATCTGGATAGATGGATTGGATGGAATTTATGACTCTAGATTGATGTTGTATATAGATTGTATAGATATTGTGATATGAATTATTGTATATTACCAGACTACTTCACAGATTTCGTATGCGTCGCCATGATGCCTTTTTGTGCAGTGTAGTGAACTAATCATGTCTTTCACTATCAACATAGAACTAGCATTATGATATCTCCGTGTACTCTCCCGTTACCATTATCAGAGGTACATCTTACCAAATACCACACCACGTTCCCAGCGACAGGATCCCATCAGACCTCGAGCACGAAGACTGCAGGAATGGAGGACAAAATACGTGCATACACTACGTCACCAAACTCAAACATGTCTATTGCTACTTACTCATCAGCATACCCACACATGCACATAATCACCACCAAAACGCTGAGAAACTTTGCATGTGTTTACTTTTTGTGACTTGTCGTGGGTGCAGGGCGCGACGTGCATGGAAGCCATGCATGGAAAGATCTGAAACACAGTAGCGTGAATCGTAGGAATCCTGCGATCGTTGTTGGATCGTGTATTAAGATGGGGCGACGTATCGTGGCTTGAAGGATTTGGATGGGCGGCTGAACGGCTGAAGTTCGGTATGTGCGCGCAGGATTGGATGTTGTGGGCGCGGAAAAAAAGAAAAGAAAGCATTAGTGGGAGATGGGGACGTTTTAGATAACGTCTTCAGGGAAGAAGGGAGAAAAAAAAGGAAAGAAAGTGGATTTTTCGATCTGCGACCGCGTGTTATGTAGGATGATGGAGGGGTTTGCATTCCTTCCATGGAGTCGATCAAACAGGCTGCGAGTGTTATCCAGGTAGCTGGGAGTTTGTGGCTGAGGTTTCAGGTCCTTCTGTAAGTGATTTTGTTTTTCCTTCTATGGCTTCTGGGATGAGGGTAAAAATAGTGATGTGTGCGTGTTGACATGGCTATGAGAGTGGTGAAGATTGGCTTGGTGAAGGCTGAATCGTGGCATGCATGCAGATACGAGTAATAATCCCATGCGGGGTGGATCAAACAGGACTGACTGGCTTGGTCATGTTCAACCCGATATTAAGCTGGGGATAAAGGTGTATGCAAGTAAAGAAGTTTCAGGTCGTTCCATAGCATAGCTGACGATATTTTGTTGTTTTTTTGTTTACACTTGCTCCCAAGGACGAACCGAGGTTGTTACGCCAGACGCCGAGTGTAGTCCATCGTGCCTGCATGAGTAGAAACCGTGAGGGAGGTGCATGATTAGTCGAGTATAACATATCGAGACAGAAAAGCAAAGCAGGAGTTTCGATAATACGATGACCTGGCGTTGTATAGCAATTGTACATGCTAAGAATTGATATTCGTTATTCTACCCTTGATAGATCATGCTATGCCCGCTTTCCGTACTCCTGCAGTCCATCCAAGGATGCTCAAGTGGTCTCAGCACCCAAGGGCGCCAGTTCATTGACGATGAAGTCTCTCGCCGAGTACAAATTCGTGGAACCGTACACGACTCTTCTTTGCTGACCAGGACCTGCAGCGCTAGTCCGTTGCGACCACGCTTGTAGATTACCAAACTGTAGAGGCAGATAGTCAGTATATGCTTCACTTGTGTTTGTGGCCACGTCGACTTACTTCGTCCATGCTGCCGCCTCCTACAGGGAAAACCAATGCTTCTGTGTAGCCTTGTCGTCTTTGCCCGAACGAGGCTTCAATGCCGCGCGAGACGGTGCTTTGGTTCCGTGTCTGGCTAGCTGGCGGTATGGTTCCGCGGGCGTTCGCTGATCGGGGGTCGAAGTAGAGCCAGGATTCTATCTTGTTCAGTGCACTCGAGGTTGCGTCTATAGGTAGCAGTTAGTAAGAGTCTCGACATGCGTTACCAAAGATTTGGCTTACTTTGAGGATCGGAGATGGCCTCTACAACTTTTGTTAGGGTCAGATCCTTGTTGGCTGGCAAGTAACTCTTGATGCCGGACTAGAGAACAGGACGTCAGTCGTTATTCCATGGGCCGAACGAAGCACTTACTAATACACCCTCGAAGTTGGGTGCTCCTAGACCGGCTTCTTTGAATTTGTCTGAGACGCGACTGCTTAAACTCGAGAAGCCACCGAAGAGATTCGATGACGCCTGTGCTGGCTGCGTAGGCGCAGAGCTCAACATGGTCATACGCGTAATCTGGCGAACTGTTTTAACATATGCTACAGCTGTTGTATCACATCCAGCTTGTTCCAGAGCTTGTGTAAAGCTGTCGAGCTCGTTGCGCGATAGGTCATCAGACGTAGTCAGATACCACTGTAGGAACAAACGTAGCTTGTCGTACGGATCATTTCCCTTGTCCGTAGATTTGATTATGTCTAAAATGGTTGCTTTAGTGGCCTTTCCAAGCTCTTCTTCGAGCTGGAAGAACTCGTCCAGTTTTCTCTGCTTGATGCCGTCCATGACGGACTCGAGCATGCTCATGTGGCTCTCAATAGTCGCCTTGCGCTCACGGAGCTCGGGAAGCATGGATATGGCGCCCTTTAGATGAGCTGCGAACTGGGTTTCCATATCGTCGATGGAGTTAGAGCCTGTAGAGTTCGTGATCTTGTCCGCATCTGCCGTATACTTGGTCCACTCGTTTGTGACGTCGTCTGCTACTTGAGGGAAGGGTTGGGCTGCATTGCGTTTCCAGAAGTAGTCGCTCGCAGCCAAATCGTAAGTCTGTTTCTTGGAACCGCTCTCAGGCTTCTCCTTATCGTTTGGCACGGTCACAACGACCTTGTTGAGGGAAAAGTCTAGTACGTCGTAAACAAGACTTTGGTATATCCACGAGTGACTGAACATGGGGCAAAGGTCGATGTTGCGGTCAACGATGATGAGCACAGGGCGAGACGCTGTGTTGGCGGAGAAGAGATTTTCCTTGCTGTTGAGAATGTGATCGCGCAACTTTCGATCAAGCTTGGCCGCGATATCGGAAGCAGCTCCACCTGTTGGGCAGCGTATAATGGGAACCACTGCCATGGTGACTACGACCGAGAAGAGGCCTGAGACGATACGATCGATCAGCTCATCGAGCTCCTGGTCCGACGTCTTTGGGCTATTTATCTTTCGATAGGCATCCTCGATGTTCAGGGAGAATTGGTCGCTGTCGAGGGTGACAAAGTTTAGATACTGGTCGTATATCTGGGCGAGGTTCTCGGCAGCCGATGGCGAGGACGCGATCTGGCCACCCCAGTCTTCTAGGAGTGCTCTGGGGACACTTGACAGGAAGTTGACGTATACCGGTGTGTACAAGCCATCGTTCAGATCTTTGGTCACCAGCGCTAGATTCTCGGCTGTGGGCGCGATCAGGTATATGCCTGGTGTGTCGGGTATGGGGCTCCGCTTGGATGCAAGATTGAAGTGTACAGTAACCTGCATGCCCTCAGTATTCTACAGCCATATTCTAAGGGGGGTTGACCGTACCCCAGCCGCTCTCAGGTCATTGGTACGCAGTACTGCGGATATAACATTCCTCGCCTGGGTATCGAGGATCAGCACTTTCCACTCGATATCCGCAGTGTTGGTGGTTGCGCTGGACTCTTCAGGAGCGTCGACGTCGTTGATGGGGGCATTGAGGCTTTCGGGAGTCAGCACAGGGTCGCCGGCCTTGCAGGAGTAGGACCACTCACTTGAGTATGCGCTTAATGGCAGCTATCACGTGTGGTTAGTGGTATGCTGCAGTATCAAAGAAAGTCGCATACCAATCTGGCGGTCCCGCAGTGAAAGAGCCATTGTATTTCGTCCTGGCACCCGCCGTGTGTCAAATTAATCGCATGCGCAGAAAGAGGGTGAGAGGCGTGAAGGAAGTATGATTCGTGTAGTCAGGCCGCAAAGAAGACACTGTGGCGCGTCTGCCTGCCCGCGCTCTCACTGCTGTCCCGGACTTTGGTGATGCAGCTCGAGCTTGCCCGCCCCACCCGGGGCTAGCGCGTCGCGCTACTTGGCGGGCAGGCGACCTTTGAAAACGGGCTCGCCCCTTCGCTGCGCTCCCTCGCCCTTCAACTCACCTCGCCCACAACAACCAACCCCCTTCTTCCCTCTTGACACCCATGCTACTTCTCAGTGAACTCTCGCCCACCTAATAAGGGCATCTGATTCTGAGGCTAGATTCAACCGAAAGGTCCTTGCTTTGGGGGAAGTGTGCGCTCAGGCTGGCAGCGGCGTTTGTGAGGAAGGCGTGCGTTGTGGAGGGCAGAGTGACAATCATCTTGGATTTTCTGCTACTAATACAGCTCCGTCTTCGAGTCGACGCACAAGCATCAGGGAGTCTGGCCGGGCTATCGCGCAAGGCGGAGATCAGCTCGTCGCAGACATACAACGCGTGCTGTGTACTGGGTGCGCGCGCAAACGTCAAGTGACGCATCAGCAGCAGTGTGCTCCTCATCGCATAATACGCGAGGCAAAGTGCCATCTCCATAAAAGCCATATCTACGCATCGTAGACTGGGGGCAACACGGCATTGCGGGCGCCGGGGACACGAGTACTGCCTTGTGAGCCAGGTCTGTTGCATTTCCCACCAAATCCGAGGGCCAGCAACGGGCATCAGTAAGGCTGGAAGCGCTCTGCAGCCAGTCCAACACAGCAGCACAACAGCACTACCGCCCGAACCGGAAGTTTTATCGACCTATTTCTCTTCCCCGAATCGGCAACAATTCACACTTGTGACTTTGCGCCAGTCCTCTTAGCGCCTAGTGCTTGCTGCGTTGTCGCCTAATTCATCCTGTTTGCTGGTTTCAGACATTTGTGCGTCATCAGCCAATCACACCCCTGTAAGCTGACAGCTGACACTTTAGTTAGCCAAGAAATCCTCCTTTCACCAGCCACACTATGGCGTCTAATCACGTGCCGAGTGACCAAGTGCCCATGCAAGGCCAGAACGTCTATACCGACCCGTCATATCAGCATCTTTTTCCTCCTGTCGACCGTTACGGCACCCCTTCATGGGAGACCCAGTTACATCAACACACGACGCTGCCACCTAATGCGTCAGCCCAGAGTTGGCACCATGGGTCCTTCGCACAACAACCCTACAATGCTAATAGCCAGTCCTACGGCGGTCAACAACATGGCCTTCGCACTGCTTCGCCATATCAGTATGGACAATTCGGTCAGCAAAACAACTTGGGCGGTTATGGACAGCAATCGAACGTCGATCCATCGCTAGGCATGGATCCCAACACCATCCAACAACAACAACAACAACAACAGCAACAACAACAACAGCAACAACAACAATCACCATACCCAATGCCTATGCGAACCCACACTCCCCAGGGTCATGCCAGTACCGTGACGCCACAAGCTTTGCAACACAACATGCCTCCGCTTCAACAATCCCGCCCTACGGCATCTCCTTACCAGGTAAGCTTCACCAGTATATAATATCATGGAATAAATGCTAATCTCCTACAGGCACCTAAGAGTACACCCGACGCTTTTTCTCAGCAGCGAGCTGCACCTACCTCTTTTGTGAAGCCAGTGCCTGTGCCTGAGTATGACATACCGAAGGGCAGGAAGTCGGGGGGTCTTTACGTTGTTGACCAGGCTGCACTAGCAAAGGCCACTAATTCTACTCCTCTGAATAAATTTGTGACCCTGGGCAATGAACCCTTTCACCTCGCAACTAATAGAAGTAAGCCTCAACGTAGTACAAACCTTTCACACAAGACACTCTCTAACATGTGTACAGCTGCACTCCCTGTTTACGTCCCTCGGCAATCACTCAAGGATCTGAAGAAGGCTGGAGCGGACAGCAAGAAGCTTCGTGCCAGTCTGTCGGCTGCCAAGTCTCAGTCAAGAGCCTTCAAATCTGCAAGGAAACCTACAGAACTGAAGAGACAGGCCAGTGATAGTGAAAGCTCGACTGACTCCTCCGACTATGATAGCGATTCTTCGGAAGAAGAAGAGATGCCGGTGCCGGAGACAAGGCCAGAAGATCCTGATGCTGCTGTTCGGTATGATGTTGTCAAAGCTACGTGGCATCCTTCATCATCATCGCCAAGCTCCGACAAGATCAAGAACAGCATGCGCGAGATTTGGGACGTACTTGACACCATTCATAAGCGGTGGCGTGCCGACAGCAAAGCTGTGACGGAAGCGGAGGAACAAAAGAAGATAGGCGAGCTGCCCGTGCTGAAAAGCCGGGTAACTAGTCAGCGTGATTTGCTCAAGTCTGCCCTTGAAGCTGCGCTTGAGTTTTCCCATCCTGATGTGCTTTACCAGTTGGGGCTGATTAAGCCTTTCTTGTACCTGTGCTACCAGTTTCTGGCAAACCGATTCAAAAGCAAAGACTACGATGGGCCATTATCTGCGGTTATATACGAGGTGCTCTCGCGATGCGGTACATTGACTTCTGAACTCCTTGAAGAGACTAGGCTTGTAAAAGCACTTGCGTCCATGAAGAAACACGCAAATGAGAAACACAAGGCCTTCATACAACAAATTATAGATGGTGCTGCTGCCAATTCCAAAAAGGCCAAAGCAAGTCCTCCGCCAAAAGCCGAGCTAGCAGAGAACAAGGGCATCAAGCGACCTGCAACAGAGGCTGCGGGCCGCTCAGCGAACGAGAACCCTCTGACGAAGAAACCAAAAACACCCGAGGCTCCCGCCAATACAGTCAAGAAGGATCTCGCGTCCACTTTGGCTTCGAAGCCTGCGACCGCTGGCACCAATACCACTGTACAAAAGCGACCTGGCGAACGGGCAGCGCCGGCGCCAGCTCCTGTCAAGACCCGTGTTAGTCAGGTCACCAACAAGCCTTCAGGTATCTTTGCCTCCCTCAACGCAGCCGCCAAAAAGCCGGTGCCTACGCCAGCTGCTGCGAAGGCTGCTGCTCTGCCTAAAGCTGCTGCTCCAGCGGCAAAAGACAAGAAGCCAGCGGCCACGACAGCATCGAAGCCTGCCTTCTCGTTCGCTCAAACAATGGCGTCACTCCAAAAGACAAAGGAGCCAGAAGCAGCGCCTGTCAAATCCGAGAAGCCAGTGCCAACGGAAACCGAAGAAGAAAAGACCAAGCGCTTGCGGAAAGAAGCTCGAAGACATCTACGCGTCACCTGGCGGCCTGAAACGTCATTGGTGGAAGTCAAGTACTTTGATCATGAGGCTGACGATGAAGAGATGGACGACAAGGAAGATCATCTTGTTCGGGATGCTGGTGACATTGGGGGAGAGGGACACATGTTCAAGCAACACAAAGAGCTCGATCTTGACGATGACGACGAAGAACTGGATATGGAACGACCCTGGCCGCCGCCGTCCCAAGTCGATTTCAGCGTTGTGCCCTCCGAAGAGCGCCAACGTAACTACATGCCGTACGGAGGCGGAGAGAAGGTGCCCGAATGCCCTGAAAGAGACGCCAACGTACAGCGCGAGAACAATACGTTGATGGTCTACTACTCAAGTCTAGCCGACATCCCACCTTCACCTCAAGAGCCATCGGAACAAGAGAACGTATCTACGAGCACTGTTGTCAACTTCGGTACCCCACCCGACAAAGTGTTGGTGAGATGTCCACAACCGCCAATGCCCGCAGCCGTACCAGACTTTAGTCAATTGGAGAACATCATCAAATCGCTCTCAGCAACTAGCCAACCTCCTGCCGCTCCTCCAACGGCTCCTGTTGAAAGCACTTACACACCACCACCTCCTTCGACGGCTGCTCCATTCGACCCTGCCGGTCTTCAGAGCATACTCAACTCCATCAGCAACGGCCAAGCCCCTCCGCAGCCTCCACCCGTGTCATTCCCGCAGCCGCCGACACAACAACCAGGCATGCCCTTGGACATTGCTGCACTCATTGCCAACATGCAGGCAGCGACCGGAGGTGCTCTTCCTCCTCCGCCACCACTACCAACTGGATTTCCTCCATTTCCGTTCGCTTTCCCGCCCCAGCCACAGCAGCACGAATCTGCGGCCTGGCCTCCACAGATGCAGGATGCGGCTGCCTACCAACCCCAAATACAAGCACATTACAATCAGCAGACCAACGGTACCAAGCGACAACGCGACGATGGCAACAATAACAACAACAACAACAACAACAACAACGATCGTAACCAAGGAAAGCGGCCTAAGAACCGGGGAGACCACAAGCCTCACAAGGTACTACAATGCAAGTTCTTCGCTAAAGGCCAGTGCAACAAAGGGGAGAACTGCACGTACATCCACGACCCAAAGATGATAGAACGATGATGTTCTGTTCGAGCGAAAGCAGCGGTATTTCTTTGAAAGAAGGTGTTGGATTTGTATAATAAGCGCTTTTTTCTTTTACTCTTCATGTTTTTTCCCAGTCATCTTTTGAGCATCTGCATGCATACCCCCGGACGGTTGACCTGCCCATATGGCAGGTCTCGGAGCATTCACAGGCGTTTGTTACTAGCATTAAGTGGGCAGCATTTGAATGGCGCAGTGTATGGATGTATAATCATGGTCATGGGTGGGGATGGGGATGGTGGGTAGGGGAGGCGGAGGGGAGGTGGTCGAGGTCCTATGTTCATTTACAGGATGCAACAACGGCTGAGTTGAGCTAGCTGTATTTTTCAGGCGGAAGTCACTGTGCAGAAGGATAGCATCATAATTCTAGTTACACACTTGCACGGTGTTGAGCCATCTTTCCAAAATCATGATGTAACAAGTGACGATGACGCGCTATGGAGTAGTGGACTAACAGGCGTTCAGCTGATGTTGAGCGTTTGCAGCCTGGAACACGCAGCTATGAAGTAGCCAAACAGACGGATGAATAACAAAAGCAATCGCATGGCAAAAAAATCAAACTATGCATTCTCCAACTTCTGCAATGTCCATGTCGTCCGCGTCGTTTCGTAGTTTGTAACGTCCATGGTGTTCTGAGACGGTGTTCTTGTGTGGAGTAGCGCGCATCAATCGATTCCGCGACCAGGCTTTCCCGCACGGCAAGCTCCGTCATATCTTTTCACGGGCATCCGACATCACCCAACCTTACCGGACCATTCCAGCCCTCCGCCCAAACACTCCACCGCGCCCCATCACGACTCGAATCGCTGCAACTTCTGGACCCGCACCCCCGGCGCTTCCTACGTTGCTGGTCTCTTGTACCCGGACCTTCTCCGCTGCCGTGTCATCGCTTCGCCGTACACGAGCCGATCCACGACCACCCCACGCCGACTCTATCGCGCCTCCAACCTCCGCCGCTACCCAGACCCCGCAATTATGGCTCCCGCTCGCAAGAGGACTACCAACATCGCGCGTCGCAGGCGAACAGATGACGAGGATGAGAACCAGTCGGTGGCAACCCTCGCCGACGACTCGCAAAGCGACGCTTCCCTGCTGAGCGATGTCGACGAGGACGCCGACGCCGACAACAGCGACCTCAGCGAAGTCGACAGTGCGCCCTCGCTCACACAAGGAAAGCCCAAGCGGAAAGCAAATGGCGCGCGTGATGCCAAGTCCAGGCCAGATGCCAGCAATCGTCAACCTTCCCCGCCCATCGCCCGCTCCGATGTTGCCTTCTCCACCATGAAAGAGACGGAAATCATGATGAACGGTCTGAAGATTGGAGAGGATGGGAATGAGGCTGAAGTAGTCGATTTCGAGACGGGCGTGGCAGCGGTAGACGCCGCACCCGCCGTGGGTGCGCCTCAGTCGCGGACAGAGACGCTGGCCGAGCGGCGGCGGCGGGAGCATGAGGAATACAAGAAGAAGCGCGACTCCGATCCGGCCTTCATACCCAATCGTGGCGCCTTCTTCATGCATGACCAGCGGCATGCGCCCGGTCAGAATGGCTTTAGGCCCGCAGGCCGTGGACGAGGGCGGGGCGCTCCCATCGGCGGGCCATTTTCTCCAGCAAAGTACGTACAAATGCAGGGACCAAAGAGGGTACATTTAACTAACATACACTCTAGCATGAGGCCGCAGCCACAGGAAGCCACAGACTCGCCCTGGCAGCACGATCTCCACGAAACCGTCAACGCGCCCGGCTCTCACGCACAGCCTGGACTACCTCCAGCTGCATCGAATGCCCCCCTGTTCGCGTCAAGGGTACCCCCAGGCCCCAGTCAGAAGCCTCCACAAGCTCGAAACTTCTCTACTACGGTGCACACACACAACGCCATGGTACGCGTCTTCTTGCCCAACATGAAGGGCTCTATACACTTTCAGAACGTCCCCATCAAGTCGCACACTCGTCTCCCCAACCACCGACCGCCCCTACGCCGCGATAAGCCAGTTCGTATATCTTTACCCCCGGCCCCACCGCGATACATTTTCCCGACCACAGAGCGTTCCTTCATCTTCATACCAAGGGCACTTCGGCCCAACCAACAGGGCTTTGGTCGGGGTCGCGGCCGATTCGGGTCCTTTGGCGGAGGCTTCTCAAGCAGACGTACAAGCGCATACGGAGGCAGTGTGTACTCACCCAGTGTAGCAATGAGTAGGAGGTCTTCTATTGCACGCGAGATGGGTCGGGACAATCTGGTCTCTCCGGCCGGCTCTATCATGTCACGCAATGGTGGCTTTATGGATCCTAGTCGTCCTGTTGTACGCCTCCCGCCTGGCGGTCCTAGAATGCCCAACGGGCCGTCAATGATCTCGCCTACGAACGGTGCTGTACAGCCACCTTATCCTCTCCCGCAGAAGCCGACTTTCCGTGAGAATTGGCAAGGTCAGCTTCCCATGCATCAGCCCCGCCCACAGAAGACTGTTTCTGTTGCTGGCATCGAGTCGCCCGCGTCCATGAGCTTCAATCCTCCGCAACAACAAGAGCAGCAGCCGTTTCACCAGCAAGTCCCCGCGCATATCAATGGGGCTGCTCCAGCAGTCGAACAACCTTACTACCAGCATGGACGTCATCCTTCTTACCCAAGCCAAGTATCAGCCGGAACTCCCAATATCCCCGAACGAGCCATTCATGCTCCCGCGTTCCAGCCTTACGCACAACCTGGCTTCCAGCCGCAAGCCTTTGTGCCACAGGGCTACTACTACCCACAAAGCGGTGCCCAGCCACAGTACATGGCTCCTGCCGGCATGGTGCCCATGTTCGTTCCTGGTGCCCAGCAGCCCGGTTATGCTATGCCAGTGTCTGCTCCTCCTGTCGCCGCTCCACCGGCTCCTACTGGCCCGCCCAATATGGTCGCGTATGAGTCTAATGGCATGACTTACTATGTGGATTCTGCTCAGCTGTACTCTGCGCCGCCAGTGGAGAATTATGCTCAACCCAGCTATGCCGTTCCTGGTATGGGGGGCATGATGACACCTGGCCCGGACGGCGCCTACTACTACCCTCAGCAGATGCAGCCCGCTACCTTCTATCCGCAGCAATAGACGACTAGACTATTTCCGCCCGTCTTACGATCGCTTTAATTATCGGTTTTATATTTCGACATGTTGCGTCCAACTATACAGTTCCTTCCTTGCAGTCGAGCATGGCGCATCTGGGAGGGTTTTTTTGGTTACGATATCTGGTGTTTGAGGCGAAGCACACTTGACAGCGCATCTGGTTTTTTTTTTCTCCTCTCCGTCATGACAGCGAGCGACACAAAAACATTTACACTATCAAACCTGGTGGAAGGCGGGATTGGTGTTTTTTTCTTCGAGCTGCTTTTGATTTGACCCCTTTCACACACACACACACAAGAGATGATTCGCTCACGTATGCATGGTGTTCTGCGTCTTGCGTTCTGCGATTGTTCTGTCCTGGACTTGGGTACTTCTACTCTGTTCTAATAAAGTTATCCTTTGATTCCCCGTTGTTCGATTAACCGGTCTGCAGTTCTTTGGGCTTTCTTGCATTGTGGCAAGCGGCGATGTGTTCGGGTATCAGAAAGGTCATGCAGGCCATTGCCGTGTATGACTTGTGGGCTACTTAGACAAATAAATATTGGTTTCACCACCATGAAACCTGGGCAGTGAAAAGATTAAGCTTTGCTCTAGTGCTTGTAATGTGGTTTGGGTGGTGAAGGGACGTGACGTTGGTTGGGATGCAGTGACATCAGTAGCGGGCTTGGCGTGTGTGCGTGTGTGTGTCAAGGCGCTAAGGAGCTGCATCAGTTCGCCGCATCATCGCGCAGGCGTTCGAGGCAGCTCTCGCTCCATCAACCACCATCTCGCATAACACACGCCCATCGAATCCCGGGACAAGCACACCTCATCCAAAGTCTTGTCTCTCGATCCGCCACCATGGCGCCCAACAAGGACACCATGTTCCGCTCGGCGGACATGTCCTTGACCCAGCTGTACATTGCCAATGAGATTGGCCGCGAGGTCGTCTCTGGCCTTGGAGAGCTTGGTGTCATGGACTTTAGAGATGTGAGCACATATGGACATGTCCTGGAGCTTCACCCGTGGCTCTTGGACGCATGTGATGGCATGGGACGCTGACAAGATGTGCTAGCTCAATGCCGACACGACCGCCTTCCAACGTACCTTTACTCAGGAGATCCGCCGCCTCGATAACGTGGAACGACAGCTCCGTTACTTTCGCGCCCAGATGGAGAAGTCAAACATCTCGATGCGCTCCATCTACGACTTCAACAACCCCTTCACTGCACCTTCCGCCTCCGAGATCGACGAACTCGCGGACAAGAGCCAGAGCTTGGAACAGAGAATCTCTTCGTTGAATGAGAGCTACGAGACATTGAAGAAGCGCGAGGTGGAGCTCACAGAGTGGCGTTGGGTTTTGAGAGAGGCTGGCGGCTTCTTCGACAGAGCCCGTGGCCAGACCGAGGAGATTAGGCATTCCGTTGACGATGATGACGCGCCGCTGCTTCAGGATGTCGAGCAGAATGGACAGGGTGACACGGGCGCCGAGCGCTCATTTACCGTCATGAACATTGGCTTCGTTGCTGGTGTCATTCCCCGAGAACGCATCGCCGCATTCGAGCGCATCTTGTGGCGTACCCTGCGCGGTAACTTGTACATGAACCAGTCGGAGATCCCCGAGGCCATCATCAACCCAGAGAACAACGAGGAAACCAACAAGAACGTCTTCATCATCTTCGCCCACGGCAAGGAGATTATTGCAAAGATCCGGAAGATTTCAGAATCACTCGGTGCCGACCTCTACAGCGTGGACGAGAACAGCGAACTCCGCCGCGATCAGATCCGTGAGGTCAACACGCGTCTGAATGACCTCGCTAGCGTCTTGAAGAACACAAAGTCCACACTGGATGCCGAGTTGACTGCGATAGGACGCAACCTTGCAGCATGGATGGTCGTCATCAAGAAGGAGAAGGCTACCTACGAGACACTGAACAAGTTCTCCTACGACCACCAGCGCAAGACGCTCATCGCCGAAGCCTGGGCGCCTACCAACTCCCTTGGATTGATCAAGTCGACCCTTTCGGATGTCAACGAGCGTGCTGGCCTGTCCGTACCCACCATCGTCAACCAGATCAAGACTACCAAAACCCCACCGACATACTTCAAGTCAAACAGGTTCACCCTCGGTTTCCAGACCATCATCGACGCTTATGGAACCATCAAGTACCGCGAAGTTAACCCTGCTCTGCCAGCCATTGTCACTTTCCCTTTCATGTTTGCTGTCATGTTTGGTGATGCTGGACATGGTGTCATCCTCCTTCTCGCAGCTTGCGCCATGATCTACTTCGAAAAGCGACTTGAGCGCAGCAAGCTCGACGAGCTCTTCTCCATGATGTTCTACGGTCGCTACATTGTCTTCATGATGGGTATCTTCTCCATCTACACTGGTCTTCTCTACTGCGACGCTTTCTCTCTTGGCCTCCCCTGGTTCAAGTCCATGTGGGTATGGGACAACGACGGCAAGGGCCCAACATCCACCCGTGTAGAAGGTTACACCTACCCCTTCGGTCTAGACTACCGCTGGCACGACACCGAAAACGATCTCCTCTTCTCCAACAGTTACAAGATGAAGCTCAGTATCTTGCTCGGTTGGTCCCACATGACCTTCTCCCTCATGTGGTCGCTCGTCAACGCGCGCTACTTCAAGACCAAGATCGACATTTGGGGTAACTTCGTCCCTGGTATGATCTTCTTCCAGTCCATCTTCGGTTACCTCGCCTTCACCATTGTATACAAATGGTGCATCGACTGGCCTGCACGTGGCGAGAGCCCGCCTTCTCTACTCAACATGTTGATTTACATGTTCTTGAGTCCCGGTACTCTTGAGGCTGGTACTCAGCCGCTTTACCCTGGTCAAGCATTTGTTCAGGTCGTTCTCCTGCTGTTGGCGCTTGCGTGTGTCCCCATCCTTTTGTTCCTCAAGCCATTCTACCTGCGGTACGAGCACAACAAGGCTCGCGCCATGGGATACCGTGGTATTGGCGAGAGCACACGTGTCAGTGCGCTGGACGACGACGACGAGGATGGTCATATGAATGGTGGTGGTCGCGAGAGCTTCGGAGACGACGATGATATTGCCATGATCACCCAAGATATTGGCCACGGCGAAGAGCACGAGGAGTTTGAATTCAGTGAAGTCATGATTCATCAGGTTATTCACACCATCGGTATGTTGTTTCCCCCTTTTTTACCCTCCTCCTCCTCCTCCTCCTCCTCCTCCTCCACATTCTACTACAATTGCTAACATGTCTAATTCATAGAATTCTGTCTCAACTGCGTATCCCACACGGCATCTTACCTCCGTCTTTGGGCCTTGTCGCTCGCTCACCAACGTTTGTCTATTGTTCTCTGGGAAATGACCATGAAGAATGCGTTTGCGTTTACGGGTGTTGGCGGTGCTTTCATCATGGTTTTCGTCTTTTACTTTTGGTTCGCGCTTACGGTTGCCGTACTCTGTGTTATGGAGGGAACGAGTGCCATGTTGCATTCCCTGCGGTTGCATTGGGTCGAGGCTATGAGTAAGCATTTTATTGGTGATGGTGTTGCGTTTGAACCGTTTAGTTTTAAGCAGTTGTTGGAGGATGAGCCGGTGGAGTAAAGGTGGTTGGATGCTTTTCCTTTGTCTGTCTTGCGTGGTTTAAGGTGGTGTAGGAATATATGCAGAGTGTGATCGTCTTATTTGCGAGTATTTGCGAGTAACTGTGTCGAGTCTGTAAATAGAAATATGCAATCTTACTTTGTGGAAGCTCTCTCGTGTTTGTGGTCTGGGGTTTATGTGGGTTTCTCCTGCGTGATTTCTCGTAGACGCTTTCTGTGGCAGTTATATAGATTGATACGGTGGTAGTATCTACGATCTCAATCGTCCCGGATGTGGTGCGTAGTCGTTTCCGTTGTGCGCCACGGATACGAGCTGACTTGCCATATTATCTTTCTACAATTTCCCTCGAAGACGACATGCACGCGTCTTGATGCAATGTCTTTTCTTTTGGACACGAGCATTCGAGGAGAACCGGCACCCCATACAAGATAAAACGTGAACAGGTGTACCTTAGTGTTCTATTACCTTGCATGAAGTGCCGGATATAACCCGTTATTCCCCAAGTATACGCAACCTATCATTGCTTCTTCAGCCTTGCGGTACGATATCGTCTTCGCCGTCCAAGGCTGAACTCGAGTTATCTGTAGATACTTTGACGAGTAACAATAGACGCTAGGTTTCAAAGCAGCTGTACATATAAGGCTTGTAGGTTAAATACTATAAGACGTCGAACAGATAAACTTGTGCAGGTATTTGATAGCGTGGTGCCTGCACTTAGCAATAGCACATGCATCGTGATAATACTACGCAGGTACTCGTAACCTATTATTGCTTTCTCATCCCTGCCATGATGCAATATCGTCTTCGCCGAGAATGCGAGACACCATTTTAAACGCAAAGATAAGGGGAAGTCTGATCATAGGGCTGGAATTGTTTGAGGCATTTGAGGCATTATTCTCTTGAACGCCACGGGCCGGCTCAACTAGGATCAGCATTCGTGTAACAACCATCGATTGTTGATGACATTTGTGGCTGCATCTGTGACATCTGGCGGTGCTGAGGCGTAAACTGACAGAGGCATGTTTGGCCGCTTTTTACCACAGTAAGACGGTCCAATCTGCTGCTGTGCGCTGATGTACACTGTGCATGGTTCCAATGCCGACCTGCATATGCCCGATCTAACTTCTTACACCGACTTCGACGGGGCTTCTACACTCGGCAGATTTACTACCGTGCGCTACGCATTACTATCATAAGCGGTGAGACGGGTACCAGGACGGGATTTGTACCCTAAAGGCACGCACCGATCCGAGACAGATTGGTCCTCCTTGAGGCAATTGATTGGGACTGTCTGAGCGATGTCGCAAGGATTCCTTTATGTCTGATTGATTATCCCCGGTGGCTGAAGCGGTCGAAGAACAACGTTTAAGGCTAGGTGCCACCAACGCAGCTCGCAAGTGTGGATGCGTGCATGCGTTTGTGGATGCCCTGCGTGCCACCAGCGACCACGACACGCGGTTTACGGCGAGTTATAAAGGGCCGATGCGCCATACCTACCTTACTTTACCATTTTATCTAGCTTGAACGTCGCCTCGAGCCCCTCATCTTTTCTTGAAGTTCCTTCTGCTCGGTATATTCCCCACGAAAGTCGAGGTTTATTAGTACCCAGAGTCTCCGATCCTTAACTTCGCTTCCCGAAGTGCTGCTGCTGCTGCCGTCCCCCACTAAGATCTGCGACCCCTCCATCGAAGCTAGGCAAAGCTTGATTCCGCAACCCTTTTTCGCAAACCTCACTGCTTACCTACGATGTCTTTCTCGGCGGACAAGGTCAGCCATCTCAAGGGAGCTTTCTCCCAGAGGCGATTTTCGAGTTCTAAAGATCCAAGCGAGAGTGGTACGTGTTTATCCTGCTTATAGTTCTGCGATTGCTATCCTACGTCATTCTTGAAGTGGATCTGAGAAAAATCGGGCCCTTGAGGATGGCTTTGTGAGCTGTTCGATTGCGCGGCAATCCGATCCTTATCTTTTGAAGTGTACCCCAATCTTCTCCAACTTTCCTGCTTTCGTGGAGATTTGCTGGAGTTTTGTTGTTCCTTTTTGAAAGCGCTTCTTGTCCGCCTCACACGCACCCATGTCCTCAGCCATGTCACACACTAGACACGAATCAGGTCTCTACAACCTGGCCAAAAAACCAGACATAAATGCAGCAGGTACTAACACGCTGCAGAACTCGGTTCGTCAATCCATCGTCAATTCCGCCAGTCGCACGAGGGCCACAAGCCACACGCCGGTCTCGACGCTACACGCGCTTCCACAGGTGTTGTGTGGACATCAGAACAAGCATACAAACACGGTTTCCTCGAACACCCAGAAGAATGGGCAAACTTGGGTCAGGGTGCACCTGAGGTCGATGATAGCATTAAAGGCTGCTTTGAGAGGCCGAAAGAGGTTGATATCAGTGCTCATGGCAGAGAATATGGCCCGACTGCTGGTATCAGGCCGCTGAGAGAGGCGGTTGCAACGCTATACAACGAGCATCACCGCAAGTGGCGCAAGAGTCAGTACACATGGGAGAACGTATGCATTGTCCCTGGTGGACGTGCGGGTTTAATCCGTATCGCTGCTGTTTTGGGCAACTGCTACTTGGGTTTCTTCATTCCTGGTAAGTCTGGGATCTGAATCTCTGGAACCGAGCTGGAGCTGATAAAACAGATTACACCGCCTACAACGAGATGTTGTCGCTCTTCCGAAACATCGCCGCCATTCCCGTCCCTCTAGGCGAAGCCGACCAATACCACATGTCACCCGACAAGATCGCAGAGGAAATCGCTCGCGGTACATCCGTCATCCTCACATCGAACCCGCGTAACCCCACCGGCCAAATGGTCACCAACCCCGAACTCGCCCAGATCCAAAACATCTGCCGAGACCGCGCAACCCTCATCATGGACGAGTTCTACTGTGGATACAACTACACCACCAACTGCGACGGCACCGTCATCTCCGCCGCCGACAACGTCGAAGACGTAGACGAGGACGACGTGCTCATCATCGACGGTCTAACCAAGCGCTTCCGTCTCCCCGGATGGCGCGTAGCATGGGTCATTGGTCCTAAAGAATTCATCCAAGCTATTGGCTCCTGCGGTTCCTACCTCGACGGCGGCTGCAACGTGCCCTTCCAAGAAGCCGCCGTAGAAATGCTTTCCCCACCCCGCGTCCGCAACGAGATGCGCGCTCTGCAAATGCACTTCCGCACCAAGCGCGACTTTGTCATTGGCCGTCTCCAGGAAATCGGTTTCAAGTTCCCGTACATGCCCAACTCGACGTTTTACCTCTGGCTTGATCTTTCCAACCTGCCTGAGGGTATCAACGACGGTCTCAACTTCTTCCAAGCTTGTCTTGATGAGAAGGTTATTGTTGTGCCGGGTATTTTCTTCGATCTGAACCCCAGTAGGCGTAGGGATCTTTTCGATTCTCCTTGCCATCACTTTGTTAGGTTGAGTTATGGACCTAGGATGGATGTCCTGGAGAAGGGGTTGGATTCTATTGAGAGGATTGTTAAGAAGTAAGTTTATTCTTTGATACGAAGGCGATTCGGAGGATTCATGTGCTAACGAGAAATAGGTACAGGGAAGAACCACAGAAGCATCGTGCTGTATCGCATAGACCGAGGGGTACTGGTGCGCCTAACTAGATGTGTGTGATATCTGGAATGAACGATGCTTGTGGGCTAAAGTAGGTCGATACCAACTTGAAGACATCGTATCCTATTTCAATTTACGATTCATCTCATTGACCGCTTCCCTTTCTCCGTGTGTTGGCACTAGCTCACATGCGATCTCTTTCAAGATGGCTGTGGGGGCCAGCCTTGTCACGCGACTTGAGATGCGGGTGCTATCGCGTGGCTTGGACCCTTCAAACGTTGAGCCGATTACAGAGTCCATCTTCACAGTGAATGAATTGGCTGTCTGGCGCGGTCGAGTATGAGAGGGTGCCACATTGCGTGGCTGCGGATGCCTTACCGATCAAATTTGTAGATCGTTAGTGTCCGCCCCGGGATATCCTATCTATGATCCCCTCTTGATTATGGTCCAGCCTTTCAGCTCACATTGTCGGAATCCGGTCAAACCATGGCCGCCATACTCGAGATGCAATACAAAGGATCTCGACTATGGTGCGGACGTTGTTGCAACAGGTTGTTACTCCCGATGAACTGCCTCTAGGCCTTACCCCCACTTACATACTCCCTAGGAATATGAAGATCTCGGATAGGCACAGCCTATGTAAAAAGATCTTTTCGACTCCTATGGCTGTTCTCGCCGACTTTACTTCCAGCATCTTGCTCGAGAGCGCAGGGACGATTTGGTCAACACTCGTTGGCTTCGAGCCTATATGGGGGGATCTACATTGAGCCAACCGATTGGAGTGGAATCTGGCACGGCATATGCCAGCCCAATACTAGTATATTGGCAGTCAGATGATCTATCTCTTTTTCCCAGCGACTATGCATCGTCTCTCGCATTAGCGATCAAAGTTCCTTTTGGAGGCACAGCCACTATCTCATCGAACACTAACGCTCCAACATCCATACCTCCACCCACGAACGCAAACGGCCGGAGCTCTAGCATGAAACCCGGCGCAATAGCAGGCATAACCGTCGGAATAGGTGTATTCGTCATATTCGGCATCGTCCTCCTCTTGTACCTTTGGCGAAGACGAAAGCAGCGAAAACAACGTTTTGAGCACCTGGACATATCAGAGATGGAAGGAAGCTCGAGGGGACTGGAGCGCTTTGTAGGTGGGAAATGGAGGGCTAAGACGGATGGGACTTCGGAGCCGGTAGAAACTGGATCGAGGAGAGTAAGAGTTATCCCAGGGCCGTCAGTGGAGCTAGATGGTACACAGGCGGATAGAGGCTGATGATGAGTGTGGGCGCGCAAACAGGTAGCGAGGGGCCGGGGTGAACCAATAGCTGATACAGCTATCTCTCCTACGAGGTGGAGTTCAGTGACGAGCGTAATAACCTAAGCAGTAGGCTGAGCTAAAGACTTTGGCTTCCTTCGGTCAAGAGAGCAGGTCGTGCTACGCTTCAGGGTCAAGATCAGATGTCGTATGGACAACACTAAGGTTGTGGTTTTGCGAGCTGAACTAGACCTGGAAATCGGGTTGATGGAATTCAGCATTGCAACTGTAAGAAACAAGGTGTTCACGTCTCACTCCATAGGCAAAGGTCTACACGCACAGACAACACGATTTCATCTTTCACTTTCACCGAGATCAAACGCAAACGTGGAAGTGATGAACCTTTTCGACCTGCAACCCAAACTCTTTCTTTGCCTCCACTCTCAATCTCAACCAAAGTGGCAACAATGGCCCACCCCTACACTCGTCGTACTGACGTCTATCGTCCGTCGTACGGTACCGTCTCGCTACAGACACGGGCGTCTGCACCCCCAGGTAATCCGCTCAACTACGATAACGCAGACGTGAACCGCATGCCACTCAATCCCTGCCGTCGCCCCGCCGCAGGTCCACCCCGACCTCCACAACTATGGGATGAACATCTAGACCTCCTCATAAACCGTACTACCCGCGCCTATGACCTTGTCATCCACTACAATCGCGACTCCAATGGCGGCCATCGCTGGTCAAGCGAAGATATCGACCATATTCATCACGTGGGTAGATACCTGCATGGAGATGTGCGTAATTTGGAGCATTGGAAAGAAGTGATCGCGAAAGAGGGCAAAAAAGATGCGTTTGCTATGGATAGAATTCGTGATGACGTTGAGAATCTGCGGAAGTACTGTGAGCAGATTCAGGATGTGATTAGGGAGACTGAACGGGTACCGTTACGCCAACGTATGATGCGGAATAATGTGATGTGGGTCGGTGAGGAGATGGATGGGGGCTGTGAGGAGAACGGGTATGTGGGTGGTGTTGCTGATGGTAAGAAGATCTCTCTTTGATGTGGTACCTAACATACTAACCTTCTTCTTGCCTCTAGACCTCAACAAACTCGGCGGAAACGCCGTAGAGGAACACGGCATGGACAACGAGATGTATATCGGCCAGGAGGACCAGGCCGGAGTGATCGATTCGCCGATTGACGCACAGCGGGCAACCTGGGCAACTAAACCTTCAACGCGGTTTGCTTGGTGAGCGATCCTGCATATATGTAGAATTTTAGGTTGTGTTTTCTTCCATTACACATCTTAAAGCGAGCAGTAAGCTAGATCACGATAGCAAATTGGCGTGTCAAGAGACAATGCAAGGATATCAGAACGTTGCCACACGTTGTTCCACGTCCGCGCTCATTGGTGCTCGGCGCTCGGCTATCTGTCAGACCCTGGCGCAACGGGCCTGCACATGCATGTGTGGTGTGCTCGACTCAACACTTTCACATGCTTGAAACTCACGACTCCTCGAAAATCCGCACGGATTCGGAATAATGCCGTCTCAGCGAAAGGAGGATGGCGCCAAAGCTCAAGGCTTATCTCGCATACTTTTCTCGTCTTCGATCTTCTCGCATGTCCATTCGGCTCGTTGCTACTCGCGTCTACCTACGATAAACTTTGGGTGAAGAGCCGCTGAGAGCCACGACTGCAACGGCTTTGGTGGATACGTCCGGGAGATAAGCCGAAAGTATGCTGAGGGTCGAACACGCGGAAATTTCTACGACGACTTTCGATACAGCGTCGATGATGGAAGGAGAGGTGATGAGCTTCCGGCCTAGCATGCTGTACAGCGTACTTCCCACTGTTGTATCGAACCACCTTCCTACAATACCTTCGCTACGACAATCGCTCAGCGACGTGCGGTATCGTGGCTCACACAGTAAATCAACCTCAGTCGATGAACCACCACAGCCCGAGACTCCTCCCCCAGGCTATTCGTCGATACCTCCAAGCGGCTCCGTTACACCACATAGGCTCTCTGTTGCATTGAGCGAAGCAGATGCTGATTTCGTGGACGATGCGGAGGATAGACCGGGTTCTTCAGGAAGCGCACTTCCACAGCTATACCGCGTTCAAGAGACGAGCACAGGAATCAAGTGGAAGTATGCTAGTTTAGGTATGGAATACTGCTCATAGATATCGATTTTATATGCTCACATCTCACAGGAACCAGCCTCATGACCCAAGCATCCCGCGAATCCAGCGAACCGACCAGCAGCTCAGACGAGACATCTGCGACGCTCACCCGACAGCTCTACATACATGGCATAACCTACCTACTTCGAGGGCTGCCAACAAAGCTCACATCAGAAGAGACATTAAGCATACAAGCTGCTCTTCCACAAGACCTGGTAGACACTACAACCGACGCAAGCAACCACGCCTTACTCCCTATCTCCCAACACACCCCAAGTCCTTCACACGCACCTCCACGAAACCCCACGATCCTACACCGCCTAACCGCAGCCATGGTCCTCCAATCTTTCATTCTTATACAATTCCTCCTACCATACATCAAGATCTTCCTCTCGCATGCTTACCAATTCGAGCGGAAGCATCAGATCACAAAGCGACTTGTCAATACAGGTGTCGCGACTGTTGATGATGTAGGGCGGAAGACGTTGAGGTTGAGCCAGACTGTGTGTCAGATGAATGATGGGATGGTTGGTCAGGCGATTAATGAAGTGATAGTTTGGTGGGTTAGGGGTATTACTGGGGGTGTGCAACAAGGTCTTGCAGAGGGATTACAGGTTGTGAGGGTGGAGGAGAGACGGCGGGGCGAGGAGAGCATGGGGAGGATTGGTTGAGAGGGGATACTGCATTGAATAAGGCGTTGAAGAGTTGCATTGCTGGATAGACTTATGACGTTATGATAAGCATTGATTCCCATTGTAGCATTCTGATCGAAACCCCCAGCCTTCTCTTGTTGGACGCAGGGACCGATCTGGACCCTTGATTGACACGTGACGTCTGCATGCCGCTTATCGTTATCGGTTGGCGGACTCTCTAGCGCGTTGTGGGTGCACGTCCCTTGGAAAAGTGCTGCATGGCAAAGTTTCTAGCGGTAACATCTTAGACGAATACACGCCATTCTTTTCTCCCAATTCGTCGTCTTCTTTGAGGCGCACACGCAATATACTCACACTTGCTTATTCTAATCGTTGTAAATACACTCTGTTACGAACAAGTGTGTATCAGTACCCGCACATCATGTTCGGCGCAGTGAGAAGATGTCCCGCGACTCTCGCGAGGAATCTTGCCTCAGTTTCTACCAGGGCCCTCCGCACACCCCTCTCCCATAACTCGAGTATCCTGCGGATACCTCTACAATCAGCGCGCCTCCAAAATGTCTCATTTGCTGGCTTCCACAGCAGTGCCACAAGGTGGCAACAGGAGGCACAACAGAGCATTGAAGAAGATGGTCCTGTCACAGAGTTCAAGGAACTGGCCACACGTGGGCTTGTTCATCCCAACCTTATCAACACTATCACCAACCAGATGAAGCTCACGACTATGACGGATGTGCAGACCAGGACCATCAACGAGGCCCTGAGCGGGGTTGACATGTAAGACACTCCTTCAACTAAAACAAACACACTTTGCTAACAAATTGCAGCATCGCACAAGCAAAGACCGGTACCGGTAAAACACTTGGTTTCCTCATCCCCGTCATCCAACGAATCATCGCGAACGACCCCCAGCTCGGCGAGAAGGTCAGAGGATACAAGCGTGCCAAGCCCGACGATATCAGGGCCATTATCATCTCACCAACCCGAGAACTGGCAGAACAGATCGCTGTCGAAGCTAAGAAAGTGGTTTCTGGAACCGGCATCGTTGTGCAGGTTGCAGTCGGAGGCACACAGAAGAGGGCTATGCTTCAGAAGACACAGCGTGAAGGGTGCCATCTTATGATCGCCACCCCCGGACGACTATTCGACATCCTCTCGGACCCATACTCTGGCGTCAAAGCACCAAAACTAAGTGCCCTGGTCATGGACGAGGCGGACCGCCTGATGGACGATGGTTTCCAAAAGGAGATTGACGAGATCAAAAACTTCCTCCCCGATCCAGCCGAAGTCGAGCGCCAGAACCTCATGTTCTCCGCCACCATCCCCCGCGAGGTTGTCGGCCTTGTCCGCGCGACCATGCGCCCTGGCTTCCACTTCGCCAAGTGTGTCGATGAGAACGAGGAACCAACACATCAGCGTATCCCGCAAAGATACGTGAACCTTGCCGGTTTCGAGAACACCATGCCCACACTCTACGATTTTGTCCAGCAAGCCCAACAGAAAGCAAACGCTGGCGAAAGCCGTCCGTTCAAGGCCATCATCTACTTCAACAGCACTGCCGAGGTCACACTTGCAGCATCAGTCTTCTACAAGCTCGGCGGCGGCTTCAGGCGCAATACCCCTCTCTCTGGGCTCCGCTGTTTCGAGATTCACGCCAAGCTCAGCCAGCAGCAACGTACAAGGGCTGCAGATGACTTCCGCGCCGCCAAGTCCGGCATCCTCTTCTCCTCAGACGTAACAGCCCGTGGCATGGACTTCCCTGAAGTCACCCACGTCATTCAAATTGGTCTTCCCCGTGAACGCGATTCCTACATCCATCGTCTCGGTCGTACTGGACGTGCCGGAAAGGAGGGTGAGGGCTGGTTGTTCCTCTCACCCTATGAGAAGAATGAGATTCGTCGCCGTCTCGGCGGTCTGCCTCTCGTTAATGCCACTGATATGCTTGAAACTGCAACTGTCGACATGACCCAACAAGCCGAGGTCCCAGAGAACGTTGCGAAGATTCTATCTGAGTGCGTAGAGGCACACAAGAAGGTCTACCCTGACCAATTGGACGCCGCCTTCCGTGGTCTCTTCGGAAGCTACCAGTGGTACGGTGACAAGCAGGGTCTGCTGGAGGGTGCAAACCGTCTAGCGGAGTTTGGCTGGGGCATGCCAACCCCACCTGCACCACCTTCTAGCCTCTTTGCAGGAGGTCGCGGACGTGGCGGTGGAGGCCGTGGCGGATTCGGAGGTGGTCGTAGCGGATTTGGAGGTGGAAGAGGAGGCGGCGGCGGTGGCTTCGGCGGTGACCGAGGTGGCCGAAGCGGAGGGTTTGGTGGCGACCGAGATGGCCGAAGTGGAGGGTTCGGCGGCGACAGGAGAGGAGGTGGTGGTTTCGGTGCTGAAAGGAGAGGAGGAGGCGGCAGCGGCTTCGGCGGCGACCGAAGAGGAGGAGGAGGTGGTGGTGGCTTCGGCGGTGACAGGAGAGGTGGCGACAGGAGCTTTGGTGGTGACCGACCAAGGAGGGAGCCCCGAATGGACTTCTAAAACAGCTGCTACCAGGACTGCTTACGGGAGTTTAGCGTCTTTCAACGCCCATGTCATTTTTTCTTTCTTGTACTATATACTGTATACCCCAAAAGCTTTGGAAAACGAGGGATGACGGACATGGGCGTTTGTACCGATACATTGGTTGCATTGGGCGGCGTTTCATTGGAAAGAGTGGGTAGGAACCGGCGGCAACCGCCATCATCATATCCCGCTCCAGAAGGAAGGCAGCACATGTTGTAACGAGAACAATCTCCATTCATACTTTTTGGAGTTGACGCAAGGATTTGGTTGAGTGGTTTAGAAGAGTTCGGGTAGTTTTTTTCGTCACGATTATGATGTATCCCGTCTTCTTCCCATCGCTATTGCCTCGTGGTAAAACCTCCATCTCCCTTCTTCGAGCATTGCTCATTCTCCTAGACACTTCAACACCTACCGAAATGTCGCAGTAGCAGCTCTCTCAATCTGATCTAGCAAGCCAACATCGTCAGCTCTCAGCACATCCGCACAAGCTCTGATTCAATCGAACAAACAAAAAGACATACCTCTCAACCGTCCGATGAACTCGAATTCCGCAGAGGAACTCTCCAACACCCTCACAGTCGTACCAACACCCTCCTCACATCGAGTCTGCACTACGGGAGTCCCAGCAGTCTTTTTTTCCGATCGATCAAAATGCGATACCATCATCAACGTAAAACTAGCCAATGCTACCGAACACACCTGCGGTACAGCACATGTCCCCAGTGACTGCAGACGGTCCAACGACGTGGCGATTGTGGTAGCGGATGAGAGGCAGACATCCAATGCGTGTTTACCAGTGAACGAGAAGATCTGAGTAGTGGCGTTCAAAGTTCTGTGGCGGTTTCTTTGGCCAGGCGCTCCGATGACAGTTTGCTGGACGTTATTGTTATTGTTGATGGCGTTGGGGTGATGATGTGGCTCTTGCGTGGTTGTAGTGGGGGAGAACTTTTGGAGTATAGTGGGGTGGTGTATGAATGCGCGGTATCTGTGTAGTTTGATACGTGCGCTGTGGTTGGGATGGCGGGTTGCCGAAGGGGAAGGGGAAGAGGAAGGGAAGAGGGAGTGGATCTTGCGTACCTGTGTAATCGTTCCCGCGCCATGACGCGCAGAGAGATGGCGAGTCATTCTTCTGCATGGTATGGTTCCTCCTGGGGTTCTGGTATGGTGGCAGGTATTGTGGCTAGCTGATGGGTGATCACACTGTCAGTCGGAAGTCGTTGTAGGCGAAGAACACGTGGGCTGCTGTTAACATATTTTGAAATTTGGATATGTCCTACCAACGCCGCTCCAGTCATGTGTGAAGTATGCAGTCCATAACGCTTCCATGCTCGAATTCATACCCGTCCATACCCATCCTGTCGCCGACGTCTCTCTCTCTTAACCAAAGAAACAACTCATTCCTCCAAGCCCTCCAAAGCCACTTCACATCTCTCTAGATGAGATGCTTGCTCCTAAAATAGGCCCTAAGGTAAACAACCTGCCAAGCTCCAAGCCCAACAAGCATACCCATGGTGCCGAGCGCAAACCACTTGACTCTCTCGTTGGTACTCTCATTGGTATCCCTCAGCTTCTGCTCGCGACTCCTGAGGTAATCCATCTCCGTCACAATCTCGCCGACGACCTCCTCGATCCTCCTGAGTTCCGCCTCTACAGGCTTCAGCTTGTCCACAGCGGAAATAGCATTCCAGTCCTTGGCGTCAGCGCCAATGTCAATGTCGAGCTCGACGTGGCGCGGGGTGATGGATTTGGAGGAGCCGGACGAGGTGAAGATGTTCTCGAAACATACGTCAAAGGCGGAGTCGGCGTGAGAGGTGAATGCGTAGCGGTTCTCGCCTGCTACGTCCTTGGGGCGGTGGTAATCGTTGCCCATTGCGTCGCGAATCTAATTTTGTCCTTGTCAGTATGACTTCTTTTTCTTCTTCGTCTTTTCACATGTGAATTGCTCGCATGCTGCAGACGTGTGTCTATGTGTGGAAACTGGTAGTTGCAACGTACATGCATATCCACCCTCTGACCATCTCCCCTGTATCCATCCAAAATCGCCGTAACAACAACCAACTGTTCCCTAGCAACAAAGTTCCTAATGCATCGCTCGTACTTGGCTGAGTCGTGTGCTGCGACCGGATGGAGATCGAATTTCAGGGCCGCGGTGAGGGGGAGGAGTGCGAGCAGCACGCAGCTGAGAAGACGTGCTAACCGATCCATTGGTGAATTCAAGATGATGTGTAGAGCTGCAGCGCTTGCCAGCTCAAGTTGTTGCACTCTTGGTGGCTTTCCGCGAAATGTACAGCTGTCGCGAGGGAGCGCGGAAGGACAGATGGTCCGATTGTGAGCTAGCGTGGAGTGGGGAAAGCGCGTGCGGACCCTGAACGGCGATTGGCAGCAGCGCGCTCACCATCACTCTTTACTCATTCGCGCTACGAACACCATCTGGCCAGCTTCACAGACTGATGTCATTACCATGTTGCAAGCTGTCTGAATATTAAATTGTTTCGTAACCGCCGTACACGATGAATTCAAACGCCAAACCTGCCGCTAAGAACGCTCGGAAAGTACACTGCCCAAAGTCTAATAGTAGCTCTTTTACCAGGCAGTGGTGCCGCCATCCAACTTCAGATCATGTCCAGTCATATAGCTACTTGCTTTGCTCAACATGAACAGACCTGCAGCCTTGTACTCTTCAGGAGTGCTGAGTCTGCCCAGCATACTGTTATTCTCCCATTCCTCTCGGTTTGCCTCGCCCTTGTCAAAGTTGGCTTGCACCATCGGCGTAACGATATGGCCTGGGCTCAAAGAGTTGACACGAATACCCCCTGAGCCATCTGGGTTCTTTCTACCCCATTCCATGGCCAAATTTCGCGCCAGCTGCACCACTGCTGCCTTGGACGAGTTGTAAACAGGTGCGATGAAGCCTCGGTTGGCAATCGTTCCGCTCATGCTTGCTACAAGGCAGATTGAGCCTTGGATCTTGTACTCCATCATCTGACGGGCGCATTCTCGAGCTGCTAGGAACACGCCGGTATAGTTGACGTCTAGCATCTTTGTGATGTCTTGCTTCTTGAAATCGAGTGCGGGGGTCACTTGCTGGATGCCGGCAGCTGTGGAAGGAATTAGTCAGTGTGTGACCCTCGACAAATTTGGACACATGCTTACCTGCGATGAGTCCATCGAGTCGTTTATGCGTTGAGGCAATGTCCCCGATGCACTTTCGTAACCCCTCCTCGTGTGTAACGTCCACGTTGCAGTACTCTAGACTCGCGCCATAGTCGCCCTTGAGCCGCGCCTGGGCTTCCTGGAACGCTTGAGGAGGCTCTGGCAACCGGTCGAGACAATATACTTTGCCGCCAGCTTCTACAAGACCTTCAGCCATGCATAGTCCTAATCCACGGCCTCCACCTGTTTACACGTCAACACGAGTTACAAAAGCATAGTGCTTGCTCGGAGGATGGGAGGAGGACGGCATGCTGCACCTGTGACCACGAACACTTTTCCTTCGACGTCGAACTGGCTGAATCTCTTCTCCCCGACACTTTCGGCTTTCTCGTAGGGCACTTGGGGGTAGGTTGCATCCTGGTGTGATACGAGGCTTCGCCGCTGCAGAGGAGTTGCGAAAGGCTGTAAGCGGAATGCAGGCGGAGCTGGGCGCACGAATCGGCGAAGCAGCGTCCTCGAGGAGCGAAGAGATGCCATTATCGTTGTCGCTTTTCTTTATCAAAGGAAAAGAAATCGTACAGAAGATGGAAAGAGAAGAGAGAGGGGACCACAATGTCTCGCAGCAAGAATGCGGGCGTTCACAAGCTGACATGTATACGTTGCACAGCAGGCATGATGTAATTGCAGCTCATACGCGTACTTCTCCCTTCCTTCACCTTGGCTTCCACAAAGCATAATGACTTCCGCGGCCATTCCTCCTCCCAATTCGTTGAGAGGCTACACGAAACCGCTGCAGCTGATCAGCACGAAGCGCGTGACGAAAATACGGCTCGGAATTTGGTAACGATTAGCTTGCTTGACTCGCCACGCAGAAAGGGCAGCATCTCACGATGTTGGCACGCACATGCAGGCACGGCTGACTGCGCGGTCTGAGTGGGTCTTGCCATGTTCTTAGCTCGCAACCGGAATCCGGAATGCGGGGTAGTGGAGCCACAGGGCTGGGCGTTGGTGAGCGTGATTGGTTATTGCTACTGGTCTGATTGGCTGCGGAGGGTGCCGCCAACACGACACATGTGTGTCATTCTGAGCAAACATCGGATTTTCGGTCGATATTGCATAATCTTAGATGGGGAATGAAAAATTTCCCATGGATAATGATCTTCCAGTTTAGCGGTGACAGTGGAGATAAAACCTCCACTATGCGATAGGATTCACGTCAGGCTTCCGCAACTTTCCTTGCTTTTGACTATCTGCTTTGCTGACACAACAGCCCGGGTAGTTTCACCAAACGATCGCATCGTACTGAGAAGACGCGGTGTATCCATATTTGGAAAGCCGAAGGCCCTGGATTACGCAACACGGTGCTAAAGAAGATCTCGTCGCTGGTTTCTAGCAGAATCATCTGGGAATCTAATTTCGAAGCATGAGGGGCGTGGGAGTGCAGTCACGTCTCGCTTTTGCAATCACGGAACTACCTGGTTTGACTCCTGGATGATGCAGAGTGCATCTACCCACAGATACGTGATATCTGCCTTCGCACAAACCTCGATCGCATCGGCAATGCCTTTCTTTCGTACTATACCGTTACGATTTAATGAACCACATTCTCCGAGGACTTCCATGTTTTGTTGTCCAGACAGTATTGCTGTCCCTGATTCCAGGTGTAATTGAGTGCTGCGTAGCGCACGTGGTGGTTTTGTTCTATGACACATCAATTTCTAGTATCAATGGACCGGAGACCTTTCAGCAACGGTGTTGAGTCGAAAGGATTTATGGTATGTTCATGGGTTCCATCACACAGTTTCAGCCACCCTCTTACAAGATCGAAATTGACCATTGTATCCACTTTGCGCTTTCGTAGACAACAGTGTGGTGAATCATTGGAATGAACAAGTGTGTCTTCGATGAAAGGTCGAGCACAGCGTGTGAACAGGGAACGTTATGATAAAAGCTCCCATGTTAGTGTCAAGCAATAGAGTCTTTATAGATACGAGATGCACCGCGATAGTGGAGGTAGAGGTATATTGCCTTATAAGACTAGAGACGAACCGCTGTCGAGCCACAACAGCGGTAAGGTAGGCTAATATACTGCAATTGCTTGGCATAACGGCCCGAACGGGCCCGGAGTAGCCTGGTACCTGACAGTTAGTCTGGCTATGAATCCGTTCGTTGCACGCCTTACATCGTAAGCACCCTTCGGCCAACACTACCATTTTGAGTATCAATGTTGATAATGATGCATATTACAAGTATGAACTTACCTCCATACATTGACGTTTCTCCCCATTTTCAAAGACCACACAGCCGCTGAGAAGAATATAAAGGTATGCTGAGTCATTATTTTCGATGTAACTTCACCTACACCAATGCCACCCCTACTTCTTTATACGATGATTTAGAAAGCATATACCGAATGGCCTGATTGATTCCAAATCACCAGCGGAACCTGGGGTGCTTTGCCAACTACCTTATCTCCCAATGCGCTCGTGGAACAACGTTTTACTATGACCATATCACGTCGTCTTGAATCTTTGCAAGATTACGTCTACAACACAGTTCTAATGGCCGTTTGGTATCGTTTCCCACCTTTTATCCGAATCTTTGTCTGTCCGATAAAGCAATCAAACCCCGCGGGTGTAGAAATGTGTTTTCAATCAACCGAAGCAAGTACATCCTCCGCAGAGCTCATCCCAGTGCATTCTGATAATTGGAATATGAAGTATTTTGTTAGCTCTTACAATTTCGCCGTCCCAACAATCTTCTCCTCTCTCATGTCCAGCCTTGTAATGAATATATCAGGGTATGGCAGCATATTCAGACGCCACATTGGGCATGGTTGGTATAATTATGGATAGAAGAAGGTTTGTTTGGCAGTCACTAAATCTTCGTGCTTCTGTTAACACTGTAGGGTACAGTGCAGGGGAGTTGCGGGGAGTTTGCAACACGCCATGACGTCACCAACGACGTGTCGAATCGTCTCCTCAATACCGCCTCGCTCACTTTCATGACCAAGTTTCACACGACATCGATGCAGTATTCTCCTACAGCTGGCACACATACTTCAGATACAGCACAGCATCCTGATATCAAACTCAAGCCTGGATACGTAGAAGCACGCTTTTAGATTACTGTAAAGGAGGCCTGGGGTATCGTCTGAATCAACGCCGAGCTCCTGATGATATGCAGAACAATGGCATAAAACATAGAACATCGCATCTCTATTTGTACCGAACCTCTCTAGGTCTTGTACCATCTCGTCTCATCGCCCAATATATTTACTGGTTAATCTACATCTTCCTGAACCAGCTTTCCCACCTCCACATCGTCTATATCGATGTCCATGTCAATCTCGACGTCACCGACATCAGCCTCGAATATGGCGGTTTCAGCGTCGCGCTCAGCAGTACGGGTATCCATCTCAGCTTTTGAGAGAGGCTTCGGCTTCGCGAAAGTGGTATCTTGCTCGTCGGTAGCTCTTCCAGATAATTTCCGGCCTTTAGCCAAAAGCTTCAATCGCTTGCTAGATATGGGTTGAGGAGGAGGCAATTCATCGTCATCGGAGTCACTGTCGCCATCCTCCATCGCTAGATCGGCATCTTGGTCAGAGTCGCCGTCGAGATTGAAGTTTCGAGGATCATTCATAATTCCCTCACCATCGGCCTCATCGTCCAAAAAGCGTCCGCGCTTGCTACCGTACTCCATGCCGTACTTCCTGTTCCTGGAAGACTTCTTAGGTTGTGATTTAGTCAAGAAGCCGGCAACTTCGATAGCCTCTTCGGGGTAACGCTCGTCGTCAGGAATGTCCTCGTCAGCGGCGATTCGCATAGCCATCTTCTGGCCCTCGGTGTAGAGCATGCCGAGAGGCTCGTTTGGTTCGTCGGTCATCTGCTTTCGCGTCCAAGCACACACCGACTCAGCCGAGCGCACATGGTGGGTCTTGTTCGTCAGGATAGCCCGAAAACCATCTTTGTCGCCTTCCCAGATACGAGTCACGAACTTGTCGATGCCGTTCTTCTTGATCCAGGCGTTTGTAAACTCGTACACCACAGCACGCTCTTGATCGGTCCAGTGGTCACGTACCTTGGTGGCTTCTCCGGTCACGCGGTGACGCCACTGGGCAATCTTCTTGCGGTACTGGTTCACCCAAGTCTCGTCGTTGAGGTCGATCTGGTCCAGAAGGTTAACATCGACGGAGTGGTTATAGATATACGCGTTCGTGGCCTTGTCGAAGACCATGAACCTGAAGTTGGGTGACCAACTCGCTTCGCCGCGAGTCCAGATCTTGCCAGCGCCATCATCATTTACCCAAGTCATATCCTTCCGCTTGGGCAAGATCGTGACGGTAGCAGGGTCGGGGATCAGATATTTGGGACGAGTTTTGTCTCGCCACATCTTGGCAAGTTGCTCGCCAGTGTACTTGATCGCAGTCTCAGGAACGGTGTCCAACTGCGAGAAGACCTTCCCGAGCGGGGTTATGACATGATGGTAGATCCGAATTTGACCACGATGGTCCATCACGCGCATGAATACCTCGGCATCCGAGCGAGGGGTCTGATTGAAGACCGGTTTGGGTCGTATATGCTGCCAACGCGTGAAGTCGTATTGAAATCCGTATATAGATTGGAAAAGTTGTATCAGCTTGCCGTACTTCGTCGTATTCGTCCAAGGGTCGAAATCAGGGTTGATGCCCTTTTTACTCGACTTCTCAGCCAATTTTCCGTACATGGTCACCAGGTTTGGTGCCAAAAAGAGCTCACAGAACGATTGGTGCTCAGGGTTCCTGTCGCCATTGACACGGTTCTTGGGCTCAGCGTTCAGGTTGATCTGCGATTGCTTCTTGATCGCAGCCATCAGGCTAGGGACGAGTTGGTCGCACAAACCCTCGTACCGCTGAATCCGCTCGAAACTCTTACTTTTGGCGGACCAGTGTGTCGCGACGCCGTCTTCGGTGACGTCTCCAGCTAGAAACGCATCTAATTGTCGAACTTGAGCTTCCATGTCCAAGTTGACGACCGGCCTTGAAGTATCTCGCGTCAAGGCCAGAAGAGTGGAGTAAGTCAGGAGAATGTGTAACTTCTCCGGATTCAAGGGAGTGCTCGATGGGATCTGCGGCGCAGGCGTCATGTCGCTGTCCTTGTCGCGGTGAGGCACAGTGTCTCTGTCAGTCGCGCGCTCACCACTACAATCGGCCCCGTCGGAAGTATACGTAATCGGTATGTCTGTAGCAAGATATATCAGTAGTGTTTAGGCGTTCCAAGATCGTCGGCGACAGCGCATTACTCACTACTCTCGGCAGTGTTATTGACGTTGTCGCCAGTGGCGTGGCCGGTTGTATCGACTCGCTTGTCTTTGACATCCTCCATCGTAAAATTGCTGTTTGTATTCGCGAAGTCGTCCGATAATAACCCAATGTAGCCGGATCACTGTTTTCGTGACTGAGACCCTTGGTGAATGTTTTAGTTGTGGCAGCGGTTGCACCATAGATCTTGGCAGTTGAGCATGAGGAACGCACTCGGAGAGTAAACGAGCAAGGTCACGATGGTTGCATGACGCCATAGGGGAACTGGAGTTTTGCTCCTCTGTGAAAGAACAGATGTACCTGGCCAGGCTCAAAGAGCACCACAGGTGAAAATGAGGATAGCGGCGCCTTTGAGAAAGGCGATAAACTCGCTAGGACAAAGCCTAATGGATATGCAACCGACATTCAAGAAGCGAGAGCGTGTATAAAAATACGTGGGCATTATTCCTAGAGACTTCAGTGTCAGGCAAGAAGTAGACAGGTATCCTGAGTTTCCATTCTCAAAATTCCTCTTGCAACATTGCCGTCAATTCGAAAGTGCACACATTGTATAGCGTGACGCTCAAGAGAACACCCGGTGTATCACAAGACTACAGTTGATGCCGACGTTAACGAGCTAGGAACATCAGTTATCCCAATGGAACAATTGGAGTTCTTGTCCAAAGACCGGACCCAGACGAGTGAGGACAGTAAAGGGTTTGCGGATCAAACCAAAATCGATGATGCGGTTGAGAACGTATTCAAGACTGGGTAGAGATGGCAAGAACGCCATAGCCCTTTGCATTGTTGCTCCTGTCTCCTTCAATTCTATTGCCCGCCCGCCCGCGGCGCATTAGTATAGTCCGGCTGGTCTCATTCTTTGCAAGCGGCTGTGCAAGTTCAGCTTCCATACGGTTTCCTTCGGTGACTGGATATACATTGGACTTGGTGCGCGTATTCTCCTCCTCGAACTGTTGTTCGTGTGAGGTACGCGATGAGCGCCATTTCTTTTCGCTCGCCATATTACAGCTCATTCATTGCTAGCCTTCGACGGCATGCACGGATTGGAACATCAGCTAGAATCTGCTAAGTTGAGTCAGCTATTATTGACTGTGAAGTTCGTGATGAATACGAACTGCTTTTCTGCGTGTGCTGGTTTAACGTCCACGGCGAGATAACAGTAAGCATGGAAGCTGAGCTGGCCGTACTCATCTTAAGACGGTAGGCGAAAAAGGCTTGCGTGCTGCTGTTGTTAAAGGGGGAGATGGAGTCTACCGCACGACTCCAAGCAACTCCCACAGATATGTGAATGTTGAGTCGTGGTGGAGCTTGCCACAATAAAGGGCCTCGGTGCTGAGCCATCTATCCTATTTCGAATTAGAGTGAGTTTCCCGCTACCGCTCTCCATTCCAATTCTATCTCATCTCATCTCATCATGCATCGACGACATACTGCTCATTGCGATTCACACAACTTCACTGGCAACCACACAAGTGACACGTACCGGCAGTTGTCTGCATTTGGATGATCAACCAGCTCGGTGCTTGCTTGCCTACTCCGTAATCGCGCCGACATTTGCCGAAAGCCGCACAAGATCTCGGGACTGCCCGCCCAGCGGATTCTTCTAATGTGACAATCACTACTAGTAAGCACGACATTCGATAGCTCAGTCGGTCTCTACGCGAAGTGATCTCCTAAAGACTTCATCTGCTGTGCTGGCACCCATCGGCTTCAAATGCACCGCATGCTGGTGTCTCGGAAGGATCCATAACTCCGGAGAGCGCTTCTCCGTCGTCGACTATCTCAGATCCTTGAAGAAGCTGCATTGCCCAGACTGGTCGTTATCTCCCACCATGTTTTCGAAGTCTTCGCAACAGCATAGTCGCCTTGAACCTGCCTCTTCTGTTCTCAAGCTCAATGGTATTGGTTTTACAAGGCCCGACTCTGCGGAGTCAATTCCGGGATAGGATCTAACCATAAAATACGACGCCGATTCCCGTGTTTCATCGCTTCGCGCCCGGTAGTTGCACTCGAATTGGCAACCGCTAGCCGGGAGAACAGGGATGGCTTCCTTCCGGCATATTGCTTTCAAAACCCCCCTTGCTTTGCCGTCTTGGCCGTACATGACTCGGAAGATTTTCATGAACCACCCCTAGCAAATCATCTCTTATACGAAACGTATTGCGGAGCCCAGTCCCAAAAAGGCAGAAGTCAAGAGACGACAAGAGATGCTTGGATTAGTGATTCCTCGTACCGTAGTGTATGCGATGGATTTGGTGCAAGTCAAAAATTACATATAGTCCAGTAGTGGTTGGCAAGTCGATTCTAACTCACACTCGTCTTACCTTCAGTCGCGATGCAATTCTTCACTCGTATCACCGTGCTGGCCGCTGCCGCAGCTCCTTTTCTCGCGAACGCTGCTCCCGTCGACACCCCTCGCGCGGATGAGATTATCCCCGGCAAATACATTGTCCAACTGAAGCCTGACACCGACGTTGCATCGATTACTGCCCACCACAACAAAGTCCGCAGCATACATGCCCGTAATCTGGCTCGACGAGGTGGCGATGGCCCTAACGGTACACCGGTGGAGCGTGAGTACGGCTTCGGCAATTTCAAAGCCTATGCTGGTTCATTCGATGATGCAACCATCGAAGAACTGAAGGCTCTTCCTGAGGTAAGTAGAGTAGCAGTGCCAAACAATATGATACTATGATCCTGACATCATATCTAGGTCCTCACTATTGAACCTGACTTTATCATGAGAATTAGCGCCTATGTGAGCCAGGAGAATGCGCCATGGGGTCTAGCCAGTATCTCTTCCCGTACACCAGGAGCTACATCCTACGTCTACGATGAGAGTGCGGGCGATGGCACCTTCTCCTACGTAATGGGTAAGTCATGGAGACCGTGCCGTTCCTCACTTGGTACTAACAGCTTCATGAAGATACTGGTGTTCGTATCACTCACGTAGACTTCGAGGGGCGAGCAACCTATGGCTTCAATGCCGTTGCGGGCAGTCCTGAAACGGACACAGATGGCCACGGAACGTAAGTCACCCCCTTACACGCACACGCACCTCCATTCACCCTCTGACACGACCTAGGCATGTAGCTGGAACCGTTGGTGGCGCGAAGTACGGCGTCGCCAAGAAGACCAACATCATTGCTGTGAAAGTCCTGGGCGGCGACACCGGAAGTGCATCAGATGTCTTCGCTGGGCTCGACTGGACAGTCAATGACATCGTGTCCAAGGGTCGACAAAACACCGCAGTCATCAACATCTCGCTTGGCTCTTCCGCTTCAACACTATGGGACGCAGCCATCACCGCAGCCTGGGAGAAAGGCGTCCTCGCCGTCAACGCAGCAGGAAACGAGGACAGCCCAGCCAGTAACTCCTCACCATGCCGCTCTCCTGAAGTCATTTGTGTCGGAAATGCGGAAATTGACAATAGCAGACACAGCGGCTTTGGAGGCTCCAACTACGGCCCCGAGGTCGACATCTTCGCTGCAGGAACGGATATCGTCTCTGCGTCTTGGCGGAGCGACACAGCAGAAAGAACTACGACCGGTACCTCCATGGCGTCTCCTGCTGTAGCTGGTCTGGTTTCGTACCTCCGTGCTCTTGAGGGACCATCGACTGCTGCGGACGTGAAGGCAAGGGTGTATGAGCTGGCTACTCGAGGCGTTGTGACTGATACTCTGGGTTCGGTGAACCTGCTGGCTTTTAACGGCAACCCCAGTGCGCGCATTGCTAGCAGCCCAAGCAATGACACTGTTGATGGTACTATTAAAGCGCGGGGAGCATGGAAGCTGTGGTAGCTTTTGACAGTACTACCTAGGTGATAAATGATAAACACCCATCGCTTCCTTCGAAGCCTTGGCAAAGTATTAAACCACACATATGGCTGATGTATGAGATATGACTTGCCTAGTACTTCTGTTCGTGTGCCCGTTTCTCGATAAACTAGTATTCTTAAAGTGACAGTGATGTGGCTGACTATTTGGCTGAATGTACAGTTGTAGCAGGGCTTTATTTGTTCGTGATAATAGCTAGCTGTTATAGAGTGGTCTGAACTTTACGACATTGGTTTGCAGGGGGTACTGCCAGGAGGTATTCCGTAGTCTCCTTCTAACACGAAGGAAGATAAGAGTCCGGACGTGTGAAACAGGTACCACTATGACTGAGTCGAGGTGATAGTAAATACGTGCACGTAGATATATAGGCTTCTGAAGAGTGTGGGGATTGATACACTTAGAGACCACGTTGCCCAGTGACTGTACCTATGCGTACTGGCATGACCTCATCCGCGCGTACACATAGTCAAGAGAGAGTTCAGATGGTTTTCTGCATTTTGATATCCTCGTGGGTATTCTCCGCGCCGACGACAAGTCCACTGCTCCCTCTACGCGCATCGTCCGAAGCACGTCTGCCATATCGGCGACCACCGGTAGTGACTGGCAGTAATCTTAGGAAGTGAATCAACATTTCCTCGGCCAGAATGTGACGTGGGCTGTCCCGATTCGTTAAGCTTTGTTTTGAAGTCTCAAACTTTCCCTCCCCTTTGCGTATATCTTGAACCACCTGCTCCCCGACCACCCACAAGCACAGTCAACACTACGACAGTAAATCGAATCACACTTCCCAGATAAATTCCGCGAAGCGCGACCGACGCGAAACATCATCTGTGTACCTTGTGACAGGCTTCCTCTCATGCTCGACCTTTTGACGCTTATCAACTAACGGTTACGCGAAGGTCTTTCATACCTTGAGTCGCAATCCTTTCCTCCGACGCAATTCTCCCCACCAACAAACACCAATTACTTATACACCCGATCTGCCTTCACGGGAGGACAAGAAGGGGATACGATGTCCACCACTCCGATTGCTAGGCCCGCCTGCGAGGCTTCTAGCGAGCGTGAAATGCCCACGCCTCAGCGCAAAGACAAGGGCAGAATGCCAGCCCCGAGCTCGCTGAAGCGGGAAGACAGCGATGGCAATTTATCGGATGATCCCGCGCCGTACTCAGGCCGCAGACTTACTAACAAAGAGAGGTCTTCCAAAGAGAAGTTCGAACCCCACGACACCGACCCGACCAAGATCGAGGCGACATTCCGGATCAAGATGCCCGACGGCAGCGGCTGGTTCACCCAGAAAGACGTAATACCAGAGCAGCGCGATTCCGCCGATGAGGACTTGTACGAGCCATGCGCCAGCATCTTCTTCCCAGACCTCGACAGCCGCAAGGTACCTAAGAAGGACAAAGAAAAGAAGAACGATGTTGCCGTGCGGTGGAACAAGGTCGCCGATCTCCGTTGGGAGCGAACATTCAAAGGCAAATACGAGGTCTTTACTCCTAGCATCGCTCTCCGCCGCTTCAACGCTCGTACCCACGCCTACGAGCACATCCATATCGGGACGTCGAAGCTCAACAACATCGATCCCAACAATAAGATGTGGAAGGATGCTTACAACAAGTGGATTGATCAGATCTCGCGCCGCTCCAACGCCAATTACCAGAAGAAGAAGACACGCGATCATTGGACAATTGGAGAGATCTGCGCCATGTATACCGCCATAAATGCCTTTGTCCACGAAAATGGCATCGACGCCTACGATAGTATGTCGACCAGCGATCTGAGCGCCATCACGGATGCGATCAACGCTGTTGGTGGAAAAGCCCGCGGCCTGGACGCTCTACGAGGTCAAATTACGTCGGCCCATGAAACGAAGAACCATACCATGTGGTATCTTCGCGAGAATGCGCGTGAGTTTCGTCTGATGATTGAGGGGGGCGGCAAAGTCAGCGATGAGGAGCGGTATCCGGAGCACATCATTCCTTTGACAGAATTCCCGGTCGAGAAGCGTACAACCTACCGAATGGGCATGCGAAAAACTAGGGCTGGCACTTATAAGAGCAAGTTTCGATCTGTTGGCACACAGACTGGTGATGATAACGTGGTCCACGATGACTCCGATGGCGGTGTTGGTAACAAATCGTCTGTGGGTCTTGTAGTGAAGAAGCGTAAGCGCGGTGCACCGGCTTCTGACAGCGAAAAGGAAGAGGCTGGAGTCCCTGACGACGACAGTGAAGAGGAAGAAGTGGAGCACGGCTATGGGAGCGAAGCCGGTGAGACAGAGGACGACGAAGAGAACAATGGCGATGCGGCTGAGGACGTAGAGGTCGACCACCATCCACAAACTAAGAAGCCACGCCTAGCTGAACACGCAGAAGAGCTGGCTCGTCAACTGCTTGAAGAGGGTTCTGATGAGGATATTTAGGATGCGTCTCGCATGATGGAAAACTGGGTCAATGGTGTAGCGAAGGCGCGATAGTGGCCTACAGCGGACGTTGAGACGGAGATTGATGATTACGAGAACTCTTGGAATTGAGTGAACCGGCGCAACGTGCTCTCAACCTTAGACATTCTCGAGTTTTTTCATCTTCCTAATAGCGTTTGAGCGAGCATGCCGATGATGCGACGCCTCGAAGAGGCATCTCTGATGTAGCTTCGCTGAAGAGTCCAAGGGGCGATTCCAAGACTCAGTGATGGTACTGAATTTGCGTATGGGGTACAGTGGAAGAACAGACTAGAGAGAATGAAGAATTCTTGGAATCGATGTAGCCGACTATATATGTCTGTGATTCAGATTGTGGTGATGTATGTGGGAGAATGAGAAACATAAGGAAGACGATTCACAAGCCAGCAGGAACTACCATATAGAAGCAAACCGTCCTTCAACATATATAGGTGACCATGTTCGGTGCGATGACCCTGTAGCCAGAGGGAAGAGCTGATGAACGTAGGTGTGCTGACAAAATGATGTTGGTATCACGGGCATGGCCATCTGCGAAAGGATTGATCTCAAAAGCGGACAGAATTACGAGGGGTAGAGTGAACCTTGATAGATGAGAAGAATACATTGGATGACGTTGGAAGGGAGCCGCGTCACATTGGAGAATACGGGAGTAATCGCACGGCACCATCAGCAGTAAGAGCAATGTGAATCAACAGAGAGGCTAGGGCGCGGCTCTGATGCTATCTGGCATGCTATAGTCCGTCTTTTCAGGGGCCGTGAATACCACTGATGGATGGATGAATGGATGGCTGGCTGGATGAAGATGATGAGCGTTGATGGAACATGGACTAGCAGTTGAAGCGGCAGGCACAGAGGGCAGAGAAGATACGGCAGGCCCGATAAGCCGACCCCGCAGCCTCGCCCACAAAAGCACACACTAACCGCAGAGCCTTCCCCCACCATAGGCAACTTGACGCGACATCACGACTCATTGCAATTTTTGCAGAATTCGAAACACTTGCATTCACATAGAATACAGTGATCGTATCAAGCAACATGTCAGACACCGAATCAGACACCGCAAGCTCGGTCGGCAGCATCGTCGAAGATGCAAGCGAGCCAGATACGACTAGCTTCAAAGATCTATTCTCGGATCGACAATGGACTCGTGTGTCAGATATGGTAGAGCACAACAAAGCTGAGATTGGCTTTGATCTTCCTGCCACGATCAAAGGACTTGGATCAGGTATGGCTACCAACACCCATCTATGCCTTCTGCGCCTTACCCTTTTGGGATGACTACTGACTGCTTGCACTAGACGCGGACGAGATCACTGTCATCAAGCTGATCAACTACCTCCGGTCTGAAGCACAAAAAGGCACCGATCCTAAGAGTATCAAAGTAACTACAGATGATCTCGCGAGCGACAAGTATCTGCAGCCAGTATTGGAGGATGATGCTTTACTATTCGAACTTGGGGATCTCATGCCGGATGACGACAACAAGGCCATCGACTACGACGAGTACGAGGCCAAGATGCACAAGGACATGCAAGAGGACTTCTCCAAGATCAAGCTCACCAACGACCGGGACCAGGACTACTTCGAATCGTACAAAGGCAACAGCATTCACCGTGAGATGATTGAGGATCGGGTAAGAACAGAAGGGTACCGTGACTTCATTGAAAAGAACGCCGAGGTGTTTGCTGGAAAGACTGTGCTAGATGTTGGATGTGGTACTGGTATTCTGTCCCTCTTCTGCGCACGAGCAGGCGCAAAGAAAGTGTTCGCAGTCGACAACTCTGGCATCGCAGTCCGCGCTAAGGAGATCATCGCAAAGAACGGGTACCAAGACCGCATTGAACTGATCCAGGGTCGCGCCGAAGACTTCAACACGCAGCGGCTGATCGGCAAGGAGAAGGTCGACATCATCATCTCTGAATGGATGGGCTACGGCCTACTTTTCGAAGGCATGCTAGACTCTGTTCTGCGCGCACGAGACATGTACCTCAAGCCTGATGGCATCATGGTACCTTCCCACTGCAACATCCGCCTCGCACCAATCTCGGATGCCGACTGGATAGCAGACAGCACGAGTGAGAAGTTTTGGAAAGACATCTACGGCTTCGACTTCTCACCCATGATCCCAGGAGGTCTGCTCAACACACACGAGATCGGTGTCTTCGATGTTCCCGAGAAGGCGCTTTGCGGCAGTGCGACGAGTCATCTGCTTGAGATGAAGACTGTGTCCGTGCAAGACCTAAGCTTCAATGTACCTCTTCGTATGACGCTTGACCGCGACATCACGTCTCTCCAGGCCATTGCAATATGGTTCGATACCATCTTCATCCACCCTGGAAGCTCACAAGACGTCAAGACGCTGGATAATGTTGATTGGGGCAAGAACGGTATCCCGGGCCTGGGCTTCTCGACGGGACCGAGCAACACACCGACACATTGGCATCAGGCGGTACTGCTGCTGGACAAAGAGGTTGCGGAGAAGCAAGCATATAAGAAGGGCACAGTGTTGGAGGGTAGCTTGACATATGCGAAGGAGAAGGGTGATGATCGGGGTATCACCGTGACGGTGGAATGGAAGGGTCAGGGAGAACAGGGCGATGTTGAGGGAAAGGTGCAAAGGACGATGGCCTAGGAGTTTATGCAGGGACGGGAAAGGACAGTTGTAGAGAACAGATACCACCAAGACGCATCTATATAGCCTCAAAGCGATGCTTCAACCCCTTGATGCCGGGCCGACATTTTTCGCGCTAGCTTCCGATTCCGAGATGCGCTGCGGAAGGCGCCTGCGCAACCCTCAAGCGTCAACAATGTATCTCAACTCAAACAACATCCCATACAATTCAACACCGCGCATTAGATGTGTAGGAAACTGCTCAGGCTTTCTGCAATATAATAGGCGCGTCCCAACTTTGCTTCAAGATTGTCGATGGGTGAGGTGACGACATACCACGTGGATCGTGCGCGTGAGCTTCAGCACTCCAAGAACCCCAGGTGTCGCACGTCGTATCGCAAGACACCAAAAGCTTGATAGAGCCCCACAAGTACTGCTTCCTACCAGAAGCCATTTGATGCAAATAAACAGCCGGATAATGTTCAGTCAACGGTAGTAGGGCTCGATAACGTCTATGCGTGGTATTCTCCCTGGGCGACCCCAGGCTAAGCTCCAAGCTGTCGCTCATGGCCTGTGGGAAGGCCTTCAGATAATCGTATGATTACGCATCGTGTTGCGCGCATGGAGACTGACATCCTCCTCATTTAGGTCTACATCTCCGGCAATGCGCTCATTGTGCTCGATCGACCCGACCACGTCCTCCAAACTATCTACATCGACGAGGAATTCGAGCTTGAAGCGGTCGCAATCGATGAAGGCACTGGCAAACTCGCAGCATGCTCGACGCGACGTATTTACATATACCGACCATATGGGCAAGATGAGGGGGCTGTCAAGGTGGGCACGCAACGAGGGGAAGTTGGGAATGACTGCTGATGTGCGCAGTGGTCGCAACAGGGCAGCATGTCCCTTTCCGACGCTGATGATTCAATAGCGACTCTTTCATGGGGCATGCCCGACGAATTGCTCGCCGGCAGCGCATCTCTCACCCTCTTCAACACCCACAGCGACATTGAACGTATATGGACAAAGCAACTGGCGAATCCTGTCAAATTCGCCCACTTCTCGCCTGATGCCGAATTGATAGCTTCGACAGGAAGATACGACCGGCTCCTGAAAATATGGCGACGCACATCCTTCGGTTCGGCAGACCAGAGGTTCGACTACTTCTACCTCCCACACCCCAAACCCATTACCGGCTTGCACTGGCGGCGCCCGCACCACAAGGATCAATCCGCGGACAACGTACTGTACACAATATGTGCCGACCAAAAAGTGCGAGTCTGGGTACCGGGAGAACACCATGGAGTAGATGGCATGCACATGTGGGCAGACGTGGATCTTGTCGAGTCGATAATGACACAACATGTGCCGTCGGAGCAGCAGTCGACGAAGAGATATGCCTTCTTTATCGATGGCAAACACTTTGCACACGCAACGGAAAGAGCGATGGAACAGGCCTCAGCAGAAGAGAAAGATCACGGCATTGCGCTGCATCACCTGATAGAAGTCGCGAACCGCAACCCTGAGATTTGCGTGGTGCTAGATGACAGAGGCAATATGTCCGCGTGGGGGTTGGAGAACGTGGGGGCAAAACAGAAGAAGGTCACCGACGTGTTTAACATTGCGCATGTCGATGGACTGCATCTACACTTCGCCAAGGAGCCAAAGGCCATTGAGGACAATGTTCAATTCTACGCTTTCATCGGCGATAAATCCGACTCTGAGTTGACACTGCTATCGCATCACTTTGACGGGCGGATTGAATGGCTAGAGTCACGCATCGACTACTTGTTCGACCCTTCATCACAACCACAACGCATTCAGCGAAAAGCCATGTGGACAGGCCATTCGCATGCCATCAAGAAGGTCAACCGTACAGCTAGCGGTAGGGCCTTGGTATCGCGAACCACCACTGATGAATGTATTGTATGGTTACAGCGACAGAGCGATCAGGGCATGACACTACATCGGCATAGCAGTGTCAAAGTGACTGAGCATATTCACCGCACAGCTCTCTTACAAGAGGGTAACTTTGTTGTCTTTTTACATCATGATGAGATTTCGCTCTGGGATACCCGCGGCCATGAAGCAGTTGAGATGACGCGTTCCACATACAAGCTACAGGGCAAGCCTTTGTGCCTGCTAGTCATACCCGAGGTTGAAGCGGGCGGAAAACGCATACACATCGCCACTATCAGTGCCGAGATGAAGGGTATCTGTTGGGAGGTTACACTGCCAACACCAGAGCGTAGCTCAGTGACTGGTCGCAAGCATTCTGCCATTGAGGATACCAATGGCTTCACCAACGGTCATTCGGAGATCGTACTCAAGGAACTTTCAACATTTGACCTTGGATCGGGTGATGATCTTGCCTTTGTACTACCCGTAGATCCTGCAGGCACGGCACCAGTCATCTCAGGGTTCCTCGACACATTTGCGCGAGACGTAGCTATCTCATATACAAAGTCTGGAATCATCAAGTCGTGGACTGCGCGCGTCAACGTCGAAGATCAGAAGTTAGACTGGCTATTGACTTCCGAGGTCGAGACTGGCGTGAAGAGCCCATCGCTTGCTAGTGGCACGTCCATACGTAAAGCTGCGTTGGTCGATGCTGATCGAACGACGCTTACTATCTGGAACACGCGAAGTGCTCAATTGGAGTATGAGGAGAAATTTGAGGGCAATGGCATCATCCAAGATCTTGACTGGTCTTCTACACCTGACAACCAGTCCATTCTTGCTGTTGGGTTTCCCCATCGAGTCGTCATCTACGCTCAGCTCCGATACGACTATCTCAACGCCGGCCCGTCGTGGGTGCAAATTCGCGATGTACGCATTCGCGACATCACACCCCATTCGATTGGCGATTCAGTATGGCTCGGCAGTGGTAACCTGGTCATCGGCGCAGGCAACCAGCTCTTCATACAAGACGAGAATGTCCTGGTGTCGGAAGGGCTATTCCCTAGCTTGCGTACAATCTCACGTAAGACTGCATCTATCGATATCTTCAATGCAGTTAGTCGACTCAACGGCCCTCTTCCCGCGTACCATCCCCAGCTACTCTCGCAATGCGTGCTGGCTGGTAAGCTGTTATTGGTTCAGCGCATCTTGATACGTCTCTACACTACGCTCAAGTTTTGGATCGAAGGTGAGGAGCTAGACAGCTCGTTAGGGTTCGCACCTGAAGACTTCTCAGATGCTGAGGTACGTACATGGACATTTTCAGCCGGACGTAACTGACATCAACAGGCTCAAATGACTGCATCGCGGAGGAAGGTTAGTACGTCATATGCCGACTTTTCAGACGATAGCGAACCTGAGGCTGTCACCGAAGAAGTCGCCTCCAACCTCAAAGAACTCTTGACCACTAAGCGAATACCGCTCTTGTCCAGTCGCGAACAGTTTCGCTTAGCAGACGTTATCGAGTGTATCGGTATGGTTGAGAAGCATCGTCGATCGATTGACGATAACGCTGGACGCTTCTTGTTGTTCTTCCGTCAGCACGTACTGAGCGAAACTCACAAGGGTCCCATATCGTGGCGTGAGATCATCTGGGCGTTTCACTCGGGGAGTCAGGATATCCTCGTTGACCTTGTGAGCAGACACTTCAGCGGTAAGATGATGTGGCAGCACGCAAAGGAATGCGGAGTGTTCATGTGGATGTCCGACATCAACGCATTGGTACAGTACGCCGTTCTTCATCAAAAGAACTCGCTAATAACACCCACAGCGCGCCCAATTCGAAGTCATCGCTCGGAATGAATACACCAAGACCGAAGAGAAGAACCCCGTCGATTGTGCACTCTACTATATGGCTCTCCGGAAGAAACCAGTACTGGTGGGCCTTTGGCGCATGGCTACTTGGTCAAGAGAACAAGGCGCGACCTACCGCCTCTTATCCAACAACTTCAATGAAGAGCGGTGGAAGACCGCTGCTCTCAAAAACGCGTATGCACTCATGGGCAGAAGAAGATTCGAGTACGCAGCATCCTTCTTCCTCCTGGCAGACCATCTCCAAGACGCCGTCAGCGTCCTACACAACCAACTCGGCGATACACAGCTGGCTATAGCAGTCGCCCGCGTTTACGGCGGCGACGACTCACCCGTCTTGTTAGACTTCTTGAGGAACAAGATCCTGCCACAGTCCGCTAGAGAAGGAAATCGATGGCTAGCAACATGGGCATACTGGCTGTTGAACAAAAAAGACATGGCTGTCCGCTCGCTAGTCACTCCATTAACTACTCTACTTGAAAGCTCCGAGCCACCCACTTCGGCCGCGAAATCTTACCTCACTGACGACCCGGCGCTGGTGGTGTTGTACAAGCAGTTGCGTGAAAAGTCGCTGCAGACACTACGCGGCGCCACCATGATTGGAATGCGCGAGGAATGGGATTTTGTGCTGCACACGGCTGGGTTGTACGATCGTATGGGCTGTGACGTCCTGGCGCTCGATTTAGTCCGTAGTTGGGAATTCTTACTTCCGCCACCGACGATGACAACGACGACTTCGATGATGAAAGGAGGAGGATCTGGAAGACCGCCGCTTAGTCCCGAGATGCCAAGGCAGAGCTTTACATCGCAAGGGACGAACCTGAATTCTGCGACGGACTTTGATTTCGACCCTAGGAAGTTGCTGAGGAGGAGAAGCTCGCTCGTTGTGGCGGATTTGCCGGTGCGAGAACATGCACATAATGACCTTGCTGAGAGTAAAGGTACGCTTGAAGAAAGTAGGGAGAGTGAGGAAGAGGGTAATGAGGAGGACGAAGAGGAGAATAAAATTGAAGAGAAGCACAAGGAGGAGCCGAAGAAGAAACCACCCCCAACTCAGTTTAACGAACCGGATGCGAACAGTTTGTTGGATGCTTTTGGCTTTTAGTGGTAGTCGATCAATTTGAGTGGTGTTGTTCATGTGTCTGGATTGAGGGACAAGACTGTGCTGGCATGACTGGGCGCTGTGAACGATGATTGGAGATATAGTGGGGGTTAACGTGTTTTATAAGCGAGTCGTCCTTACAAGCGAGTCGTCCACCCCACTAACTTTGATCACCTTCAAAGCTACGCAACGCAACAACGTAATAAGGTAGAATAAAGCGATTAATATAGTAGATTAAATAGTATCTACAGCATCCTTTTTGCACGTTCGTGAGTTGTGCCCAGTCTCCCTGCACCTCCTGCAGCGCGCAATAGCCTGGCGGCTAAGGCCTGATCGCTCACCACCTTGACGCTGTTCACGCTCAATCTGCTGGTCAGCCTCCTTTGAGCTAGTATATCCTCTCCCTCTCCCTTTGTTAAGGTCCCACGCTTCTGTATCCGTTTCTTTTTGCGCTGCCTACGCTTAGTTGCTGCCTCGTTGGCTCTCTCAAGGCAGGTAATCTGATCGCGCATAAGCTCGGCTGAGAGCATCATCACCTCAGCCCCCTTTTTAAGCTGGTTAATCGCCTCAATAATCGAGGCTGGTGATGAGCTCTTATGCTGCCGCACGCGATCACGTATTAACGTTGATTGAGCCTCAAGCTCACGTACGTTGCTTGGTGTACGAGCCTCCCAGGGAGGCTCTGCGAGAGCAGCTGGTGGAGTAGGCGTACGCAGCTGCACGTTGAGCTTTGATAGAACAGCGTCTGGCTGGAGAGGGGCTAGGCCTGCGCCTCGAAAAGCTGAGCAGATATTGGCTAAGGTGAACGATCGATCAAAGGCTGCCTTAAAGGCTGGCAGGAATTCGAGCTTGGTGATATGGTTGATATTGTAGCGCATTAGAGCCTCAATCTCACGGCTGTACGCGCGCTTCATAGGCGAGAAGCAGCCTACGTCAAGAGGCTGCAGTAGGTGAGATGAGTGAGCTGGCATGCAGAGCGTGTAGATATTGCTCTCCTTGCAGAGCTCTTGAAACTCAAGAGACTGGTGGCTCTCGTGGCCGTCAAGGATAAGCAGGCGGCGTGCTCCAACTACCTTGCCCTCAGTATGCTTAATAAAGTGCTTTAGCCACTCTACTCCTATCTCGTTGGTTGTCCAGCCGTTGTCGCTAACTGCGATAGCCCAGTCGCGTGGGATATCCTCCTCGTACCAGGCTGACAGGTGATACTTGCCAGCAAAGATGAGGAACGGTGGGATTGTCCAGCCAGCAGCGTTGATTGCAGCAATTACCGTCACCCACTCGCGGTTGCCAGGCTGGATAGTCTTTGGCCTGCCTCTCCTCTCTGACCCTGTGATAACTAGCTGAGTCTGGATCTTGCCCATCATAAAGCCAGCCTCGTCAAAGTTGTAGACGTCCTCATCACAGATGCCGTACTTGGCCTTTGTCTCCTCTACCAGCTTAAACCAGCGGCTGATTAGCACAGGATCCTCGCATAGAGCTCTCTGCCTATCGTACGATCGATTAAAACGCGTCATAAGACTGTCTGTACGCTTGACAAAGTTGCGCGGCCAGTGGACGCCAACGCGACCTGCGCCACGCGCAGCAAGCAGCTTATTAGCCATATCGCGCGCAGCTGTATACGTAGGCCCAAATCCTCGCTGATCAAGGTCGAGTATATGTCTAATAATTACCTCCTCCTCTAGCTGGGTAAGCTTCTTTGAGTTGGGCTGGCAATCGCGTCGTGCAAGCCTGCCAGCGCGTCGGTCGCGTAGCGTCATTCGAGGGACGTTAAACGCGCGAGCAGCAGCTCTCTCAGTCTTGATCTGGTGGCTATTAAGAGATGATATAGTAAGCTGCATATCAGCTTCAGATGAGCGCAATAGAGCTTGTTGGCGTTGAGGCATAACTGATTTGATCTTCAAAGGTGATCAAAGTTGGTGGGGTGGACGACTCGCTTGTAAGGACGACTCGCTTATAAAACACGTTATATGTATTGTCATGCATGTATAGTAACAGTGAGTCTTCCGTCATGTCCTTCCCACAAATCGAGGTAGGTATCGTCTATCGGGGTTCCATACCAGACTAAATTAAACTCTGCGTCATAAATTACAAGAACCGTATGGTCTATAGCCATCCCTGCTTCCCACAGCATTTCTCTTTCTCGCCTCACATACTACATAAGCAGCGCAGCAACAGCAGCACCCAGTCCAACCAACACGGGCGCACCAGTAACCATCGGCGCACCGGCCTCCGTCGCTTCGGGTGAGGCCGCGCTTCCAGAAGAAGCACTTGTCGCATCGGCACTTCCCGTGCCCGTAGACATGGCGCTCGACATGGTCGGAGAAGCTGCCTGGGTAGCCTCCAATTTCTCGGTACCCGCTGTAAGGACGAGGTAATAAGTCTCGATTTCCGACGCGGCAATGGGATACACCGTGGAGAATCCCTCTTGAGGCTGCTGACCACTCGAAAGCCCGCTGCAAAAAGCTGGGTCATCAGTTCTAGAACTGTAACCAGAGCCATAGCCGTAGCTAAAGGATTGCTCCACAGTTTCCGTACCCGCTGGGTCAGAGCCGCGCGCGGGATACGTATGCGTAACCGTGAACGCCGTTACCGAAGTTGAAGGGAACTCCACTTGGTTGCAGAGAAGTGCACTAGCAACCTCGGGAGGGTAGTGTATGGTGCAGGTGCGGTTTGAATCAGCCTCATCTGTAGTAGGCCATTCGCAGTAAAAGTTGTAGGCAACTTGGTTGGTGTCGTTGAAGTTGCCATTGAAACCTGGGGGAAGCTCAACCTCGAGACCAAAATTAGTGGGTCCGATGGTCATGGTCTGGGGGCCACCGGCTAGACTGAGGGCGGAGGTATCGGTGCCGTTGTCGTAGTCGGCGACGATGGTGGTGTGTGTTTTGTTGGCGTTGACGACGGATCCGACCCAGCCAATGTGTTCTGCTTCGAGGAAAGGGGCGGGCATCCAGAAAGATGTTGTTACTTGCGCTGTTGCGGTAGCTGCGAACAGCATGGTTGAAAGAAGATGTGACATCGTGGTGGAAGTAGCAACTGATTCAATGCGGGAAGAAAATAGTCTGTGATGATGTGCAACTCCAGCTCCTGGGACGAGGTCTTTGCCATTCTTTAAGCATCGTGAAAAGTGGAGGGCGTACACACCGGTCAGACGAACCTAAGGCGCAGCAGCCTCGCCTGAACGGATACTGTGCCGTATAAGGCGACCACAGCAAGCTATTGCCTTATTGGGGTGGCATGGTACATGATAGGTTGGGATGTGGCGAGAAAACCGGTTGTGTGGATGTACCCTAGATTGGATTGGCGGCTGGTGGCCTTGCCTCCAACAAAGGGTACTCGGGTCCCATGTACATGCAATGCATTGATTGGCGTGTATGGCGATGCAGATGCGGCTGTGCCTAGCTGTGTAACTTAGTCATGATGGAATAGGGCATTGGTGCGATGGATACAAGACAGATGATGGAACATGACTGTTCGTGTTGGTGACGCGGGGGAGGACCACGGTAGGCTTCAGCGACTAACCCATCGGAAGAACCATGATTGGTGGATAATAGACATGCGAACAACCACTCATCAGGGCTATGGAATTCTGGACATCTCGTATGAAGTTAGTTGAGATTGTTTTGCGGTAAGATCTTGCTCGACTGTGAGGATGATAGCATTTACGTCCAAGGCATCATGCAGGTAGCATAGGAAGGACTCACCCGAACAGGCCTGGTGCTCGCTCACATCGCAGACAGAATACCGATCGTAGCGCTGGTAATCCTTTTTGTCGGCGCATCCTGCGTTTATCCTGAGTTGATGGACAGACAATTTCTACTGCGCCCACGATATCTTACTGCAGTATCTTGATTGTGTGTAAGAAGATCGAGTGACGATGATGCAGACTGTTCAACGGTAGTCTATCTCTTGCGGCCTTGGTAATGACTCTACAGAATCTGCCGGTTCTCGAGCTGTTTGCATCTTCGTGGAAGCTCATGAGGTTGAATGGGATTCCATATGTCATATGACGCGACTAGGAAGCTCACACTTGGAGACAAAGGTGAAGGCGATCTCGGAGCTACTTCGGCAAGTGTACTATTCGTGCGATGTAGGGAAAACATGGAGACGAGAACAGTATATAAACTTAGCTTGCGGAAATACAGAAGAAGATGTTCAGCAATTAGATATGTAAAAGGTGTATAGGTAAGCTCCGTAATGGGAGGTTTCGGACGTAAAAGTGGGTCTCATCGCTCGGCTTGTAAGTGCAGCCGAGTGCGCGTCATTCGCCCTTGATTGGTAATCCATGTCAACACTCTTCGGATGGACGTATCTGTCGTCCACGAGTGTAACGTCTCACTCCAACAATATACATCGATGCAATGCCTTCTCAACGCGACATAGAAGCTGTTGTACCAGATGAGCGTGCACCATTGCTCTCGCATGATGCTGTACGCCAACGCACGCCTACACCTTCTGAAGGCGATGAAACAATAAACGAGCCTCAAAAGGAGACATCCAGGACCTGGTATTATGTCTGGAGAGGCCTTCTGACGCTATTTGCCATATTGGTTGTTGCTGTCTTTGTCAAAGGGTGGATAGACGCAGATGACGTCGATGTATGTATCCCTTAATCATCGCGATACATACAACTACCCAGAGCTCACGATATGCAATATAGTTCGATCTGAAAGGCGCATTGAAGCGTGCATTGGGTGGAGGCTTGAGTGGTGCTGCGGCGATGATCCTGCAAGTATTGCTTCTAATGCCCATCCGTACGATCATGAACTACCAATACCGCCATGGAACATCAACGACTGTCGCAACGAGAACCTTGTACGCAGATGGTGGCATAAGCCGATATTATCAAGGCATGGGTGCTGCACTTTTCCAAGGGCCTATCGCACGATTTGGAGACACAGCCGCCAATGCTGGTATCCTGGCCTTGCTGCAATCCAATGGCTTCTTGAAACAGCTTCCATCGCCCATCCAGACAATCTTCGCCTCTGCATGCGCCGCGGCGTTTAGGATGTTACTCACACCCATCGATACGCTGAAGACTACACTGCAAGCCCAGGGTTCCAGCGGTTGGGCACTCCTCCAGCAACGTATCAAGACCGATGGTATTGGCAGTCTCTGGTGGGGTGCGTTCGCCACTGCGGCAGCGACGTTTGTTGGACACTACCCTTGGTTCGCCGTATACAACTTTCTCTCCGAAACGATTACAGAGCCATCGAAGCAGCAAATCGGATGGTGGTTATTACGTGCGGCTTTCATCGGTTTTTGCGCATCGGTCGTTTCAGATACGATATCTAATTCACTTCGTGTCGTGAAGACATATCGACAAGTCAACGATAAGAGAATCTCTTATACCGAGGCCGCCAAGCAGGTCATTCGTCAAGACGGGAGGTTGGGTCTGTTTGGCCGGGGATTGAAGACGAGGATTATTGCGAATGGTCTGCAAGGTATACTATTCTCGATTCTGTGGAAGTTATTCTTGAAGATTTGGGAAGACAAGACGGGTTGAAGACGGCGGCGCTTTAGACAAGATACGTGGTTAAAGGAAATCGGTGTTGCTTCTGTAATCTGCATCCCATACGGATTAGGAAACTCTCTAGAGGCGCCACATGCGTACTTAGCCTCTACTCAGGTATTCTCTCCAATGACACCGAATCAGATATGCTTACGTTCCAGACAGCTTTTTGGCACCTGCAGTGGTCTGCTTCGCCTTCTTCGCCTCTCGTTCCCCTGCATCTTCCTTCTCGCGCTTCCGTTTTGGCGACGACCGCTTGCTCTTCCTTCCATCACCACCCGACGATGCATTCTTACTAGCCTCGCTCGGGTCGTCAGCAGCGACTGTCCCATCTTCTTGAAATTTCGTGAGCTCCTCCTCCGTAACAGCCGGTACAAACACGGCACCACCCTTCTTCCCTTCCAGAAGTTCCCTCATTTCCTTCCGCTCTTTGGCAATCTTGCTAGCCCTACCGTCAAGCTTTCCCCGGATAGAGATTGCATCGCGCGAGGGTCTGGGTCCTACGTCTTCTCCATTTGCATCCCTAAGCGCCCTGCCTTCGAAGTACGCGTTGAAGGCTACCAACACGGAGGCTGGACCAGGGATCCTGACTAGGTGGCCTGCTTCGATGGTGGCGCGGAGTTTGCGATGGAACAGCGTCATCCATGCGTCTTCGAGGGGTGTGTACACGATCACATTCTTTTTGGTATTGAGACCGTGCTCGTAGAAGACGTCGGTACGCCATTGGGTTATGGCGGCGATCTGTGGTCGGGAGGTCCAATCGATGTCTTTGGCTTGTGGGTAGGCGAGGGTCTTGGATTCACCGGTCGCAGTGTTACGGAGTTTGATGGTGAGTTTGTGGACTGAGACATTGCCGGTCCTTGGAGCGTCTTTGTTGCCTTCTAGCAACTCCCATTTGCCGGCCTCGTCTGAAGAGGTTTCGGCACTGGCGTTGTGGTTGCCTTCGTTGTCAAACTCGAGTGTATCGTGGACTGGTTGATTGGCGTCATTTATCGTTGTATCTCCCATCACCGGTATATCTCCAGGTATCTTGGTAGGCCGTCGTGCAGATAATAACGGCCTTTTACGCACCGCAGACTTGGGGAGAGAATTGTCGAAGCCGAGTCGTACCCCCTTCTTGTCAGCGACCTTAGATTTGGATTGTATGGCGGATGTTTTGCTTTCTGGCGTTAGATCAAGCTCGTTGTTATCCTTGCTGTCTTCAAGATTGTTCATAGAATCAAGGTAGCCGTAGTGGTCGAAGTAGCTGTCGTCTAGCCACGGAAAATCGTCGACGTCGTCCAGGTTCTCTCCAATCTCCTCGCCATCTCTAGGATCCGATGGCGGTTCGATTACCAAGCCCACTTCGTCAAGTATATCTCCTCGCTGTAGCGCCAAAGCATGGGCCATCGACATTCCCCCGCTCGGCGTATTTGTGGTCGCTGGGTTGTCGATCAACTGCCATCCTGTCTGGGTCATGATGCACGTGGTATACTGCGAAGCCTTAATCTTGTTGATAGGCTGCCATCCATAAGTGGAAGATGCTTCACGCTGTTGAGAAAGCAACTGCAGATTCTTCGGTACCCTAAGCTCCTCCAGTTCCATCAAGTCTTCTTCTTCTTCTTCTTCTTCTTCTTCTTCTTCTTCTTCTTCTTCTTCTTCTTCTTCTTCTTTGTCTAGTGTCTTCATATACTTGTTCATGCGTAAAGGCTGTGTCGTCTTCGGTTCAGGAGCTCTGGTAGTATCGCGGTTTCGAACATCGGGAGTTCGGTAAGAAGCGAGCGGATGTAGACGATTGAGGCCCGTATCGGCGAAACGGGATACACGTATGAAGTTGTTAACGGTATCGGTGGTATCTTCAGAAGAGCTCAAGTCGCTACTGGCTACGCAGCATTGCTGCTCGTCATCTTGCCAGGCAGGGTCTTCCGGTAAGGCGCAGAGCCCTGTATGTAGTGGAGATGGCAGCTCAAGACTGCCCCATTTAGCGGATCGCTGGCCGGATTGGTTCATGATGTGTTTTGTAGTATCAGTTTCGGTGGAGGGATTGTGCTGATTGGATGATTCGTGGTAATTATATCGGCGGTCCGGCGCACTTCACACGGACCATGGAGTTGAGTGATCCGCATGAGGATAGGGTAAATATACTGGCCAATATGCAACCTGGTGAGTAATTTCTCACGTGGGCAGGACGTTGTTGACACCACTTCCTTGTTTGGTCATGTACAATGAGCCTTACAGTGCCTTGGGAGTCATCGGAGCTAACCTGTAACAGGATTGTTGTGAACTTCAACCATTGGTTCCGCACTGACGGAAGTCACTGATCACGTCGGCATCAATTGCAATACCTTCCTGCCACAACGAGATGCGACCACTTCACATTCCTATCCGCATTTTGCGATAGCCTTCCACCCACGAAAGCCCCTGCACGGCAATATAGCCTGGAGCACCCGAAGGCCAGGCCGAACCGAACCGCACAGCTGCGATGAACCCGATCAACCTTGACAACGATGTCTGGTCGATAGATGCGCTCAAGACTGCACTAAAAAGTCACACTCTATTCAAGCGCTATGGGATGGAAATGCCGGCAAAGGTACTGAAGAAGGATCTAAAAAGCGTCGCCCGACGTTTTGACCAACACGACAAGTCGACTATGATCGCGGATGGCAAACTCCCCGAACCTATCGCGTATGACGACGGATACTATGCTGTCAATGCCGACCTGAGACCCATGGCCGAAGCAGCCGGCATGAAGAACACTCATGGAAAGAATTTCAACAAGATGGGTTTAGCTAAGACATTGATCAGATGGGATGTCGATCACGCTCCTCGCGTTGCTATATTCCTACCACGACGGAAGAAGGAGGAAAAGCCTGACATGCCAAAGAGGGCCGTTCAGACGCAGAACAAGACTGGAGTAGAACCATTGAAGTCGAAGAAACGCAAGGCTGTGCCAGCCCAGCCTTCAGTACCACCGAAGCGCCAGAACAAGACCAAAACGACCGCGAATGACGACGACGTGGAGATGAGCGATGAAGACGAATCGGGCGACGACGGATTTCTCCCGCAGCCTGCGATCAAGGGCATCATGTCGACTCGGACACTACGCCAGAAGCAAACGCCTGCCCGTAAGCCTCGAAAAGGTCAAGCGATTGCTCCCCAGACACACATCGGAGCAAACAAAAACATGCATGAGGTGACATATAGGCAGGTTGACGAAGATGAAGAAGGTGATCCTAGAGACGATGCTGCAGGTCACGCCGACGAGGAGGACGACGAGGAGTTCAAGGTTGACGCCGGAGAGTTGCAATGGTCAAGTACAAAGCGACGTGCACTTGGACGCCTTGCAGCGCGAGGCGAGAAACCTAAGAAGAAACCTACAAAGGCAGACCAGGCGAGACCTGATCCCAGCGAGGATGGCACGCAGAATACCGCAGAGCGACACGCGAACGAACAGCAGGAGAAAGATGATGAAGAGAAAGGCATAATTCATAACGCGCATCGGCTTGGGGGCTACAATACCTCTGCTCTCGCAGACACCTTTCGCGTCAAGAACAAGACAGTTCATGCGCACATGGAAGGGCACATCCGGCCTGGTGTTGAGCCTGCACCTACTGATCAGCTGGGCACATGGCGCCTCTACGAGCGTTATGTAGACCTGGCAAAAAGAGAAGGAAGGGATCCGGACCTGTGGATGGGCGGAGGAGCCTCGCCCTGACGTGCTCTATGGGAGGGCTCTGAGGAGCGACTACAAGACGGACGGTGAACCTGACTTCGATTTGGATACGTGGTAGACAGTAGTACAATCACACCATGAACTAGCCGCCATGTTGCGCAAGGATGCTTTGTGGGTACGTCGCAGAGCCTTCATGTTCTTTATTTGGTAAAGCAAGCGGACGAACGAGTAGAACAATACAGTTCCTTTGTACTCAGCAACAGTATTGAAAACAAAGAACATAGCGTATAACATTGACTTGTTTCCTTCGAGGGCCAATCTGCCGTCGTACTGTCTTCATACATGACTCTGAAGTTTCCCAGTTACATGCTTCCTCATTCTATTTTCCCAATCATTGCCCTCATCATCGTCGTGATTGGCCATGCCACCCAAAAATTCAGGAGATGATTCCAATGGTGAACCCAACCAAGGAAAAGGACCCCAGAAAGGCAGTGACAGAGTGCTTCGTAGTCAGAACTCAAAGGGAGATGCAACACAGGGTCTGCCACCAGTCCAAAGCGACGAAACTTTAGCAAAGGAAAAGGGTACGGCATCTGGGGATGACAGGGGTGAATTTTCGCGTCCGCGGGAGAGCGTGAACCAGTCATTGGAAGCCCAAAAACAGCAATTAATATCGAGGCTAAGAGATGCGGAAAAGGCTGCCCAGATACCCAGTTTCGAAGAACATCTCCGCGATCAAGCTCTGGCTAAAGACTTGAATGAAGACGATCGGGATGCAGTTGTTGCTAAAGCTAACGCAGCGGTTGGGGGCAGCAGAAAATTCAGCGCTACTGTACGCCGGAATGCTCATGTGCGGAGACGCGTCGCAACTTCATTGTATGAGGACTTCTTGTATTATCAAACGCCCGAATACCGCAATCAGTATAGGGAGCATATCGATGAGAAGAAAGGTGAAAAGAAAAGGTCCATGAGAAAGGGACAACCGCCTGGACTCCTTACAGAGGATTATACTTACGACAAGCTGCTGCGCCCCATCATTGATTCATTCGAACGGGATGGAGTCGGTACGACAGAAGAGATAGATTACAAGAGTATGGGTTCCGAAATGTTGCACGTAAGACTGCCAAGGGCGAGAAGGTTCGCAGTAGGAATAGGTAGGCCTAGGAATCCGCCCCTCTTGCCACCCATAAATCTGCATTTGGATCTTGAGGCTATTGAGAAAAGAAGAAGGGAAATAGAAGATAAAAATCAAGATCAGTCTGGAACGGACGCTTCCCATTCTGAGCGGCGAGTACGACAATCAGAGCTCGTACCACGTCTGCCAACAGCCAAAGATCTGAAGAGGACTCGATTAGAGAGTGGTTTATTCATCGCAGCTGGAGAAACATCATTCGACTGGGAGACTTCTTATGATCGTAAGGAGCAAAATGACGACGACGACATGAACAAGATGTCAGACGAGGATTTCGAATCTGGTGACGAAGACTCGAGTGAAGACGAAAACGACTTGTTCGCGATCAGCTACCGCGAATGTAGTAGCCTAGAAGACTGTCCGTGCGGTGGCAAAGATAAGGTAAAGGTAGTCGTAGCGGTAATGGCGGTCACAGTGGTCACGGTGATCATGGCAGTGATGAAGAAGGGAATAGTGGCGCAGTAGCGCCGCTCAGTGTCGCGGGGGGCTCACTCATTGTCTCCAAAAAGACCACCGCCATCACGAAGACCACACCTGACACACAGATCGGACACAAAGACCGCACTCGACAAGATGAGTAAATTTGATATGGAGACTAGAATCGCCGCGGATAACTCTGCATCAAGGGAACACTATTACAAAAAGCTGTACGATCGCCATCAAATAGAAAAGCATAGTTCAAAGCGCTAAGAAGAATGCAGAGCTATATGAGTGTGCAAAGGAATGTGACAAGAAGAATGCACCTGATGCTGTTCATAAGTACATTGTTATGAAGAAGAAAACCGCGAAACTTTTCATGACTGCACCGAAGGTTGATGATAACTTAGACAAGTGGAAAGCTGAGATCAAGCCCATGATTGAGAAGCAGAATACATCAGGAGAGGAGTCTGAGGAGGAGCAAGAGAACATTATAGAGAACGTCGGCGAAGATGAAACAGACTCTGATCAGAATCATGAACAAGGCGATTCCAGAGAGGATCTGATGGGCGGTGTGGAAGGAGAGTCCACCATATCGACAGAGGACCGTACGACCAACTCTAAGATCTCTGCATTCCCTCCCTCTTCCAACACCTCACAAACGCCCAGATCTGGAAGAAAGACCACCAGAGCTGCAAAGGCCAAACCGCCAAGGCGGTCACATCATAACAGCAATAAGTAGAGTGCCTCAGCTATTCCCTTTGTCAAACGGATAGAGATTGATAGAGCAAAGCGTAAACGTGTCGATGCATGCAAATCCGACGAACGACCGAACAAAGAAGAGCGCAACGGAAAGCAAAATCGAGGAAATCTTCCAGGTAAAGCTGTCCGTTCGTATAATCCAGCCCTCGACTAACATGTTCTTCCAGATGGACGAACCACACGATGAACGCCTCCCGGTGAAGCTGCAATTAAGTCAAGACAAACTACAGCAGGAAGCCATCGCGCACTCAAGGCTACCCGAAGCTGACAAGAGGAACCCAACTACCGCTATCAAACAAGTTACTGCCGATAAAGCAGCCGCCGTCGATGCAGAAGAGATTGAACGTATCACGGGCACAACCGACGAAGACACAGACGCCAGGAAACACGTCCCGATACAGCGAAAAGCACGCATGAAGACGACTCCCGCGCGTGCTCTCGAAAAACGTCGCCGCGAGGACGTACAAGCAGAGGCCGAGTTCCAGAAGAAACTGAAAGGCAACTACGCCGTTAGTGAGGCCAAACGCGAGGTGATTCGAGGCAAGGAGGAAGAGTTCGTCAAGGGGGACCAGGCTGCAAGGAAAACCGCTCAGCAGATCGAAGATGCTCTCAAGTTTCATTACCACTCGCCTTTCGGCGCGGGTGAAAAGGGCATGAAGTGTACTGAGGAGGAGATGCGGAAGGCTCTGACAGCAAAGGCGGCTAGAGGTGAGAATCCTTTTCTCAGCTTCCAAGGGTCAGCAGGGGTGAAGCAGTAGGGATTCCGAAATCACTTAGGAAGCGTTGGGCTAGAATGGCTGTTGATGGAGGATACGGAAATGGAAGGTATTGCATTTCGGTGCTTGCTCGAGTAACCAGCTAGAGAAAATCATATTCTAGCCAAATATTATAGCAACCTCTATCGTTCTTCGTCGCAACATTCGCACTCATTGTGAACTACACTTCACAAAGCTCGTAGACGTTAATGAGAATACAATAGCGTCAGAAGAGCTGTCCAATCTTCGCATATGACTACTATAGCATCTGAGAACGCTGGTCCTGGCGCTGGAGCAAATAAAGGCCGTGGGACCTCGTGAACTGGTAAATATTGCCATGATAGTTCATGCACTAGTAGTATGATGGCCTTCGGACATGTTGTGCGCTTCGGCTAATTTATGACACCAGTATATTGGGAGATGATCCGGTTGTTCCAGCTTAGTCCTCGGGTCGAGCAGTCATAGTGGGTACACAGCCTTGGCAACTTTCTTGATGAACCGGTACACGGTACATGGTGCGACTGGCATTTTGTTCCAGTGTGCGCCATGGAGGGAGCTCCTTGACCTCCCTCCTTACTCCCTCCCTCCTTGGTCTCCATGGAGCTCCGCCGGAGTTGACGGAGTTGCTAAGCTCTTACCCCACACTCACACTAATCGTATGAGGCGTAGGTTAGAGCGCGGCGCAAAGCTTAACCTTACAGCTGCTATTAGAACGCGGGGAGCACAGGCTATAGTGTTGTTAGAGGAGGTGAACAATATATTGTATATATACTACTTAATCTATCGTTCTTCTATTAAAACTACCTCTAGGGTGTATAGCTTAGTAGTAGAGCGCCGTTAGGTTGATTATTCTAACAATACAAATAGTGTAAATTAAGGCTTTTAATTAGTAAGTAGTTTAAATAATGTAGATAGGTATTAAACGAGGGAGATAGGTTAGATTAATAGTAGGTTCCCGGCGCGTTCTATGCTACTCTCCCTTATTGCTATCGTCCTATAACCCCTCGCTGCTAGTACTACTACTTAATACGTATTGTACTTCCGCTATCTCGTTACTACGTACTGCGTTACTACAGTGTTTAGCAAGGGTTATAAGGCTAAGCTTACCCTAGTGTGTAAGGCATAGCATAGCTTCTAGAGTCTCTTTACAGAGTTAACGTTGTCTAGAGTTTAGTATAAAACTAGCAGAGCTAAAGAAACGCTTTGCCTCTGCGCTTATTACTAGGATAGACAGCATGTTAATTGCTATGCGAGCAAGAGAAGTGTACTTAGCGCGAACAGCTAGGCGGAGCTAGTATTAAAAGGAGACGAGATTGTCGTTAGTCTTAAGCTTAGCCTTAAGGTACAGCGTTAGCTTATTACTAATCTTTTGCAGATAGGGTAGACAACGCTGCTGTTTAATAAGCTTGTTAATATTGCTGTACTTTATCTACTTATAGGGCCGCTTGTTACAATCGCATTCGCTTAGGGGTTAGCGCAGCTTACTGTCTTAGGATAAAGTAAGGGAGCTTTAGCGTAAGCTATAGAAGTTGACAGGAGAGGTGTTAGGCCTGCAATCTTACTCCTATAGTCTCCTAACTGCCTCTACGCTACATTTAGCGTCTTATAGACTCTATTCTTTTGCTAAGTACTAATACTTTAGGCGCAGATCTAGTAGCAAAGCAGTAGTGTACACAGGGGTTTCGTTAAGTATATTGTAATACTCTGTTGCCTTGCTCTAAGCTTGTTCGATTGTTACCTAAAAGGCGGAATCTTTCTAGCTCTTAGCATACTTAACCTTAAGCTTCTTAAGCTAGCCGAGGATAAGTGTGACGGGCTAGAGCCCTTTGCTCTCTTATCCTCGTCTACGACCTCGGTTTTCTCCTTCTTCGGCCCAATAGGCGCTTAGACGCTATCGGCTAATAGTTCTTCTAGCTCTACACCTAGGTATATATAGATAGCTACGTAGCCTCGAGCTTAGCTCTCTATTGAATACAACTCTAGTATACCTATGCGATAGCTCCCTAAGCGTAGCCCCTTACAATATAAGCTATCTTACCCTTAAACTTCTCGAAATTGCTGCTAAACAGGAGCTGCTAGGTAATAAGGTTAAGTATATAACTAACACAACGCAGCTGTCTAACCTTTAGATTAAACTAGAGCGTCTCTCTAAGGATTGCAACTGCAGTATTGTTGCTTAAGGCGTTATTAAGAACAAAGAAACTGACCTTATCGCGTAGGTTGTAGTCGTTAATAACCGCTAGAACGTTCGTAGCAATAGCCTTGCTATTATAACGATTTGTTATCTCTCTAAACGCTAACATAGCTGTTTAGCACTTCCCCTTATTGTCTATAAAGTTTGCAATAACACTGTTAATTGCCTTACGCTGCAGTAACGTCTAGAGGTCGAAAGAGAGGTAGATACGACTCGCCGCATTCTTTAAGATCTCTCGTACCTCCTCTTTGTATATAGCGAACTTAGTATACACCTACTAGTAGGCTGCCTTCTTAGACAGGATAATAGATTCCTGCATTAACGGGTGTATACAGCTAAATATTATCTAAAAGTACAGACTCTGTAGCTTCTTAAATAGTATATTCTTAAGGGTTATCTAGCGCATAATGTCCTTCTTAATTAACCTAGAGTTAAATAATTCTACAATACTGTTGTATAGTTGTTGCTGTACAGGATTGTATAAGTTAAAAGAGGAGCTTATAGCGTTAGCTTTGTTAAGCTCCTTAAGGGGACTATTAACGTTCTCCTTATACGATTTAGAGTGTACATTCTAGAAGTATTTAAGGGCGTGCTAGCTTCCGTTTATAACGTTTAAAGGGCGAGTAAGAGTTAGCGCAGTAGTGTAGCAAGTACAGCATAAGAAGTAGATGCTATTAATCGCCTGCGTTAATCCCTTCTTAGTGTACTTACTAGTAAGAGGCACCCTAAAACGCTACTAATAAGCTGTCCTTTAGACGCTATTTACTGCCTTTGTGTAGCCTCTAACCTCGTAGGACTCCTATACAACCTAGGTGTAGTTGAATAGAGTATCTAATAGATGCCCTAGCTCGGCAACAGCTATATATAAGTTAGCGTTCATTTGCTAGTACTCTGTAGGCACTAACACCTGTTTAGAATCGAGTTTGCTAAGCTAGGAGGCGTCTTTGTTAAAGATAGTAAAGCTATAGCTAAATAGGCGACGACTAGACAGTTCCGCGTTAGATTGCGTGTTAGGAAGTTCGCACTAGTTTAATACAGGTGTATTTAAAGACATAGCAGCATTAGGCAAAAGATATGTTTTATTTAGGTAAAGTAATTATTATAGAAAGTTAACGTTGTACACTGCGAAAGATAGGATGAGGTGCGATCGTTGATATTACTAGCGTCCTGCTTCAGGTTCGTCTCAAGTCTGGCTCCCGAAACATCACCACCTAACGTTAACAAGCCTAGTTACTACCTATATAGTACTAGCGTATCCTACTCCTTCAACTCCTGGAGCGTCGGGGATCTCATGGATCTTGGCGGAGTGGAGCTCTCTCCCTCCATGGCGCACACTGTTTTGTTCCGTATTTAATGCGACCCCGCTCACGGTCCTTGAACGATACCAACATATCCTAACTCCAGCCCAACCTCGTAACTCGCAACACACGAATACAAGCACAAGTCAGAGTCCGCTCTCTGAAATCCCACTTTCGTACACGGTGGCGAGTAGATACAGTAATTTCATTGTGAACGGTGGCGGAATGAAGCCAGGGTTTCGACTGATGTTCGAGGGGCCATGATGCATTAAGATGCATAGTCTCAAGAAGGAAGATCTTCTAGCGACTGCTCCGGAGTGGAATGGAAGATATGCTCTCCTGTCTATGAACGACCCGCAGGCTAGATATAAGGCGAGCGGTACGCAGAAGGATTGGTTGGGGGTGGAGGCCATACGAAAGATCAGGAGGCCCAAGCAAAGGCGGCAAGCGGCAAGCACACGACGCAGGGTGGGGAGCAGGGGACAGGAAAACCCGGACAAGCACAGCAGTCGAATACATTGGGGCAAGATCAAGACGGAGATATACGTATGGCGGATGATGAAGACACCACAGAGGCAGCACCATTGGTAGATCCAACCGCAGGGGCGGTCTCTAGCCCTCATAGTGGCAAGCACAAGCGTCATACCACCGCAACTCCAGCCGCTAATAGCCAGATACGTACTGCGCAGCCCAAGCCAACAGGAGACGAGGGGCGTAGATGGCGCAGAAGTCACAGCGGTCTCTGCTCAACGTACACGAGCGAAGTGGCAAACACGCGAGCGAACTCACGAACGCGTCGTCGAAAGAACAACACCTCCGATACCCCAGCCTGTTTAGTCCCGCTCCAGTACAAAAAAGTGGTTGGTAGTAGAATTGGAGATGAAAGAGTTGCTAGGTAGAGGCAAGGGTAGGACTGGCCGTAAACAGACTACAACCCAAGTTCGTAATACCGATGGTGATGAGAATATGGCCCTTGTTATTCACAGTGTTCAGGATCCTTCCGATCATCAGACCCCAAAATATACTGCTGAAAACACGCAAATAGCAAACACCTGGCGGCCTCATAGAAAGCTTATCTCAAATTCACAGCAGATTGTAGGATCTCCTTTTGAGCTTGTAAAGTCTATGGAAGGCAAGGACAAGGATCCGAAGGATGTAATATCAGATATGTCCACATCTGTCGTTACGTTTGAGAAGCTCGAGTCTCGACGCCATTCGCCTCGTATCGATAAGGAGGAAGCAAACGTGCCGGTCGAGGGCAAGATCACTACTGTTGATGGAGTCTCCGACGAGACAGATGAACCCAACGAAGCGTCCGAGGAGGATGGTGCATTAGATGGGGTCATCGTTAGAAGATACTGAGGAGCGCACTTATGTGGAACTTTCACCAACCAAACCGGGAAGGGTGGCTGGACTCACCTTTGCTCGAAAACTGAGCCCAGAGAAACTCTCCAAAGTCAAATGAGATATGGAGGAGAAAGGCAATCCCAAGGTCTCCGGGATTTGATAAGGCAAGATTGTGTGTTACTCCAAGGAAGGGACTCTGGAAGACGAGGCGCTTCATCCCATCTATCTGCTAAATCAATCGATCCGCGTTCAGTGGACATATCTACAGTACCTGGAGAAGAAAATGGCGACCCAATAATTGGCGCAAACGTAGTTCCAAGTGTTGCTGCGCAACGTCACAGATGTAGGCATGGCAATACAAATCGTCGTACATGGTGGACGCACGCGACGGATAGGTGTTGGACGGCCTACGAAGAGCTGACATGATTGCCAACCAATCGCATGGAGGTAGAAAATTTTCAGGAATGTTGAGCATGACTGATTCGTCAAAGTATCATGAACGACTTTCCGACCACTACGGTCGCACAGGTCAAGACAAAGCGACATGACCCAGACCGGGTATCAGAGTGACGTATGAGTCCACCACGATCGCTGCCGTCGGACGCCATGGAACGAATGTGACTCTCCATGGGTGACGTTCTTTCGTGATGCCGGTTATAGAAGAAGCACTGGGGGATTGTAACCCACAGAATATGGACGCATAAACAATAGCCGTCAACTTGGGAAATACCAAGTGTACTTCGACCGGTAGTGACAACGATGGATATTAGAGAAGTAAGGTACAAGAAAACTGCTTATTACGAAGCCGTGTTGCTGAGTATGCCCCGTGACGTACGCACGACTAGTAGTAGGTTATCAAGCTCGCGCTCACCATGTATCTGTCCCTGCGAATACAGTCTACCTCCCAGCTGTGGTTCCGATATGATTCCATCGAAGGTACGCCCACACATCATTTACTTACCTCCACATACTCCTCCGCGACCTTCTTTCTTCACCTTTGCCATACGTCGGATCCTTCCCCAGATACACCATCCTGTTCTCTCGGTAATGCCTACCACCACTACCCTGCTCCAGGTTCCAATACTTCTCAATTTCTCTCCAGACGTCCCAGGCCCTACGACCTATCTTAGGTGCCAAAGTTTTAATTTCTGCTGCGATAGGTGGTGCTCTCGGGTCTATGTTCTGCCGGCTGTCCAACCAGTAAAGATATGGGTGCCGTGCTGATGCCAGCTCGCCAACGATCCAAGCCTTCGGATTATGCGGTGCTTGACCTGGCTGGACATGAATCTGGTATGTCTCGTCGAAGCGAGGATTGTGCTGGAGACAGATCGTATCGTATGGTGATTGATGGAGACCTAGTAAATTGATGATACGTGTATCATTGATGATAAGATGGTCGACTGGGCCCTTATCCAAAGTCGCTGTCACTTGGGTGACCTCGTTGTTCTCATCACGGTGCATGCACATGTCGATAAAGCGTGCGGCTGGGTAGTACTTGGCTTGAACCTCTTGGATGTCCATTTTAGGGAAAGCTTCCGGGTTCTGGATTGGTATAACCGTGCAGGTGCCATTGGTGTGCTTCTCGCACGCTACACCTATAGGCCTGATTAGGGGAAGCTGCAGCGTTAGTACTGACGGCGAAGGCGCTGTCTCTGAGTTGACATAGCGAGTCGCAAAACCTTGTAGTGTTGGTGAAGGTATGCCTTCCATGTCGACATCTGGATTCTGGGTAACTCCGAGTCCACTTTTCTCCTGCATCTTACTGTTGAAAGCAGCTTGATCTTCGATAGTCTCCTCTTGTGCGTCATGAGATTCAATGTCATCGTGCGCTTCCTCAAGCTCCTTTACCTCCTCGTCCCCACCATCTAGTTCCTCGATCAAGGGCAATTTGAACGTCAATCTCTCCTCCGCCTGCTCGTGCGCACTCGCAAATTCACTGTACACCTTGATGACCTCATTGTTGTTTAGCTTCTGAAGCAAGTCTTTAATCTTCTGCCTCCTCACATTAAGCAGACGCTGTTTACGACCGCCTACTGTGAGGATCAAGCGCATAGTGTTGATAAGCTCTTTCGCTACGGCTTCCGGCATGAGAGCGAAAAGTCGAGGTTCGAACACAGTTAGGTTATTTGACGTCGTCATTGGCTTCTTTCTGGTGGCTTTCTTTGGAGTATGCGTGATGTGTGTCTCAGGCGCAGTGACTATGATCGGTGGAATGGGCGCGGGTGTTGAGACCTGCTGTGGATGTGGTGTGTCGTTTTGCATTCTGACCCGCTCTTGTGTTCAATGATCTTAGCGGATTGAAAATGTGTGGTATCGGGGCGAAAATGGTGGAGATGCGAGGTTCGGAATGCTCGCGAGGCGTGCGTTTGCTGGCAAGGTTGTTTTGTTTTGTGTCACTTTCGTTTGCTCACCTGTCACCTAAGAAAATGAGAGAGAGTGTGGACGGCGCTTCACTCGCGGCAAGCTCTCTCTAGGTCAGACATACACCAAACGTCAGATGTATGCTAATACACTTCGGTGACAAGAACATCGTCAAATTCGGGTGAAGGCTATCGCAATCACGTTTGTGTGGTGTGTCAAATACTGCGATCTGTTTACCTCCATTGTTATTTATCTGTGCTTCAAACACTACGCTATGCACCAAAGCGCTCTTTTCCGTCTGAGGGACGCCTCCACTCCTACGATAAGAAACAGACTCGACTATCCAGCGGTCAAGTCAACGAAAATGACCCCTAGTGCGATGTTCTGCCTCTATTACCTTCGTACGATAGGTTAGTAATCACTCAACATTAATGGCCCAGTTCGGCACTACCGACCACCGTATCAAGCCCACGCCAAGATCTCCCAGCTCACACTCTTGTGCCATGATCACTTCATCTGACCATATCATGCTCCCCATATCTCTGTGTCTGCGCTTTATAGTCACAGATGTCAGCGTCGATGTCATTGATTATATTATCCTGTCGCAGAGCATCCGCTTCTGCCGCTGGATCATCATTCTCCTTGAGAGGCACACCCGCAAGGCTTTTGACAGCTTGTTTCGCAACTTCAACACACCTGAAGCCTCCATAAACTGCCTTTTGAGCCTCAGCAAACTCAGCACGTGTCTCTCTAACATTTGCTGTGAGCTCGTCGACCATATCATTCGATTGTCGTGTTGCGCCAGCAGCAAACATACGCACAGCAGCCATGCGCTCCTTCAGCTGCACACCATAGATTTCAATGCGGCCTGCTTGAAGCTTGATTCTGGGATCGACGAGAGTGCACTCCTCGGGAGTAAACTCCTTTCCAGTGACCGCGGAGGCGAACAAGGCGCGAAGCCCGCTAGAAGATTGGACGCGCCGCCTCTGCGCTTCTCCGAAGGCCTGGAATCGCGCCATTTTCCATAGGTCTTCAATAGGCATGTTAAATAAACGGACGCCAGTCGCTGTCACGCTGTCGGCTGCAGGCCAGTGTAGGGAGCTGGGTGATTGCGTTTTGATGCTGGATCCCGCGCCGATGACCTCTTCTCCCGACGTCAAGCCTTGCGTAATATGATGGGCCAATTAGCAATTTCCATCTTCAATGTCAGGGACTTCCTCAGTGGCGTCTTCTGTAGTGACAACGAAGTCTCCCATGTCGACGTCGCAGTTGAGGCTCGGTTGATTATCTAATTCACCACCAGCATCGTGCATTTTCATGTCCTTGTTGGAGTCGTTCTCCCTAGAGCATTTGCATGATACTTGGATCGAACTTTCATACATGTTGTCTTTGTCCCTCACTATAGAAGCTTCTATCCGCACGTTCTTCCCGTCGACTCCACCGTCGCTGTTGCTAAGAGAGTGTTCACCCAGCACTGAGCCTCCAGTATCCGTATCATGTGATTTTATGGAGGAGACATCTGGAACAGAACGAATTTCCGCAGTCATTCTGATCTCACCACGTCTCGTCGTGACTTCGGTCCCTTCGGCAGCCGGATCCCATACGTTGAAGCCATATTTGTTTACGCTACGAATCACACGAAGGGTATCACGGTTTAAGTAATAGGCTATTAGGCAGTAGAATTTGGTAGGAACACTGAAGTTGAATTGAAGTAAGTCTACGTGTTGATATACCGGAATGATCGGATGTCAGCAGGGTTATGGTGAAACTCTGTTCACATAGGACCGAGTACTTATCGGACCGAGCAAGCTGTACGTAGACTGCGACAAAGGGTGTAAGCAAAAAGGCGGTTTATATATAATTTAGGTTGTATTGTGTTGTGTAGTTCTTCTGCTCACCAAGAGGTCTGTGACGTAGGCTTATATACATGAAGTGGTGGGCTGATTGGCTGGTGGACAATCCACGTGACCATGCAAGGTGCCCTGGGCTTACAAAGGGCAGGAACAGTTTCACGCGAAGTAAGCTTCTTGCGATTAAATCGTCTCGTACTACCCTCCGCCATCTTGGGTGAATGCCGGTTGACGCTGGGCTTCAAGGTCTTTCATCGCTTCAACTCGGGTTTGCTGCTTTACTTTAGCGAGTTTACGACACGCTTGTCCAACTCATGCTTCCTGGCTATTTAATTTATTTCTTTGTCACTAGAGGTAGTCGCTCGGACACTGTCATCATTGTTTACTTCGCCTACTCTCCGATTCAGTGATGTGATGCATCAGACAGGAGTGCCGCAATCAACAGCTGAAAATCCACGGTCAGCGTGTTGAGCTTGGGGTCATGGAGTTCCATATTGGCCGCATATTTTCCGAGTCTCAAGGCGTGATTGCCGACCTCGTTCTGCAGCCGCAACAGACGGCGCGACAGACCCTGAGGGCCTTTGTATAGTGGGGGGAGGGACATCATGATGATACGGAATGCCGAGTGCTCGAGCACGACTCTAGCCCTGATCGTGTCTTCAAGGCACATGATGCAGCGGTTCAACTTGAAGAATGGCTGCCTCGGTACACGCTGCCTCCACGCTTCATCTTCGACACCCGCATCTCTCTGACCACATCGGCCAAATTAGATCGGAGTAGGCTTCGCCAGCTGGCAGCACACACGCAAGAGACCAAGGTAGGGAACAGTAACAACAAGTCAGACAGACCTCTAACAGTGGCTGAGCACCAGATGCAGACACTGTTCGCAGAAGTGTTGGGCCTCCAAGTCAGCGACATTCTCGTAGAAAGCGACCTTTTTCCAAAACGGCGGCCATTCCATCAAGGCTATGCGATTGGTATCTCGAGCCCGTCGCGAAAGCTTAGCGATAACCGTGGCAAAAATCTTGCGCTACTACCCTGGCGCAGCTTGTGAAGATGTCGCAGCCGCTCAACGCTTCGTCTGAAGTTGAGCACGTCCACAATCAACCCGCGTCGGAATCCATCAATATCCATACGCTTCGCTCTCTGCCATGGCATGACCTGGCTTTCCAAGAACGGGATATATCCGACTTCGCCACTACCACCGAGGTACAAGCATCCTCGGTGTCCCGGTCGCAGAATTGCTGTTCTTGGAGCTACGGGGTGCCCTGGATGTAGGCTGGCAAATGGGTTGGGGTTGGGTTGGATTTGTCAGACCCCAACCCACAAATTTCACGCTAACAATAGGTTAGGGTTATGTGATGAAGACTGCATGGGCCCTCGCTCAAGCCCGGATCTTGGCAAACCACGACGAATTCGTCTTCGGCCAACTTGTCGGTGGGCGCAATGCACTGGACAATCAGCCTGACCTATCCAACGTGGTAGGGCCATGTGTGAACACGATTCCAGTGCGAGTGCGGCTAGGCGAGTGCGGCTAGGCGAGCTCTCGCAGGATCCCGTAGTTCTGCAAGTGGAAATCTTATGAGATAATAGGTTTAGAACTTTGTAATTATTGATTCTCTATTCCAAGAATCTTATTCTTAAGGTTGGTAGTAGAATGTCATTTAAAGGCCGTGCTAAGTATCTACACAGCTAACGCACCGGTACAGCACATGAACAGAATTATAATGCCTCAAACACCTTGCATATAAGTTGTAGCGATATATCTAGCCATGTGCTGCGGATCATAGAGACGAATTATGCTAATGTATTTACTCTTTTGGCTGCTCAAACCCTAGCGCAATACCTCATCTGTCGCCTTACGTTGCACAAGCTACCGTGAACTGCTCTCCGAGTCGACTTCTCTCAAGAGTCGCGGAACCCTCTCAGCCCCGACGTACCTTTTTCTTCCTCTTAAACATATTCAGCCTCTCGGCTGCGTCCATCTCACCAATCCCAACCGGCTTGAACATGGGCATGGCAACTTTGATGCCAGATTCCATCCATCGCGCCCATAGGTTGTGCAGATCGACGATACCATGACTACGTACAAAGGTCTCAAGGTCATCAACAACGATCTGCTTGACAGTATCGTTGCCTTCAGCGGCTCGGTGACGCGTCCACACGAGATCCATATACTCCTGGCGCTCAGCCTCTGTCGCCAGAGTCTGGCCCATCTTTTCCATAAGAGGTCGTAGATTATGTCCTGCGGTACCAGTCGTGATGATAGTTGTTGGCCAGATCATCAGTGTCGGGTCTCGAAGCTTTACCTTGCGCGGCGCTCCAGATGAGGTGGGCTTCGCTGATTGCTTTCCTAGCGCCTTCTGAGACAGTTTAGGAGCCTCCTTGGTACTGTTCAAACGCTTGGACTTTGCGGCGGTAGACTGTTCGAAATCTTCGTCATCTGTATTTTCGTATCCGCCTTCATTGTAATCCTCAGAGTCTTCTTCCCTGTCGTCTTCTGGGCCGTCTTTCGATAGGCCATCCCCAACTGCTTCGTCTTTTGATAGAGATTTATCCAATCATACTGATCGATCATCCCCCTCAGCCTGAGTTGCGTCGAATTTGTCTTGAAGTTGCTGCACCCGGGCTGAGACATGCTCCGAGGGCATGGTCTTGCGCTTTTCAGCCGATGGGATGTCGGAGGGTACCAAAACCTCTTGCCGTAGTCCAGAACCCCTCAGGACATGTGATGAGTATGTTCCTGGCTTCGATGCTGCGCTAGAATCATCCAGTTGAGAAAGAAGAGGTTGCGAAAACTGCGCCAAGTTGCCACCAAGACATGAGCACAGCGACTGTGCAGCGCATTGGATTCCGACGTCGCCAGTACCTTGGGCTTCACCGTTCTCTTCAATGTCACTCCAATGTTCGCAGTCCTCTAGCTGCGAGTGTGCGCCGCCGCCGATATGTATAGGAGGTGTCATAGTCTTCGGGGTAGATGAGGAAAGATCTGCCGGTCGCTGTGCATATACTGGTCGTTGGCGTTCTGTTACAAGCTTATCTATCTGCCCTACTGGTTGTACAGGGCGCTCAGCTATACAGATCTCAGTATTTGCACCGAGAAAACCAGATAACATTATATGCGTTGCACAAACGCTCGATCCGAAGGAAGAGCAATTACTAACCACTACTAGCTTGACCAGCAAGCTCAGGTTCCCTCTTCCTAGACATTTGCTTGCCTAACTCCGTAAGTCTATCATAGTGTCCCCAGACCAGCCGGCAAGTTTCCCAAGCTTTCTTGACCATTTCGATGTCCTCGTCTGTATCTTCTTCTCCGTCGTTGTCCGGCATAGGACCAGCAGCCTCCAATCCGAATACCGGTATCGCCATGTCGAGAGGACTCAGATCAATTTGTATAGTACCATCTTTTATCACAAACATACGAAGAATGCTAGCGTCATCGATGAGAATGGTATGAGTGTCAAGGTAGTTGGTGCATGATATCTCGACCTTGATGACTCGAATGGTGTGATTCTCGGATGGCGGATTGGGGGCGGTAATCTCGACGGTAGCGGTCATACTGTAGACTTTGGTAGGACCATATCCGCGGATGTTCTCCTGAGGGAAGCGACCCTGCACGGGAACTTCTTGCGTCGTCATAATTTCGCTTAGCACTGGTTTGAATAGGAGCAAGGTGGAAGATTTTGAGTGGTGGAAGTATGAGTGCGAGCAGTTGGCTACAGGAAAGGTTTCTTGATATATGGTGGTGGAGGGATTGCTGTCGCGCTATCACCTGCATGGGGTGTTTTGTATCATTCATTGTGCTCCGTGCACGCATTTCCGGATCGCTGCGCACAGTGTTAGGCCCTTTCATTCCTACTCTGGCATTCAGATACGATCGACATGGTCTCATTTCGTAACTTCACATCTAAACCCCCCTGGATGTGGTATCGCTCACTGATGAAGCATTTGGGCAGTACCATAGCTCCTGTAGGTTACTTCAAATCATTCTATAGACTATCGGAAAGACCCTTTCGAAAAGACCTTGATGATAAAGGGAGGTACGAATCGACGTGAGCAGCTTGCTACACAAATTCAGGTAAGCATCAAGACGTCACACGCGAGGTCCAATCTATCAGAAGTTCATCCTTGATCATCGCAAATATTGGCTCACAATGTTGAAGATTTGAACCTCTTGATGTACCCACAAACGGTCCCTACTTCTCGTTGTAGCGTTGACGAGCGGTTGCGGTGGGGACAAAGTTGACAGACAGAGCTTTAATACGATGCGGCGTACTCCTTAAGCGGCGTTCTCGATCTCAAAACGGCGCTTGTCTACGGCGAAGGCACAGAACAACCATTTAGACGGCCTCATAATAGGATCCAGAGCTGGAAAGAGAACCTCCAGAAGTTACAAGAAAGTGTTAGGAAGCGAGAGGAGTGCCTTCTGAACCTACGTCCTACAGATCTCTTCAAGGATAAGAAGCACATCGAAGACACGAAGGACGGCTTGTTCGAGGGCTCGTACCGCTGGGTGCTCGGAAGCTGCAGCTTCCAACAATGGCACAATGACCCACAGAGCCAGCTGCCGTGGATCAAAGGCGATCTCGGCAAGGGCAAGATGATGTTACTCTGCATGCAGCATGTCCAGGTATGCATTTCAGGTTACGATAGAGCTAATCCTGAATAGATTCAATATATGTCTCACTACAACCACAAGGTTTAGGTGGACCAGGCCGAAGTCGCGCGATATCACGAGTCGGGCCCTGATCGTGAGGCTCCGCGGAAGTAGGCTCAGCCCGAGCGGGATCTGGGCCGCGCTGACTTAGCACAAATTCAGCCGCACCTGTGGACATGTATCAATCAATCATCCGCTGCCGCGACAGCGCTACCTATCAATCTCGTTCTTAGCTAGGTCCCTCGTATGAGCGGTCTAAGTGTCACGAGAAGTGTGGCCAGTGCTGAATCGATTGTGTAGACTTCCTTAGCATTACAGGTAAACAAATCCAAGGAACCGTATCTTTTGAAAGATACATATGGCTATATAGAGTTACAGAGGGATGATTGAGTATAGCTGCTCCATGTGTACTTTAGACCAGGACTAAGCTAACCATAAGAAATAATGAAAAGAGTCAGTTCTAGTCCTAAGGCTAGAGGAGGAGCTAAGATAGGCCGAACTCGCGTTAAATCAAGAGTCAGGCTCTAGTCCTGTAGTTCGCGTGGAGTTAGGGAAAGGTCTGCGAGGAAAGCGAGGCCTTGTCACATGACTGCCAAGGATGGCCTGATTCAGGTATATATGGGATCCATCCGATCTTAGTTAGCTTGTTAGGCTCAATGCACGAAATCATCACGTACATACTACAAGATACTACAAGATACTACAAGATACTACAAGATACTACAAGATACTACAAGATACTACAAGCCTCACCAAGTACCGATGCGGAAACCAGCCAATCAGACGCGCCACGAAGAACTCCGACCGAAATGAGTTGCCGCGGATTTCGTCTCCTTGGTAAACATGTACACGGCTTGGGCCTACGCAGCTGAAAGCGTTGCAGACGCCACCAGGGCTGATTTGAAAGCGTGTTTCCCGTGTCTGATTCGGAGGTGGGATGCCGATGAAACGAGAAAAGAGGTATAAATGTGTAGTGTCTTGTGCGTCTGAGTGTTTGTATCGACTCAAGACTTCTAGTACGAGAAGTAACAACTATCCGCGACTATGGTTTCCAAGGTCTTTCTTCTCTTCACTTCGCTCGTAGTCTTCGCCCATGGCCATTCTTTCGAAGCACGGGAGGAGCTCTCCGTCCTCATGCCTCGACAAGGGCAATGTTTGTCTTGACCTCATACATGCCCTTTCAAACACTGACCCCATGCAGGCCTTCCTGGTGACACCCAGTGCTCGGCATTCAAATGTGCCCCCAGCGGCTACAAATGCTGCGACGAACTGAATATGGCTCCTCTTGACGCAACCTGCTGTCCTGGCGGCAGTTGTAAGCTTATCCGTTCCCCCCGCACGATAAACCACACCGCTGACCTACCTGCCTTTTCACAGACGCCCCACTCGGGAATTACTGCTGCTCTAGTGGCTACTACTGCCCCAATGGAGAAACCTGCAGCGGCTGCACACCCGCAGATGGCACGGGCCCCGTTTCTGCGTTTCCCTCGCCAGACCAGGCAACGAGCGCTCCAAGCTTCACAGTCACCAGTGTCGTTTCGGTACCACCGACGAGTAGATACTTCACATACACCATCACTTAGTACGTCATTTCTCTACTACCCCAAAATATATCTAGAACGCCCACTCACCACCCGATCTCAGCTACTACTGGCAATTTTACTACATCTACATTCAATCCCTATCACGCAGCATCGCAACTTCCAGCACCGTGACCACAACTACAACAGTTAGTGTTTTTGCGGCAAACACTGCGGAAGCGCAGTCTAGCTTCGATGCGCTCTCTGCTACCATTGTACTCCCGACGCCGGCGTCCGCGACGTTCTTGCCCCCGTTGCCGAGTCAAACGTCGGAATTGGTGCTGCCCAGTTCGACGAACACATCGGTTATGTCGCCGCTGCCATCTCAGTTCCAGGGTAAAGCTGGAATGGTGGTGGGAGGTAAGACTACAGTGGTGGCTTGGGTGGTTGCGGGTGTGGTGGGGCTGGGAATGTTTGGCGCGGGTTGGTGCTTTGAATGGGGAATGTGATGGTGATATATTGTCTTCGAAGCCCCACTTGTATCACGCTGAGCTATTATCTCGGATGTCTAGATCCTTGCATATACATGAGCGCAGGCAATATGTGATGTAGGCGCATACACTGCACACATGAAGCAGTTTCTATCATCGGTAGATCTTGCTATTAACTAGAAGCCGTATAAACACTGTTCTTTTACATAGACCTTCACGATGCGGTCCCTGTAGGTTATGAACGGAGTGCTGATAGCTGCCCGAGCTTCTTTATTCTACACACAACAGACTAAGAACGCAGGACGTCTTCATACCCTCGAATCGACATCGCGTCACATCAACGCCATCATGCCCACGCGGCAACCTAAAGCCCTCCATCCAAGCTGGCAGACCATCCCATTAATCCTCTCCATGATGCAGTCATACAATCCACCAGTAGAGTGGTTCTACTACCTGACCTATATCTCACACAAGCTATGTAAGTCCAAGCCGACGCACATCGCTAGAGCAAACCTCATGTCCCTCCTACGCGCTCGTCCGATTGTCCAAATGTGGCACGAAGCCCCCTCTCCGAGATTTACGACGGAGAAGAACCTAACCTGCCACTAATGCTGGAGGGAACGAACGTCTTTAATTCGATTGTAAAAAAGTTTCGTGATTGTATCACGCAGAGGTTTAAATTGATGACAAAGGGGAATGCCTTCGTCACGCGGTATTTGGTAGTGGACTTCATCTATAGAAGCTTTGATTATGCATGAGCAGCTGCTGAGACCGTACTGGATGCGGAGAGGAAGAAAATGAAAACGGGACAGGAATGATTGGTGCAACAGTAGCAGAAGGCTCGACAACATTCACCGTGTTGCACCTCCGCTTTGGCAGCTCTGGGCAGGAAACGCCGGCTATTGGCTAGATCAGTGTCCATGACCTTACTGCCCTATTGGATGAGATTTCATTGCAGTTGCACCCTGTTCAGGTTGAGCCTGTGCCCATTTCAGTGGTAGCGGCTACTCTCAAAGCTTCATGGGTGAAGGTTCTTGCCCGCAGCTTGACCCAGCTCACGTCAAGGTCTATTTAACCTGAATTCATCCCTGCGATGCAGCTACATCGTGGAAAAAGCTTTGAAATTGGTAGATCTTCGATTGCTAAGTTGGTAGCTAATGCACACTGTCTCGCCGATCCTAAATCTGACTTTTGTTTATAGCCAATTTTTCGAAGCACCCTTTCCCAATATCGTGCATTAAACGCATGAATGCGACAAAATTTTGTGCCTTGCGCTTTCTTCAACAGTCACACTAATCGTTGATCGGACCTAGTCGTTGCATGTCATTCACATCAACGACAGTCACCTTGTTGTTTTAAACAAGCGAATATACCGTCAAACCTTAAGGCCAAGGAAGGTAGTACGGATTTAAGAAGTGCATCTCACCTACATACAACGATCTAATAATCCTTTAAAAGTATATAACAGTCTTTGATATTTTATACACCTAATACGACTGTTAACAGAATGTGTTGGCTTTTTCACAGTGGCTATGTCCTCTAAAAACCCTCTACAGTTAACCAACGCTAGTACATACATTTTGAAAGCTTTCCTGAGCCACTATTGAAGTATTTATCATCCTGTAATCGTCTTGTGAAAGGTCTGTTTCTCCGCGAATTTCAATGGGGAAGTGAATCATGGCTCAGTACAGCGAGAGTCAAAACAACTCTGATACCGCATGAAAAATGGCTTATATACCTCCAAGGCACCTTAGATTTCCCCATCTCAACTGCTACAGGAGGATCCTAACAACGGACTACATCAAACACTCATCAAGCTCCGAATCTCCTCCCAACCAACTGCGATGACGGCATTCGCCATGGAAATCGACACACGCACGCCATGCTACACCGACACAATATTCCAGGCGGTTAATTCTACCCTCGATGATATAAAATTCTTAGACTACGTGCACGTAGTAACACGCATCTCGCGAGGCGAGATCAGCTCAGCCGCCTCTTTACCAGCACTGGGATCCATCTTCAATCGCCGTTTGAAGCTAAGTTGCGACAACACGAAATGCAGGTGATATGCATACTGGCTTCGTACTTCTACTTTTGCAGATGATCTTCGTTCATAACGAAGTTGTAGCCATGACGCATGATAAAATGCTTATGCGGAATATTCCTGAATTCTACGATCATAGCGGCGATCCAGGTTCCTCACGTCATTCCATAAGTTCAGACAACAGCTACGGAGAAGGATTGCTAGATACTGTGGACTATTTTGCAGATAGAGAAGGTGCACGACTAGTGGATGCAGATACCGCGAGAGTTCAAGTGACGCGATATTTGGAGGCAGTGCTGAAGGGGCGATGGGAGGTGGTGTGGGATGTCGGAGACTTAGCGGCGGACATAGCTACAATGGCGTTTTTAGTGGAGGATTGAGGCCGTATAGTAAGGCCTGGAGGAACTCGATACGCACGGTGGACTCGAGTAGTCAAAAACGTAGCACCGTGGAGGCGGCAGACGTATTCTGCATTGACTAACGCATATCTGATTGGATAGCCTGGAAACAGCCAAGGTCTTCCCTTGGTCAGCGTCAGTCGCCGTGAAGCTATCGTGCAGGTATTCGAAGAGTAGATGTATGCATTCTTGAGTCCTGCAAGGGACCAGTCCCAGCTCACAACTAGCTAATGGTTATCCAGGGGAGACCTACGGGCGACCAGCGCGCAGCTCACTACCACCACTCATGTTCTGATCACCACCGCCGCCGCTCACTCCTTATTGATCTTCTGGTTGGCCGGCACCGGCACCCGACCCTTCATATAGAAGTCAGTTCCAAATCTCTCCACCTCTTTGTTAAGACTGGAGTGACTTCTGAAAGGCCGAGCACCGGGCGTGCCCGCGAGCATCTTGCCCCCGAACTTATTGTTAAACGCCTCAACAAAGGCTTTCCACCCCTTGGTTGGCTTGCCGGCATTGAGGTTGGCGAGGATCCACCGCCGCTCCTCCGCGACGTAAGCCTGCACAACCTCGCGAAACCGGACGCTGGTGTTGCGCCGGAGCTGCTGAACAGTGCGCTTGTTCAGCGCCGTGATGGCCGCTTGCGAGGCCCAGTCGCGCGGAGGAGGGTTGGCGAAGATGTGCTTCTTACCGTTCTTGTCGAGGAGTTTGACCGCCAGCTTGTGCTTCTGGTCACGCGCGGTGCCGTCTGGGAGCAGCTCAAACCGGCCAGGAACGAACTGGGTGAAGTCAGGCTGCGCCTGGAAGTCATCCTCGTTGCCGTAGGAGGTGGCGTATGCGCCCCACGCAACGTTGCGAAACAGTTCTGGCTTCGTGGTGTTTTTGACGTCGCCAACGACATCGTCCGCGTCCGAGTCGTAATACTCGGTGCCAGCTTTGGTGGCGGTAGCGATGAGGGCGGCATGCCCAACCTTCTTAGGGTCCAGAACGCGCTTGTTTCGCTTCATAGTGGGTGCGGCAATGAGCATCAGAGGCAGCGTGGAAGGAAGTTCAACATTCTTCTTAACGCGACGCTTGCGAGGCATGATTTCGATCTCGGTGTCGGCGTCGACTTCAGGATTGGTGACGAGGTGGGTGATCTTGCGCTTAGGGCCAGCGCCAGCAATGGGAGTAGATGAGGAATGAAGGGCGGATTGGATGCAACGCAGCTTGAGTGTTAGGCCAGATCTACCGTAGGTGTTGGGGGCTTGGGCAGATCCGAAGTATGCGTCGCTCAGTGGGACCAACTCAATTGAGGGGAGGACGACGGACAGAGGTCTTGTGGCAGGCGTAGAGGGTGTCTTGGGGCGCGCGTGACGAAGTTCAGCGAGAATCGTGGCGGCTTCATACATAGCAGCGTCGAATGAGACTAGCTCAACAGAAGGTAGAGTTGAAGAAGACATGATGGTGTACTGGGTATCGTAAAGAGGCCTAATGGGTATCGTTAGCAGTATACAAGTAAGGTCAAAAGATTAAAGGCCTGAGAAATTGTAATAACGTAGACTAAGAAAATCGTAAGGAGAATATAGAGGAAGCTGGGTATTTTGACGATAGAGTTTGTAAGGATATGGGCTGCTTCAGTGTTAGGGCTGCTGTTGATGGCTGCAACTCATCCTCAATAAGCCGCTATTGTCTCGTGGTAAAGACGCAATTCTGCCCGTCTGCATTCTCGTCGGGTGGTTAAGGTTGGGGTTAGTATTGTCAGTCGAGGTGAAGACGCAAAAGCATCTCATTGGGAGTGAGTTCATCGAATAGTACAATAGAGTTGTGTCGAGCAACCTTTAGTACGGAGACAACCGAGGCGACTTGCGATACTTTCGCATGTAGGAGAGGTCAATACGTTACCTAAACACTGTATACCTCTCTACCCCAGGCGAGTCCTCACGCAAACCTCGAAGTAAGCCATGATAACAACTGAGTTATCTTAGTGTTCCTAGACCTTGCTTCTATTTCACGTCCTTTGACCTTCACTTGGTCCTAACATTCCTGTTTGGCGTGGTGATGAAGACGCCATGGTTCGCGTGGTCAGCGTGCGGGCGTTTCGTTTTCGTAGGATCGCATTTAGATTCGGCTGCGTCCTCATTTCGAAGATGAGAGTTGCAATTGCAAATGTGCAAGGAGTCATGTAGTGTTGTCGGCAAAGCATACGCAACAGTAGGTGTGAATGGTTCGTAGGCACGCTAGCGCCCAAAGCGGCTGGATCGAGGTGTCATGACATCACCTGGCTGACGACCTCATGAACCCTTTCACTAGCAGCGCTACGAATATCAGCTACCTAGTACCACTATATACGACCACTAGTATTGGTCATGCTTTGGAATGAGCGCAGGTAGGCACGACAGAAGCGATGCTGACTGAACACCTGCTAGAGCGATGCAAACACATGTAGGATGAGACGCGTCAAGGCAGCAGTTTCGCGTCCCCAGTCGTCTACTACCATAGGTTCATGAGTATACCCGGGGGCTTTAGGAACTTTGCTTTCTAGATGTCAGACAGCTTCCTCATGGCAGTATGACCATTCTACCCACTATCGATGTCGCCATCACTGTTTCGCCCGGCGTTTTTGATATCGACGGATCTACCAACCTGAACATCAGCCTCAGCCTCACACTTCGTCACGACAAACCGATTACCTTGTACAAGCGATACACGAGTCTTTTCGACGGCAAGATCCTTCGGGCTTCTGGGTTCACGTTTACCGATATCGATACTGGGCAACAGATGCCACGCAACAGGAGAGATATGTACTATCTCGATAGCGAGGGCGAAATTTCATGGGCTACTAGACGTGGTTACGTCACGCTGTACCCGGGGGAAAGGCATGTTCTCGAAACAGGCTTTACATCCTGGGGTGCTAAAGAACGGGAGAAGAAATGCTCCAACGCATCAGTCCTGAGATGGGTGAGGTTTGCTGGATTCAAAGACGGATAGACATACCAAATAGGCATCAGTGACGAAGCTGTGGTTGAGGAATGGCTTGAGGGAACAACGTGGGATATACTGGGATGACAAATGCTGGGCTGGGTCCCGACAAAGATGCGCGCGAATGTCGGGTATACTGTTGTCGAGTCGTCGTCTTTCACGATTCGCCGATTCGATTCTGATGGACCGCCTAAGACTCCACTATCAGGAAAGCTTGCATGACTCAGCAATTCCTCCTGAATGGGATATAGCCAAGTATCTACAAGACGTTGACTAGACAGTTTCGCTGCCGATGAATATGGAACGGGTCTTTGTCATTAGGGCCCATCGCATTTCCAGTACAACCCCTCTATACGACCATCACACTCTGTACCTATACCGGTCTTTCTTCTCGCCACCAAACATCACCGCAAAGCACTTCTTCAAATCCCCCGTTATTGAACAAACAATCTCCTCAACCCCCGCAATTTCTCTAGGAACATCCCTCCAATCCACCCTTCCCCGCAACTCTCCCGCCTCAACATCTCTAATGAGCTCGCTGAATAATACCGTGTTGAACCTGTAAAATCCCATAAAATGCCGCCTATACATGAAATGAGCAAGTTCATGTAGCATTGTCCTCATCAAACTACCCATACGAATGAACTGACTCGGATCACTATCTTCACGCAAACGCAATTCTACGTTCAGTGGGATGGTCTCGGTGATTGTGCTGGAGCGTGTCGTGATCGTTCGTTTAGCAGTAAGACATTTACCCTGGCAGGAGGAATATGGGGAGAGCTCGTGGAGCATCGGGACGGACCAGTTGTGCCTGCGCATGATTGGGGCGATGATGTAGGCACAGCGGCGAAGGAGATAGAGGGCATAGGCTTGGTGGGGAGGTGGTCGAGGGTTGTGTAACAGGAGAATGAGCCGTCTAAGCCGCGCTGAGGTGCCAGGTGGGTTAGGTGGTGGAACATGGTTGGGTTGAAGCTGCGGAGCCCTAAGTATGGCTGCTGATCTGATCGTACAGTCTTTATATAGAAGTTGGATGAGTGAGGGGGCGGGCTTGGTTGATCAGTGAAGATCTGGATAACCGGCTACGCAAAACCTCAGATGTCACTGCCGTTCAGCTAGTACGCACCTACGATGAATGCAAATGTGAATTGCAACGATCATTCATCTAAATTTTACGTTAACAGTGATATTCTCATCATGAGAAACTACAAAGGTACGGGGAATCTCTTTTGGATCGGGAAGCTGGGTACGCAAAGGAGAGATAAGTGAGTGGAACAACCATCATTCTTTAAAATCAAAATTGTCTCGATGGAAATGGTCTCACTCGACATATGTCATATCGTCTACAATGCCTTAGTGTTGATTATTGACAATGCCCGCAAGTGGCAATGCCGAGCAATGCTTATCGGAACTCAAAATGTACTCAAGGGCCTTGCTCTCGCTTTGTCCTAAAAGCTTTGTTTGCGTCATCACTATTTACAACGCTGTTGAACATCCTTGACTTGGTCCGCTGAGACAGCCCAGGCGGAGAAGTGCATATCTACATTTCATCGAAACTAAAGCCATGTAAACACATCAGTGTATCAACAGATAATCAGATTAGTAGCTATCTTACGCTAGCGCGCGAATATCCTACCTTGATGTGCTTTCAGCTCGAAGATGCATGCAATATTCATGTCTGCGTCCAACGTCTTATATACGTCTTCTTCAGGGGTAGGATCCAGAACAGCCACTTCCAGGAAGTCGAAACTCCCGCACTAGCTGGTTGACAGGCAGCTGACTTCCACAAGGAATTCGCGAGATATGTCTCCCCGGAGCGACCGCTAGACAACTTCAAGCTCGAGGCCTAGTTGTGTGATATTATGCGATCAAAGCTGGAGCTTCCAGATTCGCAAAGCCATCGTCGGAATGAGTTCGTACGCCTGGGAACGATGTTCGGTCCTCCATGAATGACCGGGGAATCTGAAGAAGGGGTGGCGCGTAGTCAGACCCCGACAAGCAGTACCGTGTCTGTCTATGTGTGAGCACCGCGCTCGTACCGGAAGCCTATGACACAAAGTAGTCGCAAGGATCAGTGGCAGCTCGGGAGCTATGAGACTGCAAGCTCGCCCTACTGGAATCCAGGGACTTCGTTGCTGAAGACTATGAATAGCCGAGGGCTTTGTACAGAGACGGGCTCGTTAGCCCAGCTATGGTACTTGCCGAAGCAATGCCAGAAGATGGTGGTATGGACGCACAGTCGCAGTGGACTTAACCTTGGTTTCTCGATTTCACACATTCGTAAGGGGGGTTGGTATCATTGGTATCGTTGGTGATGCAGTGGTGGCTCGTGCCTCGTGCCTCGTATCATCTATACATCATTGTGAGCCACATGGTGGCTAGCGGTCGTAGTAGAATTGTTTCCGAGTCGCTGATCGCGTAGTTGCAAGGCTGGGCAGCGTCCATCGAGAGCGGTGGCTAAGAGCCGCTGTCGCTTGGCGATGCTGCCACCGGTTGACATTGGCTTCGAAGGCCAAGATAGGCGCCCAAAATAAGCACTATCATGTATATCGTTAGCGATTAATCATACTATACCTTGTATACTTCTACCATATGATAGAGGCAACATGCTTCCATTGTGCACCCAATGGCGCAACGCTACTAGGCCCCATCTGAGCATCATCCACGTAACAACGTCGAACGTAGCGCTCTCCGCATGTAGCACTCACGGTACGCGTTTCCTGTCTTCCTCGACACCAAGCTTCTTGCCTGTGCTTGCGGGTCTGTACTCTATTGGTGCGACGGAATCTTCCGCTTCATCTCGCTGTCGAATCCTGAGCACGAAGATATTTCAGTCGAGCAAAACGATGCGGTTCACTCGGCGAGGAACCTGAGTTCTTCAGAAAGGGCCCGAAGACTGGGAGTTGCTTTCATCGCAAGCGATGGTACTGCTGTGATTACAGGAGCTTTGACGTAAGCAGTCAATAGCCGGTGGAAGGAAGAAGACATGAGCCGGTCGCGGGTAGGTTTCTAGAGTAGTTTCCAATGATACCGGAGAAGGCCAACGGTAAAGGTCAGGCTGTTCGATCGATCGACAGCTGCTCTATCGAAGAGGCTGACTCTGCGATCTTCAATTAACTCCACATTGCTGACCCTTTGAATTGTCCCCAGCTCCCACGTTGGTGTTGGGACCTGCAACGCCGAAATTCGTCACGGTGGATTGGACTCATTGGTAGCAATAGCGCCGACTGTAAATGCGCACGACAGTAAGTGTACTGTGGTAATCGGTGCCCCTCGATCCTTGGAGGCGACAAGATCGTAGCCCAAAAGGAAAACACCAGATAAACTTAGATCTAGCGTCATGCGGCGATGTGATCCAATTGAGGCTCCGCGGATGAGGCGTCATATTGCTTTTCTGATCTCGGCAGCGAAAAGGACGCAGTTGCGGGATGCCGCACGTGAAAAGGGAGAATTGCATCGTTGGACACGTGCAACACAGCACCAAGCTGAGGCGTGGGGTATCAGCTGCAAAACGTCATCTTCCTGCTCCCTTGACAGCAACGCAATGAACATATGTAACGGTTTCAACCGTGATCGATGATGTCCGGCTTGGGAAAGGGGAGGCACCAATGGGCGAGAAGACAGCCTGGTGCTTAAGTGCACATCCCTCTTTACCTTACTCGGCATATGCGATGTACAACTTGCAACTATTCGCGCGCACGCTTCTTCCACTTTTGATTGCCGATCAGCTAACTATCGCATGTCGACTAAATGATGTGTAGGGCTGTATAGATCGAATTCGGTATGATTGACAAGATGTCAGACAAGTTGAGGGCTGTCGAACAGCTGGGCAGTTCCGAAGCATACTAACCCCTTGGCGTCGCGTGGTGCCCTATCGCTGGGGTCACTCACGAATCGTGACTTGTGGAGAAGGGGTCCGCTCTGTTCCTACGACACCATACCTTTTTGTAACACTACGCTGTCGACGATCCTCATGTCACCGCCGACGGCGCAAGCTAAGTTCCTCATCATCGGTGTCATCCTCAGGCTCAGATCTTTGAGTGCCGGGAAGGAAAGGACCGAATAGCCCTGTTCCGCGGGGTAGGAAAATCAATGAGAATTCCAGCAATAACGACGACATGTCAACGGCTTCGATGCGCAGTCCATAGCGTGCTTCGTCAATATAAGGAAGCCTTAATCTCTCGACTATAGTGATATCGAAGCGTTAGTGATAAATGGAGTACCTGGGTAGTGTGGTTCAAGTGAGCTAAAGGGCCAGCAAAAGATATACAGCTCTTCCCGTGCGCACACTCGGCTACAGGCCGTTGGCAATCTCCACAGTGAGTTATAGCGAGGAAAGGCCGCCGTCGGGTCATCGCGGCTCACGCATACCTCAAGATCCGGTCTAAAGGCTGCCCACAGATGTCCTGGAGCCACAGTTATTCTGCTCACCAATATCTATCGAAAGCTGATCTTAGCCAGTTTCTGCAGTTCCACCTCTTGACTCACCTCGGCGACTCGATGCGGTATCGAGCTGTTACGCACGCGTTATCGATGACCGATCTGCAGATTTTCAGGGAGTTTTGCTTCTCTTCACTCGTTTGCAATGAGGCTGCGAGCCTATCTATGGTCTGAGAAATGAGGTTGCGACGTTGTAAGATCGCCTAACTAACTGCGACGGAGGACGTAGCGTCCTGTCATTCTCGATAGGACAGCACTAGGGGTTCCGGCCTGGGCCTCAATCAACCAATCACTGCTGTGGCTGGACACTTGAAAACTTCTTTTTAGACAGTTCGCGATGAATCTTGTGCCGTCAAAACCCAAAGCTCCGTGCTATGGCGACATACGAGATGAAAGTGTGTAGTATATACGTAAAAACATGTGATTCATCTCGGAACCCGATCCGTGCGTCCTTAGCTGCGGCCAACAGACACGAAGGATGATCATGGTTTGGCGCGCGAAGAGTTTTAGCTTCGCTTATACAGAATCCGCGAATGAGACGCCGCCATCTCCTGTACGACATCGCTCACCCTCACGCCACGTTCCTGCATATGTCAATCCCTCCGGTTTTCTACTGATCCTCCCGATTCCTCAGCCCTTCTCCGCTCGGTAGGCGTCTCGAGAAGGGATCGCATCCACGATCCCTTGGCCCGCATGCAACCCTACGATCTTACAACCAAGGATGATGGCAGCCGAAGGAGTTGAGCTGAAACATCGTACCCGACAAACATGCTTGGTGACACCATATGCGCCATTTCCAAAACGTACAAACCGTGAACTGTTTAGGGTGATCCCCGACATAATCTTTGCACAGAGATGTCAATTGATGTTGGACAACTTCTCCAATTTGCTTGCCTGACGAACCCGTGACATGTTGCTACGTTCACAGAGACAGGGTTCTGCGTAGATCTCGGAAAGGCCGGAACGTCGCACGGGACGTGTTGAGGCCGATCTCACACACTTGGTGGCTTTCGCGTTTTCGACTCGTGGCCATGCCGAAGGTTTCCTGACAGGGCTGCAGACCCTGGCTCCCGCGGAATAACTGGCGAATGTCACTTGTTCAATGGGTGTACGGAAAGTGGGTACGTGCACAAGTGTGGTTAGAGGTAAAGCCAGCGACGATGCGCATACCACCAATTTCGTTCAGGGTCCCTGAGCAGATTGTCAAATACTCCATGTTTCCCGCAAAAGACACCTGATTCACCTTATCCGGTCATCCTCAGGCCTACGCTATCACATCATGGCTGGATCGTTATCTGATAACCCCAGGGGCAGGCAAGCTGTCCAGATTTCTTCTGTCTTCACTGGTCTGGCCCTCGTAATCGTCATCCTTCGACTATATACCCGGTTCTTTCTGATCCGATGCGTGGGCATCGAAGATGCTGGCATAGCTCTTGCAATGGTAAGTACACTTCTATGTCACATTGTATATGTTCTTGCTAATGCTTTGCCAGCTTTGCTCTATAGGCCTGACTATCGCCATCGGTGTTCGTTAGTATACACTCTTACGCCTGACTACAGCTCTTTGTGAAAACTAACGTGGTGCAGAGGCTGAATATGGTATGGGCAGGCACACGGACACCATCTCTGACCCTGACATGGTCAGGTTCTTGAGGGTACGCCATACCTATCATTCGTTCGAAGGCTCTGCTAATTCCAAGCAATAGGCTTTCTGGTCCAGTCTCATCGTATATTACCTATGCCTCGGTTTGACCAAAGCATCCATGCTTCTCCAGTACCGACGTATCTTTCCAACCAAGCAGTTCCAGATCGCAAACTGGATCACAATGGCCGTCGTCATCGGCTACACCATCTGGACGGTTTTCTCCAGTATATTTATGTGCGTGCCTGTACGAGCATTCTGGACCCATGAGAAGGCCACTTGCCTGAACCAATTCGCCGTATGGTTCACGAACGCCGCCATTAACATCATCACCGATTTTGCGATCATTCTGCTCCCTATACCGGTCATCCAGAAGCTGAACCTTGGCAAAAGGCAGAAGATCGGACTTATCTCGATTTTTGCGATTGGAGGATTGTGAGTATCCCTTTCTGGCACCTCGTTGTTTTACTTTCGCGTTCTTCGAGTGGCTTCACATCTATTTCATTATGTAGCGAGCAACCCGTCTGGTTATCGCGCGGTGCATCGTTGTATACCCTGCTTTCAGCTGTTCCAAAGAAGTCATACTAACGCGCAATTCTGCAGTGTTTGCTTAGTGTCAATCCTCCGTCTACAATCCCTTGTCGCCATTTCGAACTCAGTCGACGCAAGCTACGACAATCCGCCTGCAGCGACTTGGAGCTCCGTGGAATCCAACGTCGGTATCATTTGCGCCTGTTTGCCGTTGCTCAGACCATTGATTACAAAATGGCTTCCGAGAGCATTCCCGTCAAATCACCGCAGCGTATATTCACACTCTCGACCAAACAATGCTCGAACCTATGGCAGCAGGGGTGGCAGCAAGGCGCTGCGCACCAAAGACGATTTCGTCCTAGATGTGACAAAGCGGTCGAACAACTCGAGCGAGGATGCGAGAGACATACAAGTCATTACGGATATCCATATAGAAGTCGATGGCGCTGACGGAAGGAGGCTGAGCGGCTGGAGAACGCCCGCGTCGCAAGCGAACTGGTCAGACAACGTGTCCGGCAAGGAAACGCAGAGGGAGAACAGCACGGAGATGCTGGTAGATGAACATGTGCGTGCATCGTCGCGGTAGATGCAGGACCTTTCCTATGTTCATTTTACACACTTTGATCACAGTTCTGTAATGATACCCCATGACTTACTATTAATAGAGAGTACTCCTACTCTTGTCAATATTCACCCTTTGTTCTAGAAGTTCTTCATTGTGTGATTCCGCAATGCTTGGCCGACTCTAGCATACTAGCTGTGGATCACACTTCTCAACTATCGTTCGCTGTATGCCCAAACCCAAACTCTAGTTCAAGATGCTATGCAGAATAACTATTTACCCTGCTTCCGCTCTCCTGCGTCAAAAGGCCGCTCGTGCAGAACGACCACCTCGCAACTCACGAACAGTTCATTACCAAACACAAGCAAATTCACGCCTGGGGGACTATTCCTCATTAACGAGTGTCATCTAGAAGACTGGTGGCTACCCAGCTTCAAGGGCGTCACCCGATGTCGGCGCTTCAACTGTTGATTGGATATATCATGATATAATTCACTACCACATTCGACATCCGGACCGGACCGGACCGCCACTTGAGGTACTACAGCCACTGCAGTACTGTACCAACTGCTTCACTTTGAGTTCCTATATACGTCTAGAATCAACAAGCAGCTCCTCCGGAAATGCGAGCAATACTAGTTGACACGTCAGTCGAGGATCTTAATGGACATATCACCGAACCTCACGGTCGAAGTCAACATGGTCACCTTCACAGCTCTCTTTGTGCTTCCTCTTTCCCTCAAGGGCACATCGCCGATCGACGCCAGAAGCTTATCGAACACGACCTTGTCTTGAGTACGCAGCACCATAACTTGGAGCAGCCCAAGGTGGTACACTGCGCAGCAGTGGAAACTATACAAGAGGATCAGCGGAACGTGTGCCTAGCACAGGAGGTTCAGGCTAGACGTGCTAAAGCTCTGCTCGCTGGTTCCGTGCGTCTCACTCCCCAATTCGGTATTTCATCTCCATCTTCAGCTGTCAGACCACCAGCTGGCTGCAGGCGTAGATTTTAGACCCACTCTGACTCGCTTTCAGTCTTACATTCACCGCCGCGGTCCAGTGCTCAGGTCGCATCCGATTCTCTATGTTTCACGGTGTTCTTCGGAAGCTATCTTGTATTTTTGTATGTATTCTTCTAATACAGCTTCTCGTTTTGGTCTAGAACTGAGAATCGGAACCGAATGATGAGTACAACTCTTTCCTTCACTAGGTCTTGATAGTACTTGATGACATCTGGCGTGGTTATGTTCTTTTGTTAGTATACCCAGCGCTCGAGACCTTTCAAAGTCTTGAAAAATGATGTCCTTATCGCTATCAGTGTTAACTTGCGTAGCCGACTCACTGATGGCCAGTCTTTCGAGCTGGAACAAAACCATGCCATGATAAGTCTCATCCGCGTGAACTCAAATCATCTGGGCCATGATTTAGGTCTTCATTGTTCAGATTTGGAAGTCTCGCCTCGAGTGGAGAATCGCGGTGTACCCAGTTATGACGCTATCGCATAGGTCCATGGGCGGCCAACGAAACCCGTGACGAGCCGTACCCAGGTTTCGAACGCTTTTAACGAGATTCAATGGAGAACCTCATCGCACAAAAATTCTTAACGCCTTGGCTTGTCCCCGTATATCCCGTCGAGTAGCCAATCGTAGGTCACACTCGATGGGCAATACCCGGAGAAGCTTGTTCGTGAAAGCACTCTGCGAGAAGAGCGAAGGTAGGCCGTTCACGATCTTATGGCTTTATTTCGGCCGAGGAGAGATGCCGAGACCGATTGATGGAAGCATTGCATCCGGCTGTTGGCGGGGCTGACTCCATGCACCGCCCTCGAAATGGAAATGAAGAGTGTCTACCGATTTGGATCCAGCCGCGGCCCACAGTCATGTCGGCCTAGACCACTGCACTTATCTGGCGCGGTAATGATATGGGTAAGACCTTGGGAAGAAGAGAATGATAGTGGGGGGTCTGGCGAGCTCGCGGTGCTGCTGCTGAGTTCCCACTGGTGAGGCTTCAGAGTTCCAGCTTCGGGGTTAACAAACAACCATGATGACAGATCATCAGAGAACCGGAAATCTGTCCCATATCGTACATACACATCGTTCCATGGCTAGGCAGAGGAGGCTGGTGCTCCAACAATTCGGTGCTCGGGCTATTGGGCGATACGAACGAGACGCATTGGTTGGACACTGTGGACGATCGGAGATGCTATGCAACACGATACGAGAGTTGAACTTGCAGAGGGGCTTATGACGTTGTTATTTCCTTCTTCCGTTGCCATAATTTCAGTTGCATACGCGCCGGCGTGGAGATAGGGAGGTTGTAGTTGAGGTTTGGGAGGCAGGTTGAGCGTGTCACTAGCCACAATGAGCCACACGATGACGTGTCGGGATGGAGCTAAGTGCCGCCTTAGCCACAGGTCAAGCCTTCTCCGCAAAGCTTGACACACCATTGCGGCTCCACTCTCAACGCGAGTGAAAGCCATGGTGTTTACTTGTTTATTTCCTGGCTCTCCATTTTACTAACAGATGCATTGATGATACGTACACGATGCCATGGCGTTACAACAAGAAGAAGAGCAATATATTGCAACTGCACCCGCTTTCGCGAACATCTGGACAGTCAATCAGTCTTGAAGGCTCAGTGCCGGTTCCTATCACTGCCCGCAGTGGCCTACATGCCTGGATCGGTCCGGTACCATATCCACATCGCGCGGGCGGCATAGTCGGGCATCGGGAATAGTGTATCAGGCTATTGAGTATGAGCAAGCTGACGCGTTCACACCAAAAGCTCGACGGCGGACATATTGTGTCACTGTTTCCTAACTCTTCCAAGCCATGAAGGAATTGTATATCCAAACATAACCCAATCCCAATGCCTACAGTTTCAGGCTTGTTCTCGGAATACCGATGATGCAAGACTGAGGGCAACGCGAGGTCAGTATCGCCACGATCAACAACCAGAACTTGACCCAACATCCGAACAAATCATACCCCGGTCTATACAGTCGTGGCCAGCCTCATCCTCCGCAGCCAATCCTTAGTCGTTCTTCGGCCACTAGTGTCGCCGGCAGTTCGTGAACATACCCCGGGAACGCCACACCCCTGGCTATGGATAAAGTGATATAGCCGAATTGGGCAAGCTTCATGGAGTATACCATGCATGTTACGGTTCGACACCGCATGCATGTCAGGGTTATGTACCTGTCACTTTACTCTTCTTGACAGTCATGATGTCGCTTCGAATTACGTATGTTTGGTGGAGTATGTCGGAAAGACCATGAGGTAGTGTCGCTTTGTTATCGTCCGGCTGTATATAAGAACAGTGGCATGCTCTACAATCACTCTGCAACCGCACGGAGAGTCAACCATTTTCAATCCAACATGCGATACTCCTCAGCCGCCGCTTTCTTCTGCTCCTTAGCAGGCTCGGCCAACGGTCTACCTGCACCCGCACCCCAGGCGTCAGGAGCTTCTGGGCCTACAATACCAGGTCCTGTTGATCCCTCACAAGTTCTGAACATGCCACTACCCTCAGGAGCATCAGGCTCGTTGCGTGGTTCGGAAAAGTATCTAGGGTACAACCCTTCGAACCCAGTCGACATGAAGTCCACAGTCATTCCACCCGAAGACTTCGAACTCGCACCCGGACAGTCGGAAGACGCAGACTTGGGATTATACATCGACCTCACTAACGTAAAGAACCCGCAACCAATTCGCGGTGGTACTACAGGGCCTACAGAGCCTGGCCCACGGTAAGTCCACGAAAATCATCATGGATATAACTATGGCTAACATCTGTCACAGTACCCCAGCCTATGATCGGCTGAACAGCGACGTATACGCACCGCCGCCCTCCGACATGGGAGAGGTTAGCAACGCGAAGTGGCCATTCGGTCTCAGCCACAACCGCCACGGCCTTGCAGGAGCAGGGTGGGCACGATCTCAGAACACCGATCAACTACCCTCGTCCGTCGCAATGGCCGGCACAAATATGCGACTAAGCCCGCATGCCTATCGCGAGCTTCACTGGCACAAGCAAGGTGAATGGGCATTAATGTACACAACACCCCCTACGTTCAACACCCAATCAAGCTAACCACATCTTACCAGGCTCAATGGCAGCGTACGCATTGCCTCCATGAACGAAGCGGGCCAGACCTTTGTCGACGACGTCCAAGAAGGCGATGTCTGGTTCTTCCCGCCAGGAATCCCGCACTCGATCCAAGCCTTCGAAAATGGCTGTGAATTCCTCCTGATCTTCAACGATGGCTCCTTCAGCGAAGAAAACACTTTCCTTCTCTCTGAACTCATGTTGCGCAACCCGGAATCCGTTATAGCGAAAAACTTCCGCACAAGCGTCAAGACGTTTGAGAACATCCCCAAAGAACAGCTTTGGATCTTCCCCGGTACGCCCGCGCCGAAGAACATTTCGGAGCAGAATGTCACGGGCCCCGCTGGTGTGATTCCAAAGGAGGGCGCGTATACTTACCATTGGAGCCAACAGGAACCTGTCAAGGTGCCGGGTGGTAGTATTAAAATCCTGGACCCGGCTACTTTCCCCATCGCAAGCACCTTCTCTGCTGCTCTCATCACCGTCGAACCCGGCGCGATGCGCGAACTCCACTGGCACACCACATCAGACGAATGGTCGTACTTCCTTTCTGGCACCGCGCGTCTTACCGTCTACGAAGCACCAGCTGCGTCGCGCACATTTGATTTCTCGGCTGGGGATGTCGGTTATGTACCCGTACCTAATGCGCATTATCTTGAAAATACAGGAAATGAGACACTGGTTTACCTCGAGGTGCTACAATCGACGCAGTATAGCGATATCAGCGTGAATCAGTGGTTGGGGATTACGCCGAGGCAAATTGTCAAGGATCATCTCAATGTGGATGATGCGTTCTTGGACACGTTGGGTTCGAGGAAGAGCAAGGACTTTGTGGTGCAAGGAAATCCGGATTTGACGGCGACGGATTTTACGCCTGGACAGCATGGTGGTGCTTAGATGGTTGTGGAACGTTCACTTTCAGTCATAGCTACGCAAGACGAAGATCATATCTTAGATTACAAGGCGTGTAAGATGAAACGAAAAAATTGAGCTTTTCACCAGAACTCTTCGAAGTCAAGAAAATTTCCATGCTTCCTCCTGTCATCATGCAATACTGTCACCAACAGTCAGGCAGCTCTACTAGATTGGCATCGGCCCGACTAGCGTGCCATCGCTACCAGCCTAATTGGTGCGTGCAGTGGGATCCCCCACTTCAACACCACAGCTAGGCCACCGCTAACGACCCACAGAGTCTAGACAGAGCTGAAAACGCGTGGCTGGCAGATCGCCGGCTTAGTTCTATATGAGACGATGCCCCGCTTCACTAGCTTCGCTCGGAATGCTATCTACATCACTTCCACCGGATCAACCCGCCAAGGTTTAGACTCGCTATATACTAGTGCAACGGGTACAACTACCATACAACTAGAAGGAAGAGGACATAGAATCAAACATGCCTTCCAAGGGCGTGAGATGCTTCACCTACATCGCAGCTGACGGAGTGGAAATTGAGTACACGGTACCAAAGCAGAACGTCAAGCGAAGTGATCAACAACAATTCCTCCACGACCACCTCGAAGTAGAGTCGTCCAATCTCCCTCGTTTCAAGTTCACGGGGAATTTCGAATTCATTGTTCGTCAGCACGGTCAAGAACTCACAAAACAATGGGTAGCAATTAACAGCATGACGGGCAAGCTAGAAGATGGCACAATGGTAAACATGGATCAAACACCCAGCATCTTCGCCAACGACCTCATCATCACGTATGGGTTCTACGACGCAGGACCAGGTCTTGCTGAACTACCGAAACAACATCAATGCTACGTTACCGTCACAAAGAACTACGAGAACTGGATGCGCGATGTAATTCCCCAAGCATCAGACAAGTCGAATCGCCCATTCCACAAGATGGTCCTCCCCTCAGCCCACGACATCGGCATGAACAACATGTCCAGCAGTCTCTCCATGCTCAAGAACGCAGGCACAGGAATCATCAAAGAAGTCCTCGGTCGTAGTCTCCCTCACGCGCTCTCCATCCTTAACAAAGTCGGCGACGGCGCCATAAACCGCATCGCACCAGACATTATCCGCGCACTAGCCATCACACAAAAAGACACCCTCGACACGATCCTGAAAATTGGCGCCCGGTACTTTGAATTTCGACCCGCCAAATGCCACAGACAGATGCAGAAAGTCAGCCCGCTGGAGGATACGTGGTACTTCCAACACGGCGCGATACCAGGGATGCCGTACCGCACGTTACTCGACCACATCATCCGCTTTCTACTCGACCACCGAGACGAAATCATCGTTGTGCACAACCGGTGGGACGGCGTTCCAGGCGACTGTCCGCGACCCAACGACGACGAACTAAGAGACGTGCTCAACGACCTCCTTCGGGACAAAGATCTCAAGCCGGGCAACCAAGACGACATGATGCACCGATCCATCCGCGACCTCCGCACCTCAAACACGCGCCTCATCCTCCTCAAGGACACGGCGCAAATCTCAAACTACGACGACGTCGCAAACGCTACGCTGACCGGCGACTCCATGGTTGAGAAACTGTCGGTCATGGCCCAGGATCCACCAAAGGGACATCCGATTACACTGCTGCAATGCCAGGCTACAGCGACGAATATTCGCGATGTTATCATTGCTAGTGTGCTGGATTCAGATGTTAGTACGAGTCCAATCTTGGCGACGAAACCGGTGTGTGATCACAAGATCTTGCCGTTATTGAGGGGGAGACGGGGAGGAAGTTGGCGGGGGAGGAGAGTGTTGTTGTTGTGCTTAATGACTTTTTCGATGGAGCGACGGCAGATGTGGCGATTGGGTTGTGTAGGCAGAGGTTGGGGTGATGTATGGGAGAGGAGTAGGCAGATGATGTGATGGAGTAGTACTCTTGGTCCTTTTGTTATGTGTTTTTATCGCCAATTCCTCATACAAAACTCATCACTACTCGGCTACGCATGAGTCGCATGCTGGTGGTATGGAATTATGTGTCTGATCAGGTTTAGAGGTGTAAAGGATATGCCGTCGTTTTTTTCTTCTTATCTGCAAAACCGTTGCTACAAGGCAGAGAGACGAAAAAATTACATATGTGACCGTTGTCGCGCCGATACAGTTAGATGCCTTTGGACTCTGGTGAATCAGAGCAATGAGTCAGGGTGAGTGCCTTGTACGCATCTGATGATCGACCGGGATGAGCCGTAGTGCAAGGTGCCGTAAGAGTTGAATTCGGTAGGCTCACCGTTGGAGGCTACGCAACGCCATTCCTTACCACCAAGTCGAGTTCAGGCTATATTGAGCTGGCGGGTGAAAGAAGTAAACATGATCATTATCCATCTCTTACCGGCGAACCGGAAACCTCGGGCCCGTTGTTCACCAGAGATGCAGGCGAAAATGCACCCTTCTGTTGAATCTGTACACTCAGCATGGGAGTACATGCACCGAAAGTCTAGAAGACCCAATTATCTTCTGGCGGAGCATCTAAGCGGGGTGTATGAGAGTCGAAGTGAAACGTGCCATGTGTTTCAGTGATGCTTGGTTGCTGGCAGGTGTTGGTGGGGCAATGAGCTGTTGCCCCTCATTCTCGCCGCAAGCACCTCCCTTCTAGAACAAGTAGGTCCATACCGCCTGCTACAATTATCGTAAGCTGTCCCTAATCAATCGCCTGCTGTTCTTCCATCTGATTTCCAATCGCAGTCTCGAGCAATCAACCAATCAAGGCCGCAAACAATTCGAGCCAAGTAAATACATACCCCATCATCACTTCGAGCTACAACAACACATCGTCATCATCATGGTCGAGCGCGCAAACAAGCCTTCAGCGTTGAACGCGCCAACTGCGTCAGGACCCGGTCCTCAAGTCGACATTGTCGGAGAGGGTGGTAGCCAGAAGGTCGTCGCAAGACTGCCGTCTGGTGAGAGCGTCGAAGTGCTCCTCTTTGGAGCTACCGTTACTAGCTGGAAGAGCAACGGCGGAAAGACTGAGAACCTTTGGCTGAGCGATGCGGCTGATCTGACTGGCAAGAAGCCTGTGCGAGGTGGCATCCCCGTTGTATTCCCCGTCTTCGGCCCTCCTCCCAAGGATGGACACGCCACCTCGTCGCTTCCTCAACACGGTTTCGCTCGTGGATCGCGCTGGGAGTACATGGGCAAGTCGACTGCTGAGGATGCTCTCGACTCCAACTCGATCAAGCTCGACTTTGGCCTCGACCGCCAATCGCTCAGCGAGGAGTCGCGCAAGGCATGGCCATTGGACTTTGGGCTCGTATACAGCGTCACACTGAGCAAGGACAGCCTACAGGCAGTTCTCACAGTCCGCAACGAGGGCGAGGAGAGTTTCGAGTTCCAGTTCCTGCTCCACACGTACTTCAGGATTCAGGACGTTTCCAAGATTGCCATCACCGGCCTGTCGGGCACCGAGTACATCGACAAGGTCCTCAATGCTTCTACGCATACCCAGAGCGACAACCAGCTCAAGATCACAGGCGAGACGGACCGTGTCTACAAGGACATCAAGCAGGATACCACATCGATTACCGAAGACGGCAAGCCTCGCTTTGACGTTATCCGCGACAACGTCAAGGACACGGTGACGTGGAACCCGTGGATCGAAAAGGCCAAAGCCATGGGCGACTTCTCCCCGGACGACGGCTACAAGAACATGGTCTGTGTCGAGATTGGTGCTGTGGATGGCTGGCAGAGGCTGGAGAAGGGCGAGGTCTGGGAGGGAGGCATGTTGGTCAAGAGCCACTTGTAGGAGAGATGAGATGAAGGAGACAAGACCGCGAATGCCTCGGGTTCTACTACTGATAGACTAGAGCCAATACTCGAAATTAATTCATGAGTCTGGCCACTTGATGGTGTGCACTTTGTTTGCGTTGAGACCCTTGCCAGCTGGGTCGCCCTTGCCGTTCCACAACTCCCCACCAAAACTTGCGCGCCCGCCCAAACACGACGACACCATGACAACAGTCAGCGCTACTTGAGCAACACTGTCATGCCACTTCTACACGACAGTCGCGAGGCACTTCGCAGCCCCTTCTGTTACCGTCTGTGGGCTATCGACTAAGCTCCCTGCCTATATCGCACCTCTCCTCTGCAGCTTCCCCGCACCGCAAGAGGTGGTACGACCGCACACATTACGGCTCGCTGGGTGAAGACAACTACGCCAGACTATCGTCAAAGACGTTGCGCGTTCCTCTGAAGTTGGCGACCAGGCCAACGTTGCAAGTCGCACCACAACATGTCGCTGATTCCTTACGCCCCGGCCGAGTCGCGGGAGATTGTACTGTACGTCTTTGTGATAGTTCGGCATGCGAAAAAACCTGGCAAGAGGCTAACGAGAGCTACAGGCGTCATGGTTCTGCAGTCGTCGTGTACGACCAGCGCTCCAAGCAACTCTCCCTCCGCGATGCCTCACACGCGACCGACGTTGGCTCCCCGTCATGTCCCTACTGTCACCGTTCCTACCGCGAACCATCACCACATGAAGAACACGACACCACCGAGCAGGAGCATAGCTCGCCTGGCATCCCCACAGAGAATGGCTTCGTTAATCCCGCATACTTCCAAATGCTGCGCCGGAGTCAGCCAGACTCCACCGAAGGGTCGCGACCATCATCACCCCATAAACAACTGGCGCCTGCGCCTATGCGCAGGAGCAGCTTTCACACACCAGAAGGGTCAGAGTTTGTGGGAAGCACACCAGTTCGGCCCGCTAGGAGCCAGGGTATATCCGCGAGGGCCTTCAGTCCCAACTATTTCAAAGACTTCTTCATAGAAGAACGGGAGCTGGGGAGAGGCGGCAAGGGCGTGGTTCTGCTAGTGCAGCATATCCTGGATGGCGTGCATCTGGGCAAGTTCGCATGCAAGCGTGTACCAGTCGGCGACGACCACGAATGGCTGGAGAAGGTGTTGATTGAAGTACAACTACTCCAGACCCTGTCGCACCAGAACCTGGTATCATACCGACATGTCTGGTTGGAGGACTACCAGATATCTAGCTTCGGACCGAGTGTACCATGTGCCTTTATACTGCAACAGTACTGCAACGGCGGAGACCTTCACAGTTATATTCTTGACTCGGCGAAAACGTCCATCACAAAGGAACAGATGAAAGAGAGACTTAGGAGGAGGTCCAAGGGTCAGTTGGAAGACCCAGAGGATGTGCATGGTCCGCGTCGCATGCATTTTGAAGAGATTATATCTTTCTTCAAAGACATCACATCCGGCTTAAGTCACCTCCACGCAAATGGCTATATCCACCGAGACCTGAAGCCTAGTAACTGCTTGCTCCATCGAACTGGCCACAAAGTCAAAGTCCTAGTCAGCGACTTTGGCGAAGTACAGTCGGCCAACACAGCCAGGAATTCCACAGGAGCTACCGGTACCATCTCGTACTGCGCGCCTGAAGTGCTCCGTCAAGAGCGACCCGGCGGTGCCTTTGGCAACTTCACAACCAAGTCTGACATCTTTTCGCTCGGTATGATCGTTTACTTTATGTGTTTTGCGCGCCTGCCGTACCGGAACGCGGATGGTATCGACGAGGACAACGAGGATCTAGACCAATTGAGGGCTGAAATCTCGACTTGGGCTGGTATTGACGACGAACAACGCGTTCGCTCAGACTTGCCTGAAAAGCTGTACAGATCGCTCAAGAGGCTTCTTGCTATCAATCCCGACGAACGCCCAGGCGCAGAGGAAATCCTACACGTCCTAAAGTCACCTCTAGTATTCGACGAGTACAATGCTTATGCAGGCCCATCCGGCCTCGACGAGTTCAGCCCGAGGATATCTAGAGCTGACACACCGAGCCCATCGCCTACAAATGGCAACAAAAAGCGCACGTCGGTCAATTACACACGGCCAGGTCGATCGCAGCTTAGCGCCACGGTCATGGACCGGTCACCTAGTCCGCCGAGGCCGCAAAATATGAGGCGCCAATCTTCTGAAGACGGAGCGGTGATTCTGAGAAGGAAGTTGGAATTCCCGCCGCCGTCTTCTGGAGGGAGGACGCCAAGTCCACAGCGGCTTATGCTGCCACCCCCGCTGCCTGCAGGTGCGTCGTCAAGGCTGCACAGGTTGCTGAGGAACCAGACTGTTATCAGCACTACGAAGATGATGCTGTTCGTAGCGAAGGCGTGGAGTTTGCTGCGGCCTTGTCAGCCTTTTGCGGCGGATCCGCGCGTACTGTATCCGTTGTTGTGTTTATCCTCACTGGATTTCATGCATACTGGCGTACCTGTCAGGGGTAGACAGGTCTGGTTGGGTGGGTTGGTAAGATCGGTGGTGCTTTTGCTTGCGCACATGGTAGTGGTGGGTGTACTGTGGAGATGGGGTACTTTGTGTGCAGGGAGAAGTGTGAGTTGGGAAGGAATGTAGCAGCAGACCTCCGCACCAATACCCCTCTACTGTTATAGAGTGTGGCAGTGTTCGGGCTTGATAGATTTGAGTTTGTGATACCTCTGTAGTACTGGCATTGAGCGATAACATGATCGGAAATGTATTGATCATGAACGATTTATCAAGTCCATCTTGTTCTAAATAGACTTTCACTTTCAACAAGCCAATGAATAATTAGCTATCGCCTATTATTTATATAGCGAACGAGCAACCCGATAAGTCATCGTATGTAATCCGAGCTGTGCGACGCCCGCGCACGTTGTGACAAGCGCCGCGTCGGTGGCTGGGTGGGGCCAGGGTTCGTTAGCTTTGTTTTGGAGTAAACACGCTGACCCGCTTTCATCTTGCAACACTCATCGCACTTTCCCATTACAACGCGCCCCATCATACTTGGGCTGGGAACTTTCTTGACTCTCTTGGAGGTACTAGTATAGCTTCAGTGAATCTTTACGAGACATACTTTCTAAAAACCCTATTTACGAACGTGTTTGACACGCGACGCGACCCCCAGCTGCCCGCCGCAGCCTCACAAATTCGACACAATTCGGCATGCAGTCGTCTCCTCCCACAAGCGATGGGAAAGCGCGTGCTATTCGAGAACTCTCACGTAGTCTCAGCCACAGCCCCAGGAATATCACATCGCCTTCACCACCACCAAGCGACTCGAATCCCACCCAGCGCTCGGGCTTTGGCACCAACACGTCTCAATTCTTTGACGATCCAAACATTCTCATGTCTACACAACATAACCTGGGCGACGACACCAACACACTTCCAGGATACCCGCGCATTCGCTCGACTGCAAAGAAGATGAACACATGGGCTCCGTTCCGTTCCGAGCAGGTCCAGCCCGACACGTCCATGGTCAACAAGGAGTTTGGCGACTTTGACCACAGCATTTCCGACGAGGAAAGCATGGCCGTCGAGCAGGCGCGAGGTAACCGCAGCAACCGCGGTACCCCCAGCAAGATGAGCTCTCAGTTTAACAGCCTCTACGACATCACACCCCCCACCAACCGATCACGCAAATCATACCAAGCAGAGACTGGTAGCCTTCGACGTGACGCGGCAATCCGACGAGCCTCGCGTAACGACCTGGATACTGCATCACCACGTCCTGCGAGCAAGCGCAATTCTCCCGCCTTGTCTACAAAGGAGGATCGCAAGCGCACTTCACTTGCACAGCTGCACGCGAAGCTGTCCGAGGACGAGTCGTCGTTTATGGAGCACCGACCACCAACACTGACCATGGATTCGGCCAAGAACACGCGCTGGGGTAACAGGAGCCGACAGACTTCGCTCCAAACTGATGGCAATGTCGATACTTTCCCACAGCCAAAGACCACGCCTCGCTCAAGGACAGCTACAGCACAGAACGCGACCGCGCAGTCCTTTATCTTGCCCGATCTCCCCAACCTCACGGAGCTTGTCTCCGGCGTATTTGACGATGGCACACCAGTCTTCTCCAAAACTGCACCCTCACGATCACGCTTCGCGGCCCCACCATACGGCGGTCGCCGACCATCGCACATTCCCATCGAGGGTGCGCCTATACCCGACGAAGAGAAGGCCATCTTTGCTGCTCTCCAGCAGCTGCAAGAGAAGATTGCAGACATGGAGCGTGAGCGTGAAGAGAAGGACAAGAAGATGGACGAGCAAGAGCTGGAGTTGATCGAGCTGAGAGCGACTACGCAAGCTCAAGAGAAGTTGCGACGAAGTGACAGCGCGCAGGACTCCGATGCTGGCGGAAAGAACGGTTGGAAGGTTGAGAAGACGCGTAAGTTGCTGCAATTCATTGAGGATCCAGGAATTTACTGACATTAAATAGGTCTCGATGCTACTGTACAAACCCTCCGAACGAAGCTCGATCGCGCCGACCGCAAATTCGCTGTACTTGAAATCGAGAAGAAACGTCTGAGCACCGAGCGGGACAACATGGCCAATCAGCTGGGTGTCGCGTTCCAGACTTGCGAGGAGCTGAAGACTGAGAAGAACGCCTTGAGCAACGAGAATGATCAACTTCGCCAGGAGGTTGACACGCTTCGTGCGGAAAATGAATCCCTTCGCGATCAACTAGAGCAAGACCTGTCGCACCACCGAGAAGAGACCATCCAACTCCGACAACAGTTCGACCAGGCCGCAAACGCAACCCAAAGGGAGAACGCAAACCTACACGCTGAGTTGGCTCGTGTACGCGCTCAACAGGACGAAAACACCCAGCAGTTGACTCGTAGGGACATGGAACTACGCAAGGCACGTCAAGAACATGCTGAGTATGCTCGTCTAAAGTTCGATCACGAGTTGCTCAAATCTCAGCTGGCAGAACTGAAGGCGAAGCGCGAGGAGGACGTTCAGCGCTGGTCTCGACAGGAAGCCTCACTGCGAGCTCAGGTTGGCAGACGTGATGACACCATCCGACACTTTGAGGATATGACTCAAGAGCGAACAAACGAGGCCATGCGTTTGGATAACGAGAATCTGAGGAATGAGCTGAGGGAGCTGCAGGCGCAGCAAGACGAGGAGAATGAGGAGTGGGCTAGGAAGGAGGCGGAATTGCAGCGAAAGGTCCGACAGCGTGAGATCGCCGCGAGAAAGACTAGGGAGAACGACACGGAGCATATTTTCGAAGACACTCTGCAACGCAAGCCTAGCTATCGTCGCGAAGACACGCGAACGCGCATCAGGAACCGTGTTCAACAGGAGGTCCGCAACAGCAAGGTTACCAACACTGCAAACCAGGAGAGCCCACGGAAGTCGTTCACCGGACACTCGAGGTTCTCAACCCGCAGTTTTTCGGCGCCTGTTCCAGCCGACAAGCATGCGCGCGCTGAAAGCGACGTGGAGTCCACGACTGATCTTTCACTTGCGCCTCGCGCAACTCTTCGCATCTCGCGAAACCCTGCTTCCGCTAGACAGACGACAACCATTCAGCCACCTACCGATCTAAGTCTGACGGAGTTGAGCTTCTTCCCCCAGGAAGAGATTGCGAGACTGAGACGATCGCTGGAGGAACAGCGAGCTGCTGAGCGTCATGGCGCTTCATCTGCTAAACCGGAAGAGCCTGTCCGCGAGGACACTGTTCGATCGCAGCGACAGACTCGCGAAGACACTGTCCGTTCAGTTGCTTCCGCTAAGAGTGAACGCCGACCTTCTCTCGTGCGCAAGTCATCACTCAAAGACACCACGCAGCGCACAAGCAACACGCACTTCTCAGAGGACACGGGCAACATGTCCAACCTAGACGCCGATGACGCGGAAGCAACGCAAACCAAGCAGTCTGCTGTTGACGCGTCGATGCTCAGCAACACTAGTCGACGTCGCCGCAGTGCGCCTGCTACAGAGATGACGTCTGCTTTCATCTTACCCGATATCAAACTCAATTCCACAAACCAGACTACCCGCCCCATCACCAAAGAACACGACAACGACAACTGCACCGTCTGCCGCCGCGAAGGCTTTACCACGGCCACATCCGCTCTCGTAGTCCCCAAACTCCAAAAGGTATCTGAACGCACAAAGGAGGAAGTGGACGCTACACTTCGCCCTGCGCAATCGCCCCGCGAGGCCCTCGCACTTGTAGTAAAAGGGTTGAACGACGAGCGTATCCACCTAACTGCCGAGTTGGCAGTCCAGACCGCACTGCTGGAATGCCACGACCCCAGTCTAGGATTCCGAAGAAGATCAGCCATTGAAACTTCCGTCCAGGACCTCCTGAGGAGACTGGGCTGGATAGACCAGCAGATTTACCGTTTGCATGATGTCTTGGAGGGGCAGGACGAGCTTACCGAACAAGGCGTTGAAGAGATGACTAGGGAGCTTGACCTTGGACATGCAGCTGCAGTTGCATCACAAGAACAGACCACCGAGAAGAAGGCGAAGAAGGTTACTATTCGCAGTTTTGTCGATGAGGATGAAGATGAGAGTGTAGAGATGAGGAGGGGGCTGGGTCAACATGGTGGACGTGGTGCTGAGAGTGATGATGAGACTCATGAGCTTCCTTGGGAGGGCTTCGGTGATGAGAGTATGGAGGGGGATGTTAGTTATAACGCTCTTGAGGGGTGGAGGGGTGCTGGTGTACACTGACTGTGAAGAAGTTCAAGTCTACTTCTTGCTCAACAGGTTTTGTTGGAAAAAGGATAGGGATGGAGTTTGTGCTGTTCTGAATACGAAGAGGGATTCCTTGGGTACAAGTGCTTTCTTGCATTGTTAGGGATGGGCATTGGGTATCGGGTATTGGCGTTTTCTTTTTGTCCCTTTTTTGTTCACAGGACTGTTTTTTTCTTACTTGTTGGTTTACTCTTCTTCTACACCATCACGGCTCGTCTCCTAGATTGTCCATCAGCACACTACGGCTCTTGTTTCTTTTTTTGGCTTGAGACCTTGACTCACCCTCTCTTTGGGTTCGAGTTGGTCTCGCTGAACAGAGCGGGGAGAGGAGTGTCTGTGCGTGTAGGTGGACGACATGCTGGGGATTGAAGGTAGAAAGTTTTAGATGGGAAGAAATGAACTGTATAGGAAGAGAATTACTTTGCTTGAAAATAATACAGTGCTTCTCACATCTTCCTGTCATACTGCACTATCGCTTTCCTTTCCCTCCGATAATGCCAATACCTCTAATAAACAAGATTACCACAACTGTAGACGCAACGCTTATACCAAAGTTGAACCAAGCCGTTGTTCTAATGCCCACCTTTAGTGCAGGATCCCATGGCTCCGTCTTATGTCCTTCAGTGCCAATCTGATCCACACTCAGGCCTTTCTCTCTTGCTACAACAGCTGTCTGTACAGCCGTCGCAATCGCAAGGCCAATCGCACGGCCGATCTGGCCCACAGCAGTGATAAGTGCGCCGCCTAACGATGCATCTTCTGGTGGCAACGTCTTGGCCACAAACAGTGTAAGGACAGGGAAAATGGTATCCGCACCTGAGACACACAGTACCATGGCAGGAAATCCATATGCCCAGTAAGTAGTATCGACTGGGATGGGGATTGCGAACAGGAGCGACGAGATGCTTACACAGATGGTACTGAAAGTGAGTATGTAGTCGCCGGGTACACGGGACAGGATTTGACCGGTGATGGTCGCAACCAGAATGCCCGTAATACCGTTAGGCAGGAAACGAAGCGTGGTCTGGATAACAGAGTGGCCCTGGTAGTCTTGGAACCAATACGTGGCGAAGATGAGGTAGTTGTTGAAGCTCGAGAAGAACAGCGCCATCAGCACGTTGGCAGCAGTGAACTTGGCGTTTTTGAAGATGCTCATCTTCATCAACGGGCGCCTCTCTGTCTTCGTCTCGAGGTAATGCTGCCAGAAGCCGAATGCAACGATGATGATCAGTGAGACGACAATGAGTACGGGTACCCACGGCGTCCGCCAGCCCACGACGTTGCCCTCGGAAAGCGCGAATACGAGAATGACAAGCCCGATGGTGATGAGAGATCCGCCAATCCAGTCTACCGTGCTACGCATGACCGGCTCCTCCTTCACCGGCGGCACAGGAATCACAAACCAACTAGCCACCGTGGAGATCCCAGCGATGATACCGAAAAGCCAGAAGACCCATTGCCAATCGAGGTACTCGCCAACAACACCACCAAATATGTTGCCCAAAACGCCGCCCAGTGGAGCTCCGGCACCGAAACATCCAAAAGCGATGTCTTTTGTCTTTCCGGGCGGGAAGGTAGAAGCCAGGATGCCGAGAGCGGTGGGTGCCATGGCGGCGGCGGCTAGACCCTGGAGTCCACGGAATATGTCGAATCCGATTTCATTCGGGATGAATGGTGTTATGATGGATGTTAGTGTGAAAGCTGCGGAACCCCAGAGAAAGATCATTCGTCGGCCGTATACGTCTGCTAGACGGCCCCATAGAAGCAGAAAGCAGCCGAAAGTGAGGTTGTACGCGGAGATGATCCACTGCTGGCGACTGACTGGGATGTGCAGTTCTTCTCCAATGGTGGGCAGGATGATGACGGAAGCTTGAACAGCCATGGTCTACCTCAGTTAGTCAAGCCTCTCTCTTCTCCAATAAAGATCGTAGGGCTTACTTACACTTAAAAACGGTGCAGCAGCAATAGTCGTAACAAGCGCCACACATCGTGCTTTTGAAAAAGGCAAGCGTTCAGAAGCCGTTGTAGTCACAGCCACAAGTTCCCCATCCTTCTCATCTGCAGTTTGCGGTGCCGCGGTAGCTACTCGCTCCAAATCCGTTACGCCTTCAACAGGCATGTCGGCGCCTTCGACATTACTCTTCGACATCATCGTAACGCGCTGTGGAGGTACAGAAACGACTGCGATCGTCTCCGCAATGCCTCTGTGGGGTAGCGCATCTTTATGACTGATTGTAAAGTTCAGGATACAGATGCCGACACGGCTCGCTTGCCGATCGCCACAGCTGCAGGCGGGTAAGGATTTTCCCGTGTGTACGGAAAAAGCATGTATAACATAACACCGCGTTCGCGCTGTTGCTACACGTAGAACACATGCTACACGGCAGCTAATGAGTCGCGGATGCTGGTAGAGGCAGTGTCAAAGCGATCTAGCCCACTCAGCTTGCAAGCCAGATACACACGCTATGATCTCGTTTAAGGAACTGCCATGAAGCTCTTTCAGCGATGGACAGAAAATTTATACATATAAATAAATGGAACAGAAAAGGTGACCTGATCGGTACGACACGTATAGAGAGACCTTTATCATGTAGGAGGTAGAAGGTGAAGCGTGGTAAATAGATTCCACCAATGGCAGCGGACTTGTTCCAGCGGATACTAACCGTTCTCGGCAAGCGGCAGCAGCGGCATCTTCATAGGTTTTTCTTACATAGTTCTTCAACAGCGACGTTAACATATGGACATTTCGAACTGGCCTACCCTGATGCCTTTCGTGTCGATGGTGTGTGTGTGTATGTGTTAACGATGTGCTGCTAATATAAACCTCCGCATGCCGAAGCAGTGTGCGCCATGGAGGGAACTCCTTGGCCTCCCTCCTTACTCCCTCCCTCCTTGGCCTCCATGGAGCTCCGCCGGAGTTGACGGAGTTGCTAAGCTTTTACCCCACACTTACACTAATCGTATTAGGAGTAGGTTAGCACGCTGTGCAAAGCTTAACCTCACCGCTGCTATCAGAACGCGGGGAGCACGGACCATAGTATTGTTAGAGGAGGTGAACAATATATTATATGTATACTACTTAATCTATCGCTATTTCATTAAAACCACCCCCAGGTGTAAAGCTTAGAGGTAGATAGTTCAGATAATTTAGATAGTTGTCGAAGGAGGGAGATAGGGTGGATTAATAGTAGGTTCCCAGCGCATTTTATGCTACTCTCCTTCATCGCTATTGCCCCATAACCCCTCGCTGCTAGTACTGCTAGTTGATACGTATTGTACTTCCGCCATCTCGTTACCAAGTACTGCGTCACTACGGTGCTTAGCAAGGGTTATAAGGCCAAGCTTGCTCCAGTGTGTAAGGCATAGCATAGCTTCTAGAGTCTCTTCGCGTAGTCGACGTCGTCTAGAGTTCAGTGTAAAACCAGCAGAGCTAAAGATACGCTCCGCCTCCGCGCTCATTGCTGGGATAGACAGCATATCGATTGCCATGCGAGCAAGAGAAGGATACTTGACGCGAACAGCTGGGCGGAGCCAGTACTGAAAGGAGACGAGATCGTCGTCAGTCTCGAGCTCAGCCTCGAGGTACAGCGTCAGCTCGTCACCGATCTTTTGTGGGTAGGGTAGACGTCGCTGCTGTTTGATAAGCTCGTCGATATTGCTGTACTTCATTCGCTTACGGGGCCGCTCGTTACAATCGCGTTCGCTCAGGGGTTAGCGCAGCCCACTGTCCTGGGATAAAGCAAGGGAGCTTTGCCGTGAGCTATAGAAGTCGATAGGAGAGGTGTTATGCCTGTAGTCTTTCTCCCATAGTCTCCTAACTGCCTCTACGCCACACTTAGCGTCTTGCGCACCCCATTCTTTCGCTAAGTACTAATACTTCAGACGCGGATCTAGCAGCAAAGCAGCAGTGTACACGGGGGTTTCGTCAAGTATATTGTAATACTCTGTTGCCTTGCTCCAAGCTTGTTCGATTGCTACCCAAAAGGCGGAGTCCTTCTGGCTCTCAGCATACTCAACCTTAAGCTTCTTAAGCTGGCGGAGGATAAGGGAGAGGACGTCGTACACGTCGGCAATACTGGTAGCGGACTCCTCACTCGGTCGACCTTCGAGCTTCTTTGTGCACGCTTTAATCGGGTCGAGGATAGCGAGGAGCTCCTGGAGAATAGCCCATTCATCGGATGACATGCGCTGGTCGAAGATAACGCGAGTAACTGATTCCGATGGGCGTTCATTGATAGGTTTCTTATTACCGCGACGCACGAGGTGCATGTAAGTGGCCATTTCAAGGTCAAGAAAGTGCTCAATAGAGTTGCGGAGCTGTACTGCTCAATAGATCATATCTCTTGTTAAATTCCACCTAGTAAACATTAGTTTAGTGTTCTACATAGCTGACATAGTTACCGTCTTATGTCAAAGTGCCAAGATAAAGTAATTGTACACGTGTATCTCCGCAACCACAACAAAAAAAGAAGAGATAGGAACGTACCGGGTTGCATTATCCATTTTAAGCCGTAGCGGAGGAGGCTGTTGGTTGGATTCTGGGTTCTCCCTACGCCAGACCTCACCCTGGGCATCCTCAAACCTCTTTACGCGCCCTGGTGATTTGTTTATCCATCGGACGATTGTTGCTACTATTCCAATCGGCCCTTGAGCTCGCCAAAGCTTCACCTCTTCTCGTAAGTTAGCTACACGAGCTACCTCACCCTCGAACTTCTCGAAATCGCTGCCGAACAGGAGCTGCTGGGCAACAAGGTTAAGTATATGACCAACACAACGCAGCCGTCTGACCTTTGGATCGAACTGGAGCATCTCTCCAAGGATTGCAACTGCAGTATCGTTGTTTAAGGCGTTGTCGAGGACGAAGAAACCGACCTTATCGCGCAGGTCGTAGTCGTCAATAACCGCTAGAACGTTCGCAGCAATAGCCTTGCCATCGTGATAATCAGTCATCTCTTTAAATGCCAACATGGCTGTTTACAGACTTGCCTATCCTGATATCATATCCGATATGATAAATTATCCTGATATGATATCGGCTTAGCAGGTTAGCAGAGATGATATCAGGATAGCGGTTTTAGCAGAGATGATATAGCATTAGATGCATAGCTTAAAGGGTAATATTTCATTCATTTCTAATCTAGATCATCATCTGAATCAACCCGAGTACTACTGTTTATATCACCGTCCACGACGAGCCCTCTACCTCCACGTGATGATGGTATAATGAGTCCTTCACGCAGCCAGTTGCCAATACATTCAACCTTCTCCAGATCCGCACATGACATCCTTTCGCGATCCCATGATACAGTACGTCTCGCTCCACTAAATGCTGACTCAGGATCAGCAGAACCAGGGGGTACAGATAGTATGTCGATGGCCATGCGACTAAGACGCGGATATGTCCGAATCTGATCCCTCTGACACCACCAGAGAAGAGGGGAGCCTTCAATCTTTATCGGCTGGGAGAAAAACGGATCTTAGAGAAAAACGGATCTTATCAATTGATGAGATAACATCTGGCCAATCAGAGCCCGCAGCTTATCCTGATATCAGAATAGATATCAGGATAAGGGACCCTAGCTTTATCCGATATCCGATATATATCATATCGGATATAGCAGGATAGCAGAGATGATATCAAGATAGCATATCAGGATAGGCAAGTCTGGCTGTTTAGCACTTCCCCCTATCGTCTACAAAGTTTGCAACAACACCATTAATTGCCTTACGCCGCGGTGACGTCCAGAGGTCGAAGGAGAGGTGGACACGACTCGCCGCGTTCTTTAAGATCTCTCGTACCTCCTCTTTGTGCATAGCGAACTCAGTGTACACCCACTAGCGGGCTACCTTCTCAGATGGGATAATAGAATCCTGAATCAACGGGTGTATACGGCTAAATATTTTCCGAAAGTAGGGACTCTGTAGCTTCTTGAATGGTATACTCTCAAGGGTTACCCAACGCATAATGTCCTTCTTGATTAAACCAGAGTCGAATGACTCCGCGATACTGTTGTATATTCGTTGCTGTACAGGATCGTGTAAGTCAAAAGAGGAGCTTATAGCGTTAGCTTTGTCGAGCTCGTTAAGGGGATCGTTAACGTTCTCCTTGTACGACTTAGAGTGCACGTTCCGGAAGTGTTCAAGGGCGTGTTGGCTTCCGTTTGTAACGTTTAAAGGGCGAGTAAGAGTTGGCGCAGTAGTGTGGCAAGTACGGCATAAGAAGTGTATGCCATTAACCACCTGCGTCGATCCCTTTTTAGTGTACTTGCCAGCAAGAGGCACCCCAAAACGCCACCACCAAGCTGTCCTTCAGACGCTATTCACTGCCTTTGTGTAGCCTCTGATCCCGTAGCACTCCCATGCAACCCAGCTGTAGTCGAACGGAGTATCCGACAGATGCCCTGGCTCGGCAACAGCTATATACGAGTCGGCGTTCGTCTGCTAGTACTCTGTAGGCACCGGCACCTGTTCAGAATCGAGTTCGCTGAGCTGGGAAACGTCTTCATCAAATACGGTGAAGCCATGGCCGGACGGGCGACGACTAGACAGTTCTGCGTCGAATTGCGTGTTAGGAAGTTCGCACTGGCTTAATACAAGTGTATTCGAAGGCATAGCGGCATTAGGTAATAGATATATTTTGTTAGGGTGTAGTAATTGTTACAGAAATTTGACGTTGCACATTACAAAAGAAGGGATGAGGTGCGATTGTTGATATTGCTAGCGTCCTGTTTCACGTTTGTCTCAAGTTTGGGTCCCAAAACATTACCACCTAACGCTAATAAGTCTAGTTACTACCTATATAGGACTAATGTATCCTCCTCCTTCAACTCCTGGAGCGCCGGGGAGTTCATGGACCTTGGCGGAGTGGAGCTCTCTCCCTCCATGGCGCACACTGTGCCGAAGGCTTTGTTTAAACGCCGACAGGAAGTTAGTTCTTCGAAGACTTTGCGTAGAGAAAACATATTCACATAGTACGTATGTTTGTTATGAGCAGGAAAGTACCAAAATGGAAAACCAGATTGGGTAGATAACTATATGATGGAAGCGCAAATAGATCGGCTTCTTCCTTTCGCAATTCCAAACTTGTAACTGTAAGCGAGCTGCATCTTAGGCAGCAACTGCGGGTCTCGGCTTTCTCCCCTCGACACGGCATCTGCGTACCTCACATTCGCCCGTGGCTTCCACATCATTAATATAGTTAACCGCTTGCACGGAGCACGCCGCATCTATTAGGTTGGCACATGCTACGGGTTCGAAACAGCTACTGCACACCACTTCAGCCCATTCAGTGAGCATATTTGAGCAGCCTACCTTTACATCTCAGCAGTTGGGTTTGGTATTCACCGCGGTATCCATCCGATAGTCGGGAAAAATTGACTACTTGCAGGATTCAATCGAGATGGCTTCCGGAGACGGGGACTCCCTTTGCGAACACTGTCGGAGAAGAACTACCTGCTTCCAACTTGGATCAGTTGAGATGACTTCCGAAGATGAGGACTTCATCTGCGAAACGTGCCGGAAGATCGATTTCCAAGACCTGGTTCAGAATCCTCGACAAGCAGAGTATCAGTGGCAGAGGGGCGAGCCATCTCCGTATACCATACGATATTCCCACGGTTGCAAGCTCTGCCGTCTGATGTTTCAGAACGTCTTCTCATGCGATATGTACAAGACATTCGAGCTGCGATCATACTCATTCAAGAAGCTGTCCAACTGGGCCAGAAATCTTGATGCTGAGGATAGGGTCAAAGAGACCACCCTTGATGCTCGGGATAGTATTGTACTGAAGATTGGCTTGTATCGTCCCAATGACTTCTTCCTTCGTCCATATGAAGACGTGTTTGTACACTGGCTAGCGATGATTTGCAGGATTCGAATTGTGCCCAGCCCGTGCAGGACCTCTGGGACTGTGTCAAAGCCCGCTCGTGGATGGAAACGTGCACAAGATGTCACGGATCTGTCTGCGAACATGAGGTACTTGAAATCCCGGGCATGAACCTGATAGACTGCAAGGACATGGTTATCGTCAAAGCGGCGCAAGAGATGCGGTGGTTGGCACTGAGCTACGTGTGGGGCGCAAACTCTCAAACAGCAGATCCTGCAGGATATCGCGTAGGGTCCAATATATCTCTGGACACTCCTGCGACAATTAGGGATGCAATCAGTGTGACACTGCAGCTTGGATATCGTTATTTATGGGTTGACGAATATTGCATCGATCAGAACGACGACAGCCATCGGAACGACCAGATCAATAAGATGGATCGTATCTATATGGGTGCAGATCTCACCATCGTGGCTGCGGCTGGTAAAAGCAAAACACACGGCTTGCCAGGAGTCGGGTCAACAAAACGGAGGGATAGGGAAGTTATTCGTGTGGAAGATGTGGTCGTGTTTTCGAATGGGCCCGATCCAGTTCTCCAAGCTAGAGAAACAGAATGGTTCACCCGAGCATGGTAAGAGAGACATGGCACTTCATGTTTTCATTATGTATGCTGATCTGACGTGTGGAATATATAGGACATTCCAGGAAGGGCTCTTGAGTAGGCGAATGTTGGTATTCACAGAGCACCAAACATCGTTCTATTGTTCGGCCAATTCTTGGATCGAAGGCTTCGGAAATCCAGACCCTAACGCAGCTCGCGAAAGGAAGAAGATTCGCCATCCCCATCATTTCTTCCGAAGCAGCTTGTTTCTAAAGTCGTCATCGTGGAGCTGGGGCCACTTGGCAAGTATAATAGAGGATTATAGTGCACGGAAGATCACCAAAGAGGCCGATACGCTGGATGCGATTCTAGGTGTCAAGAATCACATTCGGCGGTCGCAGCCGACTACCGAGCTTCTCCGTGGCCTACCATTTTACAAACCCTCTGCGTCAGAAACCACGCTGCTAGATTCCTTTGAGGATCTTATCACGGCTGCGCTATCTTGGCATTCGTGTGAAAACGAAGACAGCTCGCCACAGCGGAAACCTACATTTCCCTCGTGGACCTGGGCTGGGTGGAGCGGAGAAGCGGAATTTTGGCTCCGCTACATTCATGAGACTAGACATCGATCCCTTTTACGGAACGCACGCCTGGAATCACTGTCTGAACAAACCGTTGTGTCTTCCGCGCTTTACAAAAATAATATACAACGTGAGCTCGACACCGTAACGCTGATCCAGTTCGAGGCGCCCATGATACCAGCTGCTAGCTTCGAACGCGTAAAAAGTCCATGGGCCGATAGCGATTCTGACGAAGACGACTATGTGAATTTGATCAATTTTCAAGTCTCTGGTCGAAGGGTGTACCGTAATACATATCCAGGTATCTATCCCTTCGAACGATTGATCGAGAACGTACGCAGAGGCCTCTGGTTATGTCTTGTGTTGTGTACTGGAAGATGTAGCGAAGAGGGCCGCGCGTACGAAGAGCAGTCATTTGTGCTTGTCGTTCGCTTGAAGGCTGATCAAATGACGGCTGAGCGCGTAGGTTCGTTTCAGTTGTATTCAAGTCCGAGCGAAGATGCAAGACTTGGGCCCTTTGCGGAGGGTTGGACGTGGCGTCGTGTCAGGTTGATCTGATCATATACACTTACTGTCAGAACCAGAGACCACTTGCGTCAAAGTATATGGTAATACTCGGTCGCTGGGGGTACTTGGTAGGGATCAGATTATCTTCATCACCGAATATATCACATTACCCCTAACAGTACGTCGCGTGCCACCTCTTACTAGCACTTACCGCGGGACAGATAGAAGGTCTCGCTTCTGCAAACGCACTCGAAAGGAACAAATGTATACAACATCAAACGCGAATAAAGCCCGTTTCATGCCTAGAATTAACAATGAAACCACATATCGAAGTCCTTTCCAACTTCCAATCGAAACGGATTCCCATCCAAACCTCCTCCCCTCCGTCCCCCACACCCACCGGGTGGTTGCGCTACGCGAACTATTGGAAAGAGTATTTTCAAAAATAACAATGGAAATATATATGACCAAACGCCAACAACGTCCGTCTCATATCACAGCATACCCACCGGAGCACCTATCCAAAAGCCTCTCAAATTCCAATAACAACTCCCGCTACACCTCCTACGCCCCCCCTTCACCCTTTTGTCCTCTTGGAACAGCCAACGTACCCGCCATCTTCTTAACACTAGCCTTCTTCCTCCAACATGCCCCATACCACTCCCCCAACTTCGGAAACCCACCCTCTCCCTCTCCTCCTTCTCTCCAACCCTTCCACTCCCCACCAAAGCATGCACCACCGGCCAAACAAACGCGTCGGCAATACTAAACCTCGCTCCCGCCACAAAAGGACCCCCATTCGCCTCTACCATCTCTTCCAATCTACTTACCAAATGCCCAAGTTCATCAGCATACCCAGGTACCCCACGGTTCAACCAAGCTTTCATTATACCAGCCGCAAGCAGCATCGTCGGATACGCATTTGCAGTGGTAAGATGGGAGGAAGAAGATTTGTCGAGCGGGTAGTAGTGGTCAAGATAAAGCAGTATGGAAGAAGCCATGTGGATTTCTGTGTGTTGCGTGTCTGTGTCACGGAAGGTGACTTGACGATCGAGTTCGAATGCCGTGTCCAGGATCGGTGCTTCAATGACGGTGTAGTGTATTTTTGCTTCAGTGAGGCCGATGATGGCTTGGTTGTTTTCGATGTGGTTATTGGAGAGGAAAAGCAAAGGGATGTCTGCGGGTGGTGGGGCGTTTAGGTGCAGGACATCGAAGCCGTCGCCGTAGTGCTCCTCCCACGAGAAATCTTGGGAGTGGTTTTCGCGGCTGAAGGCACTGATGAGGCGCTTGGATTCTGATTCTTCGTTGGAGATGATATCGGCGGCGTCGCGGGGGGTTTTCGCTGTTGCGCCTTGGCCCCAGATGATGGTCTCTTTGGCGTCGAGGAAGGTGCCAATGTGCCGGAATGTTAGGCTGATGCGAATGCCGTTGTAAGCTGTTTCGCTTTCGCTGCGTTCACTGGATAGGCGCTTATCGGGTTGAATACCGTGGAGCCATTTTGCGTTCGATTCGAGGCCGAGGACGAACATGGAGTTGTGGGGCAAGGCTACACGTTGAGTTTCGCGCTGAGTAGTGGTGCTGTGGACGTCTTCTTCTGATTTCGACTGAGGCTTCTTGGTGCGTAGTCGCATCGTTCGTTGGGAGCCAAAGCTCACGTTGACGATTGAAGAGCCTTTTACAATGTCGAGCGTTTTGTCTGAATGCTCGGATATGAAGTCGTTGCCGGAACGGTATAGTTGGATTAGGACGTGGTTGAGGGGGTGACCCACGAATTTCTCGGCGCGCTTCCGTATGACCTGCACTTTAGGTGAGAAACGCAGAAGCGGCAGAGTCTGGTCTGCTGGATGACGGTATACAGGCATAGAGCCGTCGTCGCCAAAGGCGCCTTGACAGCATACGAGACGGGGGACCTCGCCTTGCTGGTGTAGCATCTTCTGCCATCGCACTTCATTGTAAAGTTGGGTAAATATAACATCCTTGAGTGGTTTTGATGGCACGGAGGGGTGAACGAGGTCGGCAGGGAAGAAATCATCAACGATGCGCGAGTCGCCTTCTGCAATGTGATCTCCGGGTCCTAGGACAGGGAAAGTTGCGAGCGACTGCAACTTGGATGACTTGACCATCGTGGTGGCTTTTGCTGATGAAGAAGAGTCGACTTTTTGAGTGCTTGTAGAAGACTGCTCTGGCTGTGTAGTTTTTGAGCTCGGTTCTTTATCGTCTTGCTTCGATGTGGTTGAGGTTGCCTTTGCAGAATTAATGGATTCTCTCTTAGACTCAGACCCTGATTCAGACTTTGGCGCCCTAGAGAGTGACATGCGGACGCGATCCGAGAAATCCGATATTCTGTTCTTCTCCTTCTCTTCACCGCCAGACTTGGAAGATAATATAGGCACCGATGTAGCGTTCTTCAACGCATGCTGCTTCCCTTCTTTCTCCCGCAAATCTGCCACACTCCCTGCTTTCCCAATCTTCGACGTTCGCTGAGAATCTGTCGACGTAGGCGGTGGCATCGCTGCCGGTGAGCCTATGGTTGGTAGAGGCGGATCGTTTGTGCCTTGATCCATAGTCGTGCTGGGCTTGCTATTCGCATCTCCATCGTCCTCTCTTGGTTCCTCTCCTTCCTTCGCTTTCTTCTTCTTTTTCCTAGGTTTTCCTGTTCTCATTCGGATCTTGGTTTTGACAAGCTCCGGCTTCTTCTCCCCCTGCGTGCCAGGTACCGCCGCTCCCTTTGCAAGCATTTCGGAAAATTCCTTGTCATTGGGTTCTGATTTGTTCTTAGCGGCAGAACCCTGCGCGGCCGTTCGGTTTGCTATGATGGTAGATGCAAGAGACATTTTGGCCATCAGCTCCTCAACATTTTTGTCGCTATCCTTCTCGCCGCCCTTCTTACCGCTTCTCTCGCCATTCGCAAACGTCGCTATCTTTTGCCCATCCTTTAGCGGTTCGTCCTTGAGTATCTCTTCGCTATTGACCAGAAAAGCGCTAAAGAAGTCCTCCATGCGCTTAAGAGCCAGATCATGTCGGTTTTCCTTACGAAAGCCCAGACAGTCTTCTACAACATGAATCTTAACACCGTGTCGCGCAGCATCGATGACAGTCGCAAGCACAGACACATTGGTTATGCATCCTACAATGAAGAGTTCAGTGATAAGCCTTGCGCGCAAGGTCATGAGTAAGTTGGTTCCTTGGAAAGCGGAGTAATTCGTAGTCCGGATCACAACATCCGTAGCTAGCTCGACCTGCTTTGCAACGGCATCCGCGAACTCGGCGCCGTGCGTGTCTGGGACGCATGCCGGCGTCCTCTTCTCGCTCTTCAACAAGAACAACTCCTCATCTTCCTCTGCCTTGGCCTTTGCAACTTCTTTTGGCAGCGTCTTCCTTCGCGCCGACACGCGTTTCAGCAGATCTAGCGCGCGTTGCTTGTGTTTTGAGGATCTGGATTGCGCTGGTAGCGACGCCGCTTCTTTGGCCAACTCTTCCTCTGCTGCGTCATTGTTGCTCTCGTCTCCATCGACCAGTCCGCCTACAACAAGCGTGTCGCCTTCACCCGTATCGGTGCCGGTCGCGATGCGGTCGGCTTCATACAGCGTTTGCACCCATATTACATTGCTGCTGAGCTCCCGAAATTTCGGGATCAAAGTCTGGATGCGCTCCAGGAAGCCCGTCTTGGTGTCAACGGGCAGTCGTCCGTCTGGTGTCACAAAGTCGTTTTGCAGTCCAACGACAAGAAGAGCTTGGTGTGTCTGGAAGTGGGGTTGATTTTGGGACACAAGGTCCATCAAGGACGCCATGTTAGAGTCCATCGTGTCAGGAACGCGAACAGCTAGGGTTGAACGCGCAAGCGACAAGTCTTGGCATTGATGCTAGTGAGCATGGGGTCATCCAGGGACGGAGGTCTCATGAATTCGAAAGGGACAGAAGATGTAACGGCCAAATTTTTTTGCATATTATATTTAGGATAAGACAGCTTGTATTTGATCATGAGACACACGCAGGGGCAGAGCCAAGAGGCCACTGAGAAATAAATTGGAGTCTAATCGGCGCACCGTCCGCACATGCAGGGGTGGCCGGATTGGAGGATCGCGCTGCAGGATGCGTTGCGCAGGGCGTTGGACAGCTCTAACGGGCCAAGATCGGTGGTGTTTGGAGATTTTGACGGCCGCTATGGCCCGTCGTCAATTCCCCACTGCCACTAGCGCGGGGCAACGGACAGAACCGCGAGAGACGTGCTCTACTCCACAAAGAGCCTTCCTTTCCTATCTTCCACACTGCAAATCTCCACGATTGCATCTCCGCGCAGTCTTGTACCTGCGCTGCTAATCTGGCCCCCAGACTGCCTGGATATAGGTCGGACGATGACGCACCAAGCAGCAAGCCTAAATGGCTTGTTATCCACCGCCAAAAGCCTGACACTCCGGCCTACAATGTCCCGACGTCGCCCTAGCCGGACCAGAGATACTAGAAGCAAAGTCTTGCGCTCACTTGTTACTAAAGAAGGAAGACAAGGATAGATAGGTAGTAGGAGAACTATATATTGTAATGCTACGAAGAGATGGCTAGTTTCGGTTTTAACATGTCTTCCATGCCAAGGGTTCGGAACATTTCCGCCCGGACCCGATCCGCCACAGCACTCACGACCTCAGATCCGTCATTACTTGGATCGATATGAACCCTGTACGGCCTCGTTCCATGCGGCATCTCCACGATCCTAGCCATCAATCTGGACACCTCCCCAGCATCCACGTCTTGTGGCAACATCTTCGTCACAGCCTCCATAAATTGTTTGAAAAACCCTTTGTAAGGACCCTCCATGTATTCTGCCTCGCGTTTTGGATCGTCGGGTTTGCCTAGGGTCGCAAACATATTGGTGCCGCTTGGAGTTATCCCTGGTACGATGATGCTGGTCTCGATCCCCCAGCGCGAGAGCTCGCCAGCATAAGACACCGCTAATGAGTCCATGGCTGCTTTGGCCGCGAAGTACGGGCCAACGAAAGGTGACACGCCACCTTTTACGCTTGATGACGAGGTCCACATGACTAGGCCAGTTCTAGCCTTGCGCATATGCGGCAGCGCCGCACGATTGAGCCTCTGTGTGCCCAGGAAGTTGACGTCGAGGTACTTCATCATTTCTTCAGGCGTGAACGCTTCAGCTGGGCCTATCATAGAGCGTCCAGCATTATGATGGAGCACATCTATACGTCCTGACTCGCGGATGACAGCGTCGACTGCCGCATTGACAACGTCCGTGTCCGTGACGTCGAGAATGAGGGGACGGAGGTCAACATTGTGCTCTCTAGCGAACGACTCGATGCTCGTAATCTCTGCTTTCTCGTGTTCGCGCACACAAGCATAGACTGTGTTGCCATTTTGAGCTATGAGGCGTGCAGCAAGGGCACCGAAGCCTGTAGAGGCGCCGGAGATGAGAACGACTTTGTTGGACATAATGGGCCGATAATCTCTAAACGTTGTATGATCGATAATAATAATAAGATGATTTGTGCTTCTCAAGGATAGTGGATAGATCGTGATGACGGGAACCTGGAAGCCGCCTATTAATGTTCGATTGAGAGTTAGCATACGAAGAACGTCGGTGATATGGAACGTAAGAGTTCCGCGCTCGGCACGTTGTTGAAACGCGCGAGCCGAAGCTTTGCATAGTGACTAATGGCATAGAACTTGACAAAGTACGATGCATGATGCCCACGTCTTCCTGTTTTGCACAGCGATCTAGAAACGCCGATAACTCCGGAATCTCGTTACTTTTGAGCTACGCATCGCAACAGATAGATAGCGACACGCCGGTCATCGCAACACGATGCATGCCGTCTTGGAATGAATACACAATGTTCGTTCGTGGCACATCTATCACATTCGAGCATGTAATTCCAACATGATGCAGTGCAGAAGTGGCTTTGAGACAATACTCCTTTGCCTCACAAAACACGGCACAAGGGAAAAAGAGCAACATGATCGCCATAACGCAGCAAACCCTTCCTATACAAAGGTACCCGTTTTCATGGAGATACGTCTCTATCTCCGACCTTGGCACGCGCGGTCACTCGGCAGCCGCCAACGGATATCCGCCTCGATCGAAGATTAGCATCTACTTCTTCGCTTGTCTAAATTAACCCTTCATAGTCGCGGAGGAATTCCGTGATCTCTGTGAAGCAAGTTACGCCAAGAACCAATTCGTTCTTCTGATAGTCTGATGAATTTCGCTGTTGTGGCCAACAGCAGTTTCATTGGTGAATCTTAGCTCGAACAACCAAGGAAATAAGGCGAAAAACAGTGATTTAGTCGCCGACAATCGCTTGTTTAAGGAATGACTCGTAATAGCAACCTCGCATACTATGCTGAGAGACTTTTCCACACTGCTTTCTCGAACCTCAACCACCAACCCACCAAGGCAATATTTGGCAGCATGTGATTTTCGTGACCCAACAGCGTTGAATGTGGTCAAGGCAATAGTTTTGAGCGTCGCCAATCTGGCATAGGCAATCCATCATTGTCCACCCACATGAGATGCGCCGGCTCCGCCCTTCTTTACCAACTACACATTACTAGTCATCAACCGCACACGCCAGCTGGTACAGAGATATACGCAGACTAGCCTAGTCGTACGAAACTAAAGTAGATGTGGATGGCAACACTAAACTGCAATTTATGTACCATCATACTACTAAGTAGAGTGATTAACAAACCCGGCTATCCACTTATCCTAGCCACTCACGAGTAACCTACCTTGGGTGTACTAGACTCTTACTAAAGAGGAGGGATATAAATACAAAACAGTTTGATTTTACTGAAGTCCTATGCTAAAGGCTCCACGTCTAAGTTGTGTAGGAACTTGAAGATCCCGCGCTAGTACACTAGTATATGGATTCTCGTGTCATCAAAACTCCACGCTCTCCTGCCCTCCTCTATTCACTCCAGACTCACACAGTATAGCCAATCCGACCTAGTTCAGAATTCCTATTGCTTCGGGGTGAGCTTAACTACACATGCTTAATGAGGAACATGGTCGCATGGTATTCCGGAACAGTGAACGTCTGGTAGCGTGAGCTCTCCCAGTATTCATTACACGATGTAGAGTTTGTCACTACAGTGCTTACTGCTTAACACTTCAACAAGTCTTGATGATGACTTACTATCTTACGGCTGCGGATACTTCCGAACGAAGCTTTCACCCGTCACATGCTGAGACGGAAGCCGTATTTGATCGTTGATCGCTTTTTTATTCATGCTACTTATTTCGTTCAAGTACAAAAGTAAAAGTCAAGGAGTGAAGATACCGCTTTGTAAAGCAATCCCCCTAAATTGAATCATCATGATAAACCTAAGCGAACGTAGTAAAAGTCCAAAGCCGTACGTATATCAGATGTCGCAATTTCTGACCTGCCGCCATGTTTGTGCAGTTGCCGTTGCGTCTCTGAGGGTTCCACGCCATATATGGAGTCGGGACCGAGATTAGAGGCCACAGGTAAGGAGTTGGAGGTTGATCAGCGCGCCCTATAATCAGTCCAAATTAGCATTAGCTAGCAATAGCTTATTGAGCGGTGGGGCAGAAGAGTGTGATTTGGACTGAAAGGGATTGTAGTGTAGAGCTAAACGTGGAATGGATACTTACGCCTTCAGCGCTAGTAGAGCAGCAAGTGGTCGAGCCGTCGCAAGTGGTACCCAACACTTGAACCAAGCATTTGAGATCGAGCAGGCCAAGGAGGCCGCCGGTGCAGCACACCTGCTTGCCTTGTCCACCGCTGCAGCTGATACCATTGCCATTTCCACCTGCGGGTGCTGGCTCGTGCGCTGGCTTTGTGTCTGTAGGCATTGCCGAAACAGCGAGGGCCATAGCAAGGAAGGAAAAGATCATAGACTGCTTCATCTTTGAGTTGAGATGAAGAAGAGGATTGTAGTTATGAGGGATGATATGATGATGATAAGTAAGGTGCTTGATAATTGTAAGTGTTTGCGTTGTTCTGATGGCCATCTAGGAACGAACGGTCGTAGGTCTTATATAGAAGTTTCCAGCGTGTCGAAACAAAGTCGCCGCGGAGGTCGTGTTTCTTCTGAACCCAGCTCTTCCATCTCTGTTGCCTGCATCAGCTGCAAGAAGCGCGTACAGAAACGTCACACTGACGGCTGTTGGTCATGTTGAGTCTCAAGCGCACGCCTCCAAAGACGCCTCTTTATTCATTGCATAACGAAAAGATTGTTGGTGGTAAGAGAGCTACAACACACTGTAGCAATCAGTGGAGTGACAGTTTTGTACTTTTGGTACCTAAATCTCCTAAGAGCACACTATCTCCATTAGGCTTACTTGGAGAAAAGCACCAAGGCGGATATGTCAACGATCTGCGATAAGAGAGCGGGTCATCTGCTGTAACCAGAAGCGCCACTTCTGTCAGGCCGCTTCTGTAAACATCGCTCACGCCCCGGTGGCAATAATCGTCACAATCGGGTGCAGCCGCAGTTTCCGATTTCCGCACGCCGCTTGGCTTTAGTCCTACGCTCGTTTAGATCGCGCTTAGTGTAGGCTTTCTTACGAGTCAGCCTAGTTTTGGTAAGCACTTGTCACTTGACTGGCCCGGGGGTGTGTTGACAACTCGACTAGATTGCTAGCTGCGCAGAAAAAGCAAAAGGGTAGCTAGATAAAGCGTACGCTAGCTAGATATGAGAGGCGTAATTGAACCTTGCATAGCTCTAAGATTATCTGTTTTTGCACTTTGGACATTTATATTGAGCCACTGACGAAATTCGCTACCAGAAGTGTTCTCATCGGCATCATCAACCTGAGGCCCAGGAGGTGGAACATGCCCCTCTAGAGCAGCCTATGTCCCTCTACGAGTACAAAAACTGGTTTTTCGACACTCGGCTATCCCCGAGTGTCGATCGACCAGTTCTCCGGCCCTACGTTCTGTTTATTTGTGGCAAAATGCTAGACATAAGTGGAGTAAGGGTACTCCACGGAGGTGAGCACAGACGAAACCTCGAGGTCTTGGCAACAACTGCAGGTCACAGCTCTTGCAACAGAGTTCAAAGTATTTCAAATCTAGCTCGTTCGCCATAGTTTGAGACAAGCGTACGTACAAGAAAAGCATTTATGGGGCTTGTAAACAATAGTGCACGGCTCTTTTTGGCAAATGTAAGGCTATCGCAGTGAGGAAATGACACGAAAATGGCAGCTTCGCGGTCCCCACAAAGCTCCAACTCTGTACTCGCAAGCAATTACAGCACGTAAACATGGAGAACGGGCTTGTATCCAACGCCCATGCGCCTGCTTCAGACGTCTCGTACCCCTCCGAGACACATAACCACCAGCTCCGAGGTTCGCCCGGAGATGTGTCCGCGATTAATGCGATTCGCAACACTCCCATCCTTCCCCGTACCACGGTTGTTGCTGTAGTAGCAAACGAGCTAAGTATGTGGTTGTATGTGTGCAGCGGCTGACGATACTCTAACGGGATCGAAAGGATGTGTAATTGTCACTGTTTAGCGGCAGTGGAATGCAGGGCTTGCGTAACCTTGCACGTTGCCATTCTTACCACCAAGTCAGTGGTGGCAAGCGTGGCAGGTGATTCCGAGGAAAGCGCAGGCCGATAGCACACCAGCTCTTATCATGTTCATACCTTGGCTGTCTACCTCAAGTAGCGAGATGTCCACCATCCCGGCTTTCCCCTCTCCATGTCCACGCTGCACGCCTCCCTAATAGCTTCCCCACACACGTTTTGTACATGCGCTGCCAGTTTTGCCACTGAAATATGGGTTAGACGGTGTAGCGTACGAAGAAGCAAGCCTAGACGGACCTGGTTCTTCACCACCAAAAAAAAAAGCCTGTTACTGTAGATGACTCTCGAGAATATGCTAGGGAATACAGTATCCCGGCGTCGCTCTCGCCGGACTCGGGAGAATGAAAGCATAGTCTTGTACTCGCTCACTTGTTGCTAAAGAAGGATGTTATCTTCCGCGAACCATCAGCCTTGGATGTCTTTGCTGCACTGCCATTGCTCGTAGCGCTTCTGGTGCCCTGCTTCTTTGCAGGCGTTGACGTCTTCTTGACCGAACTTTTGGTTACTGGAGATGCAGATGCGGTGGGCTTATTGCGTTTATTCTGTGGCTCGCTCTCTGTGCCGTTGTCAGTTGCATCCTCGTCGTCGTGCTCTCGCTTGATGCCTTTTGACTCCAACTTCGCTTGTCCAGGCGTCGCTGGTATAGGCAGTGGCGCGTTATCCTCGGTACTTTCCACGCGGTCAGTCGTAGCACGCGTCTCATCGTCATCATGCTCGACTTTGGTACTGCTCTTTTCGTCAGCCTTGGGTTTGGCGGCTTTCTGTTGGCTGCCGAAGAAGTTTGCGATGTTGTTCTTGTTGGCTGCACTGTTTATTGGGACGAGGAAGGATGGCGAGTTATTGCCGACCTTACCAACGTCTTTGCTGACTGGATAGCACTCCAGCTCGCCCTCGTATGGTTTCAGGAGTGACTGCAGCTCAGAGTTCCACTCTGTGCGAGCCGGATCCAGCCAGGTTCGGACGGCATCTGAGCCATTATCGAAGATGACGGGCATGCGGTCGTGCAGAAAGCTGAGTTGCTTGTTTGAATCGGTCGTGATGATGGTGTAGGTGAAGAGTTTCTCACTAGAGTCTTCAAACTGCACACAGTCCCATAGCCCAGCAAAGCACATGAGCTGGCCGTCCTTGCGCTTGGTAAAGTGTGGCAGCTTCTCCTTGCCGCCGTTCTTCTTCAGCCACTCGTAGAAGCCCTGTGCGACGATGATGCAGCGCTTCTTCTTCTTCATGGTTGTCCACATGCCGCGGTCTTCGACGAGAGAGTCGTCTCGGCAGTTGATTGTCTTCATCTTGGATCCGTAGTCAGGGTTGCGCTTTGTCCAGAATGGCACGAGACCTGGTGCATAGTATCAGTGAGGGTCACGTGGCCAGGTACTTGGGAGAGCCTACCCCATTGCATAGACTGTAGCTTGTACTTTGTGTCTTCCGTCGCACCTTCGTGCTGGCCGCCTGTTTCGGGACCTTCTGCGCGGTATACGAGGCCATGATAGCCGGGGGCAAAGTTGTAACTTTGGCGCACGTTACTGTCGTCGTCATCGGGTGCCTCTTCTACTGGCATCTGCGACTGCTCGAGCTGCTGGCGGACCTCGGAAGGCCGCTGCTGTCTTGTCAGCTATCTATGGGAATCTACATCAGAGTATACTCACCAGTGCCAGCGCGTATCGGCCACACATGATGAAGTAGTTCAGTGCATTGTTTACATGACGAAGTGTTCAGCGCATTGTTTGTGAGACCGAAGACGCGATGATTGCCTACGTCATGCGGCTCGCCCTCAGCCCTACGCGGAAATAGACGCGACGGGCACTAAAACTTCGTTCCGTCATGCACTCGCTCCACCGCGCGCGACATGCCACCTCGCACATCTTTTTGCCCTCGCCCGGCGCACAATGTTCAGCAGCACTATACCTCGAGCCGTGCCCCGAGCAAGCGCATTCGCATTCGCTCGCTGCGAAGCGCGGGCCCCACTTACAACAAGATGCACACGGCTACCCGCTAAGCCATGGCCGCGGCGGCCAGTACAGCAGCAATTGAGTCGGCGCTATCAGTCCACGATGCGAGAGCAGTTCCGGGAGCAATACCACAAAAGCCCCGTCTTGTTCCCCTTTGCGATTGCGACCATCGCCCTCGTGGCCGGCATCTGTGTCTTCTATATACCGTGGTACTACAAAAATGTCATTATAAAACCGTACCACAACTTCCCCGAGCCCGTCGCAAAGAAGCTGCGCAAAGCTCTCTTCTACAGCCGCGGCAAATGGCTCGACATCCGCGAAGCGAACAAACATTTTCGCCAGGCCCTCGCCCTCGCCGACGAGATGGGCATGGATCCCTTTAGCGATGAGATCATGGGCGTCAAATACACCATTGCTGCGCTATTTGAAGACGCGGGGTATTACAGTCTGGCCATTGACGTGCTGGAGATTATGCGCAACGACTGCCAGAAGTGGGTGGATGAATTCTCGGATAAGCATTGGACGACGGGGAATAGAAGCAGGGTGAAGAAGAACATGGTGCAGATTAACCTCAAGCTGGGCCAGCTCTACGACGTGAGATATGTCAACGAGCCTGAGAATGGTGAGAAGAGATTGGTCGAGGCTGTTGAGAGCGCGCTCAAGGAGCAACAAAGACGGGAGCGGGATGGTGTTAAGAATGGCGAGGGGCCATGGTTGACCAACGACGAGATGGGTGGTGTACTGGAAGGTATGCGCAAATGGTGGTCGGGTCTCACGTACGCATGCTAACATAATGCAGCTCTCGGAACACACTACGAGCAATTCGACTCGCATTACCTTGCAGCACCACTGTTCGTCAAGGCGCTTCAGCTGTGTCCACCCACTTCGTGCCACAGCGTTGTCCTCAGTACTTACTCCCCACCCTCCTATATACCCACATGCTAACACAACACGCTCCAGTGAACAACATCTCAACCTGCCTCGTCCAACAAACCCCGCCCTCCACCACCGACGCCATCACCATGGCCCCCGAACCCACCGACTTTCCCGTCTCAAACTCCGCTCCCCGTACCCTTCTTATAGATCAAGCGCGGCAATGGGCGGAACGGGCATTGGCCCAGGCAGCACAGATCAAGGCGCCTGAGCGGAACCAAGAGTGTGACATGGGCTGCGCCGTTGCAACACATAACCTTGGAGAGTTCTTTGAGATGGAAGGTAAGGTTGGTGAGGCAAGGCAGAGGTATGAAGAAGCGGCTGCTTTGGCGAAGAAGATGGGATTTGCGGAGGGGTTGACAAATGCGAGAGCCGGGTTGAAGAGGGTGAAAGATATGGAGAACAAGGCGTGATCGGTGAGAGTCGGATGACGTGTTGTTGTTTTGTGGCATACTTATTGGAAAGGCCTGTGGTGTAGTTCACACAATACGGCATACCTTGAGGATGAGGATCGAATAATAAGCACATCTATAGATCTGATATGAAGAGCTATAAGCTAATGCTAACGTTTATCAAACTCCTAGCATTCTAGAATCGCAATATCAATTTACAATATTAGAAGTCTCTACTCTAAACAACTAGGAGAATTCACTACATCTATTGCCTTGATACTCCTACCTCCTTACCTGATACCTCTAACTTCTAGCACTTCTTTTCTTCTACTGTGTAACACCTAAAGTCTAACATAAGAGCCCTTCTCTCAAGACTCTTTGCATTCCCTTCTACCCTCTAAGTTTTATATTATCTACTCATTAACCTCATGTACGTTATTTATCTCTTTAGAAGAGATTCCAAGAACCTACGCTCTACCGTATGATAGTGAAAGCTGAAAGGTTATGAAGACGAAGGTAGTTAGCTTCCAATCAGAGTCGTTTCCACTGACTACCAAGAACAGGGCGCGAGAGATGATTGTGGCCAATGGCTAGTTCGAGTCACGGTTGAGCTTAGTGTTGAACGATCATGATCAGCAATCTCGAATTACTACACCGGAACGTTCATACCCGTTAAACCCGTACCTTTGCAGCTGGATCACCACCTGAGCACCGTCGGAGTTAACAGCACAGCGGCCGAGATGTCGGCATTTCTTCGCTCGCCCAGCCACACACGAGCAAGGGTCAGCAAATATAGCATACTATGACTTCCAATCTCAAGAGCGAGGGGAATGCCACTAGCCATTAAAGGAGCTTGACATGTTACGTAAATTCCATTGTAATTCAACTACGACCACCTCGATGCGGGGGCAGTAAGGATGTCTACTAGGAATGCTTCATCCTTGTGCCAGCTGTGTTATGTCTCAAGACATGAATAACGTATTCTTCTCGGTGATGCCAGAGGGGCACTTGCACTGGTTCGGTTACTGTTGACCTACTCTCGGTTCTGCACTTTTCGCCGTGGCGTACCTTGGTAAATCAGCCATGTCAGGGGAGAACACATAGACCTCAATCGGGCCATTCTAAGCAACGTTTGAATGCCCCGGACTCCATAGCTAAGCGTCATAGTTTGACACCTCTGAATTCATTTCACGGTGTTTCGAAGGGTACCAAAGCGCGCCGAAGTAGGTTGTGATCGTTCAGATACCGCTTAATCAATATCACACCGCGCCTTAACACCACTTGAGGCCTACAACAGCACGCGAGCATCACCTTGACACTATTTAGATACCTTGTCGGCTCCAATAACACGACTTCTTTGTGACTAGAGGTTCCCCATCCGCTATACGGTATTCATAATTGTTAGGCCACATGGGCTTCTTTCCCGTTAGCTCGTTGCGATTCCACATGACACGTCAACATGTTACCGAAAAAGAGGTTTCTCGGCCGGTGGTATGCTAAGTCATCGGATTCCATGCCAATTATCTCCGTCAAGTCATTGAGCCAAGCCGGCGTATAACGAATATTGAAACTCCGCACACTGAGGTTCCGCACGGCGATGGGACAACAGGGTTGGTAATCACTTTCCTTCACACGGCCGCATGAGCATTCAGACGAGTAAAGCGAGATATGATTGTACTATAAGAAGTGTTGCCGACTTTATACAATATGTTTCCGTTCTTGCATCTATTCCAGACAACATCCCATCCCTAAACAAGATGAGGTTTTTACTTTCACTTCTCGCGTCTTCTTCTGTGGTACATGCACTGGGGTCCCAAAACGACAAGAATAGCGAGAAGAACGCAGACCAAACCTACGATTATATCGTGGTCGGTTCTGGACCTGGAGGCGGACCACTCGCAGCAAACCTAGCTCGCAATGGATACACGGTTCTACTCCTCGATGCAGGCGACATGCAGCCAAACAATTCCAACTCAAGGATGATCGCCGATGCGACACTTGCCATCAACGATCCATTAACGCGTTGGGACTTCTTTGTGAGCCGCGACACGGAAGAAATTGACGCTCAATACGAGCTCACTACATGGCGCCAAAAAAATGGATCATTTTATGTCGGCCTCGACCCACCTGAGGGCTCTGAGCGCTTGGGTGTGTACTATCCACGTGCTGGTACAGTTGGTGGCTGTGCTATGCACAACTCTGCCACAATCTCTCTTCCTGCGTCAGTAGACTGGAACGATATTGCAGCCATCACTGGCGACGATTCTTGGCAAAACGAAAATATGCGCCAATACCTTGTGCGTCTTGAGCGATGCAACTACTTGCCCAATGGAAGTACACCAGCCCATGGTTTCAATGGCTATATCGACACGTCAGCTCTCAGCAACACTTGGGCGCAGAATACATCGGATGACGCCACGGTGCTCGCGGGGCTCTTGTCTGCAGGTTATCCGGAACTGGAGGGCATGCCCCTGCTCGACCAGCTAGGCCGCGATGCGAATAGCGATGATCCGAATCGAGACAACCAAACTGGTGTCTTTAGAAGTTTCTCTCACTCTATGAATGGAACACGATCGAGTCCACTCCAATATATCATGGCCACACTGGACGACCCACGAGACTTCCCTTTGACCTTGCAAGAACACTCTTTTGTAACCAAAGTACTGTTCTCAAACTCTACGGATTCTGCCCCACGGGCAATTGGGGTCGAGTACCTCCGCGGTGAAAGCATGTATTCAGCCGATCCTAGATACAACGCAAGTTCTACAGGTGAATGGGGTCGCGCATATGCTTCTAAAGAAGTCATTCTTGCTGCTGGAGTATTCGTGACGCCGCAAATCCTTAAACTTAGTGGTATTGGTCCTGCTGCTGAGCTGGCTACACACGACATTCTATTAGTCAAGGACTTGCCAGGCGTAGGAACCAACATGAAAGACAACTACGAGGCTGTCCTCTACGGAACCTTTGAGAAGCCCGTGCTTGGATACTGGGAAATGTACTACAAAACTTCAGTCGCACTTCGGTCAACTGATATCCATTTCTACTGCTTCAGCGCCGAGGTAAGTTGTGACTGTATGAAATGTATCTGAAGCATACACTGACTCTACAGTTCATCGGCTTCTACCCAGGGATGTCACGTCGCCTCCCCAACGAGTTTGAATGCGGTTTTATGCAGCTCCACCCTCGCAATATCAATGGGAGCGTTACACTCCGATCCAAGAATCCCCGCGACATGCCAATCATCCACCTCGGTTTCTTTCCTCAAGGCGACGACGACGACCTCAACTCGATGGTCGAAGCCATCAATTTCGTCCGACCAATTTTCAATTCTGTGTCAAACAACCCATACACAGAGCTCCGACCGTGTGCGGATGGCGTTGACTGTACTGACGCCTGGCAACGCGACTATCTCAGGAAGCAGACGTACAGCCACCATGTCTCCGGTTCGTGTGCTATTGGGTCCGACACGGATCCTATGGCAGTTTTGGATTCCAAGTTTAGGGTTCGAGGCGTGAGTGGCTTGAGGGTTGTGGATGGCAGCGCTTTTTCCGTGCAACCTGGTTCGGTCCCTGCGCTGCCAACGCTTATGCTAAGCGAGAAGGCCCTGGACTCTATTTTGGAGGATGCGTAGATACTTTGTATACCTTCGCTAGCTACCTTTGTAGCTAAGTGAAAAGTCAAGATAGAGGTAGAGTGAAGAAGAAATATGTCTTGATAATGCTTGTACAAAATATCAAGCCTACCTTACTTTCTTAATTTTCTCTCATCATAAGTAGAATTATCGCATCGTTCGTGTCGTCAATGCTACGGTAGTTGCTATGCACATGAAATTACCTTTCTAGCGACAGCTGCCAAGCCACTAATCTAGGCGTTAACTTTGCAACTTACGCCGTCGTCCTACCTTCATCCTTTTTTCATCTCAAAACTTCAAAATCTCGCGAATGCGACACCACAAGGCCGGCAGTAAGGCTCGCAGCGAGGGTCTTCTTACTGTGGCTTTGGGGCGTGCTCTCAAGCGATGGATAAAGCACCTGCATCCCCATGGGCCTATCGATCAATGTTATTACCGGTCATGTACATGTTCATTGGGGAGGTTTTAGGTCTGCCTCAGTGCGCCTGCAGTAAGGCGAGGTCGTTACCCCGCCTACCCTGCATGTAACTGATCAAGATGGTGACTGTCAATAGCCGCTGGTTGGTAGAGGCGTGCAGTCTCAATAAAGCCAACAGTTCACCGGTCAATATGCAAATGCGATATGATTCTGCTACGTTCTTTGTGTTTCTGCACCGCCACATCGTTTTCCATATATCTACAATCTCTCGGCCTCTTGTACTATTACAAACATACTTACAAAATCTACAAAATAATAACTATACGTTTGCGACATGGAACCTATCAGTCTTGCCCTCGGAATAATTGGACTGCCAGCAGCTTTTTCTGTGATCGTCAAAGAGCTTCGGAAAACCGTCAAATCTATCAGGTACGCAAAACGCGAACTTCAGGCTCTTGATGAGGAGATAGACCTTTTTGCCGGAAGTTACGACGATTTTCTCGATACGTGTGACGAAGCATCGTTGAGCACCAAAGGCACCCAGGATATCAAGCGGCACTTGATATCCTGGACTGGGAAGGTCATGGAAGGGTTTGATGATCTACTCAGCAAGGTGCAAGCATTAGCCAGGGATCCTGACTACGACCATTCCGCTATTGAGGTGTTCACTGCCCATTACAGATGGATCATGAGCAAGAGTACCCTAAAGTACCTACGTGCTTCTCTCAACGTGGCAAGACAGAGCATGATCGCTTTCACAAACATCCGCGTTCTTGGAAAGTTGAACGAGGAATTGGCCTATCTCAGATCTGCCTTGTCCTCAGCTGAGAGACAACAGATTGAGCTTCGGCATGGAATGACAATGGAGGAGCGCATTGAAATCGTACAAAAGAAAACGTGGGTCGCGCGATAACATCAACCAAGACTCGACTGACTTACTCAAGTTGCAACCGCCGCACGCAACGACACAAGATTGACACTCGCTTGAAAGAAGTAGTCAAAGAAATCAAAGTCTATAAAGCGAAAGATATAGACCAAAATCTCGTCCCGCAAAGAGAACCACTGTTACAATTCCAGAGATCAGTAGATCGATACGTCGACCACATCGTTTTCCAAGACAGATCCGACCGAAGAGCTCGCCGAGTGCACGGCAATAGCTCAGTGGTTACATCTCGATCCATCACTACCACTCGAACAGAATCTACTCAACCGTCGGCTATTCCATCGTTAGCACCGGAGTCGCCTCCGACCTCTCCTGAACCTTCAATAGCAGACCCTGATATCGAAATACAGCCCGACAAAGAGGAGGCAATCAGCATACTCAATTCCTGTCAAAGATGTTCCGGCACCTGTACAAAAACTGAAGACCACAACACTTCCATCCGGCAGCCTCCTCCAGATCCAAGGTCTCATACAATGGGGTACATTCCCAGTACCACACCCGGACCATTCTCCATGCAGGCAAACGAAATAACAGGATCAAGTGCCTCATCCCGTCCATGGATGTCACGAGTGTACCAAACACTGCCGAGCAGCTCTGAAGAAATACCTGCATCGGACTCAGATCCCAACACACATCAACTTCACCCACCGCAACCGGGTGTCGAGCCCGCAGATGAAGCCAGGGAAATCCCCCATATTGATCTCGCCACCCCAGAGGGAGATGAGGACGACTTCCAAGACGGAGCACCTGAAGAAAGCACTTCAACAGAAGAGGAAGCTAGGGGTTCGAGAACAAATATATGGAAAGCTACTGGGGGATTTGAGGGAGATATGCCGAAGGGTTTGCGCATACGGCGGCAGAGGAGTCGTTCACCCCAGGACTTTTGGTAGGGTGGAGAAGATTTGGTCGTATTGCAAGCACCGAGACTGATGGGTACGTGGCATGTTCTAGCCTTGTTGTTTTGTGTGTTCTGTTTTGTCTTATCTTATGCACTTAAGCTTATCGGATCACTTGCGCGACAGCATGATTCAGCCTAGCATGGTACAGTTGCGCTGTGGTTAGCTGAGTCTCACATGAAGTTTCGAGGCCACGACTTGCGCAAATAGCACTGACTCTACCTCTCGAAACGACCCTTGTATCGAGTAACGGGCCAAGAAGGACTCTAATCATTCTGAAGTCTGCTTAAGGAGTGGTTTTAGATGAGTTCTATTGTCTATAGCTGCCGATGGAACGTAAGCCAGACCCTAGCATTTGCGATTGATCATGCTAAAGCGGATTGGTTTGACATCGGGCTAGCAGAATCGGGTTAGGCGTTTCCACGTGCGCCGGAGCGGTCCGTGTTACGCCAGCAAACTCGAATGCAAGTGCGTGGTGAACTAGAACGTGTTCTCTTCGCTACACATCACCTGCAACTGTGTTTTGGCACGTCGGATTGCCCCACTGTCGAGCGCCAACTCAATTTAAACTGAAAATTACGAGTCAAAGTCCGCATCAACATCGGGCAGCCCGGCGTGCTTATGCACTGTAGAAGTTTTGCATATCTCTAGCCCGTTCCTTGTTTGGCTGTCACAGCTGTCCATCATTGGCGGTAGACTACAGAGAGAAATTGTCCACGCGTTCGGCCTCAGCTATAGTGTAGTTACCCGTTCTCCAGCCAGCCACAAACTAAGGGGAACTGCTGCCAGATCCACATTTTTTATGCTTGTTTCTGTTTAGCAGGAGCATTACCGCCAGCCACAGCCCGATTTGGAAACGATGTAGCTTCCGGCCATACGCAAGAATAGATATAGAATGACCAAGCCCAGGTGTAAGAAGTGTCCAAATCGCTCTGCATCCCCATTTTCCTCGATATCCTTCCTCACTCGTCTCGCCCTGCGCAAAATGCCACCTAAATCTTCAAAGTTGTCGAAACTTGCTGAGAGACTGCAACCTCAGGATGGGTTTAGTCAAGCCGGGTTCATTGAGGTACCTGATGCTGAGGCTGAGGAAGAAAGAACAACCGACATACGGAAACGCCTGATCATTTGCTGTGATGGAACTTGGTTTGCTTCGGATAAAGGTGCTAAGAACCTGCCGTCGAATGTCGCAAGAATCGGGCGCTTGATTGCAAATGAAGGCGAAGCTATCGTTATTGAAAATGACAAGACGGTGCTCAAAAAGGTTCCCCAGATTGTTTACTACCAGAGTGGAGTTGGCACAGGCAACCTGACTTTTGTAGACAAGCGGGTCCAAGGTAAGGTTAATCGCCTCGTTTTAGAAATCGTGAATCGTTAATGGAGATCGGTTCAGGGGCCCTCGGACAAGGGCTGGACGAGAATGTCTGCACGGCATACAATTTCCTCTGCAACAATTACGCGAATGGAGACGAGATCTTCCTCTTTGGCTTTTCGAGAGGCGCTTACACGGCTCGCGCGTTATCTGGCCTAATCGTTTCCGCTGGCATCCTTCCCCCAGGCTCCATGTCGAAATTCTACAGTATGTACGAGGCATACAAGGGGAAAACGAAGGGTCAAGCTTTCCAAGAGTCTGATTGGTGGAAGAAGAATGCGGGAGAACTGCGCATCACTCACAAACATGTCAGCATCCAGTTTGTTGGTGTATGGGACACGGTTGGTGCTTTGGGCCTCCCGGACAACTTAATTTCCAAGGTCTACGATTTCAACAAGAATCTAAAGTTTCATGACACGGAGTTGAGTGATAGTGAGTTATACACCAAAAATGTGTCTAATAGGGACTGATTGAGACATCCAGAAATACGCAAAGCCGCTCATGCGTTAGCGCTGGACGAATATCGCGGTACTTTTGGTCCAACCATGTGGTACGACAGAAAGCCACCCACTGGCAACCGTCGTACAAATCTGATCCAATGCTGGTTTCCAGGGTACCATGCACACATTGGCGGTGGAACAACGGACAGTTTGGACGATGAGTCATCGATTGATGACCTTACCCTGGCGTGGATGATTGACCAAATTGGAGACAGTCTGACGTTCAGTCAAGAGGAAATGGACGTATTTGTCGCACAACAAACCCATCCCGACAATCACCGGTGGGGAGAAGGCACTCTGACTGATAGTGCATCTTATGCTTACCTGGCGCCGGGTGCAGGCGGGTGGGCTACGAGGACTCCGGGCGAGTACAAGCTGGAAATCCCAGAGTCTGAACGAGGTGATTACTACTTGCCAACAAAGCACTATGAGACAAACGAGTTTATCCATCCATCTGTGCGCTACAGGATGGGCAAAATGAAGGTTCAACCACAAAGCCTAGGCAACACCAAAGGATGGCTGGGTGGTAAGAATCCAATCACAAAGTATAGCCCAGCAGCTCTAGAAGGATTCAATGTCGTCAAATCCGAGGACGGGTCTTGGCCTACGCGCTGGATCAAGGCGTCACGCAACAAGGGCGATCCGGATATCGAAATTCCCGAATATCAACTCCCATCTAAGTGGGAGAAAACCTCCGAAGGGTTGGAACGCCGACTCTTGCCCCCGGAAGTGATGGACGAACTCGATGAAGAGAACAGTCGGCAGCCTGTCCGGGAAAATACTGGCTTCAACCCAGAGTATGGGCATAGCATGCGTTGAGTTGAATGATACGAGTGGATGGACGCTAGTATTTTGGCCAGCAGGGAAGGGCCACGAGGCGTTAGTCAAGTTGCTGCGATCATACAGTGATATTTCTCAGTAGCTTACGTTTTCACCCATATCTCGGCTCTCTTCGCGAATATCCCTTGTAGTAGCATTGCATGAATATTCAATGTAGTAGAGGCACTCTACTTTTCCTGACACTCTATAATTGTACCACGGCTGTTTACCATGTTGTTAAAGAAATCTGGCTTGCCCTATCAAAATATCTTAGATGGAAAAGAAGACATAAATCCCAATAATTAATATGACATATCCCGGAGGAAGATAAAGACTACTTGTAAGACGGAGTCTGTGAAGAAGAGATTTCACCAGATGATGAAGCTAGAGAATAAAGACAAAGTATATTGCGAGCCACTACATTCGAGGGACGCATGCCAAGGGGTTGGCGTGAACGGCCGTTGCGGCGGAGTCGGTCACCTCAAGGCTATTGGTAGCGAAATCTAGAATGTCATATGCTTGTTTGCTCATTCAAGAAGTTTACCACCTCGAGGTTATCATTTGCTTCCGCTAACAGTATTACTGTGACCTCTACTGCAGTATGCCTCCAGCCTCGGCCAAACATGCGCTTACACTTCTGCAACTAGTTAACCCCGTCCGTACCGTCCATCCCTCTTCCCACCTTCCACACCCACTCTCACTCACTCAAGGTACTGAGGCGCATGTTCCCTTAAGAAGTCGTCCTAACTCTCCTTTTCATTCCTCACAACCTCCTGTCTCAACCACTCTCCCCACACGCCCAAATCATCAGCAACATCCAACACCTTAGCCAGCCTCTTTACTTTGTGTGACTGCTCCGAACTCTGCTCCACATCAGAGACGTCTTTGACAACGTTCTGTTCGGTAACGACTAATTCGCCATTGGGATGGATATCGATTGCCACTGCAAGGGGCGCGTGATATATTTCCTTATCGCCGAGGTTAGCCAGTAGCTCATCGACAGCGTCTGCGCCATCCCCAGCAGAAGGATGAGGAATATGCAGCGTGAAGCGAGGAGCAGGCGGCGTGTAACTTAGATTAACGTCGAGTTGAATAGGTGGCAGGTCACCACCCTGCGCCACTACTTCCACCTCCTTCTTCAATGGTGTTCGTGGCGGCGTAATCTGCTGGCCTAGCCTGTGTGTTGGAATACTCTTCTCCGGTTCCTTGTAGAAACAATCTCTGAGCAGACTTGTAGCATGAGCATACTGTCTCAGCACCGGCAGGATTTCGACAAGCTGTTTCGGGTGGCTAAACGGCAAGCTCTCCAACATACGACTATACTCCAGTTTCGGAATATACAAACTCATATCATGTTGTCTGTCCTGCTCCTTGCCCTCTCCGTCTATTACCAAAACCGTCCTCGAGCTGCGTATCTCGTGTGTGCGATCGCCCGTGGTGCCAGACATACCCGGGTCAAGCTCGCCAGGCCTCAGCGCCAGCCCAGCGAACGTCGTAGGACGGAAATCGTCGGTGCGCGGCTCGATACCAACGAGCTGGTAGAGTTGCATGTGTACGGCGAAGGGCACGACGAGTGGGGGGTTGAACTTTGCGACGAATCGGACGTTGGGGAGGCGGCCAGCTGCGGAGTCGAGGTTCATTGCGTCGTCGGCGGTCTGCTCGGGAGGTTCGAGGTAGGTTGGTTTCGGGTCGAGCCAGTCTATCGACGACGACGTGTTCATGAGCATGTTGTCGAGAGAGATGTTGGCGTCATTGGCCGTGTCAGCAGACTTGTCGATGCGGTCGCTGATCCAGTCGTCGGATATGCGGATGGGCGTGTAGAGGGTCGAGGGTGAGGATTCGCACTCGATGGTTAGGGAATACATCTTATTTCGGCTCTTGTCGGCGTCTTCTGGGTATGAGGCAGACTCTACGGGCGGGTCTATTTGCGCTCGCCCATCCATCCAGTATTCGAGGCTCAAACCCAGACACGATCCGCCGTTAAGCCTGGGCCGTCCACTCTTCTTGCAGAGAACCTCGCGCTCAGCCTTGTGTGTCCTGAATCGTTCATCCGGCGTTCTGTTCGCGAGCTCCGTCTTCTTTTCATGTTCAAAGAGCTTCTGGAGGCTTGTATAGACACCCGCAATGGCATTGTAACAGCTAACTCCTCCGTTCTGCGGCGAGCCCAGCTTATCGAGGGTAAGCAGTTTCTCCAAGCTCTCTGAGAAACGTTCGAGCGTGACGTTCAGTTTACTCTGACCTGGCAGGGGTTTCAAGCTACGCACAAGGATCGCAGAACCCGCCGCGCCAAAGTTGAGGTCGGGTCTTGATTCGTCCAGACCAGTCTGGAGATTGACGCTCGCGATCTCGTCATTCTTGAAGGTCACGTCGCATAGTGCTTCGTCGCCGATCAAGAGACTCCAGGTGCCTGCCTCATCCATGTGCTTCTCGCACGGTATGCCCATCCGCTTGCATAGCGCCAGCAGACCCTCTTCGCTGACGCGCCCGGGCTTCTTGCCGATCAAGTCTATGATTGCGCGTAGTCGGCGACTTCTCTCTGCCTCATCGGCGCGTCCCATGGCGCTTGCGCTCATGCCTAAGCTGGACATGCCTAGCCCGCTCATGGTGATGCCCATGCCTACTCCTCCCATGCCCGAGCTGGCCACGTCGTTGAGCATATTAAGCACCGCGGGCGAATCGTACGACATCATGTTGACATTTCCGGAGGGAGGGACGCTGCGCGGGGCGGGGGAGGAGAAGGCATGGAGGTTTTTCGAGGGCGTTTCTTTGTCTTTGGGCGTTGGGGTAGCCATGGTGGGTATCGCAGCTGGTCGGTGAATGCGTTGCAATATTGTGTGGAATACTATTTATACACTAAGGAGCCATACAGGCTCGGGTTAGTCGTGGATGTTGAGCTACCATGTTCGCGTATGTGGAGCTAGAAGGGTGGAGCAAGGGTTCATTTGGTAGAGGTAAAGCGCGATGGTTGGCCTTGGCGTCGCAAGCAAGTTGGGACGTCAGCACGCATCTTTGGAAATCCATGATATCGAATAACTGGGTTTGTCTATGTTGATGAAGCGCGCATGTCTTCACAGGGGGTATCATATCGCCATTGCACCAGTTGAACCAAAACGCCCAAATCCAAATCCATCTCTCCTCACATAACCTCCATCAATCCAACTCAACGACCCCATCCTCACCCCCAATCTCGATAATCCTGCCCTTCGCCCTCGCCCTAGTAGCAGCCACAGCAGGCCTGCCCCCAGTTGTTGTCTTCTTCCTCGTCGTTGGCACACCATCGTCATGGTTATACTCAATAGCGCGTACACGTTTCTTGGGCCGCTGTTGCTGTGCTTCCTCTTCTTCCCTTTTTCGCTCCGCCGCTTCAATCTCCCAGCGCTTCCTTATCTCATCTTCGGTCTTGTTTTCCATCGTGTGGAAGGACGCGTGGTGGCCGCAGCCGTCGCATTCATAACTCGACGATGACTGTAAACATGACCATTAGCCTTGCATGTACTACACAGCCCTGGTATCTTCCGCGCTCGAGCCTGGTGAATATTAGGCGTTGAAACCTTGGGTTGTATATTGGACTGTAGGAATTTGCTGACGGTGGTTTGCCATGCTGTTCGTCTGAAGTGCTTGGCTCCATGCTCGACCACAGTATTGTACTACACCCGTAAGGGTATGAGATAGGAAAAGACTCACCTTGAGCGGATGTAGCATGAACCTCAAACATGGGCATTTCGCCGCGAGGAGAGAAGGCTTGTGATTACATTGTCCACGGGGAGGGATATAGTTCATTTGTGTCCAGACATTCGGTGCGTTGGCCATGTTGTTCGCCATCATCGTATTATCCTTGGTTGAGATGCGGCGTCAGGAGCGATGCGTCGCGCGACAACGTGTTAGGCGTAGAAACAGATAGCAAGCGAAGCTTTGGTCACCAGCGACCAGTGTTGATCAAAACGCAAGACTCGACTCCATCACATAGTGTTTCTGGCATGGATGAGTTGTCGAGGTGCGCGCGCGCAAACGCCAAAATGTCTCGAATCCACGTGCTGCGTTGTACGGTAACCGGATTTGGAAAACCCCGCTCCGCAAACCTCTGTCGACACCCCTGCGGTACACGTCATGGTCGCTCAGCTTGCGCCACATAAAAGATTTGTACATATTTCAAGTCGTATCATTAACATCAATCGTGCAGATTTGAAAGCCTGAAATGTGGTTGTACAATACAAACACGAAATAGGGATTCCATGGTTTAGGCACACTGTCTGCATCTCAATCGGTCCGACAGCGTATGCTTGATTTGGAATTGCCCCCTCCACTTCCAAGTAAAGTGTCAAAAGCCGACCCAAAACTGCCAAATCACCAGATGAAACCTGCGTAAGCGGAAAGCTTCCCTCTATCCGTCATGCGTCGGTGGGATGCCGTCGGTGTGGAGAAGGGAGTTGGGCCACGGCGCTAGGCTAGTAGGAACCTTGTCCAGTAGGATACCGTAGGGCGCTTCGTGTACAAGTAGGCGATCGCATACAGCGGGGTAGAGACTTCGAGTATAAAGCCCGAGGCATACAACATTCCAACACGACACTTGCATCTTGTAACCCTCACAACCCAAACAAGTCCAGTAACTACTCTTTCAACCCCAAGCCAATACGTCGAAATGCCTTCCGGAGGATGCTTTTGCGGTAACGTGCGATACGAGGTGCAGGGCGAGAGTGGAGGCAACGTGCGTTCGTAATACCTGTCCTACCGTGCCATTGCTGACACAGATGTAGATTCTCTGCCATTGTCTTGACTGTCGCAAAATCACCGGCTCTGCTTACTCGACCAACGCCGTCTACTCGGAAGATGGCTTCAAGGTCACCAAGGGAACGCCAAAGCAACACACGGTCAAGGGCGACAGTGGAAACGAGGTTACTTCCAACTTCTGGTATGTAGATTCGCTATCGTAGAGCGACGTCCTGACCTCTTTGCAGCGGCGATTGTGGCTCGACCATGTGGCGCCAGGGCGATACCTTTGCCGGTAAACGCATCATCAAGGTATGCTCCCAAGTCTTCTCCTCAGACCTTTCCTAACAGGCAATTAGGTGGGAACCCTAGACGAGACCAGCATCCTCGACAACCTCAAGACAAACGCGGAGTTGTATGTAGACCACAGGCCGAAGTGGGTCGGCGCACAAGAGGGTGCGGCGCAGAAATCGAGCATGTAGGCGGTGAAGTGCTCGTGAGCAAGGGACGACAGGCGGGACTAGGGTTTATCGTAATATGACTTGAGCCGCTCAGCATCAAACATCTACTCAGAGTCTGAACTCTCCGGTTCCTTCAAGCGTTCCCTCATCATCTGTCACTGTGTCAGCGCTGAGCCATGCGCGCGTACGATATGCATGCCCATACCTGGTTCAGCCGGGCTTTGAGCTCGTTAATACGCGTTTCCTTGACTAAAATGTGCTCCTCGTCGAGCTCCTCGATAATGTATTCGTTGTTGTTCTTGCTATCGATGTCGACCAGCATGGCTTTGATGGAAGCGTCGCACTTGACGAGCGTACCTGGATACTTTAGCAGAGTGAAGCCGGACACGAAGCACGAAACGTACCTCTGATGGCTTTGACCATGTTGGAGTCTGGGGTAGGATGTCTGTGGGGTGCAGGTGGGCTGAGTACAAGTAGAAGGTTGGACAACAAGGTGCGACTGACGCGATTGCTTGGCGAGCTCGCTCCGTAAGCACGCTAGATTCCGGTGCCTCCGCTGTAAGCTTCAACACATGAACGCGTTGGTACTTTAACACATCAACGCTCTCTGTCTGCCTTGAACAGACCAACTTATGCGCGGCTCTTTCCCAACGACTGTGATCATCTAGAATGTCTATAAAGGTTTCATCGCAGGCCTCACGCCTCTCCCCGATTAGGGTTCAGCCATGACGTATTTTGAAGATAGCGGATGCCTTCAGATACATCTCAGTAGACGCAATCTGGAAGCAAACAGCTCCTTCTTGTTTACTCTTCAGGCTACCTGAACGAGTGTGGATGTTGCGGTCAATACAGGCATTGCACCCGTAAACAGTCCGCTCCCCTTCAACCACCTCGCACATGCCTAATCACCACCTTCATCCTGCGAACGAGTCTCTTTCCAAAGAACTCGTACAAATGTCTCGCTTTTCCGACTAGATACCCACACTAAATTCGCTGTAGCTCCATCACTAGCAAACAATGACTCCCTATGTACCACCAACCGTCCCCCGCGACGAAGACGACGACGACTTCCACAATAAGCAAGGCCTAGACGTTACAGCATTCAAAAATTACTTCCTCCTACTTGCGTTACTGGTCGTCCTTCTCGCTCTGGTATTCTGGCTCATACATCGACGCAAAGTCCGAAAGCGACGGAGCAGACAGCATGCACTGGCGAGAGATGTGGAGGCATGGTCCAGCACTCGAAGACCCATACATGGGAGATACAGAACTGACAACTCTGTCTACCTCCTTTGCCAAATGGAGCGGCTGAACGAACATGGAGAAGCGCCACCGCCCTATCAGCCAAAGATTGAAGCGACGACAATGCATGTCACGATACCTCTTCGGACTCTTGCGATGGATAAGAGTGATCGATTACAGCTACCAAAATACTGCGATACAGAATACATGTCCTTAACCCCCAGCATGAAACAGGAAGCTGCGCACCCCAAAGAAGAGCGTGGTGCAAAGGCATAAGGAGGAGGGGGTTTGAGCTTGACACTACAGTTGACAACAGGAAAGGAACACCTAGATATGGATCAGTACCTTTGTCAATCATTATGAATACTACCATCGATACCACACTCGTATTTCTTCTTCTTGACCCTCCTTGCGTCTCCAACATAATTTGTAGTTTCTATGTCAGCGACTACACCAACTACCCTAGGCACATGTACATGGTGTAGCGTCGAAGATCCGGTTCTCGGCTCCCATCAGGTACATGATGCAAGCCACATCCGTAGGACCGATTAGGTGCGCAGCAAAACGTCACAACAGGTTATTCAGCGACATGTCAGCTTATGCATCGTGCCTTTCCTTTTTCGGTAACGCTTGCAGTAACCAATATGACGTCATGCACACAAACGATGGACAGACAACACACAAATCTTATGAGGTGGTTGGTAATAGACTACATGACAGATTTGCATCGCAAACGACAAATCCTTCCTTTTGCACCTCGCTAGTTGCAAAGAAGTAAACGCACAAAACTCGCGTTTCGTGTGGCTGCTGCGAGTGAAGTTCGACCGAGCTAGCGATCTCTCTCGGCCCCGAATCTCGCTTCCGGATCCATCACCGTGGGTTACGTTGTTAAGCAAACGCCAATGGTACCGTAACCAACATGACTCGGCTCAGCGATATTGACATATCAAGATGCGTACGTGATTTGAGATTCATGCTAAACATAGCAAAATTTGCTCCATCCGTCCATCAATCTTCTTACCCCGATCGCCGCTACTACTGCATCGGCCGCTCACTTTGCTCACATGAACAAGCCCATTTCTTGGAGGAGGAGCTTAGCCACTGCTTTTCTATACACACTTTGTTAAGATCTAGTATTTATTGTCGATCTGTGGGCCCCGCGGCGTGCTAGCGACCGATATACCTACATGCAGGCTTTCATTTTCTTTCTTTTTCCATCGCAATATCGAGAAAGAGTAAGGAATGTGTAATCAGCTTTGCCCACCAAGTTAAGAAAGCTCGGGAGGCGAGGGTGAGGTCAAAGAAGGAAAGACAGGGTTGGTTGGTCAGCTACTGGTAATGAGAGAGAGAAGGAAGAGAGTTAGTGCTGGGATGTTATGATTACATGCTGATTATATTCGCGTAGTATGAGAGGGTTGATGTGTAGTTGCAACGGGTCCTCTTTGGTGGGGTTGGAAGTAGAGCTTGAGACTGTTGGTGTGCTTCGTATATGGTATAAGACGAAGATGGAGGAACTTTCAAGGGCAAGATATCAGCCTTAAGTCTAGCAACGACCATCAACACGATATCCCATATCGCAGTGTCTCCTTCCTCACTGCCTCAACGTTCTATAGCAGTGTACATATCGCTCTTCGCTTTGATAGCTAGTCACATTGCAGTCATGTCTACCTCTGGCGCCCTTTTGATCGGTCAGTCGAACACCTACTTTCACGTTCATTCCATTTACTCCATCATGCTTCCAACTTCATAACTATCTACTAACACAACTAACACAACTAACCAGTCTGCTGCACCGAATCCACCACCTCCCCCCTCCTTTCCCCATCGCGCCACTTCAACACAACAAACCCAAGCACGACTATCCTCAAAATTGATGGTGGCCGTGTGGCGGAACAGGCTATTAGCAGTATTTACTATGCTGACCAGGCGACGCCGTTGGGTATGATTGTTGTGATGGGACATGCTGGTATGTCTATCGCTTTTCCTTCATCACCCTTCTTTTCCCCGGTGCGCATGTGTAGTGCGTTACAAGACGGAAGTAGAATATAGGAATACAAGGCATGTGAATATGAACGTAGATGTTATGCATTCCAGGCTGATAAGTCGACCAAAAAGGCTGTACATTGGCATCAGGAAACGCCGAAAGTACTATCAGAACTAGTGTCCAAGCACTGAAAACGAGTCCGTACATACGCAAGGGAATCCCTATCATAGGTTATGTGATAGACCTATATACGCAGACTCCGGGCGGAGCAAGCACAGAGGCGAGGTTAAGGGAGGTTAGGTATGTATTTGTTTTCTTCATTTTCGCGGCCACTGAATTGTATGGCGAGTAAACAAAACAAGATCGTATAGCTGACGAGCGTCAAGCATGTCGAATTCCTCTGCTTCAGCACCATCAGCTTCGGGTTCAGCCCAGCAACACACGTCGAACCACGCAGAAAATCTCGGTCCGTTTTGGAGTTGAAAAACGGGTATGATTTCTGTCTCGTTCACTTTTTCCATTCCTCTCTTCCTCTCTCTGGGCATCAACGGGCTGCAAGAACTATCCTTACAGCCTTTTGTTCTTGCCGAGTATTCATCAACATAACTAGCATCGTTGAAAGAGAGAAGACCGAGAGATTAAGATGTATATCTGGAACAACGTGTACTATAGATGTATGTTGTCTCCTTACAAGGGCTTCATATACCTTGATGTGAGGATCATTTTGACTTCAAGACCATCACGTACGCACTCTTTTACGTTCATGTTCCACTGTCAACCCTCACTTACTTAAAGAAGAGACCTCCACCTCCCTCACCTACCTGGAAGAAGATGATAGAGGTAGTGAGCGATGTGAATTCTGTTCCCAACATGCGCGCCCTCTTAGAGAAGATGTATTTTTTTCATGATCAAAACACATAATTCATTACAAGTAATTATAGGCGGGTCAACTTATGTAAAATCATCCAGAAGAACCTGACCGAAGCTTGACTCTCCGCACATCTCTACGAACACAACTCCAACTCAAATCCAAGTAAGTAAATCCAAATCCAAAACCCGGGTATCCAAGAAGGTAGCAAAAATAACCATCATCCCCTCTTTATCTCCCTCCCCCACTCTCCCTTTCTCTCAAATCCCCTCCATCAAGGCAAATCCCCATATGTCTTCCCCCTGTCCTTGTTCCTACTCCAAAACCTCTTCTTCTTCTCCGGCACCACCTCCTCCTTCTTCGGCCTCATCAGCTCCTCTGGTGGACCTGAGTTCTTCAAGAAATCCGCCAAATCGCTCGTAGCAGTCCTCGAACCTCCACCACCTCTAATATCACCGGCGACAGCAGGGGCTCTGGCTTGTAGTCTCGGTTTAGCAGCAGTATGAGACGAGGAGATGGAGCCGAACGCAGGTGTCGCACCAGATGACAGACTCGGATTACTGCTCGCAGTTTTATTCGCATTCGCCCTTGCCCTCGCAGCAGCAATCGTTTCCTCGCTAAGCAAAAACGGTTGGGGTTTACTGTTGGCAGCACCGCCTCCACTGGGGGGATCCATGTCGTTTAGGAAATCCATTAGACTCTCTTGTCGTTGTGGGTTTGCTGGTTGACGACTTGGCAGTACGTTTTGTTGTTGTTGGTGTTGATGTAGTTGTTGGTGAGTACCAGTAGGCGTAGGAAGCGCAGTGAGTTGGTCTCCGTCTTCGTCTTCGTCTTCGTCCTCATCATCATCCTCTTCGTCAGACAGGTCAATGGCATAGGGGTCCTTGACACGTCGTCGCGTCCGTGTTATGTGCGGCTCTGCATTTGTATCTGAACCGCCGGCCAAGCTACCCGTGAGTTGTTGAGGCGCGTTGGAGTAAGCTGGTTGGACGACGCTGGGACTTGGAATGAGCCCAGTCCGTGAATTGATTGTTTGGGTGCTATCCTTTGATTCGAGCGTCGAGGCTGCAGAGCCATACGCTGACTCGACGTTGCCATGTCCACCTAGCATCGTCTCGAACTGATCTGAATCAACGGTTGTGCGGAAGGGCGCGACGTTTCGCGGTATCCTAGGCTGACCGTGATTCGCGTCTGGTGGACCTTGACGGATGAAATCGATCAGGTCGCCGTTACCGGTGCTCAAACCTGCTGGGCTGCGGGGCTCCATGTTCGGGCGCGCGCGCGTAGCTGACCCGTTGGCGCTACCAGACTGCCTCGAAATAGACATCTTGCGTCCGAGAGAAGAAGTCGACTGGTTGCCCGACTTTTGGCCATTTCCGCTGATGTTGACAAAGGGTTGCACAGGCTTCTCTTGTCCGGGGGAAGGACCAGTCGACCGAATAAAGTCAGCAAAGTCACGTATAGACTCAGACTCGATCTTAGGATCCCTTGCTAGTGGTCTGGTGACCACCTTGCGACTAGGTGAGGGCTTGTGCTGGGCGGTGGTAGGCCCCTTTGCTCTAGGTGCTGTGGTGTTGGGCAGGTTTGCAGTCCCGAAGGATTTGTCTTCGGCGTTGGCGCGGGGATACACAGTTACAGACGATGCGGACGGCCTGCGTGGTTCCGCGTTGTTCAAAACGGGTGACTCCTATCGAACTGTTTAGTATATGTAGAAACAACAAGACAAAGGCGACTTACATCAGCATCTCGCACGCTTTGAGGAGTCAACGTGAACTTTACCGTATCCTGCCCCTTGACCAGAGAGTCGAACTCGCGAGCACGATCTTCCTCAGACATACGACCACTCAGACCACTGGCACTCAGACCATGCGAACGGTGGCTGGCACCCGAATCTCTTCCGCTTGATGTGACGGGATAAGCACCCTGTCTGCGAAGAGAAGAAGAGGTCGATGCACCACGCTTCAGCGAAGAGTTATCCGAAGAAGACTTGTCGACCGGACGCGTTGGATCGTCCACGGACATGCGCTTCGGTCGTCGCTCCGGGGTATCAGTCGCAGAGGTAGGGCTACGCCTGGGGCTGTCCAAGGTACGCACGCTACGGCTCGTGTGAACAGAAGGAGTCTTCCCTCGATGCTGTGTAGTGTTGCTCTCAACTTCCTGCAGCGCTGGCAGTTGTGACGATCCACGCGACATTGAACGAGGCGCGTCTTGTCTCCTGGGTGCGCTGGTGGGACCATCGACAAAGTCCCCGCCAGTGAAGGACCTTCTGTTGGCTTCTTTACGTGCCACAGAACGCTCTGGTACTGTAGGTCTTCCGTCAGGCGAAGGAGTATTACGATACGTAAGCGGCGTCGGTGTGAAGTTTCGAGGCGGCACTTCTACGTATCCTCCACTACCTGGCCTCCTGCTTCTTTCATGAGGCGAATCTCCCGGAGAAGAAGACGCTGACCGTATAACATTGTCTGAAGTTCGCGCAATGCCAATAACTCGGTGCTGTTCTGGCTCCTCGTCGGATACATCGTCGTCGAGGTAGGATCGTCCTTCAGAGCTGATAGGGGCTTTGGGTGTTGCTAAGGGTGTTTGTACGGGTGATTTGAGGCTCGAGCTGCGGGTTGAAAAGGTACGCACCAGTCCAGGAGGGCCGGGTCGTTCGATTGACATCCTCTTGGACCGCATTACCTGTGGCTCGTTGGTGGCCTCCTCAGCTTGGCTCTCCTTGGTCTGTGAGGGTCCAACGGCGCTCCTCCGGAAGCCCATACCAGTAGCCGCTGCAAAGGCCACCATCGAGGCATCTGGCTCAGGCGACTCTCCCTCCGAGTCGTGTTGCTGGGAAGCATTGTCTTGTGATGTGGCTTCCTCTATTTCCTGTGATGTCGTCTCGCCTGTTTCCTGTGAGGAGGCTCCTTGTTCAGTAGAGTGCGTAGACTCTCCATCGGTGAAGTGCGTGGGCGCAGTGAAGAGTGGCGCCGGACGCAGAGGCATTGACATGGGACGGGCCCTGGTGCTCTTATTGGAATATTCTGCAGGAGACAGCACAATGACACTGGATGGTCGCTGAGGTCGCTGCACAGGTGTCTGCGTGCCCGAGCGCTCGACCTCGTCTTCATATGTCTGCGCTAGCCCGGGGACCTCGATCTCGTTGACGTCGTTGTCGCCTATCGGGAGGGGTATATTGGCGGCAATCTCGGTCTCGGTAGGGGGGTGCTCGGGTAGAGTCTCATGCTCGCTGTGCAGGGTGTTGATGGTCTCGCGACTGGCTTTGCGGTGGTGTAGGCTCGAGTAGCTTGAGGCGGCATAGACGCCTCGGCCGGGTGAGGTGGGCGATATGGGGGATCGCACGCGTTTCCTCCACGTTCTCCAGAGCCTACCCAGGGCCGAGTTGAGGGCAATCTTCTCCACGTCGGGCTCTTCAATGATTAGACGCTCAATGGGCTGTTGTTCGGTGTCGTCGGTTTGTTGCGCCAGCTTCTTCATCCTCGCGGCCATGCGCGCAAAGGCGGCCGAGCCCGCGACAAGCAGCGACTGCTCAGCAACGTACTCAATGACCGAGGTGAGGAAGATGGCAGACGCCCACGCGACGAGACCAGCCTCTTCGTCTTCGTCTTCGTCCATGCTGAGGCCGCGCTCCTGCTGGACATAACGCTCCTCGTCTTCGTCCTCGAGCTCGCCCAGGCGCGTGTAGACCATGATGCGCAGGCGGGTGCGCTTCCATACCTTCTCCACGTCCCACCTGTCTACAGCCTTGGCATGCTCCGTGGAGAGCTCCTCGTCGTCCTCCCCTGCCAACAGCCCCTGGAGTTCTTCATCCGCTGCCTCGATGGCATCGCGGGCCAGTCGCGGCTTAAGCACATCGGACACGGCAGGTCGAATGGCAGCCAGAGACGGTGATCGCGCAGATGAGAGGAATGCGAACAGCAGGTGATCGAGGAAAGCATTGAGGAGGGCCAATGCCTGTTCGGAAAAGATGGCATTTTGCAGCTCGTCCGTATCGGCGTCGTGGTCGCGCAACTGGGCGTTGTGATGGTCGGTGACTGTCTGCGAGGCCACGGATGCAGCTATGTAGGCAGGTGCGGGCCGCACTGTCGTGGGCATCTGGAAGGTGACGGAGCTCGCAAGAGAGGGAGTCTTGTCGCTGCTGAAGCTGTGGCTCCTGCTGGAGCGCGACGACGCCATACCGGCCGTCTCAGACAGGGCGTGTCTATGCATGGCGCAGGAGAGCGTCTACAGCATGTGCGTCGACAAATATCGATGCCAGAAGTAGATGAGTTGCCGTGGGTAATATGGCACCCTGGATGGCTTTTGCACTGTTGACCCTGTCCGCAGCTGATGCGGAACTAATAAAAAGTAAAGCGGCACGCTAACGAGTGACTGCGATATCATCAATACTACAAGCAGAAGGATGTCATCGATACTACCACGCAGAAAGAGAAGCAGACAAGAGCACAGGGAAGAGGGAGAGATTGGGCCACCAAGAGTATCAGACGAGAATCGGGGTTGTTACGGCTTGTGAGAGGCACCCCAGCGGCGATCTTTGGATTCTAGTCCTGCAATGTTGCCCTGGACTAGCTACACTCGTCATGTGGAGACGCGTTCGCTCCCCGACGACTACAGCACTTGGCCTAGTCATCACCTCCAACTTCTTCGAGATGCAAACAAACTTTCAGCTAAAGCGGCACTTGCAACTGAATGTCTTGCCGCTACATCGTGTCTACTAGAGTTGCTGTCTGCATGCATAGTAGGTGGTGCTTGTGTGGAGTCGTCGCACCATCAAACCGAGACGTTGTTCCGCACAAAATCTCCGCCGCCTGCAGCTATCCTGACCAACGCCCACCCTGGCTCCCGACTCACATTCTCGTGCTTTGGAGAAAAGCCATCGTGGTGTTTTCGGCCTGAGTGCGTCACACAAGACACCATTGCGACAGCCATACAATAGTGTTAATTTCCGAACCATCCGTCCCAGCTGGGTGGTTCTCGACGACTTGGCGCATATCGCTAATCTCAGGGGCTGTCCGCTTTTTGTTATGAAAGAGTCAGTACGATGAACAGTTCTCTGCATGTCAAGCTGGTCTAGAAGCATAGCTATGATCAAAGTGCAGTGGTCGTTGGAGACAGTTGTAGACATGTTGCAAACATATGCTGGTACCTAGGTATCTGGTCTGCGCCACTGCCGCTATGATGGCTGTGGCTGCATCATTACTTGACACACTTTCCATCAACACAAATACACTGCGCCACAGTCACATCTTAGTTTTGCTGCGCGCTGAGTGATGCTCAGCTCAGTGCTTAGTAGTTAGCCTACTCTAGGCTAAGCCCTCATGTTATTGGAGTCAAACCAACATGCTGCGATCTCCACAGAGGCAAGAGCGTCGTGGTTGCTGTTACCTCATCGCAGCCTCCCATTGGCTGTATGCTGTAGCCCAAGCTTCATCCCCTCATCTTTCCCCGACTTCACAACATGACCACATACAGTTGAATTCTCTTCATTGAAGATGTTTGCGTCCTGCTCTCCGGCCTCCTTCGCGTCGCATATGCTTCCCGACCATCGATGTTATGCGTTTCAGCCAGATGACGGCGGTTGAGATGGCGACAAAACCAACCGCAGTCTTCTGTGCCAGTATTGCACGACAGGTGCCTGTATTCAATCGAAAAGAAAAAAAGATTCAAGCGTCGTTTCGTATCTGGTACACTGGACACTACACTTCTTCCATCTCTTGCTTCAACCTCTTCTCCATCCTCTCCCGTAGGATCGCCCCAATATTGGCGAACGGCCGCCATGTCAGTCCACTTGCCAGGCGATACCTACAGTTGGAACAAGGCCTACTGCTGTTGATCGACCCGAAATTCTCAGCATATGAACATGCCACAGCATGTCCGTTGACGAATTGAGACCGGCAACATGGCTCGCCTACAAAACGGTCACGACCCCAATGGCAACAGGGCCGGTGGTAGACGTGTTCGATATGACACATGTGTCGCTCTCTGGTTATCATACCTCTGAGCGAGTGAGGTGTAGTATCGTTAGAGTTGCTGACATGAGTTGTTGGATGGACACTGACCTGTTGCAGATATGGTCATGTTACCGCAGTGTGCAAACACGCAAACACTACATTTTTTCCCTTCATTGTGCAGAGGCGACGGCACAATGCCGCTGAATCATTCAGTCGCAGTCCAATGTGTCTCTAAGATGTTTGGTGCTCCGCAACTGGCAGTTCACCGTTGTATTGTTGACATTCCTTCTGATTGGCCAGCGGATGTCGACACAGTGGACCACGAATCACCGACAACCACCTCTTCGGCGGGTTTAATGTCCTTGAAGCGGTGATACGACCAAGCAGATTGAGCAGTCGCTTGACGTGGTGATGACCTGTTAGTGATGATGACTAACGCGAGTTCAGTGCGCAACGGCCATAGCATCATCGCCCTCGTCGCTCCAGCCCCAACGTCTACCCCAGATTTTCCATGGCCATGCTACTGGCGCCAACTCCGGGGGCCTTAGCTTCCCGGAGGTCGGCCGTTGCCAAAATCTTCCCCCGTTTCGTTCCGAGCGCTTCGTCCAGCGTAGCCTGTCTCTGCTGCAGGTACACCCGTTGTTGCCACCCCACCACAAACATATTGCGCTGCAGGTCATCAGTCGTCCCGGACCGCACCAGAAGGGACGTGCAGGCACTTTGCTTCTGTGCGCATGCCGGGTATCGCAGCCCACACAGGCCAGTGTCGTATAGCACATGGCACCGCCCACCGATGACCGTATTCGAAAGAACAGGATGATGTCGCACGTAGTCGGATGGCTGACTTGGACCTCTCAGAGCTCAACTGGATCTGTGGTCGGGGACGATTAGTTATTCTCGATGGTGTTGGGTTTCCGGTCGGTGTAGGCCGCACGTGTCAGCACTGTCCAGCGCCGATACTCGACTGACTGATGGACGGGCTGGCTGGCCTGGTGTGAACCATGCAGATGAGGCTCCTGGATCAGCAGCGAGCTATTATCTGGGGAAGTACAAGCATTCTCGACCACGCTCCAGCATACGAGCGGGCCTCCAGCCTTGCCTAAAGCGGGGATGACACCGCCACATGCACGGTACCTGATCTTCACATGCAACGTTAGGTCCAAACTACGCTGTGATGTTGTCTTGCACAGACTTTGCACTTTTGTACTTTTAAACTATAGCAATCGTGAAGAAACTGTGTTGTCCGGCAAACATGACACAAAGGGCTCCATGGCCGCCGGCGTTACTCGATAGGCTAACGTAACATGGAAACTCGACTTTCTCCTTATCTTTGGCGGTAGGGGGCGTGCAGTACTAGCGGATCGACGGCTCGCCCGCAACCCCGCTAAGCCCAACGTCGACGCACGATAATGTTGAGCCGACGTCGCAGTGCGGCTTTTTTACCTCTGTCGGGTTGTCTCGAACGTGTTGGATTAATCACAATCGTGGGGTTGGGGAGAGGGATTATCATTTGGTCAACGGCAATTCGTGCAACTTGAATGTACCGCGCGCGCAGTATTGCCGACGGGCAAGGAAACCTGTGGGGTCAACATGGGATTCTCTGTTAGCCGTAGTACGTACCACACAAGTCGTAGACAGAGACTTTTTCCAGCGTCCTTCTGGAACAACGCACGTCCACTGATCCCAGAGAACACGTCGGGCATACCGGGTCGGAAGAGGCATCTCCAAGCCTCGGATGCAGTTAACTTGACTACAAGAAACGGTGCGCGAACGTGTTGAGTGATGCTGCCATGACGAGCGAGGACTAACTGGAACTGCTGCGATTGGCCCGAGCCGGGCTTATCGCCCCCGACGTCAACCCCGGGCAGCGGCGCCCTGCCCAGAACCACGCATGTATGCACTACAGCCAATTTGTATGCGCTACAGCTATGCAGGTGTCGCGAGACTTGTTGCGCTCAGGGTCCCAGGGATTACGCAGCTCGGGTTGGGCATGAAGTACACAATGCATACGAAGGGCAATAGCACAGAATAGTAGCAGTGGAGCGGTGTACGAGCCAGCGCCGAGCGGCATGACCAATTTGGTAGGAATTGGGTAATTGGGTAAATTTAGCTACACTTACAGCGACGCTACCCAGCGTCAAATCGCTCAAACTCGGAACATGCTTGAGGCTGTGCGTCTGTGCTTTGACCCCGTCAGCCAACATCACGATGCGCAACAGAGGACAGCGTGGGCCATTTGCAAAGCCTTTTGGCAATGGGCCACGCAAGATTGGGCAGACGACGTGTCTAGACAAGCGGTAACATGGCGCGGTTTAGCGGCAAAACGTTGGAGATTGCAGAGTGGGACATGGAGCATGCTGGGATGCGGCGTAAAGTCGCGCGTTTAGAGAAGGTTGATTGCTTCTTCATCCCACGGAAACAGTTCGGCGACGCCTCTTGGCTACGGCCAGCCTAATTATTATCTGAGCACGGCTAGCCCCGCCACAGGCCGAGACAGTCAGGTCAATCCAGCGAACATTTACCTTATAACTGAACCCCCAGGCCCGCTATCCTTATCTGCTTGTCCATTCAAACTCCCCACTTCACCTCGAAACCCCTCCTTCGACCTTTATAATCTCTACATTACCTTGTCCACTGTCGACAATCCACAGTAGTTGTTTCTTCCTCTCCTCACCAAACAAACCACCACACATACACACGCAGTCATGGCGAACTCAACAATTGTCTCCAATGCTGCCAACGTAAGTTTGAACCTGCTCGCGTGTCACGTCTAAACACATGCTAATACGCCATTTCAGCTCAAGAAGTACCTTGACCTGCCCCAAAAGGGCGCAGTCATGGCCGAGTACGTCTGGATAGATGGTTCCAACGGCGTCCGCTCCAAATCAAAGGTGAGCATCTTGCAGCTTTCCGATCCCTCGACCCGATCCCTTGCGGCATCCACTGCGGCACTTACACTCACGCTACGGCCGCAAATCAGTCCTAGTCTGCGACTTGAGGTTTTTCTAGCCTCGAGAAACAACTGGCTGCGATGCGCCTGTGCGATACACAATCTGGAGAGGCCACAGGGCTACTGGTGTCGCGAGCGTGGTGGTGCTGCGTGTGTGACGCACGTAGCGCCAATCGCTCCTTCTGCCGGAAGTTTTGGCGTTCCTTATCTTTATCGCGCAACCCCACCACCACCAGCCACAGCCACAACTGGGCGGGTGGGCGGAAGGGACCTGCATGGGCCTGTGACGTCGTTACCCATCCCGTTTTACCCGAGGCACAGCTTGGCTGCGATGCATGGCATGACTTACTGACATCAACCCGCAGACTCTCAAGAAGAAGGTCGAGAGCCTCGACGATCTCCCAGAATGGAACTTTGACGGTTCATCGACGGGTCAGGCGCCCGGCGACAACTCCGATGTCTACCTCCGCCCCGTCGCATACTACCCCGACCCCTTCCGTCTGGGTGACAACGTCCTCGTCATGTGCGAGACGTACATGTCAGACGGCTCGCCCAACGCCTACAACTTCCGTCACGACGCCGCCATAATCTTCGAGAAGCACAAGGAGCACGGCTTCTGGTTCGGTCTGGAGCAGGAGTACACACTTCTCGACGAGTTCGGCTGGCCATACGGCTGGCCTAAGAACGGCTTCCCTGCCCCGCAAGGTCCTTACTACTGCGGTGTTGGTACCGGCAAGGTCTTCTGCCGTGACATTGTCGAGGCCCACTACAAGGCCTGCATGTACGCCGAGATTGCCATCTCCGGCACCAACGCCGAGGTCATGCCCGCCCAGTGGGAATACCAAGTCGGTCCCTGCGACGACATCTCGCTCGGTGACCAGCTCTGGATGTCGCGTTTCCTGCTCCACCGCGTCGCCGAGGAGTTTGGTGCCAAGGTTACCTTTGCGCCCAAGCCCATTCCCGGTGACTGGAACGGCGCCGGTCTGCACACCAACGTCTCGACCAACGAGACGCGTGGTGAGAACGGCATGAAGGCCATCGAGGATGCCATGGAGAAGCTGTCTACCCGCCAAGCCGAGCACATGGCCGTCTACGGTTCAGACAACCAGCTCCGTATGACCGGCAAGCACGAGACTGCGTCGTACGACAAGTTCACCTGGGGCGTCGCCAACCGTGGTTCCTCAGTCCGTATCCCCCGTGCCGTCGCAGCAGAGGGCAAGGGCTACTTCGAGGACCGCCGCCCGGCCTCCAACGGCGACCCATACCAGATCACCGGCATAATCGCCGAGACCATGTACGGCAAGGTCGAGGGCGCCGATGTCGCTAGGTTTGCGAAGAAGGCCGAGACTGTCGAGACCGAGATGGTCATTGACATCCACAAGCCATAGACGTGGTCTTTCTTTGCCTCTTTCTTCATACCCCTTTGCGCGCTTAGACTATTTGTTTGATGATGATGCTGCCGTCGATACTACCAGTGGTAGACTTCTGGCGATGATGGGCAAGAAATGGTTCGGATTTATAGCAATACTTCCTCGCGGTAATAGCTTGAGCAATGAACTTTTATCCTGTTATTTTGTGTACTCAAATGGTGTCTTGATGTGCATAGTTTTGTGATAGTTTGTCTCCTGACCTGAATAGGGACGGTGGATGGTGGAGGTCTCTTTTCTAAAGGAGTATGGGTTGGCAATGGAATCTGAGGCAAGATCAGGTACGGAGCGGTAGATCTACAAACCGTACATCAGATGTCCAGATCGTCCGGTAATCACGAAAGCTAGGTGAAGTGCAGCATAGGCATTCAGCACTCAATTAGCTCACATACTCCGCACTCCTCATTGGTGTCTGCATCTTCTTCATTACGCAGTCTTGGGGACTCGCTGTCTCTCCACCAATCCGCTACTAGACATTTTCAATCATCATCTATTCACAATCACGTCGGATTCATCGGAACGAGCCACCACTCTGTTGACGCGCTTTGAAAGATGAAGATACAGCGAATTCATGTGCGTCGAATATCTGGAGAGCTACTCTCCATTTAAAGCGCAGATGAATCATATACCGAGGTCTTTTCGCGCAAAAGACCGGGTGTAGCTGTGTGGGACTTATTAAGGCATGAGCAGGAAAGATTTTGACCAGTGCTAACGTCTCAGAAACCACCTTGACGTCTTTTGTTTCGATCCAGTGAAGATGAAGTGTTCTGCTTTCGTTTTCGGCGCTCTCGCAACGCTTGCGGCTTCACAAACGGCAGCCCCGTATACTGACGTAAAGTCGGGCATTACGTTCAACACCCTTCAGCACAGTAGCGGCATGTTCTTTGGTCTTGCACTTCCAGCCAACGCCACGGGAAACAGTGACTTCATCGCAACGATTGGTGGCAAAGGCTTAGGATGGAGCGGTGTATCCCTTGGGGGCGGCATGCTCAATAAGCTTTTGATCGTCGCCTGGCCAAATGCCCAAGCTGTAGTAAGCAGCTTCAGAAAAACTGCGTACGTCTGCATTGTTCAGCGACTTGATCTACTGAGCTTTTCTTTTTGCTAAACACCAGCAGTCAATATGGCTCTCCAGCCGTCGCAACCGCATCCTTTACGCAGACGCCGATAGCGAATGGCACATATGTCAACAGCACGCACTGGACGTACACATTCCTTTGCTCAAAGTGCATCCAGACGGATGGCACGACGTTCAAGTTTACAGATACGGCACCGAGTCTTGGCTTTGCGCTGAATCCGACTGCGCCAGCCCAGAAGACGAACCCAGCATCTAGCGTATCCAAGCACACTGCGCAGGGGCAAGCAGTGTTCGATCTAAGCAAAGCTAAGAGCGACCAGTTCGAGATTTGGAAGGCTTACGCTGTACCCAGACTTGTTGCGACCTTTTCGAGCTAGGTAGCGAGATGGCTAAATGAATCGGGATATGGCGGGGAGGCAGGACGGGTGAAGGCTTGATGCCGGAGTCATTGTTTTAGAGCGCCGACAGTATGTAGTATACAAACGGATTAAGCTTTCTTTCTAAACTTGTCTCATCAAGTCGTTTTATGTTATCTTACTGTGATTCGGTCTAGGATTCGTGGTTTACCGCCTCGTGCCTGATTATCCTTCCCGTCTTTAGCCTAATTGCAGGTAAAACACTACATGGAGCCGACCCTGCATATGGTAGTCTGGAAGCTCCTTGTCAGAAATCTTGGCACGGCATTCAGGAATCGTTGCTGCACATATTCCCTCGGAGGGGGTTGAAATAACACGTCTAGTTGTACAGTTTTTGGCAACTAGATACAGAACTAGGAACGCTTGGGAGTGATCTAGATGAGAGAAAGTTATTCGAGGGATCGTTGCAGTTTACACATGTCACAACACAAAACGTTTTTGTCATCAAGGAAAGTATATTATCGTATTCTACACTATGATCTAAAATCACCTACTCCTTCCGAACCCAAACAAGCTTCCGAATCCCCCAAACGAAGGTACGCGGACTGCAGAGAATCCGAATGGGTTGAGGACATTGAAAGCATTTCGCGCTTTGATCAGATCGGCAGCCTTTTCCGCAACAGCATACATGGTGGCTTGCAAGTGCGTCGCGGGAATCAAAGGAATGATACTCGCATCCACGATGCTAAGGCCCTTGACCCCGTACACAGCGAGGTCGCTACTAACGCAGCCACCGTAAGACTCGGGCATCATCGCGCAGCTACCAGACATGTGAGCGAAAGAAGCCTGAAGGGCCTTTTGCTGAACAAGGTCATTGATGATCTCGTCGTCGGTTTGTGCCTGTATTCCTGGTGTGAGTTCGACGGGAGAGAACTTCTTGAGCTCGGGATTCGCCCAGTGCTTGCGCGTCCAGCGCACCATTTCGACCATGATCTGGCGGTCGACGGGGTTCTGGAGCGAGTTGAACTGCACAATGGGGTTGCCATACTTGTTTCTTGCATCGATTGTGACGGTGCCGCGGGAGAGTGGACGTTGTAGAGAGCTGATTGCAAGACCGAAGGGGACCATGGGGAACTCGCCCACGGCTGCGTCAGTGCTAGCGTGCAGACCGGCAATGATATCGCGTTGCTTAGTGAAACCGCGCAGGAGAGACGAATCGTCATATACAGAAGGAAGATAGTTGCGGACGTTCTGTGACTTGACACTCTGCACAATGTCGTTCCATTTATCGGACACAGTCTGTAAACTCAAAAAGGCCAAGCTGCTACCGTGAGCTTGAGTGAGGGGCCCGCTCCTGTTATTGTCGTACTCGGACCACACAGTAGCGTTGTATGTTGGGTCTGACCCGCTGTAGATGTTTGGGAAGGCGAGATTTTGAAGATCGAAAATCATGTTGGCGTTGGGGTGGTCTTGCATGTTTGCGCCGACGGCGGGCATGTCTTTCTTTACGTTTACACCGGCAGCTCTGAGAACGTTTCTTGGACCTATGCCGCTGAGTTGAAGTAGCTGGGGTGTGAAAATGGAGCCGGCGGCCATTACGACCTCGCGTTTTGCGTAGACTTGCTTGACCGAGCCGTCCGTTCGCGATCGGTATTGAACGCCGTTAGCCGTGTACCCCGTAAATAGTCCTTTGTTGAATAGAATCTCGTTGACGGTCTTTCCAGTAACGAGAAAGAGGTTTCTACGGGTCTTGACAGGGTCGTAATATTCGTTCTTCGCATGAGACCGCGTTTGCGTCTTGGGACGCAAAGCAGTGGGTATCCAGTAAGCGCCCACTGCATTTCCAGAAGCATGTTCCTTTGGCAAAGGTACACCTTCCCGCTTATATGCTGCCCAAATGGTTTTCGTGTCTTGGTACTCGAAGTTGGGGAACGATGCTTGGATCGGACCGTTGGTACCATAGTAGGACGCGTCGTATGTAGTACCAAACTCTTTGATATTGGATGCGGTTGGTGGCGTAAACGTGGTCGATTTCTTGAAGTAGTATAACAGACTGTTGAAGTTCCAGCCACTATTACCAAGTTGCTCCCAGGCATTATAGTCAGCAGCGGATGCTCGGTCAAATGCCATACCGTTGACCACTGACCCACCGCCAACGACGTTGCCTACCCAGACAGGATGTGTGCCGCCTGTGTTAGCATCGTATGCCGACGTAATGTCGTACATAAGATTCGCATTGACACTGTTGGCGAAGCTAGGTACTTGGGTGGTCACATCGTCGACAACAAACCCGTTTTCGATAACAAGAACAGTGCCTGAGGAGGTTAGATAGTGAATCGAACCCTTAAGTTCAATACTCACGGCTCGAATCCTCGCTCAGACGATTGGCCACTGTCAAGCCAGTTAACCCGCCACCAACGACAATGTAATCAAAAGACTGCCCTCCAACATCTATTTCGCCGTTGTTGCTACCTGGAGCTGATGGATCCAATATGCGTGGCACAAAAGATGCAAGGTAGAAGATGCCCGAAAGAAGGAAAGACATATTAGAAATTATGGACAGAACGAGTGTATGAGCACCAAATGAATGGCGCAAGGGTGAGGGTCCGAGGAGGGTGACGAAATCTAAGACTAAGGATCGTCGAAGGTTTATACCATGGCTGACTCGGTGCTCAGGTAGTTCGCAATTGGGCCACCCCTGAGTACGCGAAGCTACGGAAGCCTTCTCGCTTGCGAACAGGCGGATTTCGGTAAAGCAGAGCAGCTCAATACTATCTGCTGGGCATCGTGTGAGTGCATAGCCTTGTGAGGCAATCGGTCCCCAAAGTTAGCAGACCCTGCGGTGCTCGATATAGCGTGTCACCCGGTTGCTTGGATCGATTTCGCGCGGTTAGAACGAGATCCACAAACCTTGCTGGAAAGCATATACCAGTAGTCGATCAAAAATGGCAAGAGCTATGATCCTGTCATGGTGGACGCTTATCGACTGCCTCGGAGCTGCAGACATCGATATCAGGGAAGCGCAACTGTTGTGGCGTCGACTATCAGCTCCCGTCTGCAGGAACCACGTGCATTCATCGCATGACGCACGCCACACGACCGTGAAGATGAGGAAGTTTTCCCTGCATGGTGCAGTCCTTTGTCGCGTAGGTTATGTAGTAGAGGGGGCGAGACCGACGGCGTCGTGATGGCAAGGCAACCACGGGAATGCAGGGGCCACGGCTGTCAAGCTGCAATAGCCATGCTTCGGTGAAAATCTCCAACGTCGTCACCTTCCTCTCGCGCTCCTGTGGGTCCCTGTTAGATCAATTATTTGACTTTAGTGTACGAGTGTTTAAGTTTACAGGAGAAAGTCCATCGTCTAGATTATCGATGGCGCCCGGAGGTGGCCAAAACAGGTATAGTTCGACTCCGCATCTGAACCCTAGCCTTACGACGGTCGAAAACTGGCGACTATCCTAACTTCGCGCTCATAGCTACGTCGCGTGGCACCCTTTTCTGTTGCGGACATACTAGAATTATTGCGGTAGCGAAGAGCGAGTAACAATTCCGGCGGGCTGTTATACCCGTTCGGCTCGCCCACTGGCCATAACATCTCGTGGAGGGGAATTTGCCTGACGGCTTTTGTGGTTCGACAGGGTCCTGCGGGAAGCATATTCTGCGCTGAAACGCATCGGATCTCACTCTATTTTGCGTTCTTATTGACTGCGCCATCGTGAATATGGACGCCAGCCAGGCTAGACGACAGGGCCGTTTCGAAGCTGACGTCCAGGAATCCACGCCACCCTGAGCTCAAACCTCGTGCAACGGCGCGAACCACAACGCTTTAGTCCATCCCACGACGGCTAACCGAGTGACAGATGTCGTGCTTGCTCGCTTTGGCCATATCCTACGATGAACCTAATGTCGGCGCTGCGAATTAGCAGTATTGCAAAAGTTTGGTTGGGTTGTTTCTAGCAGCTAAATTGCAAATGGCTATGGAAGGTCCCCCGATATTCAGCCTTTGAGTGTTACTGAGCTCAAGCAAGAGGAAAAAGAGGGCCGTGTTCGATCTACAGAGCCTCGCGGCTCGGCAGCCTCCTGCAAGATGATCAGTGGAAATCTGGGCCTGGCGCCCGGGCACGAACGCATTCTGACTAACGTCGTACCGCGATGATGTGCGCTCGTGCGCAACGCACAGTCGTGTGGATAGACTTCAAACGCCTCCTGCATGTCTTGTCGCGTCTTACGGGATTGGCTGAGTTTGACGTCGGTCGGTCACTCCGCTGTTAATGGCTGGCTGTCTGGAGAACATTAACAGAGCAAATATAACAGCACGTCCATCCGTCCCGTGCTTTGTACAAGAACCTGCATAACATCGCAACGTGGGATATTTGCAGTAGTCCAGTCCGAGGAGTACCCTTTGGCTCAGCTACTTCCATTGGACATCTTTATCTTTCCTTGCCTCTTTCCTTTTGTATTCTCACATCCGCCATGGGCGTGCCCACAACCCCGGAAGGACTTCCTTTGGACGACCGCTCAAATGCGCTCAAGATACCCATCATCACCTTGATCATTTTCAGTTCGATATTCGTTGTGCTTCGTTTGGGCATAAATTGGAGGAACAGGAACTACTTTCTATTGACAGATCATCTCTTATGGACGGGGCAAGTAAGTTAGCGATGGGGCCGGTGCCGCAAATACTATACTGACCAAGCTTCAGGTCATAGCCGTAGCGGGCGCAGCATGCTGCTACAGGATGGCAGAGGTCGGAGGTGGCAGGCACATCTGGGATCCCATATTGACACCCGAAAACCTGGAAACATACCTCTACTACCTATGGTTGGGTCAATTGCTCAATCTCTATGGCATGGCCTTGGTCAAGCTGAGTGTCTGCGCCTACATCTTCATGTTGGACTTTTCAAGAACCTTCCGGATCGTTATATGGGCTTCAGTCGTTATCCATCTTCTCGTCAACTTCGTCTTTCCTACAGTCATCCTATTCGGCGAATGCACACCATACACGAAGCATTGGGACGTGTCTGGCACTAAGCCCGGATCCTGCTGGAGTGCGACACCACGAGTCGTCTCCGGATACTCTGGCGCTGCAGTCAACATATTGACAGACTTGCTCTACACCATGGCTCCGCTCATCTACATTGCGAGGGTGCAGCTTCCCAAGCGAACAATCTGGGGTGTTCGCGCAGTGTTTCTGTGCGGTCTCATGTAAGTCTTCCCCTCGCTGTGTCTCTTGACTGCATCACTAAGACTCCTCAGCACAACCACCATCTCCGCACTGAAACTCTACGAGATGAAATCCTTGAACGAGTCGCCCGACCCTACCTACACAGCCGTCAACCTCAGCGTTTTCGCAATCGCTGAAGTCTTCGTTGGCGTCTTCACAGCCAGTCTTCCACCGCTTCGTAAGACGTTCGAGAACCTTCTTCGCAAAGTTATTCCTACCAGTATCACAGGAGGATCAGGGAAGGGATCAAGACAAAGCTATGCGCTTCAAGTAACGGGGCCTCAAATGAGTGGGAAGTCATCGAAGCGGAAGAATGAGACAGATGACGACAGTGAGCTCGGTATACTGCCAAGCGATGAGGTCATCAGTGAGAGGAAAGGGTCTGATCAAGCGATTATGAAAACCACACACGTGAGTGTGACGGCTGATAGCAAGAGTATAGCGTCGCGGCGTTATAGCGCCTGGGTTTGAACGCTTCGTCATACAGAAGCGTAAATAGTAATGATAATGAATTAATGACTTGAAAAACTCTCTATCACCCGTCCCTTTGGTTTAATTCCGTGCCGTTGAAGAGTATGGACGAACATGGTCGCGCGCTCACGGTCGTCATTCCATAATCTGCACCAGGGGCTGCACCCCACACCTAGCCGAGGTACATCGATCATTGATCAACAAGCCTCACCTGCACCTCGACCTCCTCCCATCAACATGTCGAAGTCATCCAAACCATATCATCGCGATCTTCAGTTCCGCGGCTTCGCGGAAGGTCTTACCTATATCGACGGCGACAGCCAAGCACAGTGCCACTATTTTGGAGGCGTTCCGTATGCCCTCCCACCCGTCGGCCCCTTTCGCTTCCAGAAGCCGCGGTCGCTACCACCGTGTTACCGCTACGGAACGAAAGCGAACCCTGGGCGATACGCAGGCGGCTGTGGATTTTGCCCACAGCCAGGGTCCAATACAGAAGTTCTTGACGAACCTGCATGGGACGAAGATTGCTTACAGACCAATGTTTGGATTCCAGCTGGTGAATCGCCAGCGGAAGGTATGTGACTGACTCTACCAGCCTTAATAAAAGTGATCGCTGACTCGGGTAGGTTGGCCGGTGCTATTCTGGATTCGTAAGTAAATCATTTCCAGCTCGTCACCCTTTTAGTGCTTGGTTTCGCCGTTTCACGGCAAACAACTTCCTGGCTCATCTTCGGCGTATAGTGTGGCGCACATTGGCATGATATATTAACTCTGGAACCACGTGGTAGATCTGCGCTAAGCTCCACTAGATGGCGGGTTCCTGCAATGGGGTAGCCCGAACGGTCTCGATCTCCGTGCGCTATTCAGCGAATCCCCCACCCAATGCATCGTCGTCGCTCCCGCCTACCGCCTAAATGTATTCGGGTTTCTTGCATCACAGGAGATTATTGATTCATGTCCGGATTTTGGCGTCAATCTCGGCTTCTGGGATCAGCGAATGGCTTTGCAATGGACGTATGAGAATGTTAGCTACTTTGGCGGGAACGCCTCGAACATCACCATCGGCGGATACTCGGCAGGTTCGCATTCTGTTTTCCATCAGCTGTCGTACGATCTCGGATTGCCCGACGATAAGACTATTGTGAAGAGGGCGTTGATGCTGTCAAATGGCCCAGGTATGCAACCAAAGGGTTTGGCTGAGGCGCAAGATCAGTTCGACGAACTTTTGAAGGCTTTGGATTTCGATTCAGACATGTCGCCAGCTGAGAAGTTGGCAAAACTCCGCGCGTTAAGCCCGCGCGCGGTCGTGGAAGCGAGCAATAAGATTAAGCATCACCAGTTTCGCGCAGTCACGGATGGGTCGTTTGTGCGGCATGGTCTTCTCGAAGAGCTGTCAAATGGCGCCTACGCAGAGCGCATGAAGCGTCGCAACATCAAGCTTATCATTGGCGAATGCAGCGACGAGCATTTTGTCTATGGTCTTTGGCGACCACCTAAACCAGGTTTCGACAACATGCTGTACCGCCTTGAAGCTGACTATCCTCGCGAGGCATGCAAGGTGTTGATGTCGCATTATTTTCCAAATCGCAAGCTGCCGTCAAGGTACACGAGCTGGCAGGCAGCCTTCGGTCATATCTACGCTGACGTGCAGATTCACGCACTGCGTCGTGGGATGGTAAATGCGTTGGTAAAGCATGGTGCGGGAGATCTCATCCACAGATACCGCATCGAGTGGCGAGCGCAATGCGTTGACAAAGAGTTGCCCAAACACTATGGTGCTAGTCATGGGTCCGACATGGCGATATGGTTTTGGGGCAACGGTAGTGATCTGACTGCAGAGGAGAAAAAAATCGCATCGAAGGTATTTCACGAACCGTTGAGCAGGTTTCTGAAGAGAGGAGACATGGTATGGGGTACACAGAATGCGATGCAGCTGAGGACTTTGAAAAGTGACGGCCACGTCGCCATCGAAGAAGACATTAGACTAGACGAGGGTCTGAAGTTGTGGAATGCGCTCAAGACAGCTGGCGCTACTGGCGACCCCAAGGGCACGGCAAAGCTGTGAGGATCACCTTGGTACAGCTTGTATACAATCCTACTACATTATTCTCCTACATTAGGTGAGCTCAAAGCTTCGACGTGCTCCCTTCATCCAGTCTAAAAACCTTGTCCGGATTCAGGATACCCTTCGGATCCAACGCCCTCTTGATGCCCCTCATCATTTCTACACCTTCACTTCCCACCTCCTCAACCAGCGCGTCTCTCAGCTTCAGTCCAACGCCATGCTCCCCTGTAACTGTCCCCTCTAACTTCAATGCTAGTCTAGCAACATCCAGGAGCGCATTCATTGCAGCATCGTAATGTTGTTGTGGGCAAACGATGCTAGAATGGACGTTGCCATCTCCAATATGGCCTACATTAGCACAGAACCAAGATGCTTGATGAGCAGATGAGGCCTGGGTGATGAGATGCTGGGTTCCAGCGACGAGGCGAGAGAGGTTCGAGATGGGAACTGCGCAATCACTATGCAAGAAGAGGTCTGTGGGATCTTGCTTCATGGCAAGAAGGGCCGTGCCCATGCATTTCCGTGCTCCCCAGATGACATCCATCTCGTCTTGTTGATACGTAATCTCGACGCTAGACGCACCATTCGTTTTGCATAGCTCTTGCATGGTAGAAACCTGCTCTTGCACAATATGAACTGACGGACCTGCGATCTTGAAAAATAGTGTTGGCACCTCTTTGAACGTTCGTTTTGGTGCTAGCCCAGAGACGTTAACACACTGCATCTGCGGTCCATCTGCCAGCTCCAACGCTTCAAGCCGATGGCCTAGTTTCTGGAGCGAGACAACAACCTGGACACCTTCTTGGAACGTGTTGAAAGTTGCTAGTCCGACGTGAAGGTTCCTTGGTAGAGGCGCGAGACGCAACACGACCTCCGTTACGAGCGCAAGCGTACCCTCCGATCCGATGACGAGATGCGTGAGATCGTATCCAGCGGAAGATTTCCGGGGTCGATTATGTGTTTTGATTATAGCGCCAGAGGCCAGCACGCAAGTGAGGGAAATGACGTTTTCCTTCATGGTGCCGTAGTGGTAAGCGTTTGTTCCAGAACAGGACATTGCTATCTTCTCTTTAGTTAGTAAACATTGCACTCCAATTACAGAAACCTATACGAGAGGGAAGTATAGAAGACAAGGAGGCCGAACATACCATGCCACCTATCTTGGCTCCCGGCGCAGGATCAACAGGAAAGAATAACCCTCTTTCTTTCAAATCTTCATTCAACTCCACCCAACCTAACCCCGGCTGAACAACAGCATCTAGATCATCTTCATGTACCGCGACGGTACTCTTCATACGCTCGAAACTTATACAAATCCCTCCTTTCGTAGCCGCAAGCGCGCCGCCGAAGCTCGTGCCGCCCGAAAAAGGTGTCACGGCTATACATCTCTCATTACAAGCTTTTAAGATGATTGATGTTTCCTTTGTGTTTCGAGGGAAGAAGACTGCCAAAGGCGTGTGATCTTGTGATGCGGGCGAGTGCTTGGTGTTGGCCTTGCTATCGCGAATCGTGGCGTCGAGTGTGTGTTCAACGTTGTATTGACTTATATCTGAAAGCAAACTATTGATGTTGAGAGGAGTGTTGTTGTAAATACGCATCGACATGATTGCAAAGACAGAGAGCTTGGCGGGTTCTGATGACGCGAAGGTAACGAGGTTGCCGAGGCGAGATCATGTTAACTGGAGGTTGATGCGACTTCGGAATTCATTCCGCTGATAGGCACTGTTAATGCAGTAGATCTGCGCAACGAGCCACGCAGATGGCACATAAGCCATGCTTGTAGTGGCAATAAAGTCAGTCGTAATCCCGCTTGCCCGGGCACACCATCGTGAAAGGTGATGACAGATCAGGACATTTGGGGGCTGAATTCCAAAGTTGGCTTTTGGCCCCCACGGGTTAGTTAGCCGAGCTGAACAATCTTGTCCCCGTACATTGGACGAACCTCTGGCATCAGAGAACGGTCAGCTGAACACCGGTTCGCAAGCCACATCGCCGTCAATTCGCTAGGAAGCTTCAGATTCCCTTCCTATTGGGACGAGCTACAGTGAAGGGTGCAACCTTTGACGATGGCCTGGACAAAACACGTTTTTTGGCGCCACGTTCTTCCCCCATCTCAGCCTTGCTACTGATGAGCTTCATCAAGGCTTTCATCGCTACACCGCCGCACTTGTGCACACCAGGGTATTATGGCTACATCGGACTGGTCAACCCAGAGCATACTCAAGAAGACCTTCGTTGAACCATTTCGACTCCAAAAGTTGAGGCGCAAGTCTACCGCGCCCGCTAGTCCCCCCGCAACACCCGATCAGGATGACCCATTGGGAGCCTTACCTTTGTTACAATATGACTCCCTAGACCCAAGAAAGAAGAGTGTTAGGCTTCTGGAAATATCACCAGCGCCGGAATACGAACCTATACAGGCGACTCTGTCCGTTTGTGACTTGGACGATAAGCCACCCTTCATCGCGCTTTCGTATACGTGGGATCCTAAAGAGGGCGAGAAGAAATACATTAACATTCAAGGATCCAAATTTGCGGTAGGGGTGGGTTTGTGGAGTTTCATACAGCAGTACCGCAGGAAGCAGTACCTTCGACAGTGTTGTGAGAAAGATCCAGCCAAGGCCTTACCATTATGGATTGATGCCATCGCAATCGACCAAAATAACATACCTGAACGCAATCATCAAGTATCTCTCATGCGAGATGTATACACCGGAGCACAGTCTGTCATAGTCTGGCTCGGCCTTCAACAGGGATCCGAGGAGTTGGCTTTCATGCTTGCGCGCCATCCAGACCTCCTCAGAATAGAAGAGTTTCACACCGCTCTTGCTGATGTCCTCAACAAACCGTATTGGAGTCGAGTATGGGTGGTTCAGGAGTTTGTTTTGGCACAGTCCGTCGAAATATGGTGTGGCGACCTCCAGGTAGATGCTGCGACAGTCGAAAGCATCTGGCGCAATGGCCTTGCGTCAACACCAGTGGCCTCTCCAACGAACTTGATCTACACAAGTCGTGGCTACAAATTGTTCAAACACCGGAAGGATTTCAAGCGCACGAAGCATTACAGGAGAGAGGTGCTGGGTCGCCGCAACAGCAAGACTCTAAAATCCACGTTTCGCTTGCGTGATCTCTTGCAAGACTTTGCAACATCGGAGAGCTCTGTAGTGTACGATAGGGTCTACGGATTCTTGGGAGTTGCATCGACTGGCCGTGGAGAGAAGATCGTGCCGGACTACAACAAATCGCCTGTCGAGCTTTTAGTCGATGTGCTTCGCAACCAATGCCACGAAGATTCCAGAAGAGGCGATGCAGACGACTACCGTTTCTTGACATTCCTTATGCAAGCGCTAGCTGTCTCACGTGAGACGCTCGCACAGCATATCCTGAAGCTGTGCCCAGATCTCCAGCCACATCTTTACACCCTAGCTGCTACGCCCTGTGTAACAGCCTCCATTTCGTTCATTAGTACAATCACTGAAGTCGGTGAGTTTGTAGATCATGATGAGGCTTTCCAGCGCGGAACGTGGAAGGCATCTTGGACAACGATCCGATCAAACATGCATCCAAGATCCTTCTCGGCCCAAGACATCCAGGATCTCGGCGACTATATCGCCAAAGGAGACGCTCAAACATTACTGAGCTTTGCTGACCCCCACGTGGAATACGGAAATCCTGGTCCAACTGAGAAAGTGCGACAAGCAATGATCGAAGCGTCAGCGGATCTTGTGATTGGTGGTCTCTCCCGAGCGATCGGTGAGCCAGGGCGGGATGCCAGTGCCAGCTCACGGCCTGGCGACGGTGGCAGTAGGGTTGTACGCAGGATCATCTCCCGGAGTATTACGGACGACGCTGCTGCACTATACACGGCTGCTAGGACTAAGTTAGCCCGGCGCAATACCGATCAGCGATACGCACGGTATACGTCCTTCGTTGGTACAAACGGTATCACCGGACTGGCTTGTGGAGGAGGCCCGGGATCATATGAGATAGCATCGGGTGACCGCATCTGCATGTTCTCAGGTATCACTGACGCGAACAATGCTGTCATCCTCCGTTTCAATCCCGGAGAGAAACCCAACGGGAAATGGCTGATATCTGGCTTTGCAGTCATACTTTTACCAGAGCTACGCACGCCTTCCGTGCAACGCACAGGTAACGGCGCTACGACTACGAGCAGTTTTGGCACAAGTGCGCTGAGTAGGCAGCAGGCATCGCTCAATGACATGACGATGTGCTTCCACTGCCACTTGAGTGATCTTCTTGAGCTCCAGCGCTGCCAACTGTTGAGCGATGTCCAAATGAGTTTCTTGATGGAGCAAACTTTGAGAGGTGAAGCGGAGGGAAAAACTCACCGATGCCACCAAGGCACCAATGATCAGGTAGTTCTGGAATTTGGGCTGTAACAATACATCAGAATGAAAGGGCTCGGCGATGTGCGACACACTTATCACGAAACATATACTTCTTCATTCAGACTGATCGTCTGATTTCAACATTAAAATTATAAAATATAATGAACTAACGCAATGACGCCGTCCCAATCTCCTTCACCAGCTCGTCACCGCGAAATAATAGATGCAACTTGGATGTAAGGGCGCCCACCATCACGCTCCAGAGCCTAGTCAAAGATTTCCGTTATCCCAACGAGGGCATAGAAAAGATGCAATCGGCGCTCTAATCATTCAAGACTACCTGCTCTTGCAACTCTATGTCGCCTGCTCCGCACCCTAGTCGCGGAGATTGGTCCAAGCCGAGATGGCAATCGACTTTCTCAATGTAGATCGCAAAACATACCTCTGCAGTTGGGTTGACGAGGTCTCCAATATCTAAACAAAAGAGTCGCTGATGCGATGGTGATGGAGACCGCGTTGTGAGCGATGCAACGATGTTATTCGCGTTGACGTCACTGGTGCAAACCGTGGGATTTGTGTGGGCGCAGCTCATGGTGCAAAATCAACATGCAAGAGTTTACCCAAGATGCCTTGATGATAAGATGGATGAGAAGGAGGAAAGAGGTTTGAGGCGCCGCATCTGCCACATCTGTTTTGACAACGAGAGTGCGACAAATCGGTGTGCTCGATGATTGTGGCCCACTCTTATGGTGAATGCACTCAAGTCCTGTACATTCGCGTTTCTTGTACGCTAGTTAGTGATTCAGATCGAACTAACCTACTTTCGAAATCGGTCGTACTAAGACAAAACGGTTGGATCTCGAAGTCTTCTAAGGCCGTTTTACGATAGGCATTTAGTGCAACGAAAACATCATGCAGTCTGTCACTCTATGACAATGATCTGCTAACTTACTGAAAGCCATAAGATGGGATTTTCTGAGTCTGGGAAAATTGATGCAGTAATATCACAGCGCTGCAATGCTGCACTGTTAGATGGTACAGCATTTTGGACGTGGTCGTCGGGATCGCAACGTTGATCTCAAAGCCACAAGCCACAAATTTGTCGCTACAGCTGTGCAAAGCTAGAATTTTGGGCACTCTGTCCTATGGCACACTGCACACGAGACAGCGAAGCCATGCGCTTGTCCACGTCTGGAACTGTACCCCAGTCCCGTCTTCAGACTGCATCCTACTCGGTTGTCGTGCTCCGTACGTGCATCATTCGCAGGCCGCACAGCGAATAGGAGCGGCCAAGAGATTCTATGAGCAAACTCTTTCCCTCAGCTGACAGACTAAATGGTCCGGCGTCAGGGATACATAAAAGACCCGACCTGCAAGTTTGCCTTCTTTCTTCTCTTCAACGTTATCTGCAGACTTTCGATTGGCAACCTGCACAGGAAAGACTGCCGCTTCTAACTTTCGAACATTGCAGTTTCGTCAACGCTAGTCAACGAATTGATCGCTTCTCTTGCCGCGCGACTCAATGACTTGCATGATCTGAAGACCCGGTCTGAGGTCTTTGAGCTGTTTACTATAAGTATAAATGCTCTGTGCGGCTTCTAATGTAACTATTTCCCGTGTCACAGAAATCTTACGTACGATATTTATTGTCATCATTCGATCAATTCAACGTTCATTTGCTATTGTTTCTTGGACACTTTCACACTTTTTCAATTTGTTCAAACTTTAATTCCACTTCACTCTTCACGAATACGGACTATACGTGATCTACATCATGTCGTCCCGACCGAGTGTACGTAGGCGACAAACTGTGAGCTCACTCATAGTGAACTGCGCCTTCGCAGAAGACTGCCGGTGCTCCAAAACGAGATACATAAAGAAGGGCTTCATGGAAAACCACCTGGAAAGGGATCATCCTAGCGCGCTTGGTTTGATGGTATCCCAACCTTACTGCCCCGCCTGCGATGAATATTTTGCCAGCAAGAGGCTCTTGATTGATCATATCATCGACACGCATGTGCGCACATACAAAACATCCTTTCCGGCACGTGCTGTCAGTCATCGCCCTCTACTAGCTGCTTCGAGTCTCACGATACACGAAACCATTATCGATCGACCATCACACTCAGGAAGTACGCCGAACATGCGGGCCATTAGCCTGTACAGTTCGACGATGGTCGATCGAGAAGGGTATGCCGACATCATCAACGAAGGAAGAATTCCTGGTGACAGTGCATTCGGGTTCTGGACGAGCGATTCTTCAGCCTCAGTTGTTCCACGCCTGAACACTCTAACGACCTTTCCTTACGCAGCCCAGGCTGATACGACTGAGTACACACATCCGATAGCACACGGTTCTTACCCCGCATCCTAGTGGTTGTCGACCCCCAACTCAACTTCCAGGGCCATTGCCAATCACCACCACGAATGTGACCACAACCGGACGACCCTACCAACGTTAACAGGAAGAGGCCTACGATACGGCGTTGCCGGCCGACTTGGACATTGACCTTATATAGGAGAATATTTTGCTCAGCGCTTCGCGATCAAGGGAACACACAAAGCTCCTGATCGTTCAAGTCACGTCGAGCTGCGGAAAGAGAATTGAGTGGGGACGAACTATACGCTGTTGGCGCGAGGATGCCTTTTCTTTTATCTTTTCCTTTTACTTCGCACACCCTTTCACATCCTCTTATCTCTTGCTCTTGCCCTCTCGGCTCCTCATTCCCTCTACCTGTTCCTTTGGTCCTTACAAGCCCAAGTCGGCACATAGAATAGAGTTCCGATAAACTAGGACCCCATGGCCATTTCTTGCTTCTTGACTGTGACACAACTAGCCACGTATCACGTTCCTCGTATCTATTGCGCCTTCTTCGCCTTTGCTTGTCCTCCTCTGAAGCCCATACCATAAACATACACCAGACTGCCACCCAAGTACGCCGCGAACATAGTCGCTGGCAGCGCAATGACACTGCTGATCAAGATGTTGGTATCACTCGGCACCATGCCCGGGTTGCTCCTGCGCGTCCACCAATTGAACGCCGCACCAATAACCGTGACATCATTGATGACAGCGTGTAGCGCGCCAACTTGTGCTTTCTTCGACTTCAAGCCGTCGCGCTTGACGAGAGGGATGAATTCGTACATGCCGGTCGCGACGGCCGGGGCGGAGAAGAGAAGCGTGAGGATCGTGGTGTAGTAGGATAGGACAGGGAAGATGGAAGGGTTGATGGCGATGTCTAGTGTTTTGACTGGGGAGTGTTAACCACATGTGACTATACGGATAGAGGATCGGGGATATAGACGTACAGGCTGAGGCCACGGCGCTGGAGGTCGGTGCATATTTCGAGAGAAAATACACCGCATCCAGACCACCCGTCAGTAGGGTGGTTGTAATCGGGAAATGCACCGTTGCGGGATGTGTTGGGTGGCTCATCTTGATGCTATGTAACGAAGAATTGCAATTGGGGATGATCTGACTGGGCGATGGGTAGACAGAAGAAGTGGTATTTCACGTCGCACGTTGTTGGATTGTGTGTGCCGCAATTGCAGCGGAGAGCCGAACGCCTCGTGCCCTGTGCAACGCCGCAAACATCTTCGGCTTACACTGTGTCGTCATCGACTCCGGACCTCGTAGAGGTGTGCCGCGGGGGGTTGAACAACACGCGACTAGTTCGCGTGCGGCGGGCGCATCTCGGGAGGTCCGTCAGCGGCTTTCACTAGGCGGTGATTGGCTGGTTAGTAGGGGTTCACATTTAGATACGTTCGGACCTCCGAACAACAAGTTGCTCAAATCCAAGCACCAAAGTCATTATATGGTGGTTGACCAGTATGTCAATTTTGAATCGTTCATCTTGTTACGTCGCAGTTCGGTAGTCCGCACTTAGCGAGCAAATTGCGAGTATGTCGGAAGCGAAGTACATGCGTTACCTCACCGCCTTCTTTCCGAGGTCAGTTTAGCTAAATCACCCTTCTTCTTTTTCCGCTCGCTGTCTTCATTCCATCGCGGTTCAAACGAAGTCCTCGACGCTCGACAGACTATCTCCAAACAATGTTGCTATACGATATGTCTAGCGATGACCGCCGAACCCAGGTACAACAATTCTAGCCTGCTGGTTTAAATTGCAATGCCAATGAGCTAGTTCGACCCTGCCGTTGTCAGCATTCTCCCGAATCATCTGGATCTCCTTCGAAGGCTTACCTTTACTAGGTACTCGTTCTAAGAGTCTCACCGACCTTTAAGTCCACCGCATCATCGCCTCTCGCTCGATGCATCAATGCGATATCAGCGCGTTGCTTGGTCTTCAAAGCTACTAAACATTGCCAGCTGAATACGGATTGAACGATCGCGAAAACCAGTGCCAGAACGTTGATTGTTAGGCCAACGGCTGTTTCGATGGCTACATGAGCAGTCATACTGGAACGATGTACACAGTTAGGAATACGACAATAGAAGTGTATGATTGTTTGGCATAGGTAGCTCGCAGTGTCTCTAATCGCAGGTTGTTGGTATGGATGATCGAAAAGAAAGAAATATTTATAAATCTATGCGACAGCACGAGGCTATGCCAGTCACACAAGATTCTAGAGAGAAGTTTGAAACTTGAGACGAATTGTAGCTGGTTTCTCGTGCGAGTAGACTGCCTGCTCAAACGATGCACCATTTCCCTCGAGATTTTATCAAGAAGAGCACGTTTACTGACGCGACGATTTATCAAACAATAACCCGACTTTCTGTTTCAGAAAGCGACTTTTCAGATGTGTCTTGCACATTTAGAGTATGCACACAAGATCTCAGCGGCTCTTCGAGACCATTGGTCAGCTTCGATGTTGATGATAGGCTAGAGTATCGCTCACCGATGTGGAGGGCGCAGTGCACTGATGTTAGATCAATCGGTCGGGCTTGTCGAACCGGTGTAGTAATTACGGTGGGCGTCCTGGTTGTACCATTTGATTTTCTACTGCAGCTCGAGGAAGGGATGGCATAGGTACACTAGTAGAATGAAGCGAGCTTCGCAGATCATATAATAAAGGGCGGACCTCTCGAACACAAAAATACTGTGCCGGGATATATTTACAAGCTCTGGACTGTCAAGCAGCTTCTTGAGGTTTCAAGCGCAGATCAGCCTATCGTTGATGAGGGGCTTTGGGGTTGAACAATGTCGCACATTTGGGTTTAGGTAACCCAGACCGCTGGAGGACAAATGTTGTCGGTAACATGAACCTTATTACTAATAACTCCGTGCGATGGCCTTATATACGGTGAGCTAGAATGCTGGAAAATTACGCAAGACATACACTCTCTTTTGATCGTAAACACTGGACGAAGCTGTAGAGAGCATCTTTTATGTACGTTTGCTAATTAGTGGCCCACAGATCAATAAGCCAATTGCAAGGAATCAAGACTAGGCTCAATATACATAATCCCTGTGTGGTCGGCTTTGACATAACTCCGCAACCGAATCCTTCGTGGGGTCTAACCTCAATTCCCTCTATTCTACATTTACCTCTGTTACGGCTCAACAGTCTGTTGACACTAAAACTGTGCGTAGGTAACCAAACAGCTCTATATCGATACTACTAACCACAACATCTACCTAGCTTCAACAGCCTCGCCACACAGGCTTGTGGCCCTTGCCAGTAAATCGACTCCACCGAGCTGCGCCGCACGGCAGCATAAACGACCTTACACATACCAGCTCCTTCGCAGCTCCTAAAAGTTTAGCCCACAAGCAAGATGACCTGGCCAACGGCGTTGACGTAGCTGACAATGGAGCTATGCGATGAAGACCTACGCGACGGCACGTGCTTAAGCATGAGCAAGTTGCTATAAAAACAGCTTTTTTTTTCACCCTGCATACCTCCCCTCCATCCCCAACTAATTCACGAGCACGCAACACGCCTGTACTAAATTTAGAGACCTTGACACTATCTACTGTTCTCACCAGTCATCCTCAAGTACCTAGGTATGTGACAGTATCAAGATCCTTTCTTCAGCTCAATTCACAACATATGAGTATCTCTACTCCTCCTTCCGGTTACTGAATTTACACCAACAAGACAGCCACCATCATGGTCACCCACACCACTATCCTCAGCGCAATCATTAGCTTCGGCCTCCTTGCCGCACCAGGAGTTGCCGCTCCAGCAGCCCTCATCGCGCCTGCAGCAGCCGCTGCAGCAGCTGGCGAGCGACTAGGCGGCATCGACATTGAACGGGCATGTGACGAACAGGTGGGTGTTGGCGCTTATGCTGCTCGACGTGGGAATACATGCAATGACTGGCGTTGCGACGTATTTGGATGGAGACCCGAGTTTCCCTCTCTGTCGATCTTTCTCGGGCATGCAGGGTGCAGTATGGTTCTAATGCGTATGCTTATTGTGCTGGGGGATGGGATAAGTGGTCTTGCTATAGATCATAGACGGGATGTAAATAAGATTACATGCAATCGAATATCATGGAACAATTACTATGGAATCGTTGCGATGACCTTCATATAGGCTTGGCTAGAATGATGTTGTGTAACGTCCTTCTCGAAATTGTATGTTCCGGTTCGATCCAAATCGCGAGTCAGCATCTGGTGTGCGTCGTTAACGATGCGTCGGCACTGTTGTATGTGTGTCGGTTCACCGCCTCTATTTATTGGGCATCTGATCCATCATTGCACATTTCTATCATCTTTCTGACCTGCGCATCTCTTTTCCGATCGCACTCTTGGAGAGTTAAATTTGACAATGGAATACCAGACTGTAACTAGCGATTCTATCTAGCACCATCACTATTAACATCATTGTACCGCCGCAGCTGCTCGACCACTTCATCATAACCTGGCAATAATGTGCGCGATAGCGCGTTATACCCGTTCTCATCTTCATGGTCAAATTTGACTTTGGAAGTTCCGAGCAGCGAAGACACCACTACACTGTGCCTAAGATGTGCCGCCTACAATAGTGCTGTCCGTTCACGTCTACTTTTCTAGTATTAAGCAGCATGAGTACTGCCGCCCCACGTCCATTCTGTGCCGCTCGAAATAGCGGCGTTTGACCGACATTTTCCTTGCTGTCTGCATCTATTGCGCTTTTTTTTTAGCAGTAGCTTTATTGCAGCACATTGGTCTGTTGCTGCGGCTATATGTAATGGCGTTTGGTAGTTAAAGTTTTTGCTATTAACGTTGACACCCTCTTTGTCAAGCAGCAATTTGACTAGAGCCACGTATCCGTTCTTAGAAGCCTACAATGACGAAGTCCTCCCTTCCAAACCTGGTAGATTGACTGGGAACCTGCTCAAGTCGAGTAGGAGCGAAAGCACCCGTTTATCTCCAAGGGCCACCGTATTGGATATGATGCCGTTGGATGTCGTGTAACTGAACCAGGGTTTAATACTACCATGCTTGTCAAGTCCCTCAGGACATTCCTCGGATATGTACCCGGCTTGAAGGCGTTCCATACATACCTGAGCAGCGTCATTTCTCCCACAAGCGATGAGTGCGAAGAGGAAAGGATCCCAGCGTCCGATCTCGACTTTAAGGTACGAAGGGGGACCCAACAAAGTTCAATCAGACTTGCCAAGTTGAATACAGCTCTTCTGGGGCCAAAGGTTGCTTTGCGAAAAGGATCCAGCGAACACATAGCACGAACTCCATTGCTTATTCGTACGAAGAGCCGTACCATATCCTGAATCTGCTCTTCATCGGATTCGTCTAAAGCATCGATAGAGCATACTACAGAGGCGTTCTCAAGATTTCGTATGGCTGATTTAAACAGGATTCTCAATGTTTTGGGTTCCCATTGATACTTATTGAAGTGAGATTCCGACAGTGGGATATAGTCGAGCACGCCATGAGGTGCTGGCAACTGTTCGAGGAGTGGCAAGAATGGTGAGCGGTATACCCCAGTTCTTGAACTGCTCTATACTCTCGCTCCGCCCGGTGAAGAAGAAGGACATCACAACCTTTTCTGGTATCGTCTTCCGAGTATGATCAAGGATAAACTTCATTAATATCGACTCTTTCCCTTGATACAAAGAAAACCATGGTGTTCTCTCAGCTTGTCGGTGTCGAACCAGTCGAAGTACTTGGAGGTGTTCGAGACACATGTACAGGTCTCAGAGTGAGCGTTTCTGATGGTGGTCAGGCATGTGTAAGTTTGGTCAAATCGTAGTGACTCCATAAGGAACTTATTGTGTCCTCCGTGCGGCGATGGATGAATCCTTTTCCGTAACCGTCGAAACGCGCTTTCTTTCTCTTCACCATACATCGGCGAAACACTAGTGTTGGAGGTGCCCAGTGATGAATACACCTCGTCTTCTTTGTGTATTGTTTAGCGCTTCTGGTCCATACTATCCGCTCTTCGATACTGAAGTCCTGCAAAGATGCACGTCGGAGCGCAAGTACCGGGATGCGTGTGATCTGGTGGATCTGTCGCTCTGATCTCGATTTGTCACCTAACAACGTGCCTTCCTTTGAGAAGAATGTTACTACTGCTGGGGAAAGGAGCGTTTGTACATTGGAACCTCGCGAAAACAATCTGCTTGTTCGAAAGGCTGATTCCCACGCAAAGTAGAACCTCCCACAAGCCGCTTTCCGTTCTTTAGTAGAAACGTCAGACAACCTCAACGAGTATTCGCTGTTCAGAAACATCCCCAAAGGCGCTCGGTGACGCTCTGATCCAGCAAGGCTTTACACTGTAGCCCATGCCTCTCCAATGAAATCTCTCTACCAGGAATTCAACTCTTTCAGAGCCTACTACTCACCTTCAGAATACCCCCGTCAACAAATGTATATTCACGAGTTACATTTCATGCTCTAATCTATCGCGACCGCGGTAGGGTGGTATAGCCGCAGCCGGCTGTGTGCCCGAGTTACTAGACCTATGCACATTGTCTAGCGTGTTATTTTCTCAAGTATAAACATCACCAAAACAAGCTCGTTGTACCTTCTCCAACATCGGAACAAGATCTTCGCCCTTTTGCATGACCGACCCCGAACGCCGACGCTCCAAATTTTCCATGATACGCCGCGAATCTTCTCGCGCCCTCGCACGAATCTTGTTCATATCCACACCCACCAAACGCCCGTCACGCTTCATGATCTTCCCATCGACCATCACCAAGTCCACATCAGCAGGCGTGGACTGGAGCATTGCGGTGCCGAGAGGGTTTACCGACGGAGAGATTCTACGCTTGCTGGTAATAACGACGACATCAGCTCTTTTTCCAGGCGTGAGAGTACCGATCTTGTCGCCTAGGCCAAGAGCTTCCGCGCCATTCCGCGTTCCCCAGATAAGAGCGTCACGGGTGACAAAGTCCATGTTGAATGAGGGTTGGCGAGTGAGATGAACGGCATGGTGATCCTGTCCGCGCTGTGCCTGCAACTGAAGTCGCATTGTAGACAACATGTCTGTCGGGGCCGTCATGGCGCTGTCGGTGCTGAGAGAGGGCTTCAAGCCGTGTGCCAGAGCGTTTCTCAGAGGCGGGTATCCCATACCCGTCTGGATATTCGAATCAGTCGCGAATGAGATTTTGCCTCCGGTCTTTGCGATCAGACCCATGTCATGATCCGTAAGACTCGGGCAGTGGATGTACAGGTGCCCAGGAAGCATGCACCCCATGTCTGCTCGCACGTCCAGATCGCGGGAGAAGTCAGAACCCATGATACATGCGGAATGGGAACAGCAGAAAACTCTTTGGTCTTGCGCAAAAGTTATCTCGTCGCGCAACCAGGTCATTGGTACTGTACCAGGTTGGCTGAGGTGAAGGCCAACACGAACCAGTCCGTCCTGTCCGTACTCCTGGAACAGCCTTTTGGCATGTTGCATGCGGGCCTCCCAACTAGCTTTTCCTGCCGGGGCGTCACCGTATGGACTTTGATGCATACCGAAAGAATACAGAGACCGGATACCAGACTCCCTGAAGCTTTGTAGTCCCGCCTCTACATACTCAGCTGAGGGGAAAGCCTCGGAAGGCTCGTTCATCGTGGTGATTCCGCTTTCCAGAGCTTCGAGAGCACTGACTAAAGTGGACGTTCTCACTTCTTCTATCCCAATCGATGGTACCAGAGGGTGGTAAGTGTTGACGAGGAAAGGCCATGCGTTTTCGTCCACACTGATGCCGCGTGAGAGACTCAAGGTAGCGTGGCGGTGAGTGTCTACCATGCCAGGTATGACGACGCCTTCCGTGGCGTCGATGATTTCGGCGCCATCTGCGGTTATGTCCTCTGATCTGCCAACAGCTTTGATGACACCATCCTCGATAAGAATCGAGCCGTTTTCGAAATCACCTAGGGAGTCGTCAAGGGTGACTACGAGGCCACCAGTAACGAGGTACTTTCCAGGCATTATTGTTATGCTTTGTGTAAGGGAACGGCTGTACGTATGCAAAAGCTTAAATGAATTTATCGTGCAAAGTGGGATATCCAGAAATGAGGTGATATCATGACAATTACCGATTGCAAATAAAGGCTTTATGTAAAAGTACCAGCCGATGAGATCCGGTCGACACTAGACTCATACACTGAGTACGTATACTCGTCACACCGTCCGGACTAAAGACCAAAGGAGGAGTCAAGATGAATCATCATTCGGACAAACATCCAAGGGCTGACCAAGGCTTCGTACGTATCCGTGCGGTTTTGTGGCATTGTGCAAACTAGGTCGGTCCTTTGAAGATGCGTGTTGGCCTCATGAGATCATAGCTAGTCCATCGGATCGGAACATACCCTCGTGCCGGCTTCCGAGATTCTCGCCATGACTGCGTGCTCTCGGAGCTCGCTCTTCGGTCGTTTGAACTGACCTTTGAAAGGAGGAAGTCGGACGAAACGCGGTTGGGAAGGATGCATGGTTTATATACCTATGTGAAGATGACATGATGGGATAGCAAACGACGAATCATCCATCACGTCCTCATCCTCGGTTTTGATACGACGATGAACATCTCCATCAACGCTGAAAGTGTTGCCTATCTCAACGGCAATGTCTACACTGTCGACACAAGTCAGCCATGGGTCGAAGCCTTCATTGTCACCCCCAAAGCCAAGTTCGCAGCCATCGGGTCGACTATTGATATCGCTCAGCTGGCCAAGTCTTCACAGCTCATCACTGTCGACTTGAATGGCTCGTTTGTGATGCCTGGCGTCCATGACAGCCATGTGCATACATTCCATTCGGGTCTGCATCTGCTAAGCGATGTCATGATGGACTACTCCACTAACAGCAGCAACCTGCAACCAAGGATGCAAGAAGGGTTTGGCGCTTGTGCTTTCCACAACACGTACTCCGACTGGATCATTGGCGTCTTGAACGAGGTTGAGGACTACGATCGAGAATTGATTGACCAGGATTGGCCGAATAATCCTGTCCTCATACACGCCGGTGGCGGCCACCTCAAATACCTCAACACGCTCGGTCTGGAGAGAGCAGGATTTGATATCACGTCGGAGCCAGATGCAGATCGACGAGACTTTCTCCGCAGACCGGACGGTTCTCTGAGCGGTGCCGTGGGTGGGCAGAGCGCTATGGGTCAGGCAAATATGGCTGTTACGCGACCGACTGTCACCCATGTGAAGAGAGCGCTGAAGCGAGCCTCAATGGAGCTGCACCGGAATGGGATAACTTCAGTTCAAGAGGCTGCTTCCGGTAGGCTCTTCCTTGAGGCTCTACAAAGCCTTGACATGGAAGGAGAGCTCAAAATGGAATATGCAACGCATATCCTGTATAGAAACGAATGGCTTACCGGAGAGATGCGCGAGAACGGGGATGAGATTATTTCCATGGCCCGCGAGTACGCTAGTCAGCATGTTGACACGCGGTTCGTTAAGATCATGATGGATGGCAACCCCATCGTTCCTTCGCCCACGGTGTCCAACCTCGACGAGCGCGGCGACATCGATATGGCGCATATCCTGGAAAAGAACATTGGATCAAACTTACAAAAGTGGGATGCGGCGGGCTTGACCTGCAAAATCCATGCCGCCGGTTCTGGTGCCGTAAGACAAGCATTGAACAATATCGCCGCTTTACGAGAAAGCAATCCAAGTGGTCCGCGTCACGAAATCGCCCACTGCGTTTCAGTTGATCAAGGTTAGTTAGTTTGTCATCTCATCGTAGTGGAACAAGGCACTAATCGTAGAACATAGCTGACATACCCCGTTTCCGTGAGTTCAACATCACAGCCGAGATGTCACCCGCCATGCATTTCAAAACCAACTTTCCTCCTCCTAACCTGGGTTTCAACTTCTCCGGCATGCTGGCAGCGCAAAACCTCGTCACGATTGGCAGTGATTGGGCTTTTGGCATGAGTTTGCCTCTTTTTCCCTCGGTTTCGCATCTAGTTGAGGAGATCGGAGCCGATCGTCTTATCGAGATGCTAACTATCAATGGTGCGAGGTCTGTTGCGAAAGACATGGTACGTATCGTCTAGACAATCGCACGCTGATGTCATCTGCTGACTGGTATTGCTCTAGGAATATGGTACTATTACCGTCGGTAAGACGGCTAGTTTCATCGCTGTTGATCGAGATCTTACGAAGGGGGATTTTGAACATGCTACTGTTACAAAAACTTGGTTTGAGGGTGAGCTGGTCTTCGATGTGACCGGAGATCAGATCTAGGAGATATGAGCAAAGCATGATGTGGCTTGGCTATGTTTGAGCGAATGTAGACGGCGTAATAATAATATCACCCGTGACATGGCCAAGGATGATGATTCGATCCGATGTGCCCTGGGTGAGGTTTTCCATGCGTTGATAGAATTGTGTGAAGTCTCGATTCCGCCCGTAGTTCCATTCGAATTGAAGTGTGACTGAAGTTTATGTTGGTGGGGAACAGTAAAAGGGTGTTTTCGGGGCTGCAGATGATAGGAACGCTAGGGTGGACGCCATACGTGGCTGTGCAGCGACGCACTAGCGCATGACGCGCCTGCCCGCAATCCCACCCTGTCAACTTTGTTGCGCGACTTGCAATACACAATACACAATACACAATACACAATACACAATACACAATACAGCCAACGCTCCCCATCTGCAATCACCACACCTATAGGCACATTGTGTTTCTAGTAAATGTAAGTGTACCAAGTCCTCTAAAAAAGCAAGAGTACGGAATTGGGCCGGTTCGAAAGTTGGGCGCTTGCAGTTGCCCCTCCGAAGCTTCGGGAAGCATGCGCCATGTTTGGGCTGCGAAGGATTCCACTGACGGCTACTACTACAGACACACGATACTTCTCCCAGTACTCCGTACCGACCACCGCAAACATGGCCTCGACCGCGCTCATCGACGCCGACATGGCGCCCACGCTACAGTCCATCCTCGACCAGAAGACGCTCAGGTGGATATTCGTCGGCGGAAAGGGTGGTGTAGGAAAGACGACGACATCGTGCTCCCTCGCAATCCAGCTCGCAAAGCACCGCAAATCCGTCCTCCTCATCTCTACCGACCCCGCGCATAACCTCTCAGATGCCTTCAACCAGAAATTCGGCAAGGATGCGCGACTCGTAAACGGCTTCGACAACCTCAGCGCTATGGAGATCGACCCCAATGGCAGTATACAAGATTTGCTGGCAAGCGGCGCGGAGGAGGGTCAAGATCCCATGGCTGGTTTGGGTGGTATGGGCAATATGATGCAAGATCTGGCCTTTAGCGTATGTGTGGCATAACGCGCCCTGATGACACAAATACTGACTACTTGCAATAGATTCCCGGTGTGGACGAAGCCATGTCCTTCGCTGAAGTGCTCAAGCAAGTAAAGTCCATGTCGTACGAAGTCATCATCTTCGACACTGCGCCCACGGGCCACACGCTCCGCTTCCTGCAGTTCCCCACCGTCATGGAGAAGGCTCTCTCTAAAGTGTCCCAACTCTCCCGCCAATTCGGTCCCATGCTCAACTCCTTCCTCGGCGCATCCGGCAGATTACCCAACGGACAAAACATGGATGAGCTGGTGGAGAAGATGGAGAACCTGCGGGAGACGATTGGAGAAGTCAATGGCCAGTTCAAGGACGCCGACCTCACTACCTTTGTGTGTGTCTGCATTCCCGAGTTCTTGAGTCTGTACGAGACGGAGAGAATGATCCAGGAACTCAACAGCTACGAGATTGACACGCATTCCATCGTCGTTAACCAGTTGCTGTTCCCCAAACAAGACAACCCTTGCGAGCAGTGCAACGCGCGACGGAAGATGCAGAAGAAGTACCTGGATCAGATCGAGGAGCTCTACGACGAGTTCAACGTGGTCAAGATGCCACTGTTGGTCGAAGAGGTGCGGGGCAAGGAGAAGCTCGAGAAGTGGGTATCTGCACACCGACTCACGATTCAGACATACTAACAATGGTTCCAGATTCAGTGAAATGCTCGTCAAACCCTTCGTTCCACCGCAGTAGGCCCGTGCCGCCGTCAAACGCTGTAGCAAAGTTGGCTAGGCTTGAGAGCCTCAACTCCCTTTGATACCGCTTCGAGGCTTGAGATTCCCATTTTTCTTTGCCGATTATTCGCCGTCTAACCCTTGTTCGTGCACGTCTTGCGATACCATGTGGCTCTGCGATTTCGCGTTCTTTCCCCACGACATCACGACTCAAGTAGCGAACGGAGTTCTGTACTTTAATCGCCTAGCCCCGATCTATCGCGTTCGGTGGAAATGAAAGATTTTGCCTAGGTACCAAAGTAGGAATACTCACGAAAATACTTGTCTTCTTTCTCATGCATGTCCGTGGACAGCTGACCGTGCGGAATGCGGATGCCAGCACGCGACTTTTTGTGACGGGTGAAGGATTCGGAGATATACGTTAGCCGCTGACACCCAGGAACGCCATTTCTTGGGGTGCATTTAGCCCGCCATTACAATTATCGGGTCTTTTGCGCACCCCGCATGTGTGGTCTGCACTAGGCGAAATAGGCCATAACACCGAGGTTTCTTGCTTCCACGACACCATAATGTTCGGGGCACAAACAACTTCTGGTCTGCTCCGTGGTTTTTGTTGTTTATTGTGGTAGGTACCTGCCTGAAGTAGATCCTGGGGCGTATGTAGCGACTACGTCACTGTTTTACCCCGCAACTTACAGCCAGTGGGCTACCCCATCAATCACGATGTATATCGCATCTCGTGCCCAAGCTACGCCGTGCGCATGTCAGCCCACCCACTGAAAAACCAGTCATGCAAACAGCCAGAATGAGCCAACAGCTGAGAGATCCTGTAACGGCCGTCAGGCGATACAAACGAACCTTTCCAGTAAGAGGGAGGAAATGGAGGAATATCCCACTGCTTCAACGTCTACTGCTCATGTCAGAACATCCTGCCTCGGTAGTTCACTCTATTGGATAAGAGACGACTAAACGGGTAAACGCGCTCTTCATGCACACTGCATGCGGTAGTGTGCGGGATCATGCGTTCGTCGCGTGCACAAAAAGACGCCGAACAACCACAGCGCCGAACGACGACAACTGACCATCTCGCATAGGTGGCAGTTGACGCGGCGGTCATATTGTGGGGATGCAGCATCGAAGAGGTGAGCGTTTGCTGACACAGGCGGCATACACAGTGCATTCCGAGATGGAATTCACGTAGAGCAGATCTCGAGGTTGAGTGGTTTCATCTGTGTAGCTTCCTGTAGCGTACACCCAGTCAAGCCTCGAGCCAGCGGCGAACTTTCTAATCTTAGTAAAGCCACGTTTTGTGACACACAGACACCCCTTGACAAGCGCCATCTACACCCCGGTTCCCGTAGCTTTAGTGTGGGTGCCGATCATGACCAGGACCAGGATGGCACCCGCTACAACCGATTTCCTTTTGACTTTGACCGCTGGGGGTTAACTCAGCCGCTGGGTTGGGCTGGACTTAGAAGAACTGGGTGTTAGTGGGAGTTAGTAAGAGTGAAGATGGGATTTAGTATATAGAGCGTCGTGGCGGGCCCATGAATAAGTTCCAGGTCAGGTCGTGTGTGGTATACTCGCCCCTCTGCAGTCGCTCCTATTGAGTCGTTGTTTGCTCGTTGTCGGTGCATTCTTTACTGTATCCCAGTCCACTTGACAGTTCCGATACACCCAATCAAGATAACATGGCATCTTCCATCCTCCGCCTAAGCGCCTTGCTGCTCGGTGCAGTTCACTCTGTCACTGCAGCACCAGTAGAACTTAACAGCAGAGGTATTTGACCTCATACCACCATCCATACCAGCTTCAACTAACCCCACCCTCCCAGCTGTCTCTTCCGGCATCCTCTCCCAACTGGAATTCTTCTCCCAATACTCCGCCGCAGCCTACTGTCTCGGCAACAACAACAGCCCCAACACGAAGGTCACCTGTCCACAAGGAAACTGTGCCCGCGTAGAAGCCGGTAAGTTATGACTATACAAAACGCACGATACACGTGGACCAAATACTAACTTCCTCCCTCCCCCTCTCCAGCCAACACAACCACCCTCTCCGAATTTGAAAACAGCATAGCCTCCGATGTAACCGGCTTCGTCGCAACCGACACTACCAACAAACTCATCGTAATCTCATTCCGAGGCAGCCGGAGTGTGCGCAACTGGATCACTAATGTGCAGTTCCCCGTTTTGCCCACTACAATCTGCGCAACATGTTCTTCGTCGCTCGGTTTCTGGAACTCGTGGCTCGAGGCACAAAAGCCCGTGTTGAAGGCGCTAGACACAGCGAGAAAGCAGTATCCAAGCTATAAGATTGTGGCGACGGGACATTCCCTTGGTGGCGCGCTGGCTAGTCTTGCGGCGGGGTATCTGAGGAGCACGGGGATGAGTGTGGATTTGTATACCTATGGTGCGCCCAAAATCGGTCTGGCAGGCGTATCCGACTACATCACTGCGACGGGCAAAGGGCAGACGTACCGCGTGACCCACAAGAATGATCCAGTGCCCAAGTTACCCCCCGCGCTACTGGGTTACAGGCATATCTCCCCGGAATACTATGTTACTAGTGGGAACGATGTCCAGCCCGGAAGCGCGGATGTCAATGTGCTGACGGGCAATCTGAACTTGAAGGGAAACGAAGGTGACTTCGGTGTCGATATCGATGCGCATTTATGGTATTTTGGGGCGATTAGTTCGTGTGAGGGACAGGAAGGGATTGAGATCAAGGTTTGATGAGGGGAGGTTCAAAACGAAGTTTATGATATCAACGAACGGGAATAATCGTTAATGTATATATTGTGCTTTCTCTACTCTGTATGGTCAGTGATGTGTTGATGTGTTGAGCATAACGTGGACGATGATGAGTATGGGAAGAAGCGGAACGAATGTTGCTTGAGCATAGTAACGAAACCTCACAGCAAACTTTATAGGAACGCATCATGAGTAATGACATTGGCATCGAAACTGCTCTATTATCCGTCACTGTGTAGCTAGACACGATGTGTGGTACGACACATTTCTATCTAGATCTTCAGCGATAGGGCTAACGCTACTACAAAATATCATAATAACGCAGTGATCGAACTAACTCTGACTTTGTAGAATATCATCCTGTGTGGTTACTGAATATCGAGTCTCTGATTAGCAGTCAAAAGCCTCTACAATGGACTGTTACGGCGCCATTCTAATGAGTTGAGTGCGACGCGCAAACCCTAAATGAGTTAACAGTCCCCCAGATCTAACACAAGAAATTTCGTTGACAAAGAAACCTCTATATAGCCGCCTCTTCCTTCTCTAGGAATACGCTTTCGAAACAAGGTACGTAAAGATCATTGTGAACAGGCTCATAGCAAGTCCACCAATCCAGGATGCCTCAGCATCCTCTCTCATTTTGTCACCACTAACAAAGAGAACGACCCAAGCCTTGTTACCCAGCCCCAAGACGGTTCCAGTACACCAACAGCTTTCATAGAAACCGATCAATTCGAATATGGAACTCAAAATGATCCAGATGGCGTTGATAACAGCAACGGATTTACCGAAGAAACGCGTAAGCACGGCGAGTCTGCCAACCCATTTGATCTGGGTACTGCGGGGAGTTTCGTACGTTGCACGTGTTGCGTCGACTGGTCGTTCTCTCTGATATAAAAGCATCACGTGATGCGACAGAAAGACTGATGTCAGTAGAAGGACATGCGCAAAAGTAGCAAGAAGTCCGTACAACAGGTAACTCCCAGAGCGACAGCCGAGACCGCGCACTTCCGTCAGGTACGATATGACGATGGCAGACCCAGTGACACCCCACTGAAGAAACACGGCGATAGCGTTGGAGGTCATGAAGTTCCACTTCCAGTCGGAGCTCGCTACAACATCCTTCCAATCCATGTATGGCTTATCATGATTGGGAGGTAGGGCGGCTTCGGCCAGGTTCGTGTTGTTGCGCCGAGGCCCTTGTACAGGCTCAGAAGGGTCTGCTTGAGCTCTCTGTGCCTGCACTGAATCGCGCTTCGCTACGAAGGCGTCGACAATCCTATGTCGTAGCTTTGGATAGGTCAAGATACGTGCATAATTGTAAGCGGGGCCCTGGCATGCTTCATCCCCTTGCACTTTACCCCAAAAGGCCTCATGTACTCTCGTCGATGGCGGGTTTATGAAGCCAGAACTCGCTTCCAGTGCTCTTAGTCGGGCAGATTCTCCACGTATTATCTCGCCCTAGATTGCGTCTCGCACTGTATTCTTTCGTGATTGTGTCCCAACAGCCATCCAACCCAAGACTATGGGAACTAGCCATGTCCAAAGCGTGCCAGAGGAGAGCAGAAGAGCTTCAGAATGTTGACCAAGCGATGTAACGTACGATCCAATGATGGTCAAGACCCAAGCAACGACTGCAAAAAAGGTCTGCGCAAAGAGGGAAAAGGTGTACTGCCGGCGAGTGTTGCGGAGACGTTGTTCGAGAGGTAGCCATCGATCGCTTAGCCCATTTGGTTCTTCCTCAAACAGTCGTCGGAACTGATCCTCATTTATTCTGATGGGAGACTGCTGAGAGCTGCAAAGGAAGTATCTAGCCGATTCCGTTGCTTCTTTCAAATGTGATGTTGTTTTACCGTTACCGAATTTGGCCGCGAATGTTATTGATGTTGAATGCGCATTCAGAGCTGTCGACATAAGAGAGAAAGTACTCAACATCGGGCTCCCGACCGCGAGGCAAAAACTTTCAAAGTTCCCAGATATGGAACCCGTCTCGTACGGTAGTTGCGCCGTCAGACCAAGCCACGGTAAGAAGTAGTTCGTCACACCGGATGTGAAGATTGGAAAATCAAAGACCTGCGAGAGTTCAGCGTCGAAAATATACAGCACAGATTCCAAAACCCAGATCACCAGTGACAATCCTGTAAAACCCGGCATTCTGTTGAATTGTGCTGATAACGGGATGACAATACCATAGGAAAGTTCTGCCTGGCGCAGTACGCATGACAAGTCTTCATGTCAATCCCCCATGCATTCCATACGTTGTTGACGAATTTCACAGGTTTGTGGCCATTTTGCGCGACCAGACCTTCGGCTATGTCTGTGAGGTTTTCAGCCTCGAGAAGCCGACGTACACACTTTGCTGCCCACGACGAGCTCTTGCCAAGCGGCGTTAGGAAATCTTCCAGCTCCAAATTATTCATACTTTGAAAATGTGAAGATTAGGTCCAAATCACAAGTATTTGCCAGGGGCGAGGGTGAGCTTTTTTTATCTCGCCTCAAGGACCAGGCTGACAGGCAGCCGTTGAAGCTGCCTTGGTGGTCACAAGCATACAACAGTCATTAATGGATGCGGTTAAATACCAAGCGGATATATTATGCCGCAATCAATACCTTTCAGCTGAGGAACTCCCACAAGGTGGAGGCTATGCTCGCTAATCGAGCAGGCGTGGAAGGAAACGCAACATTGTGTCAAATGTGCTAACCTGGAGGCAGCATAGCGCTAAACTAGAAGGAGCGTAGCCTTATCTGGAAAGGCAGACTGAGTGTTCAGTGGCGGGCAGACAAGAACACGTTTTACATTTCCAGGAAGCTTGCGCTGGCTCTCACCGTATACACGTTCTCGGTCTATCCATGGTCTTTGGTCTGATGCATTGTGGCTGAAGTGGTGCAGGGCAAAATGACGAGCGTTAGAAGAGCTGGACAATCGGAGCAAAGGGCGGATTATGGACATGCTATAGCATCGAATAGTAACCGATATATCGACGCATTATGAACACTATTGTTGAAATTGTACATGCCTAATTTATCTTGTAGAATTACATTTGCAATACGCTAACACCGGATCATTCCGCCTCCATGGACGAGTTCGAAGCTCAACACACCTAATGCCGGGCATGTATCCAGCTTGAAAGCCGCTTGCCCATCTTCATAACGCCAAAAACACCGCACTATGCTGCTACCCTATCGCTCTCACTTGATGTACAACACTACTTCTTCTTGCCCTTACCCTTGCTCTTGGTTGCCGAGCCATTGGTAGCAACACTACTCGCCCTCGATGGTGTCGCTGAAGCCGGTGATGCCTTGCCCTTGACCGTGTCGAGCTGCTTGTTCTGCAATCATGTTAGTACATATGCGGTTGCTAACAGGACCATAAACTCAACATACCTTGACACCATTCTTGGCCTGCTTCTTCTTCGGCTGCTCCTCTTCCTCTTCCTCCGTCTCCTCTTCTTCAAACCCACGCTTCCCATTCTTATTCTTGACATCGCCCTCACCGAGCTCACGGACGATTGCTGAAATAAGCGTGGTGCAGCGTCGACCAATCTCCTGTGGGGTACGGGAAAGGAAGAACCAATCGAAGCGGAAGAGGGGCGATTCGCGGATCTCGTCGCGGATCTTCTCGTAGATGTACTCACCTTCAACACCGTGCTTGTGTAGCATGACGACGAGGAACTTGTCTTCTTCCTCCGTGTAGACCTTTTTGTTTGTGGTCGAGACAGTATACTTGATCTGCATCTGCTGAAGTGGCATACGATACATGCCAATCTTCTTCGCGATGAGACGTTTCTTCTCTTCCGACTGTCGCACACGGAGTTCACCTTCTTCGATGACGCCGAGGTGCTTCTGCCAGTTGTCCAGTGTCTTATACTTCTTCCAAAAGACCTTGGCGTAGGCTTTGATCTCTTCGGCATCTTTCCCGTCGACTTCTTCAGAAATACCCTCGTAGTTTTGCCGACCGTACTTGGCGCTACCGTTTAGGAACTGTTGGAAGTCACGCTTGTTCCATTCGGGGAAACCCTGCTCGATCAAACGTTCCTTCTCAGCCTTTTCCTCTTCTGTCAGCGGCTCCGCGTCATCAATCTCCTGCTGCGCAAGTTGTTGATCGGCCTCACGCGCCTCAAGGTCCTCATCCGGACCATCCGGGAGAGGGGCTTTCAGGTTGTTTTCCTTGCGGTACCATGCGGTCTCCTTGTCTTGAAGCTCGGATAGGCGCGGAGGGAAGAATTGGTAGTCGTGGATGGTGATCTGCTTGGGCGCACGAGGTATCCTAGGCTGCTTGTTCTCTGTTCGTCCGCCAGTGACCAGCGTCTTGCGGTAATATGAATCGATGCCGTAGTTTTGCTCCTTGCGCTCGCGCTTCGAAGGGTTGATCCACGAGATACCGATCTCTTTCTTGCGGGGCTGGAACGTCTCGCCGTTCCACTCGTATGTTGAGTCCGAGGTGAACTTCTGAAGATCGTCTAGACCGAGAGTCTCATATCTCTTGTTAAGCTTCTCCGTCATCTCTTCACCGCGGCGCATGACAGCCTCGAAATCGTCATCCGCGAGTTCGCCATCAGCCGCTGGACCGACGGGACCCTTGCTTGCGAATACTTTCTCGGCACCATGCTGGATCATGGTCAGAAGCTCGTCCTTGGATGCGGCGTTCTTGACAGGCTGTTGTGAGCGACCTTGCTGGATGACTAGTTGATCGAGACGTAGCTTCTGCGCAGCACGTTCTAGGACTTTCTCTTCAATGGCCATCTCGGTCACGAAGCGGAAGACGTATACCTGCTTGGTCTGACCGATACGATGAGCACGGTCCATAGCCTGGAGATCGGCTTGTGGATTCCAATCGCTGTCGAAGAGAACCACGATATCAGCGGAAGTCAGGTTGATACCCAGTCCACCAGCACGGGTGGTGAGGAGGAACAGGAACTTCTCCGAGCCTTCCTTGTTGTAGTCGTCGATGGCCTGAATACGATCCTCGTGGGCGGTTGAACCGTCGATACGGCAGTACTTGTAATCTCGCATGACTGAATAGTCCTCCATAATGTCTAACACACGACTCATCTGTGAGAAGATAAGCACTCGACTACCCTGTGCCTTCATGCGCTTGAGTAGTTTGTCCAGCATGACCATTTTGGCAGCGTTGGTAACGAGATGTTCATCGGTAGTGTATGGCGGACCAGGCTCGGCGCCTTCGAATAGGTAAGGGTGGTTGCAGCACTTTCGCAGCTGCATGACGATGTTGAGGAGACGAGTCTTGGACTCCTTGTTGCCAGCACCGCCATTAACTGCGTCAATGTCCTTCTCGAGAATCTTCTTGTACCATTGAACTTGCATGTCGGACATGCCCACGTAGAGGTTGATCTCCTTCTTGGGCAACAGCGACTTTTCGACATCGGCCTTGACACGTCGGAGCAAAAAGGGTCGGAGGACCTTGTGAAGTTGCTTGACGACGGCGTCAGAGTCAGCGTTCTGCTGTGAGAACCAATCATCGAAGGCGGCAGAGTCTCCGAAGACGTCGGGGAGCAGGAAGTTGAGTAGGGCCCAGAGTTCGTGGAGGTTGTTCTGGAGAGGGGTACCAGTGATGAGCAGCCGGCTTCGGGAGTTGAAGACACGAACCATCTGTGCAAGCGATGACTCCTCGTTCTTGATACGATGGGCTTCGTCGATGATGATGTATTCCCATGCGAACTTCTTCAAGTGTGATTTCTCGCGCAAGATCATCTCGTAGGAGGTGATGCAGACGTCGAAGCCATCCGGCACCAGGCGCTCCTTGATGAGCTCGGCACGATCATCCTTGTTACCCTGAAGGACCAATACGTTGACGTCGGGGCACCACTTGGCGAATTCGCGCTTCCAGTTATCGAGTGTCGACTTGGGCACTGCGACCAGGTGGGGACCGTGAATGCCGGCAATATAACGCAGGTAACCGATGAAGGAGATGGTCTGCAGAGTCTTTCCGAGACCCATCTCGTCGGCAAGGATACCAGAAATACCGTTCTCGTGCAGAGAGATGAGCCAATTGAGACCAGCGACCTGGTAGTCGCGCATGGTACCTCCTTTAATGAAGCCTGGTGACTCCCGGAAGACAGTCTCGTTGTGCCCACCATGCTTCTCTTCGCGCACCAGCTCAGCATCCTCCTCCTGCTCAGTCTTTCTGCGTCGCTCCGCAGCGGCGCCGCCTTTCCGCACCTTGCTCGCCTTGGATCGCTTGGTCTCTTCGGCATCCTGGCGATCGATCTCGGCGAGAATCTCCTTTATGCGCGGGTTGGGGTTCGTGTCGATGAAGTGGCGGAACAGATCAGTCAGACCGAGGAGGTATCGAAAGCGGCGAATCGTATCGTCTTCCTATGGGGGGAGGCCAAGTCAGTCATGTACTATGAATGTAATGCGCCGATGACGTCGCGTACCTTGGATGCCCTCAGACCCTCAGCCTTCTTGCCATACATGCTTTTTCGCATATTCATCTCTTCGGCGCGTCGCTTTCGCCCGTCGACTGGCGCGTTGTCACCTGCGACGCTGTTTGCTGTGGTGTTGGGGTTGGTGTCAGAGTCCTATGCGCGTGTCAGTTTGTCGACCGAGTGGATGCGGTGTGGTGTCGGAGTCTTCGTACTGTGTAATCGGGTGTATCAACGTTGTACTGTGCCTATGATGTTAGCCTTGTCTCTTGCTTAGGCGCGCCTTCCACCACCTTGACGTCTGGGTGTCGCGGCGAGGAAGGCGCGCATGGGGATTGCTCTTACGCCGAACTTCTTGAAGCCACTCATCGTGTCGTCTTGCTGGTCCTGCATCTCGACGTCTGAATGCACCGACGCCTCATCAGACGATGGCTCCTCCTTCTTCGCAGCGGCCTTCCGCGGCATATTGCCTGTTTGGGCTGTTCGCCGCGTGTAGTTGGGCGAGTGTTATGACAACAATGGCGCAATCGATCGTATGACGTCTCTGGGTATGTGGGCGTGTCGAATGTGATGGCGTGGACGCGTTGAAGACGTGTTTGTGGTGGCAGAGGTTTGCGCAATGTACAGCAGGAGTAGTGACAGAATAATGTGGACAGCCCTTGGCGCGTCAGGACGATGTGCGCTATCCTCTTTGTGGCCGTGCTCAACTACTACCCCAGGGCGGCAACACTAAGCCAACACTTCCAGTCGCCTAACAGATCAACATCCACGCGTTCCCCGCCGCCTGCATCAAATACTGCTTAGAACACGATACCGTTGAAGTAACAAAAGAAGCGGACGCGTTGCGCGACGCGACATAGAACATGACGTCAGTCATCTTGTTTCTAAGTTGAATGAATTGACATGGCATTAAGGGTCATAAAGCGAGATGACAATGCATCACAAGCCGACAATATAGGGAAGGCAGTAGACCGCCTAGGCGATTAAGATTGTTAAGCAGTGAAACTCCGCTCGACGATTTTGCCCACCACGGACGTCACTGCATTCCGACTACACAGGCAAGCCAGTTCGTCCAACGCCTGAACGTGCCTGCCAAATCCATCACCATCATCTGGGGTAATGCAGAGAAGGATGTGGATTTCCGGAACTAGTGCTATCAGCGCAAACATAGCAGGTGCCACGGGAACAGAATCAAACCTAAGATAGGAGAAACCTTCACGTTCCAGTGGAAGTTGTCAATGAAGCAAACGCATTACGCCGCAGCGCCGTGTCGAACGACATGGTAGCTTCTGAGCTACGGCTTAGGAAGTCGCATCCAAGTTTACCTTTCCGACATGTCACAACTCCAAATCGCTCCACCTACCTCCAACCTCGCTTCTTTCCTTTATCCATAGCGGTGACTGTGTGAAATCACAATTATGCGCACTTGCAGTGTTCGCTACTGCGCTTCGCTAGACCGTCATCCCACGCTTCCCCAGTTACCAAACCTCGCTTAATATAGGCAACAGCTACGATGTTGACCAGACACTACATCATACGAGAGAAGACTCTGAGAAGACACTGAGAAAGTACTCGCCCGAAGCAGGGTGAAATTCGCGCAAACCTATACCCAGTGCGTATTAATTTCTACCTTCACTATTGGCGGTGGATTCATCCGCAATAGCAAAGCGCAAAAAGCTTGGGATTGGTGGTGCTTTGAGCGTTCGTCTAAGCCCTGGAGAAAAATAGCCCCACTCCTAGTGGATCCACGTCAGTCCTTCCAGCCGCACCTCCCGCACTTCGACACAGCTCCCGTATGTACTGAACAATACAGGCATTCTCCTGGCCTCTACATCTTTGACAGGCCACTCCTGAGTGTATTCTAAGATCACCTTAGTGTTTGCCACGTACTGGCGTATTGCCTAATTACCTAGGTACTGGGCTCAAGCCGATAGGGCGAACGACACCGTCCATACCTACACGAGCGCCTTACGTTGCCGCTCCATTCGAATTGACTCAATCTGATAGCCACGGCAACAAGAAATCTCCAAATGCGCCTTATTAATTGCTCAACACGACGGCTTGAAGAGTTCCTCGGCAGTGATATTCCAGACTATGCTATTCTCTCGCACACCTGGGGCGATGAGGAGGTGTCCTTCGCCAATCTTTCCTCTAGTCACTCTAATTCTAACCCTACGATAACAACCCAATCTGGCTATCAGAAGATCATGTATACCTGCCAGCAAGCCATCCACGACGGATTCGGCTACGCATGGATAGACACCTGTTGTATTGACAAAAGTTCTAGCGCAGAACTTTCCGAGGCCATAAACTCTATGTTCACCTGGTATAAAAACTCAGCTCGATGCTATGCGTATCTCTCGGACGTCTCGAAAGTCGACATGGGCAATCAATTCTCCGAAAGTAGATGGTTTGCACGTGGCTGGACACTGCAGGAGCTGTTGGCGCCAAAAGACGTTGATTTTTTTGATCGACAGTGGAACCATTTGGGCACGAAATCAGAGAACACAGGATGGATATCAAAGATAACAGGAATAGACGCAGAGGCTCTGCTTGGTACAAGAGACAATGGTCAGTCCATCGGACTTGGCTCCTTCTGCGTTGCTAAGAGGATGTCATGGGCCTCAGCGAGACAGACAACACGTGAGGAAGACATTGCATATTGCCTCCTTGGAATATTCGACATAAACATGCCGCTTCTGTATGGAGAAGGTAACCGGGCTTTTCTTCGTCTCCAAGAAGAGATCATCCGGAAAATCGATGATGACTCTATCCTCGCTTGGGACCTGAAGCCAGAGATGGATCATGGTCTAGGACCGATATCAGACAATTCGAGGAACCATATGAGTGGAATAAGTCATGGGAGTGGGATTTTGGCAAGCTCGCCGAAGGACTTCGCAAACTGTGGCAACTTGAGATATGCTGCAGAATCAGCTTCACCATTCACATTAACGAAAGCTGGCCTACAGATACAACTACCGCTTTTACCATTGTCCGAGATGGATGATTCTTCCAGTCTACATGAGTCTCGTGGATGGATTGGGCTACTCAGTTGCTCAACTGGATCAACCCTGAAGTTCCTAGGTATCTTGCTCTACTCAACGAGGCACGATCAGGACTTCAGTGCAAAACTTACTCGGGCTAGGGCTTACACCTTTGGAGCTTACTATCATACGGTCGTTGTCGGTTCAAGAGCTGCTGCAAGGTCAGTCCTTACGACAGTGACAATTACTGGATTCGAAGAAGGTCAAAAGTTACGAGACTGGCGCTTGGGCTACCGGCAGTTTGTCGTCAACGAATCCAGCGCTCTCAATAATGCCGGTTACCAAGTTAGGAGTGGTACCGCATGGGACATTGCGGACTGGAGAAGTTCAGAGTCTCGGTACAACCCGATCTGGGATCCTGGAGCAATGATTCTTACAATAGAAGGGGAAGCAAGATTCCGGGACATCATTGAGTTCTGCTTCGAACCATTGTCGGGTAGGCGAGGTACCACTTTCACCGTCTTCATGCGTACTATCAACAGTAGAGTCATAGTTCGGGAGGGGGACGTTTTTTCTGATGAGGACAGGCGTGATTTTTATGTTGATCTCGAACACGAGTATCCTCAGAATGACCTGGGTAACGTTATTATCCATGACAGTGAAGGAAGTTCGTTTCATGTCAGCGTTGAGATTCGTGCGACGAGAGTATATAACCACCGCCTGTTTGAGGTCAATGTTGATGCCCTTCAAGTTATGACTGGTGATAGTTAATAAGCCACACTTTTTAGGTATAAAAACAGAGAACTGATGGCCGTGAAATGGTCTGTGGCTTCTGCAACGACACGACATCAGAATTCTTGACATCTGCGGTTGAACGAAGGCTATAGATGCATCAACTGTGATGAATCATTCGGGCAGTCGAGGAGATAAAGCCATATCCCAAGATGAGACCAAAAACTTCGCTCAAAATACCCCGTTACACCTGGCTGCAATCGCAGACAAAGCAGGTTATTCGATGGAAAGTTCCCATATGGTAATGGCCGGATCATTAACCGGTCGAGTTATGCGAAGCTGACTTATAACAGCACGTTTTTCCAGCGATACTCGACTAGGGAATCATGTCGCAGGGCACCGTAGAGTCTACCTCTGCAAAGGCTCCTCTCTAATCATATTGTGGCGTTGAGTGATGGTGTTTAGGATAACAAGCGTATATCACGTTCGCGCACATTGAGTAGTGCACAGCCACGGTAAGTTAGGGCAAAACTCATGCCGAGCGAGATGGAGATACACGCGGGATGACGAGTAGGTGGCGTGCAGAAACCAGAAGATGTGAGTGTACCAAAAAACTAATATGCGCAGATGTCTATCGTACCAAGTGGACCCACGTCATCGGCACATTGTTCGGGCGCTTGCCAACCACGCTTGACCCGCTCTGTAAGCCGCGTCTCCACTCCTCTCCAAACCACGCGATAAGAGCCGTTGATACAGGTAACGTACGGCAGCCTCGGGAAACTATCATCGGCCGCCTACCTTCCTGATTGCGATGTCTTCGACGCCGTTTACGTACATGCACAGCTCGTTTGAGGCGTGCCGATGAAGCTGGCCAGTCATGCTAAAGAGCCGAGAGCTTATCTGTGTGGTTTCCACGTTTGACCCTCGTAGGGCGCATGCCTCGTAGTCACCGACATATCTTGTCTTACGAGTGGGAAACGAACTACGCGAAGGATCGGAATCATGACTCTGCGCATGGCTTGGAGGCCAGTATCTCTTCCGCAATGGAGAAGGGAAAATATGCTGCTGATGTATAAAGCATATCGCGGGCCTGCAGCTGTATGAATCTACATCTCGCGCTTCACTCAGGCTACGGTCCAGACTCATCGTGGGTATGATGCATCTCTTCCGGTTCCTCGGCGTCGCATCCTTCACTGTTGTCGGGGTGCAGGCTGCCGTGTCTTCCACTGGCTTCACGGTATCCTTGACGGACATCGACTACTTCCTGCCACCAAAGCCTATTGCCAAGATCGCCGGATGCCAAGAGATCCAAGCCGCATTCGAAGATGCTTTGTTTGTGCCGTTCACAGTAGTGAAGTCTCAGGACGATGGCATAGATGTCGCATCACTTACAGCCAGCTACGCCGAAGATGATGTATGGCAAGAGGGCTTTATGGAAGGTGTGTTTCTAATTCTACCTGCCCAAGAACTTAACTCATATTATCATGTAGCGATATACGTTCAGGGTAGCGATCCTAAGCTTGCGAACACTTCTTTAACCATCCTATCTGGCACTGCTTCCAAGGACCTAGCTCCAGGACCCTACTTCATCAACGCAGCTGGTCATGTCCACGAGGCGTGGAGACTGTTCTCCGATGTTCAAGGCGCTTTCACCGAATCTGCGATTGCTAACGGCGATGGCTCGTACTCGGTTTTGCCCGCAGGCACTGTAGGCCAAAAGCATGCGATTGCCGTTCCTTCGCGTCTATACTTCACTAAGACGGCTGAGAAGCCATTAGCTGGTGTACGCATCGGCATCAAAGATATCTACGATATCAAGGGACTGCGCACATCGAACGGAAACCGCGCTTGGTACTGGTTATACCCTCCCGCTAACGCAACTGCGCCACCGGTTCAAAACTTAATCGATGCGGGAGCCATCGTCATTGGCAAGATGATTACGTCTCAGTTTGCAAACGGTGAGACTGCGACGGCCGACTGGGTTGACTACCACGAGGCATTCAACCCTCGTGGCGACGGCTACCAAGACACATCCTCCAGTTCTTCTGGTGGTGGCGCTGGTACAGCATCGTACTCTTGGCTCGATGTCAGCCTCGGTTCCGACACCGGCGGCAGTGTGCGGGGCCCATCACAAGTCCAAGGTCTTTATGGTAACCGACCATCTCACGGACTCGTATCCCTAGACCACACGATGCCACTCAGTCCCGTGCTCGATACCCCCGGCTTGCTAGCTCGCAATCCGCAAGTTTGGATGGAGGCAGCTCAAGCCATGTACGGGCCCAACATCACCATTATGAGCACCTATCCAAAGAGTATCCAGACTCTTGCCTGGCCCACTGAAGTCGAAGATGTCGCTGATCAGCTTCTGGTCGACTTTTTGGGAAACGTGACCGAGTTCCTCAGCGCGAATGCTACAGCCTACAACATTACGGCCTCGTTCGACGCTGCGAACGCGGATATTGCACCCTTAACGACCTTCATGAACCTCACGTACGCACTACTAATCACCAAACAGCAGACTGAGCTGGTCCGCGAGCCCTTCTACGCCGACTACGCCAAACTCCACGACGGCCGCCTTCCATTCGTTAACCCCGTCCCACTAGCTCGCTGGGGCTGGGGCGACAACCAAACCATCACCGTCAACGAGGCCATTGCCAACAAGACCATCTTCCAGACCTGGGCCAACGAGACCTTCCTCGCTCCTTCGCCCGAAACATGCTCTGAGTCTTTGGTCATGTATGTTGGTTCCACCGGCCGCACCACGTACCGTAACACGTATTGGGATGAGCCTGGTGTGCCTTTCGGTTTCAGCAATAGTCGCATTTCAGTCATGGCGGAAGTGCCGGATTTTGTGGTGCCGCTGGGTGAGGCGCCGTATAATTCGACAATTACGGGGCATGTGGAGTATCTACCTGTTACAGCGAATTTGATGGTGGCGAAGGGGTGTGATGGGATGTTATTCTCACTGATCGGGGATTTGTATGAGGCAGGCACTTTGAAGGAGAGCAAGGTTGGGAGGAGTGGTGTTACTGGGGGAGAGATATTGTTGAGGAGGAATTGGCTGTGATGTTGAGCGGGTGAATTTTACGTATTACTGCAACATGTGACGGGACTTTGATGATGTGACTGTATGTGCGCGTACTATCATCTCGTTCATATGGCTAACAGGATAGCATTTAGCATGCAGTTCATGGACAGAAACTGCTCAAGGATCAAGAGTTTTTATTGCAGGGTTATGTCGCCAAAATGGACCACGATCCGAACGCGAAAGGGAAACTAGAGGAGAACCAACGCGGTACTCGTACTCCTGTTCGGATTTGGTCAGGATCAACTGTGGTCCGTTGACACCCACGTGTTAGTTTGCTACGGTAGCGGCTCTATCTCCTTAAGATCCATGGAATGTATCGAACACGTCGCAACCGGTCACTGAGAATATCGCAGAACTGTGCGACTTCTGCCTTGCATTTACCACTTTGATTTTGATTTGATTTGGATAACTTAATTTGAATTGATACCCCGCTGCGGGGCAGATAGACCCCGATTTCTTGTACTAGTAAGTCATCTCCTAGCTAGTAAACTTGCTACGATACTTGTTGAATTAAACAAAACGCATTTATGAACAATAGATATACTAATCGTACGCTAGTAACTCACAGCCTCTACAGTGATACATTACGATAAGATTTTATATACAGAAGCAGTTAATCAGAGTCCTCAGAATCAATGTCAGAGTATTTAGTTTCAGCAATGTTTGCTACCCGACGCTCTCGTACCACACCCTCCTGTATGAGAGACCTAAGGACCTAATTCCTCTCTAACGTAGACCCTAATAGTAAGCTCCTATTTAGTGTACACGTTTTTAAAGCCTCACTAAATCGACGCTCTAGGTCTAAACTCATTGCTAGTGCAGCAAAGATATCAAGCGCTACCTTATGCAGTGTAGGAAAGCGCTCCTTGTTATTGCGCCACCAAGTAATAAGATCTATTAGTTCCTTCACAACCTTACGTTTGCTAGTAACTTTATCTATTACGATGCCATCACGCCGTGGTACCTTTAGTGTTGTGTAGTAACGGTTAAGCTCTTGTGCGAGCGTCTCCGTGTCAGGCTTAGAAGGAACGTAGTCGTCGGAGAAGAGGAGGTCGTCATCGAATTAAGTCTCTGGGATAAGGACATTAGCCTGCGATTAAGCAGCTTAAGTAGCTCTAGTAACAGTTAACGGCTCTACAGCAACGTTAGGACCGATAGATCTAGTATCGTAGGACTTGCACAGCGTTTCAAAACGCTTTTAAGCGCCACTAAGCTATCTAGACTAACCCTCCTATCGTTTCTAAAGACCTCGCTAATTGATGTTGGGGTTAAGGATCTAGGCCGCAGTGTAGGCTGGTGTTTGGTCTGAAACCCTGTAGTAGAAGTCGAGCTTTGCCCAGATTAAAGCTGCAAATTGCTTTACCTCCTTACTTAGCTAGGGCTGTCTCTTGCTTCGCTTAGTCTACTGTTTATAGTATTTAAGGAGCTTCTCAATCTCATTAAGCTATGTTAAGATATTTACCTTCTAGCCTTCTAGTCTTTTTGTTGCTAGGTAAAGTAGCTTAAGCAGTGCTTCGATCGCGGTAAGCGTGTCCTAGTCAGCGGCTATAAGCTAGTCATTGCTTATAAGCTCGTCGCTATGTCACGGCGCTAACCTAGATAGCCTATTAGAGCGCGCCAAGCTGCTAAGCGAGCAGCTGCGCGATCGCTGAAATTCCTGCGCGAACGCGCCCTGTCGTACGCTCCTTGAGCTACGTCCTTGTCTTAGCCTGACCCCGTACTATCAGCGATATCGTAGTGAATATACTGATCACGTGCACCTACCTTCCCTGCCTGCTGACCCCGTGACATTACGTAGCTCCTATCTATAGGTGCCCGTCCCCGCGAGGCCCGCTATGGATCGCCCTGAACCTCCCGCAACCCCAGACTCAGCCGAAGCCCTTGTGGCTGAGGTGCAGAGAGACCCCAATGCCTGGCTGCTGTACCTGCGCAATAACTACCAGTACCTGCAGAGCCTCGAGGGCTCCCTAAGCGACGCGCGCACTACTGAGCAAGAGCTCCAGACCTCTGTTATCGAGCGCGATGGAATTATCCGCTACCAGAAGGAGCAACTCGCCGCCGACCAGAAGCAGATTACCCAGCTCGAGATCGAGAAATCTCACCTTGCTGCCGCCGCAAGCCCCGCTGTACAGACCCCCCGCGCCTCTACCCTATCCCCTCGAGCTACTACTAAAGCTCGTGCAGATAACCCAGCGAGACCGCCTACGCCTGTTACTGCCCCACATTCCAGAACCGCTAGCCTTAGCGAGAAAATACCTGACCCAAAGGAATTTGATGGAACTCAAGACGACCTTTGGCGCTTCGTCCAGCAGATCTATGGTAAGATGACTGCTAACGCCGACCGCTTCCCTCTAGCTACAAATTGGATGACCTACGTCGCTGGACGCCTAACTGGAAGAGCCTATCAGCTTATGCTACCTAAGATCCGATACGGAATCCCCCAGTTCGTGGACTACCCGCAGATGCTCGAATACCTAGAACAAGCGTTTGGGGACCCAGACCGTACCCAGAACGCTTAGAACAAGCTTTTCAACCTAAAGCAGAAGAACCTTGATTTCAGCACCTACTTCGCGGAATTCTAGCGCCTAGCACTAGAAGGAGAAATGTTAGAGAGCACCCTAACGCCCCTGCTATTCCAAGGGATATCTCGCGAGCTGCAGGATATGCTCCTGCACAATCCACCGCCCTCGCAGGAGTTCTCCGTGTATGCTAGCCACCTCTAGAAACTTGACAACCGCTACCGTCAGCACCAACAGCAAGTCTCCCGTAACCGCACCCCTATAGCTAGGGCGTTCCCGAGCAGCTACGCCGCAGCCGCTAAGCCTACCGTCTACTCAAACGTAACCGCCAAACGACCTAGCTCTCCCCGCTCCGGCCCACCAAGTCCAGCTCCGATGTACGAACCTATGGACCTCTCTTCTCAGAAGACGTTCGCACCAGGCAGCCGGAGGGAGAGAGGCGAATGTTTCCGCTGCGGATCAAAATCCTACCGAGTCGCCCAGTGCCCTGAGCCTGACACCCGCCAGTCCGCGGGAACGATTACTAACCAGCACCAACGCTACCCCAGTCCGCCAGCCGCCTACTAGGCTCTCTGCTCTGCGTCCCCGCAGCCTTACCGCCCCGCTAGCCCCTCTAGGTCTCCACTACTCCGCCGTGCCGCCAGCCCGCCCTCTAAGACGAACTACTCGTTAAATGGAGTGAGCCTGAACTAAGTCGCGTGCAGGCTCCTGAACGGCGCATTAAGAAATCACTTCCCTTAGTCCAATTATCCGCCGCGTCTATTAAGGGACTATCGGTGCACGAGGAAAGTGACCAGAGGTCTAACATGATTATCCTGCCTATCACGCTAGAGATAGGGAAGAAGGCGATACTAACGTACGCTATAACTGATTCTGGAGCAGAGGGTAAAGGATTTATAGACCGAAGCTGGGCTGATAGCTACGGGCTACCTCTAAGGAAGCGAAAGAACCCCTTTGGCATTGTTACGTTTGAGGGCGACATGTCTGTTAAGGGGATAGTAACGCACTATATAGAAACTACCATGCGGGTAGAGGACCACCTAGAGACGATCCGGCTGAACGTGACGCAGCTAGCGCACTACCCAGTAATCCTAGGAATGCCCTGGCTAAAGCAACATGACCCGAAGATTGGCTTCGCTAGCCACACGTTGACGTTTGAGAGCGAGTACTGCCAGAAACACTGCAACACGCCTGGAAGGCCAAACAAGATCCACGCTCTGCACGAGCTCCCGCCAAAATCCCGCCCGATTGACCTGCCCGACCGCCTAAAGCTGCTGAGGAATCGAGATATCGCGAAGGTATCGCTGAACGCTTGCGCTGCGTACGCCCGAAGAAACTACTGTATGTTTACGATCACGATCGAACAGATAGATCGCTATCTGTCCTAGCCTGACACGCCTGAGTTACTAGACCCTAAGTCCCTACTGCCAGAGGAGATAAGGGACTTCTGGGACGTCTTCTCGCCTAAAGAAGCGGAGAAGCTCCCTCTACACCGCTCACACGACCATGACATCCGCTTACTTGATGGCAAGACGCCGCCCTTTGGGCCGCTGTACCCTATGTCCCGAGAAGAACTTAAAGCCTTAAAGGAATAGCTAGAGGAGAACCTGCGGAAGGGCTTTATCCGGCCAAGCTCTTCGCCTGCCGCCTCGCCTGTACTGTTTGTTAAGAAGCCGGATGGAGGCCTCCGGTTCTGTGTCGATTACCGAGGACTAAACAACATCTCAGTAAAGGACCGCTACCCGCTGCCGCTCGTAAAGGAGAGCTTAAATAACTTGAAGGGAATGAAGTACTTCTCCAAGGTTGATATCATCGCTGCCTTTAACAACGTACGTATGAAGGAAGGCCAGGAGTATTTGACTGCGTTCCGAACGCGATTCGGCCTGTATGAGAGTCTGGTGATGCCGTTTGGCCTATCTGGAGCACTAGCTACCTTTCAGAGGTTTATTAACGATACCTTGAGGGAATACTTGGACGTTTTCTGCACTGCCTACCTAGACGACATTCTGATCTACAGCCGAACTAGAGGAGAACACGAAAAACACCTGCGCCTGGTACTAACCGCGCTGCGAAAAGCCGGACTGTACGCAAAGATCTAGAAGTGCGAATTCTTCAAGGAAGAGACTACCTTCCTAGGCGTTATTGTTGGACGCGAAGGGATTCGTATAGACCCACAGAAGGTCGAGACAATACAGGAATGGAAAACCCCGTCCTGCCTGACTGACGTACAAGCGTTTATCGGATTTAGTAACTTCTACCGTCGGTTTATACAAGACTTCTCGAAGATTATCGCCCCGCTAGTCGCTCTTACAAGAAAGGGTATTAAGTTTGTCTGGAATAGTGACTGCCAGAAGGCCTTCGACCGTCTGAAAACCGCATTTACAGAAGCCCCGATCCTGGCCCCGTTCGACTGGGAAAGGGAGATTATCCTAGAGACGGACGCATCCGACTATGTATCCG